GCGTGGATACAACTCGGAGGCCACACAGCAAAGGCTTGAAGAGACCTTCTGACAGCGCATGGGAGGGAAGGTGCCACACCAGTGGCAGGCGGATGTCTCAGAGGCAGTGTTGGTGGGATTAGACTGGGTGCGCGAGGATCTATAAGCGCCCATGGAGCGGACTACTGTGTACTGCCTATATGAGAGATAGACAGATTGAGTATGGAGGATGTGTAGCAAAGGCTTGTAGATGTCATAGAGACGTACCAGTTAGAGGAGTGTCGACAAAGAGCGGAGTAGGCTCAGCGCGACTCGAAGATAGCGGGGAGATAAGCAGGCAGACGCGCACGAAGGACAAGAGGCAGGGAGGTCACACCGGTCACCGAGCGGGGAGTCACGGGGGTAAAGCCACCAGACGTTCAGGAGCTCGGATGCCCCCGGTTTTTCGCATCCGATTCAAGCTCCGAACGTCTGGTCACGAGACTACCTCTGCTTTGGATTCGACGTCCGTGGACGATAGAGGAACTCCAAGCGGGGACAGCCAGTTGGAGCGCACGCATGCGTCGTAAGCAGGCAAATCACAGCCGAGTACACGAACGTGCATGCTGGGAGGTTCTCAGGGGTAGGCGTGGATCAAGGCGTGGGACGAGCCACTTGAAGTCCGAAGGCCAGGAGTCGATACAAGACAGGTTTACGATGACAACGGGGGCTAATCTCGAGATGATAGCTCAGCGTCCGAGTCATCGTGGCATGGATACGCAACTTTGTGGATGCTGCTGTATGTAGTTTCGCCTATCAGCGTCAGACGCTAGACGCGTACGTGTTTACAGAGGTGCGTACGGGAGACGAAGGGCATCATCAACGTCCGGATTCAATTATGACTAAGTAGTGCGATGATGCGAACATGCAAGAGACTCTATGACTGAGGATAAAACAGGCACAGCAAACAACCCTGGGAACCGCTAGCTGGACGAATTACGCAAAGAAGCGATAGCAGAAATTCAAGAAATAGTCTATGGTCAGAAGTCGTGGCGCATGTTATCTAAGAAACCATTGGAAGCGGTTCCACGGTGTCGATCTTGCGGAATGGGCCCGCGTAACCCTCCAGGTAGACGTGGTCGCGACGCCGCGCGAGCATCTGTACAGGCGTGTAGAACTCGAGCGTTGTCCAGTAGAACAAACGACTGTGCTGCGCGGCAATCTTGTCGTAGTCAACTTTAAAAGAAGACATTCAGCTGTGAGGTCCAGTATACCGTATAGATCAGCTTGGAGGCATACCTTGCAGTGCCGAACGGAGATCCAGCCACGTCTTTGTAACGTCCGTGATGATCACGTCAACACCCCATCTGACCGCCTGCACGACGCGGTCAGCACACCTGCGCGTGTCGGACATAACGGGACAAGTCACGTACCTCGACCATGTGTTCCGGGTCGTTCACGGTCCACGCCATGATCTTCTTCCCTGCGGCCTTGCAGTCTTTACGGAACTTCGCGCCGTCCGCCATCGCGAGGGTCGAGAACCTAATCGAGAACACGTCGCAAGAGTCCCAGAAATACTTGCGCGCGGTGGCAATGCTTTGCCCAATGTATGACCGGCGGCAGTACGGCAAGTGCTTCTTCGCATGGGGAAGGAAACTGGGGTGCCACAGTCCCAACAAGATGCGCGGCGCAAGGGTCGTCTCCCAATCTGGTTGTGCGGAGATGATGTTGTGCATGAGAGAGAAGAGATGTGCGGGTTTGTTTTGGACCTTGACATCGACGTTGAACTTCACGTGTCGGTTCTCAGGCTGTCATGAAAGTAAGACGTGGAAGCAGAAGCGCATATAGACGGTGTGCCTACCTTCATGAGTAGCTGGATTGTCTCTTCGAAGGTCGTGAGAGATTGCTTAGGCTCCTTGACCGTCCGTAGTGCCTGCATCCCATCCTCGCCATACCACAACCTTTCCCTGATCAAGCCTGGAAGAGACGCAATGAGCGACCACTGATGCGCTTTGCCAAAGTTTCCTACCTGTTCCGTCCGTAACTCGGTCGACGGCTACAAAGACGCGTCACTCAGTCAGCAAACGCGCTCAGCACTCGACTCAAGAGTCGGACACTCACAAGGGTCGTGGAACATGATGACCACGTCGTCTACGGAAACGTGCACGTCTGTCTCACTGGTGTCACGAACTACAGCGCATAATACGGGACAGCGCTGGCAAAATACCGCTCTCAATGCCCTCGGCGCCATCGCGAATGGCGGCTTCGAAGCTTGCGAGCGTGTTTTCGGGGAAGCGGGCAGAGGCCTGTTACGCGTCACATGCAAGAACGCAGGTCAAGAAAGGGCGCAGGAGCAAGCAGGAGCATGACACACTCCGCGGTGGCCCCAACACTCGGGCATCACTTTTGAGATGGTAGGAGCGGCCGTAGCGGACATGGCGGAGTGGAAGAAGGCGGCGGAGAGGGGTCGGATGCGGCGGGTGAAGGAGGAGGGACTGCGGACGAGGGCCGGGCGAAGAGGGCGAGACAATGGACGAGCTTTTATAGCTGAGGCCATGCCGGCTGTCCTGTCGAAGTGAACGAGGGTGGTGGGATAATGAGAGAAACAAATTACGCGAAGTCGAACAAGATATATAGTCAGCGCTGCCCCACAAGCGATGCCCGCTGAGCTCGACTCGCCGCCGCTCGCCGCCCTCGGAAGAAATCTGCTCTCCACTTCCGACACTACCCTCGCGCTCATATCAGTTCGCTACGTCTGTCCCTGTTTCTTTTCCATCATCCCGGCTCCCATGACCTCCATTCCTGTATCACGCAACATAATGTCTCCTCGGCGACGTGCCTGGCGGGGTCTCGACGTGTCATGTTCGTGGCGCATATCTATCCTCCGAGCGAATCCAGCTTCAGCGCTGCTACGAAGTTCCCTCGACGGGACTGTCCGTGAATACCATATGCCTGCGCTGTCTCTCTCCGACGATCATTTGGTAACCTTCTCGGAACACGCGAGCGGATCCCGCTCGGATCCTACATCTCCCAGACCCGGCCGCCATGTCCGTATGTCGTGGTCGACAACTACTATTACAGATGCTCAGTGCTTGACATCGGATACATTCCACTTGAGCCAGCAAGGCACGAGACGAGTTCCGACACAGCAATGGGAGGTCGTCCAGGAGGAGCGTCCAGAGTCAAGTGGTCTTCATATGCGTTTGCCTTTAGCCTTCTCATCGCACGTGCTCCTCCCGATCGTTCTGTGTCCCGAACACTAGCACTGCGAACGCCTTTGCTGAGAAGAGACTTTCTGTTCCGCAGCGTCTATATGACATCCATTCATTCGGGCGGCCACGGTCAGGGTCAGAAGAACCACCCAGGCCTTCCCGCATAGTCATGAGACGAGGTTGGCTGCGCCACGCGCGTGAGACCTCACAAACGCAGTGGCTTTTAGCCTATGAGACGCTGCAGGGATCATCAGTGTCGAATTGACACATCAGCGACACATCGTCGCTTTTGGGCGTCGGCAGTCCGGCCCGGCACTACGAGAACGCGAGCAAGTGTCTCGGCTTACAGCCATATATATTCGTCTGTGGAAGCAGACACCTGGGGCACGAGGGCATACTCACTGTCGTTGAGACGATTTATGTTCATGTATCCCTTCTAGAGACCAACTGTTCGCATCGCAGTGGGACCACCCTGCTATATCTCGGCGGCCCGTAGATGTCAATGACGTCTGCGTAGAACGTCCAAATGCTCACAGGGTCCTGCTCCCTACTACCACCATGTCAGGGGCTCGAGTAGCGATTCTCGTAGGTGCGGACCGTCTTGCCACGATTAGAGACCAAAGAGCAATATACTCACTAAACGCCTGGATATCCCAGTAAGCGATACCGCGTCCCTCGACCCGTCCGCCGACCGCTCCGGCCCGGCGCTACAAAGCCTACTCACCCAAGCAGGATATGTGTGCACGCATCTCGAGATCGTCCCCGACGATGAAACCCGCATCCGGACAGTCGTCCTCGGGTGGTGCGATCACGGCGATGTGGACTGGATCGTCACCACGGGCGGGACAGGCTTTGGGCTGCGCGATAGGACGCCTGAAGTCAGTCTATATACCCGTTCGGATTCACTCCTACGTCGCATAGGTCGAACTCATATGTTGCACGCAGGCGATCAAACCCTTACTCGATCGAGAAGCCCCGGGGCTTGTGGCCTTGATCCTCAACGCCTCGCTCCAAGCCACACCGCTCGCAGCGCTCTCTCGTCCCGTTGCGGGCACGATCAAGAACACACTCATAGTCACCCTTCCTGGGAGCGTCAAGGCCGTCCAGGAGAACACAGCTGCCCTCCTTCAACCAGGGGTGATTGAGCATGCTATCGAGCTTGTCCGGGGAGGGACTGGGAGACGCGTCCACGAGGATCTAGAAACTGAAGGCGTGCGTGTACCGGCCGAAGGCTCCGTCGTCTCCGCAGGCTCAGCTAGATCGGGCTCTCACCACCACCATAACGGTAATGGCCATGTCCATAGCCACACTCATAGTCCCAGTCACACCCACAGCCATGGACACGGACACGACCACGGCCACAGCGTGCCACAGCCACGCAGCGTTCTGTCGCAAGACCCAGGATTGCCGGGTAAGCCATACTGGAAGACTGTTGAGCACCGATCTAAGCGCCGTGCGTCCTCCGCCCTCATCCCGCCTTATTAGCCCATGCCAGACCTAGGGAGTCTCCGTACCCCTTAGTGACTATAGCGGACGCACTTCTTACCATTCTTAGAGAGATACGACCGTTGCCTGTCTATGACGAACCCGTGAGTGCTGATGGCATGAGTCGAGCATATGAACCGAATATCAATGTCGGCGCAGGTATCCGAGGCGTTACGGGGCCTCGTGATCGCAGAGGACGTCTATGCGCCTCAAAATGTCCCTGCAACGTTCACTACCAACGTGGACGGCTATGCGATCAGGTGTACGTGTTCCTCGATGTTGATGCATTACAGTAACTGATTGCGAGCCCTCCAGCGACGGACCCGCCGGGCATATACAGGGTCCTGACCTCCCGCAATCATCTGCTCTCTATCCCAGTACCGCCAGGCGCGGTGTTCCGCGTCAACACGGGGGGTCCGCTCCCGGCTGGGACCGACGCAGTGATCATGGTGGAAGACACCCGCGTCTACAGCACACAGAGGTCCCCTACCGGCGAGGAGGTGGAGGAGAACGAGATCGAGACGCTCGCGCAGGTATCGCGCGGCGAAAACGTTCGCGATCCTGGGTCTGATGTGCGTCAGGGCGACCTCGTGCTCGAGCGGGGTACGGTGGTCAACAGCTCAGGCGGCGAGATTGGCACGCTTGCGTTCGTCGGGCGGACGAGGGTGAGGGCGCATAGGAAACCGGTGGTCGCGCTCCTGAGCACGGGGAACGAGCTGCTGGACGTGCAAGCGCCTAACCCTCTCCCCAGCGACGGATGGGGTGGTATATGGGATACGAACCGTCCTTCTCTAAAGGCTGCGCTCGTCGGACTCGGATACGAAGTGGTAGACCTCGGAATTGTACCCGACAAGTCAGTCCATCACCATCGTCTCCACACCGTCGTACGCCTGACCCCAATGACAGCTTGCAGGCCCACGTCGAAGCTCTCCAGCGCGGTCTGGGGTCCGCTGACCTCATCCTCACCACAGGCGGGACGTCCATGGGCGTCGGCGACCTCCTCAAGCCCGTGATCGAGTACCACCTGGGCGGGACCATCCACTTCGGCCGCGTCCGCGTCAAGCCCGGCAAGCCCACCACCTTCGCGAGCATCCCCACCCCGGGCGAACGCGTCGAGCGCGTGCCGCTCTTTGCGCTCCCGGGGAACCCCGCCAGCGCGCTTGTGATGTTCCACATATTTGTCATCCCTGCGCTGAGGCGGCTGGGTGGGTGGCCCGAGGTGCGGTGCAGGCTGCCGAGCGTGAGGGTGCAGATCCAGGAGTCGCTGCGCCTCGACCCACGCCCGGAGTACCATCGCGCGATCATCAGAGTCGCTCCCGAGGGTTTGAAGGCGTACAGTACTGGGGGACAGCGGTCGAGCAGGGTCGCGAGTCTGAAGGGGGCAAATGGGCTTATCGCGCTGCCTCCGAGGGTGGAGGGCGGGGCCAGCAAGCTTGAGATCGGGGACTACGTTGAGGCGATCCTTATTGGAGAGTTACAGATGGCATAGATGTGATAATGGAGAAGGCTAGCGGTACAGATACGGTGTTGTACAGTGGATGGGACGTTAGGAATCGTTCGTGCAGGGGTATCGAGGTCATTTCTTCATAGCAGCGAGTTCCTGGGGGTGCAAGTCGGTTGAGATCAAGGCTCGAAGGCATACTGATCAAGCCCACCATGGCATCCACTTCGGCCTGCAGCTGCGCTGCTTCCTCTTCGAGCTTCTGGCGCTGTCTGGCAAGCATCTGCAGCCGGCGCACATCAATCTTGCTCATCCCAGCCGTGTTCGCAGTCGCCCTCGAGGAAGGGCGGGACTGTAACGCCTCGACCTGCGATTGCACTTGAGCGAAAGAGCTGAGTCGGTCTGCTCCTGGGACTCACCTTCGCTTGGAGTATGCTCTCTCGTTTCAAGAGAACCTGGAGGCCCTTCTCTGCGCGAGAAAGGAGCTCGTTGATCTGCGGCTCTATCTCGTCGGTCAAGTCCGCCTTGTATCTTCTAACGGTACCCTCATCAACGAGGAGGAATACCTGGGAGCAAGCGGACAGTGAGGTTGAAAACTGGGATGCTATACACTACAGGCCTACTCGTTCACTGTCGAGGACTTTCGTCATGCGAGGAAGGTCGTACGTGCCTTGCCGAATGAGTTCCTGTGCCTCGTACGCCTAGCAAATGCAGCCATATTTATCAGTATATTCAAGCTACGAGCGTAGTTTAGCGAGCCTACCTCGTCACAGCAGTCTTCCATGGCCATGACACATTCTCGGAGATACGGGCTGCATGTCGCATTGGTGTCTACAGCTCGATACAGTTCTGGGTTCCCTGGAAATATAGAGTCCCTGGGACCCAGCCTCGGATGGACTGATAGACGAGACACTCTGTGGCTCCTTTCCATCTTGGATGTGTCCGTGGCTCGTCTCAAACAAGCAACGCAAGCGCCTACCCCCGACGCGTTGTGGCTGCGCCGACGCGTTCGAACAAACAGTGGCAAGCACATTTCGGACTCCGCTGGGGGCGTGGTACATAAGCCTCCGCAATTTGCAGCGTTGCACTTTTCTGCAGTGTCCAGCCAACCTCCGAAGCGTCAGCCCTCCCGCAAGGGCTGGGACCAGACGTTCGCTCGTCTGAGGACGTTGTTCACTGTTGGCGGAGCGAGGCGTCCTTTGCAGGACGCTCACAAGAACGATGTTCGTCGTCCTGCTCCCCCTCACCACGACTGAGTCCGCCCCTCGGGGTGTCGATTCGTCGGAGGGGTCGATGTAGGGCGGCGAACGGGCGTTATATTCCTTAACCTTGCGTATATCCCCGTCTTCGGGCGGGGTGCCACTATGTGGCTGTGACGGTTTGGTGAAACCATAACGCATACATGTCTTACGCTTACATCCGTACTTCCTCTGTCGTAGAAAATAATGAGTATTCGTTCAGGAAACACATTTCACGCTTGGTGCAGGTATGCATCGCCTGTAGACAAACCAGTTGCTACACATCAGCAGTGTGCTATGTGCGGGTCTGTAAGTACTTTAGTCCCTTTGCCTCGTGTGCTATTCATCTCCTTCGTGCCGATATAACATGCGACGCATCAGTATGTGGTTTGTCGCAGACACAGCCGTCGTATCCTGTCCGGTCTGTGCTGTTACGATCGGACGGTACGATATGCAATGATGCAATCATTCGAGGAGTTTTACTTGCCACGTTCAAACGGTCCCTGCTCCAAGATACCATGTCTGATACGATCTGCTACGACTTTCGTCATACAATCCGTGTCTGTTTGACCATCCAACGAGCGAGGTAGGCAGCGAATTTACTTTGCACGCCCGGTGGTAAGCAGTGTCACAGCCGCACGTCTTCAGGGTCCTTGGCTGATTATCAATCCACAATCGCTCCTACGTGAAGTAAGCCTACCGACGCCCTTGTCTGCCATCCGTCAGGCTTGCGACAATCTGCAGGGATTTGCATTGACGGCCCCGAGGCGTCGATAGTGTGGCGGTGTGTGCAGTGCCGGTGGCTGTAAGCCCTCTGACTTCGCCAGTGACTAGTACTTACACAGTACTGCTGTACCGTCAGTAGGGTCGCAGTCACTGCGCAATGGCCTGATACTATTGATCCTACCCCTTACTACCCCTCGCTACGTTGATGCGACCGGTTCACCATCAGGCTTTTTTTGCAGGGCGCCACCGAAGCCACATAGTTTTGGATCCGACGGGTAGATCACGGAGCAGATTTGTGAGGTGAGCTAGGCGTACCCCATTCAGTGGCCGGATATGCGCTGCTAGTGCCAGGAACAGGCTTGGTAACTGCCCTTGGGCATCTTTCGATAATGGGACATGTTCATTGATATAAAAAGCAGCTACATAATGGCGTCTTGGTCGCTTTTCCGCCTGTCACTTCACATTATTCGTTAATTCCTTCAGGGACCGTTCTTGTACTTTTCCCCGGTCTTTTGTAAAGTATGTCAGTTTCAGATTCCTCAGACCTCATCGCAGAGCTTGCCTCCATGTGGGTGGTCATCGTGGAGTCACTCGGCTGTCTATGCTCACTAGTTTCCCCTGTAGTCAGATTGGCAATTTCTTCGCCGTAGCAGGTGCAGGTGAGTGGGTCGCCCGAGCACGGGCGGTGCATTCCCAACTCATGTGTGGGGCTAGGCTTGATCGTGTACGAGTTCATGATAACCTTCAATAAGGAGGTGGACCTCTTCTGGAAACGCAAGATCACCTTGTCGTCTATTCTATTCCTCCTTAATCGCTACCTTCCCTTGATCGTGAACATGATTTATGCACCATGGCCATCTAGTCTTTCTCCAACAACATACGAAGTAAGCAGCATCTCTCTTACTCATTTGTCTGTTGGGCTGAACAGAGCAGGGGTAAGGAGTGATTCGCTGCCCTACCGCCCTCCCAGGCTCACCGGAGAACAGCTGTAAAGCATTGATTTACACAGCGGAAACCCTTGAGATCTTCCAATATCTTCCCTGGGCAGGTACGTCTCCGGCGCACCATTAACGACCGGATAATGGCAACAGAGGCAGCTCAATCCTGACGGTACCACGGCTACGCGCAGTGTTCTCTGGCTTACGAGCCTACGTGCTCAGTTCTAGAGCGTGGCCACTTGCGCTCTTCGTCTTTGTTCTGAGTCTTGCGCCTGTAGTCATCAACTACGTAAGTCTTCCTGGTGAGCGTGGGGAAGGAAGCTGAATTGCCCATGCCTCTAGGTTACGCTAGGGTATGCAGAAGTTTTGTTCGACGCCACGTTAGGCTGCGGTGTCACAAGCCCTCTGACTGATGCTGTGCAACAAGAGTAGGTGATCCATAAGTTGCTCCACCGACTGTCGCTAACAGGATCACTTGCCTAGCTGTGCGTGTGCTGAAGCGGGGACATATTGTGTGTCAGTAGCTCACGGCTGTCTCACCTCCCATTCGCAGTCACTATCGTATCTCGGGTTTGTCTTATCACCTCCGACCTCCTGGTCTTGGCTATTACTTGGATGGGAACATACAAGGACAGTAGAGAGATGAAGCTGTTGGGCCAAACGACGTCGCTATCTAGTATTCTCTTTAGAGACGGTAAGCAGCCGACTAGCAACCTCGCGTAGGATTCCGTGACACTAATTATCTTGCTCTCACAGGCATAATGTACTTCTTGTGCGTGCTCATATCACTTGGATGTGTCCTTCGTCTGTTGATCAAACTATAGAGTTCTCCTAATCATGAACACCTTGCACCTGAGTTTCTCGTTGCGCTCCGTAAGTTTCACTTCCGAGTCCTTCCCAATGTCAGCACACGTGCTTGAACTACCACACAGATACTCAATCAAAACAACGAGAACAACGCTAGTTACATCACGATTCTCACCGAACCGTACGTTGCCTCGCTCCATGCGTCCCTACAATCTCACCGCTGACACCAGACACGCCCACTTACACATCCTGTTCGTAGCATAACCGCAATTCTCATCTCCCGCTTCCTCATGGACCTCCAGGACGCCAGCAATGGCAAGGGCCACCAGCACTCCCTGTCGTCCGTCCAGCTCGGCCAGATCGGCACCCTCGACTTCAACGGAATCATCGGCTCTCTGGGCTCTACGCTTGCCGCCCCAGGTGAGGGACATCCTTTTGAGCCGGCCTCCACTGCGGAAGACAGCAGTGCCACAAGGGCGGACGGCCTCGACTCTTTATCGGACTCGGGGACTTTCAGTGAAGACACGGCCTCGAGGACGATAAATTCTTGTTGAGACCGGACTTGGGGCATGTCTATGTGCCATCGGATTTGCTGTATCACTATACTATACCTCCCCCTCGCAGCGGACGTGCGGGTTTCTCGTCCACTGCCTAATATACTCTAGAGCAACTATACAGCGGGAACCGAAGGAAAGGAAGGATTCCAATAAACCCATGTAAGGTACCGAGAGTAGTAAGTACAAATAACCCGGTGTCCTTGACGCCAACACGATGCCATCTACAACGCAACGAACAGTTCATCGCGGCCGAGGGCTCCGCCGATCATCATCGTCCTCGTCCTCATCCTCGTCGCCCACGTCGAAAATCGCCTCCTCCTTGGGGAGGGAGTCTGCGCGCTGCTTGCCCTTGCGCGACCGGAAGCCGTTGCCGTTGCCGTTGGGCTCGTCGGCGAGCGCGGAGTTGAGCGGGATGTTCTCCTCGTGCGTCGAGAACGGCAGGCCGCGGAGGCGGTTGCGTTTCGAGCGCCACCAGAGGAAGCCCCCCACGAGGATCGCGATGAGCACGAGCACGAGCGCGGCCGAGCCGGCGTTGTAGTACGCTGATCGAAACGGCGGCGGGGTCAGCGTTCATTATCGGAGGAAACGAAAGGTGCCATACCTTCCCACATGGCCTTGTCCTGCTCGGGAGTCTTGGTCGACACAGGCGAAGGCGTAGCGGCCTCGTCTAGTTTAGCGGGCAGCGGCTTCGCGTCTTCCCCCACGGCGCTTGGGATGCGCGCCGAGCCGTCCGTGATGGCAGTGAAGTTCACGCCCATGAAGCGCAGGATCATGTCGTGCGCGACGTGCGGAACGTCATAGCCGACCATATGCGAAGCGTTGAAGATCTGCACAGCAACGAAGTCCGTGTTATACTGGCAGTGTGGATGTCAGGGCAAGACGAGAACGCACCTTGACGTAGGTCAGGTTACGAGAAGCCACCCACGTCCCTGCGGAGGTGCCATCTACCGTCCAAGACTGCGTCTGCACTTTCTGCAGGTTGACGAAAATGGGTGTCAGGCCTTTCGCCGCTAGTCACAACCAGTCATGTACTGACCCCAAGTCCGGTCTCGCCGTTCCAGCGCATAGCCTGGATCATGCTCTCCACGCCGACATAGTTGCAGATCAGGTCCTGGTCGCCGACAAAGAGCATCACAGGAATCTTCTCCAATACCCGAGGTAGGACCGTGATAGACGAGTTAGATGTACGCGTCGAGAACTCGACATGCACCCGACTTTTGCATTCGACCCACTTGCCAGGGGCCCGGTCAGCGTGCAACGCGGAGACCACATCCTTGCGCTTATACCAGAACGATTTAAAAATCGGAACAACAGCAAGGGAACCACAGTACTCACCGCGAGGTACTTGTAGACGGCGTCGAGGTCCGGGGGCCAGTTCATGCCGCACTGGGGCTGACTATCCTCTAACCGCACGTCATAGATGTTGAGGCACTTCGCAACGCCCTGTTCTCTAGTGTATGATGAGCTGCCGTTGGAGGCTGGCTCACTGTAGGAGTTCGGACGTACTCGTGGTTCTTTCCCGCGATCACGCTCATCATCACGTTCTCACACACGTCGACATGTACGGGTTCCCTATCGGTGATCTTGGCCAACTCGGCCGTGCACTGATCGGTGACGTCTTTCGCAGCCTTGTACTCCTATTGAGAGGTCGTGCTCAATGGTGAACAAATTAATTGAGAGTAGCGACGTACCGTCGACGTCTCCTCGAGAATCCCGTGCTTCACGCTGTAGTCCAGATAGGCAGGGTATTGTCGTCGCGCGTCCATCCAGCCATTACCAATCGCAGCCCCCTTCAATGGGATGTCCAGGGTGGAGTTGAGGACCGCGTCGGCGAAGTATGGTATATATTGGCCCGCAAAGCTTTCTCCGGTAATATAAGCCTGCAAAGACGCAGGCTTTCAGACTCTGCGGACAAGATAGTAGAAGGTTGGTGCGCACGTCGACATTTTTGTACTCGGGGAAGACCTGGTAGAAATTCCGCAGGAACTCTACGAAGTGCCCAGCAGCCTGGGATAGTCATTACACCGTCATAGAAGCAGGGGCATGAACTTACCTCGGGAAGCTCGTGATCGAACTTATTTGAGGGCGCGTACGAGAAGCCAGTGCCCGCCGGCTGGTCAACTGAACGGGTATGAAAGGGGTCAGATATAGCATACTCCCGGATAGGACGGTAGAATGCACCAAACACCATGGTCGCGTACTCCTCCCAACCTCCTTCTGCAGCCTTCAGGCCACCCTTCCCGTCTGTCCGCCACGGTCCAATTTCCATCATGAGCCCGTCGAACGACGAACATCCTGGGCCGCCCTACCAAAAGCCCCTTCAACATAGAACATGATAGTATTGAACAGAGAGCTCACGTTCAACCAGAAGACAATTCGCTCCTTATCCGCAGTTCGCCGCGCTTTCACCATGAAGAAATACAGGTGCGCTGTTACGTCGGACGGCGATGCGACGCTCGCGCCTGGGTCAGACGGGAGATGGCCTCCGTACATGTGCAGCGGTCGCCTCTCATCCTGGTGTAGGTCCGGGAGGTGCGGGATGTAGAAGGACGCGGCGGAGGGTACTAAGGTCGGATGTCAGTCATTCAGTTTCGATAGTGCGCGGTAGCGCGCCGAGAGGAGATCGAGCACAGTGACCCACCATCTGTAGGGGCGCCGGAGGTATGTTTCACGAGTGAAACCAGAAGGTAGAGTAATGACGCGAGGTGTAAGGAGAGTGCGGGATGCATGACAGCACGGCGTGCACGCGTCGCGCGCGGGCCTAGTCGATCAATCAAGCCGCCGAGCCAAGACAAGCTGGGACCGAGCCGGCGGGAAATGGCCAGGAAGCTGGTAGCGACGAGCAGAACCAGCTCGACGGTGCTCTGAGAGCAGCAGGCGTCGAGGAGTAGTACCGAGGGGTGCAGGAGGAGGGAGAGAGGTCGAGCTCTGTCCGACAGTACTGTGCGCACTCTTCACTGCTGCGCGCGCTGTTCCTGTGATATTGGAACTACAGTGAGTGCTTAAAATAGCGGACCATGTGCGATAAGCGCTCAACGGACGACAGAAACGTAGCTCTCCTATGACAATAGTGGGCTGCCTTGACCCAAGAATTGAGGGATGGATAGATATGCACCTGAGGAATATGCGCACTGGATATCAGCCCAATATCTGAGCTGCTTTGAGCAGTATGCCCATATGAAATGTACAGACTGTGTTTATAGGGTGAAAATCCGAGAAACCATGGATACTGTACTATGCCCATATCCAGGCATGTCAGATAGGCTTAGTTGCAAAGTGGCACCCACGCCCTGACTCGCGCTTTGCCCCCTCCCATTCCTGACAACATATGCCCGCGTATACTCGCAGTCCCTACTGCCCTGCACAAGCCATATACACAGCGGAGCCTTCTTGACACCGCGCACTACGATTACATCGCGCCAGCTATCAGGGGGAAAGACAATGGAACAATATAGCACCTCCCCAGGCACGGCCTAGTCTTATCTCCGTTCTCATGCGAGACCCGCGCCTGCCCACTGCAAGGCGCACGCTGACTTCGCGCCCCCACCTCACTCCAGACCTTGGCTTTCACGCGCACACCCCGCTCTGCCTCTTGCGCCCTTTCCTGCGCTCTACCCACATATCTATCTACTTCCCCCGCCTTGAGCCGAGTCACAGTCTGGCGCAATGAAGCTCGCCGGGATCCTCTTCACCTCCCTCCTCTGCGCCGCGTCCGCGCACGCGCAATACTTCTCCGCAGGATGGACCCCAGGCCAGAAGGTCGCTGACGAGCAGCCCCCCGAGCCCGCGTACACCTTCGAGCCCGCCGCGCAGGCTGCGTCGAGGCCCGCACCCGCTCCCGGCGGGAAGCAGCTTGGGTTCGTAGACAAGATCCTGACGTCGGGGCCCGTGTCTTCCCTGTTCGGGAAGATTGGGCTGAACGTGTCAGAAGTAATTGCGCGGGGAAGCGTTTCGCCTTGGGACGAGCGGATACCCATCATCACGGACCAGAACTACGAAGAGATCATCGTGAACGAGAAGCTGACCCCTGAGGAGGAGAAGGAGCGGGTGTGGTTCCTCATCGTGTACGTATCGTCTCCTCGCGCTCGCGTGCGTCCCGAGCTTGCGCCCTGTGGGCCTTCGCAGGATTCAGGATACAGAAGACCAGAAAAGCTAATGTCGACGGTCGTGTCTCTTACAGCTCCGTGACGAGCTCGCAGAACAGCGAGATCTCCAAGATCGTCGACAAGTCCTTCGACGACGCCTACAACGAGACTCTCGCCGCCGGCGACCTTCCGCATGTCCGCTGGGGCCGCATCGACTACATGTCCGTCACCTACCTCACGACCAAGTGGGGCATCTGGACGTGCGTGTCTCCCTCCCTTTTCCGCGGTCTCTCACGCCCACGCCTCGCGCTGACATCCGCTATGCGTTCGATCGCTGCAGGGGCCCATACCTCATCGTCCTCAAGGACCGCGGGCAGACGCTGCGGTTCTACAAGGCGGACCGCGTGCGCATCAGCAAGGAGCTCATCCGCGAGCTCCTGACGGAGGAGCTCTGGCGCGAGACCCCCGTGTGGAATTCCAACTTCGCGCCCGGCGGCAAGCGGTGCGTACTCCCCCTCCTCGAAGTTCTGGGGTTTCAGCCGCGAGCTGCGACATGGAACTGGAACGCTGATACTGTCCTTCCAGGGAATTCGTGTTGCACTACTACGGGATCGCGCTGATGTATACGTTCGACGTCATCAACCGCGTGCCGCGGTTCGTGCTCATGATCGCCTCGGGTGGTATCGCCAGCATAGTGATGCGCTTCCTGCACAAATCCACTCCGCAAGACGCGAGGCCGAAACCATCCGAAGCGGTGCCCAAAAAGACTGCAGACACTGATGCGGGCACGGCGGTGAGCGGCGGCACGACTGCGGTAGCCTCCTCTACTGCAACCTCGAGCCCGAAGAAGGGTAAGCAGCGGAAAAATGGGAAGAAGTAGACGGAAGAGAGCCGCGTAACTTGTCCAAGGGCTGTATACTACATACGCGCTAACCCGGTTGGAAGAGAGGAGTCGGCCCGAGGGGAGGTCCCTCATGCGCTGCTTGTATCTAGCGTTGTAATTCGGTTGTTCGTCTATTTGCAATATCTCCCGTTCGATGCACATTCTCGAAACATGATCTCAATGTTCGAGAGCGGTGATTATAGGTGGATGATCTAGTACAGTGTGACAGGGGCCAGATGAAAGGTGCAAGATATCAAGTTTCCTTGAAGGGGTACTCGAACGGGGGTTGGTCTTTCCGACGCCACAACTTCCTCCTGCAGACGAGACGTGAGCACCACGGAAGGATGTGTGAGAGTGAGAGTGCGCGCACTTCTTTTTGGTCCTGGTGTCTTCGACGAAGACCTCTACGCAGTGCTTCGCCTTGAACTCCCGGATGAAGCGTGGGTCCCAGAGCTCGCTAGCTATACCGAGGTCTTTGCAGCACCGCATGAGCGCATTGCTCTTGCACGCCTCCGTCGCGGTGGGGATACCACTGGGGTCAAAGTATTCTTGCTCTCCGCGGGCGATACCAACGAGTCTAAGACCATGCCACTGAGCAGAAGCAACCAAGGGAAAGGCACAGTACTGACCTCCCCAAGCACACAAGCGCATACTCCCTGCTCACGACCCGAGGCCCGACGTTCGTCTCGCTCCTGGGCGCGAGCCCCCACCCGCCAGGGCCGAACGCCCTGTTCAGTACGCGGCGGTACTTGATTTCAGGGAGGTATATCAAGCCATCTGTGATACACATAATGAGCCTCCTCTGCACGCACGCAAGTACTAAGCAGTACGTGACGCACCAGGCTTGATCTCCACGTCCATAGAGTCCACAGGCGCAAGGAGCGTCTCCGCGGCCTCCTTCGGGAATGGCTGCGTGGACAATCCAAAATAACTCTTCGACCAGTCCGGCGAATTCGGGTCCTTCGGCGACCCGCTGATCGTCGCGGACTCCGCGAAGTCGATGGGGGCATACGAGGAAAGACTCGGGCTCACATCAGGCGGAGCAGAGGATGCCTGGAGCACAGAGGAAGAGGGTATGCTCTCGGGTTGCGAGCCATACGCTTCGGGGGGGATCTCGACCTCGTCTGCGATGTCCGTCTTGCCCTTCCCTGGGGGGTCGGTCGCACGTGAGGTGGACGTCCTCGTGGCCGTGCGTGGGGTTGTAGAGGCCGTCCTGGAGGTTGCCTGAGCAGCAGTAGCGTAGGCTCTGTTCGCCGTCTGCGTATTAGGGAAGGCGAGGCGGGCCCTGGTCGCCGCTCTGAGTAGCATTCTGGAGGACATGATCGTGGATGGGGCAGGTCGACTGAGGCTGCAGGCGACGGACTAGATGCTGGTGACGCGCTCGTGTCGCGGCGTGTGACGAGCGCGACGCGTTACAGTCGATCGCGACTCGCGACTCCCCGGCAGCGCATCTTGCGTTTAGCCACCATCGCATCCCGCCCTCTGTCCCGCCCTCTGCATCTGCATAGAGTACTGAACACAGTGAGCACAGGCTTCTTGAATATTTGGCTGTACTATCATCACGCCTACAGGTCTCCCAACAGGCTCTACTCCGCCTCGATGCGTCCTTCCAACAGTTCACGCTCGAGAGCGCAGTCACAAGCTGGGCCTTTGAACCCGAACCCTCCGTCGGCGACCGCTCTCCGCCCAGACAAGGATGGATGGTATGGCACAAATGAAGCACCACTCAGTGCATCCACAGCGCAACCGCAGTCCAATACCCATCTTCGCCCGTCTTCCAGTGCAGCATTGCGACCTCCATCTAGCACGTTCGCCCGGCCTCCCTCGAGCGCGGCAATGCGACCACCTCCTGGTGCTGGCATACGTCCCTCATCCAGCGCTGCAATCCGGGCCTCACAAAGCGCTCCTCTCAGACCTGCCTCTAGCGCCTCCGTCAGGCCGTCATCCAGCGCGTCCCTCCGGCCGTCGTCCAGTGCGTCTGTAAGACCGGGATCAAGTGCCTCCACCCTCCGCCCGGGTACAAGTGCATCCGTTAGGCGTCCTATCTCTCGACTCTCCCAGCGACCTCCCACCCGACAGTCCACGCGGATACTTCCTTTGTGTGAGGCACTGGTATCGCAAGTCACTGGGATAACCTCTGCTGCAGATGAGGAAAGTTATCAGACTGCCGTGGAATACGTCACGAAGAATTTAGACTCCACGATGAGGCCTGGTGGAAGCACAGGCTGGGCGACAGTAGACAAGATGATTAGGGGGTGAGCGAATTGCCCTTGCACCTTGATCTTGTGCTGAGGATGCTCAGTCATGCCAAAAAGGCACGGATAAACTCAGAGGATGTACTGGCGGACGCGCTGGAAAAGGCATACAAGAAGCTCAAGGACCAAATCAAGGGCCACAGCGACCTCGATGCTGGTATTCAGGTTCGAGAGCGACGTTCACTGCATCGTGGAAAACCCAGCACTAAGGGGAGCTATGTTCACGCAGCGGTCACGAATACCCGATCATCTGAAGTTCTTGGTACGGAAACCTATCCCGGACAACGACAACTTTGGCTGACTATGAAGACAGGCTGCCCTCTCTAATCCCCCATCATCATCATCATTGGACACCGCCGAAGCGATTATCGATAGAATCGACAATCCTCAGCCAGAGAAAGCAAAATTGACATGGAAAGACATCTTTGCGGAGGAGCCGCTAGAAGGGCAGCACTGGGAAGGCGCATACGGTCTACCTCCCGGAACCACGGTAGAGAATTGGGAGACTCGCAGCGACGGCAGCTCACCCTCGCTGTCCCCTTGGGATAGCGACTCAGACTTGGACGAGTCGAGACCTGCCTCACGTCTGTCTGATGTACCAGAAACGCCTCCGACGCCTCCTACGGAAGGGACAGACCCTGAGGTGCCGAGGTTGGATCCTCCGCTCGACCCCATGAATGCGTATCGACATAGGCAAGACGTGGAGGAGCTGCATTCCAGACAGTACTGGAGATCGGATTGGCGGTCGGATGCGTCTGTCCATCAGCAATTTGATCTCGGAAACGCCTCGTCACTAGGTTAGCATACAATTATAAAATTCTAACTCGGTCATAGGACTAATTCGGCGTAGCACCTGCCTTCCATCGTGCTCTGGGTTCACGAGCTGTGCTAAGCATCGACGGTCCAAACAAAGAGGTTTGTCTCCTGGCTCTAATGACGTCCAATGTATGCTCAAGGGCTGGGCAGAATTACCGACATGAGGAAGATATTGTCCGGGAAGTCCTCACGGGCCTTCAGGGTCGACGGAACATGATGTTCACTTGGGTGCACAGCGGCCCAGAAGCTTTCTCATTCGTCGTGCGTATCACCTACAGTAGAAATCGCAATCTCCCTTGAACTCACTCGAGATCCCTAGCTGTCATCCTCCGCTCCCCGCCTACTGCATCTCACTGCGGGTGCTCAGGCATCCATCATCTCATCCTTCGCAACCCTCGCTACCGTCCTCGTCCACCTCCGCAAGTTCACATCCGCGATATTTACCAAAGCATCAGGCAATATACCACCTACCTCCGACGGCCAAGGGCAGCCAGCATATCTCACTCGCGCGCAGCGACGGATTACGCAAACTCTTGAGGCGTTCGCGGACGCATTGGATGCTGAGGTCCGCGCGTTCGATGCGTGGTGCGCACAGCGCGAGGAGGATATGTGTCACGCTCGCGCCGGGCTTGGCGGGAAGCTCGTCGTCTCGCTCCTCAGCCTCGAGAAGGCGATTCGGGACAGTTTTGGCTCCTCCTTCCCTGTCCTGCTCGACATCGTGCGCCTCGTCGTACGGCGCTCACAGCGCCTGCACGACAACGAGGAGGCCACGGAGGTCTGGACGCTCCCTGACCTGCCTCAACGTGCCCCGCCGTCGACGATTACGGCTACCTTACTCGACGCACTGCTGGTCGCGGCGCAAGAGCACGTCTCGATGGGCGACGCTGTCACCTCGTCGGCCATCGTTCGCGTCTTCACTGCGAGCGCGGAACCGGTATGGTCTATGATCTACAAGTGGATGCGCGACGGGATGCCTGTGCGCGACGGGCAGCTCGGGGCCTTGCCGCTGGCCGCGCAGGTGCACTCCCCGCTGAAGGCGCTGCAGGACGAGTTCTTTGTGGAGGACAACGAGATGCTCGTGCTCGACCCCGACTTCTGGGCCGAGGGATTCGCGCTGCGGGACGGACACTCTGGGACCGCTCAGGACGAGGACGCAGATGAGCTGGGGCGGCCGACCAGCGTACCGGTCTTCCTCGTGCATGTGGCACAACTAGTCCTTGCGACGGGGAAGGTGGCGGGGCTGTTGCGCGTGCTCGGAATCTCTGCTCTTTTCGACGGGGAGCGCTTAGAAGATGGGACGACGACTAGGCCCTGGATGGCGGATTGGCGATCGTTCAAAACGCTCCTCAAGCAGCCACGAGTGCACGAATGTATTGATGGGACGGGAGAAGTCACGGTCTCCTTGGAGGGCGCGGTTGCCTCGTCTGAGAACCTCTCACGGATCGTGTATGACGAGCTGCTCCCCTACTCGGAGCTCGCGCACGAGGCGCTCAGGAAAGTCCTGGTGGACGAATGCGAGTTGTGGGCGCACCTCAACGCAATGGAGGATTTGTTCCTCATGCGGAGAGGGGATGCTATGTCTCATTTTGTCGACGTGTTGTTCACCAGGGTAAGCGGCTCACATGGCTATGTTTCGAACGATACATGTTGACAATTGGGATGCCGGACAGATGGACACCCGCGAACGATGGAACGACTTCCACTTTATGAACTCCGCCTTTCGCGACGTCGTCTCGCTCTACTCCGGCCGCACGCGCTGGATCGATGCGTCACTCGTCCGGTTCTCCTTTCCTCACAAAGCTCAGGGGAAAGGTGCCCTGCAGGAGAAGAACATCGCACAGACGGTTCGTGCGCTCGATGGCCTTCTCATCGAGTATGCGGTACCCTTTCCTCTCACGTACATCTTCGGTCCGCGGGCGATGCGCGTGTACTCGAGCATCTTCACTCTCGTGCTGCAGATACGCCGGGCCAAGAGCGTGCTGGAGAGGATTCTCGTGCGGGGTGGGCTCGCCGCGGGTAAGCAACTGGACGCGGAGATGAAGGTGTTCTATGCCATGCGTGGGAGGTTGTCGTGGTTCGTGAAGTGAGTGTGGTACAGACATCCGCATGGCTCCACACGATAACTGACGTACACCGGAAGCACCCTATTGAATTTCATTACGACCAACGTGGGCCAGACTGGCTTGGTTCATTGCGTCGTTCTGGCTGACAAATGCATATGTAGGTCATTCATACTCAGATCCTCAAGTTCCATGAGGCATTCAGACAGGCCAGGTCATTTGACGACATGATCCGGCTACAGAACGAGCAGTACGCAGCAACCTTCTCTCCGAGGCCAGGATGTACTCTGACGCTCAGATATCAGCCTGGACAAGCTCGAGGGGCGTTGCTTGCTCCAGAAGAACGTGAGTCCAAGGAGCAATAGCGGCCTCGCCTACTCAGCTCACACGCGGCCACACAGACCGTCGCGCTTCACCGTGCGATCATGTCCATCCTCGACATGTCTCTGCACTACACAGAGTGTTTCGTCTCCTTCGCCGGCGACACGACGCACGACATCTCGCGCGCCTCGCTCGTCTCATCCCGACATCGGCATCGGCATCGCAGTCGCCGCATGCGCAAACAGAGACGCGACGTCATCGGGTTCTCCGACGCGCCTTCGCTCCTACAGCATGCCGAGGACGACAGCTCGGACGAGGAGGGACTGGACGAGGAGAGCCTCGCGGGGCGCTCCGGACGCGAGCCGTCGTTCTCGTTTGGGGCGTCGACGACGGCGTCGTTCACGGAGGACGGGTTCCTCGAGCGGCTCGACAAGATGTCGTCGGAGTTGGACGCCCTTGTGCGCTTTGTGAGGAGAGGCGTGGAGAGCCTTGCCGCAGGGGCGAGCGAGGCTGCACCGGCGTTTGGGATCTTTGCGTTCGCGCTAGAGGACTGGGATAGGTAGTAGCTACTTTTCGTCCGAAGCATATCTGCTATAGGTGGTACTGTACAACGGACATGAGGGAGTTACTAACGATCACCTTGTACAATAACATGAAGTAATAGCGCTACATCTGGTTCGAAGGAAGGGAAGACAGATTCGGAGAGGTGACGGTGACAGATAGTCGCATGGTGAGGACAGCGGCGATTAAAGGCGAGGTGCATAACACAGCAATGTCGTAGATAAAGAAGGGATCAGCAGCAAGGTATTGACAGACAGAGCAAAGTGACATTTCGGGGAAGGTGTCGCGAGGACGCGGGGTTGCTGAAGCTCAGCCAGACATTACGCTCCTACCGCCTTTCCTGTCGACTCGACGGTTTATACCACCAAGAAGGATCTTGATAAGAGTCTCTGCGTTGAGATGACCTCCCAAGTACGGCGTGGTATCAACAATATCGCGCACGCCTTGTAGACCTGCGATATCGTCGTCTAATTGCCTCAAGAACTGCGTTGCGTTCTTATCAGTGCCAATCTGAACGAACTGGATACCAAGCTGTTCATGAACGATTGAGCGACAAGACGTAACGTAGTGGGTGTTTGTAGGACAGCTTACCTGGCTCAGCAGGTAACCACCATTGTCCAGCCTGCGCGCCGCATTGACTATCACCTCCGCAGGGTCATCAGCTGGACGAACATGATCAGCATATAATGAAGTGTCTGAAAGTCTTCGAAACGTACTTGCTGCACCATCCGTTAGAACGATGTAATTGATGGGCTTCACAGAGTCTTCACGTCCTGCCCTTTTGGCATTCTCCAGCTCATTGATGTACCCTCTTAGAAGTCTATCGAGCTTATCGCCTATCGGTGTGAGACCTCGCGGGGATACACTGTTGAACAATCGCTGAACCTGTGCCGCGCTCTGTTCATAGTAGGCGATGGTCTATGTGAGTGGGGCTGCCAAATTGCGCTAGTACCGGGATGGACATCACCTTCATCCTCTTCCCCTCCTTTTGGCTGTTCAGGAAGCAGACGTCAATTCCGTCCGCGTCGTAGGTGGCCGCGGCCTCGGCGAGGGCGGCGAGGGCGCTCCTTGCCTGTGTAAGTGTAAGTGTAAGTTGTGTCAGTAACTATGGCCATATACACCAGAGCAATCCCAGAGCACCAACCTCGCTCCACCGATCATCTTTCGTCATCGAAGACGAATCGTCAACCACGATCACGGTATCATACTTCCTCAAAATCTCAAGCGCGTCCTCGAAGCTCTCCTGGCGGAGGGGTCTGCGCAGGTATGCCAGTCGCTCCTCGTCCGTCGTCCACTTTGGCGCAGCACTAGATGCGGACCTCGAGGGAGCCGGCACAGAAATGCTCCAAGAGACAGCAGGAGAATCCGAGCTACTCGAGGAGAGGTTGCCACCCGCGAGGCTGCCTTGCGCAGCGCCGTTATAGCTCACGGGTCGCTGAATGAACGGGTTTCTGCTCCTCCTCGCGTCCTGCGAGTGCGAGCGATGGTGGTTTTGAGGCGTCGGAATATTCAGGAGGTTGCTGTCGACGGGTGAGTTCACTGGATTGCTCAGGGCTTCCTGGTACGACGGTGGCGGGGCCTGTGATCCCGGACGGACTCCTTGTACAATTGCGGACCGGCTGCGTCGATGTGTCCCGCTAGAAGGCACTTGAAGAGATAGAGCTGGGTGGCTCGACGCGTGCGCGGTGGCGCGGCGATGGACGCCTTCCGAGCTCTTGTCATCTAGACCTTTGAGAGGGCCGGGGTTAGAGATGTACGACGCGCTAGGGGATTTAGATGAGGAGTTTCCCATGACCGTCCTCAGTCGATGGTTTGGTATCTGGGTGGGAGTACAACGATTAGTTGTGCTTGTGGACGCGTCTATCCAGAATTTATAGTAGCCGCGTTGCAGGGCCGGAGCCTAAGCAAGAAAGTACTGCAGGGGCGTTGAGGCGGTGGCCCTGGGCGCCCGTATGCGGCAGTCTGGCATGTCATGCGACGCTTTATGCAGCTTGAAGCACCGCATCGAGTAGTACTGCATACTGGTTCCCGAGCGCAACAGAAAGTCTATCGAGAACACGATCCGCTATGACTATATCATTCAGACCATGGCCACGAGTACAAGACATAGCCCTAGAGTTTGTGCGGATATTTCTGGTTGCGGCGAGGACGGAAGCGAGTGACTGTCGCGAGAGCTCGCCCCGCCTATCTAGATTGGTCGGAGCGACCTGACTCGTATGTATGTGTACATATGCTGTGCGATCGTGCATTCCAGATATCCGGTGATCCGCTCCATGCTCTGTGGGTACGTATCCAGTACACCTCGAGGTCCGGCGCTCACTGCAAAAGCGCAAATGGGGTGGGCCGATCGGCAAGTCGGGGGAATGCGTCCGCCTTCGCGAGGACCACCATCTGCTTTTCGTGCGAGATGTAGCCGCGCATGAAGCCCTTGTAGATCATATTCGCCACCAGGCATTCCGCCTCCTCCGTCGTGATGTCCTTATCCTCCCCTGCAATCAGTAGCGCCGCATGGAACATGGACACCGGTATCCTCGTACTCTTCTCGGCGGCGATCCACCTAGTCAGATGGTTAGACGGATACACATCATGGCGGTGGAAAGGAAGACGAGAATGAGATCGCAGATATCGCGTAAGGACGATGAGCCACTCACGCTCGGCGGAACAGCCCTCGAATGCAAAGCTCACGTGCTCTGTCGAGCGTCAGCCACAGGTTGAGATCGACGAGCCTCCGCTCAAAGCGGTCAAGCGATGCATCATAGGATCGAATGTCTCCGTTGCGAATGGCAGCGATGAAAGGCGAGTATAGGTCGTCAAGCACAGGGAACCGCGCAAGCAGCTCTTTTGAAGGGAGGTGTCCTCGGAATAGGCGTAGCGGTATCAGGTAAGTCAGTATGCGCCTTAAACGTCATGTCAGTTTGGGATCAAGTGACCACTTTCGAGATACTCACTCCTGGTTGCTATGTGCGCCGGTATAGCAATTGTAAAAGGCTTGTGTCAATTCTTGCTCAGCCTGTAGATAAGTGACGTTGGGATATTATTTCACATCGCACAGGAATAAACATGCCTTCGCGAAGTCCTCATTGAGAAAGCCGAGCATGCCAATATAGTATCGGTAAGTGACCTAATGGCGGACAGGCAGGGAAGTGTCCAGTTCACACACTACGCCAATACCGCGCAGCATTGGTACGTACTTGATGGGAACGAGGATACTGGGATAGCGGCGGGATATCTGGGTTCGCGTTGATTGCGCGTAGAATGTTCTTAGCCAGGGATATTCGTTTCACCTGTTTCAATGGTTAGTAATCTTCTGGCTATGCTACCCGATACGCATACGTACCCGGAAGTAGCACTTGAGGATCAATCCGACCACGTAGTACACACCCCATTTCCGTGATTCTTGCACAGGCGATTGCCTAGGAGCCGCATATATTAGCACGGCAGTATATGGCGGACCCGTAGGTACCTCACCTATCCGTCACACAGTGTGAGAACGCCCTGCTGATGATACGGGCTGTCTCTTCCATATTCGCGGTGCCTTCTTGCCCATTGGACACACCTTCTAGGTCAGCCTAGTCCTTGGTGAGTGGGCTAAGCCATTGCATCGCATTAGGAGAGCTCACATCAAATGCGAGGTCCCGCAGATCTCTCAAAATGGAGAACAGCGCAGGCAGAGTCCAACCACTGTTGGTGGCAAAGAATCGTAGGAACAGCCTAAGGAGGTGGGGCGGACGTGTGTTCTAAGTGAAACACCTGCAGACGGCACCGACCCAACTCACTCACGAAACTAGGGTGCACTCCTCCTTGAATGCCTCTGTCGCCCGCTTTTTGCCGCAGTGGTTCACGACCAAGACGTACTGCATTGCAATCTCGTCCCAAGGGCTCTCAAGGCTGCCCTCGTAATAAGAGAGTGATTGCCTCTATAACAGGGTCAATGGACCGTTGCACGACGCGATTCCGGAAAGTGCCTACCGTGATATTACCCCGGAAGTCCTTCACCAAGGCCTTACCATGCTCGCTCGTGGGTTTCAGCAAGTAGGCGAGTTCTGGGCCCTTCTCCTCGCGCAACGCCTGTGCCAGCTGTGTCAAGAAAACGGAGAACTTTGGTGAGGACATGAGCGCAGGTTTTCTGCGCTCTGACCAACAGATAAACACAGGCTGGTTGACCAAGCCAAGTAGAGGGTCAAGCGAAGGTAAGAACTTGTTGGCCGCCGCCACCTTCGCCGACGCGGTACTGCGCAACCCTAACGTGGGGTTGGCTCGGATGTAGCGGACCGGGGTGTCATAGACATCGGCGTTCAGCCTCCTGCGCAAATCGCGACAAAACGCCCTGTTTCCGGATAACGACGGCCATGGACGGTGCGCTTGAGAAACATACTGGTCCTGCTCATGATATCGCATTGCGTGCATCCAATGGCGAAAGCACAACTCCAACGACTTATCGCCCAAGTAGATACCGGGTTAGTATTGCGTCAGTTCACGGGCGCCGCCGATCATATCTTCATGGGCTTCGGTGAGCACAAGCACCCAATCGTTCTCCGTTCCCCACCACGCAAGTCCCCCTGTATACCGGACGCAACTCTAGATGGCTCTGCAACCCTCCTTCCAGAAGGCCCTAGTCATCGCGGGCAAGTATGACGCCCCGCATACCATCGAAGTCTTTCGTGAGTGCGCGCGTCCACCACACAAGTGGACGGTCTATCCACATATGTGCGCTCTGCGGCTCGCCGCAGGACGCAGAGGACGTGCCCCAATGAACTCATGATCGACCCGCATCGCAGTGGACTACGTCTGCCCGTTCTCTGCGAAGCTGTCGCTCGCCATCGATAGCGTCCTCCGACCGCTCTTCGCCCCAGGCGGCAAGTACGCCGGAAAGGTCAAGGTGATCTTCCGGAACCAGGTACAGCCCTGGCACGCTAGCTCGACCTTCGTGCACGAGGCCGGTCTTGCGGTACGTACATCTAGTGTTCTGTAGTTCACTTGAGGACGGGAAGTCCATGCTGCGACCGCTCTGGAGCCGGTCGTAGCTACGACAGCCACTGCATGTTGAACTAAGGCCTGTCGACCCATGAGGCGAAGCAGGACCTGCAGTCCCACCAAGTCAATAAGACTGAGTCCGTCTCCCATACAGGTCGCGCGCATCGCCCCGGAGGACTTCTGGAAATTCTCCCTCGCGCTGTTCAAGGTTCAGGGCGAGTATTTCGACATCCCCACCTCGTCGCTCACCCCACTTCAAGTCCGCGAGAAGCTCGCCAAGCTTGTGGCGGACACGGTTGGCCAGGACAAGGCTGCGGGGTTCCAGGACCTGCTCGCGCTCAAGTCCTCGCCGAATGGCGGTACAGCTGTCACCGACGACTTGAAGTACACCGGTACGTCCTAGTCTCGTGGACCGGTCGCCGGCTGCGACGAACAACTACTGGTTGACTAACGCGCTGTCTGCAGTGAAATTCTCGAGGCAGAACGGAATCCATGTCTCGCCGACGGTACTTTGGGACGGCCTCATTGCGAATGAGGTCTCGAGCTCTTGGGGCGAGAAGGAATGGACGGAGTTCTTGGAGAAGAAGGTCACTGTCTGAGACAGGGGATAAATAATGCTGGACGGAAGAAGACAATAAGTGGTGTACAAGAGTAGTATATCAGTAGAACCGGGAAAGCTAACGCATATCTTGGTGTTCGACTCCAACATGAATTTCCCAGTTTGCAGAATTTGTCGCAGGTGTTATCGCTGCAACAACTTCAAGAGCATTGCACGAACATCCTGGGCCTTTGCCGTGCCACGACTTGCCTTCATGACGTGGCCCATGATCTTGTTGACGACGTTGGGGTTCCCCTGTCGAACTGCTTCCGCCTGTTGGGGGAGCGCGGCAATCGCCTCCCTGCACCATTTCTCGAGCGATGCACTATCATCGTCACTCGCGATAAGCTTGAGATCCTCCGCAATCTTGGAGGGGAGGTCGGAAGAGCGGGTGCTGAGGATGTGACGGAGAATGGTCTTCCCGGACGTCCCTGCAATGCAAAGTTACGTTCAGTCATGCACCCAATGACATGGCTGGATCTCAGGACTATAGGCTCCGAAAGTCAACGTACCAGTGACCTTCCCGCCCTGTACTAGATCTACGAGCTCTCCCATTTGTTCAACGGATATCGGGTTCTCCCTGAACGTTTCATTCCGGAAGGCCAATTGACCCAGCAGTTCGTGCGTGATCCTGATGATCCAAGTAGACGTCAACCTCGCGGGCTATGACACGACAGGGATAGTACCATACCAGTTCACGACGGCTTTGGGGTCCCTGCCGCGCGAAACTTTGTCGAAGTACGCGACAGCTCCGCGCCCCAATTCTCCATCAAACCCGACTTCCCGGCCAGAATCCACGTCCATGAGGACCTCCACGTCTCGCTGCGACAGGCCCTGGGCAAGCAACCGCTCCCTGGTGGCATCCGGCAGCTCGGGCATTCGTTCCCGAATCGCATTGACGTAGGCCTGTGCGTGCCCGACCACATTGAGCCTCGGAGATAGCGGTAATTTCGGGAAGACGACCAAGTAACGTACCGAGCCTATCAACAGGGGTGGAATATTCGGATCGGGCATGTAGCGGTAGTCGGGGGCGTCTTCCTTGCTGCGTAGGGAGTACGTCTCCGCCTTCTCTTCGTTGAAACCTCGTGTTTCCTGCGCGACAGGAACACCACGCTCAAGCAGTGCTATCTGTCTGAATGCTTCACATGCTATATGCGAAGTCAGTGCGCATAGACGAAAGTGGCAGCTGCTGTCAATCAAATATAGCGCATTATTTATGACGATGGAGGGTCACCTACTGATAGCGACCATCATGAACTTGACTGAATTCAAGTTCTTGATCTCACAACGCGTTCCTGGGGGGTCCCCCACGCGGTTCACGGATACGTTGACGTCGCACCGGAATGAACCCTGGAGGCCGAAGATATCAGCCAATGACTACGTCGGTATATAGAGTTCGACCACACACTTGTTCCATATTACCGTCGCTAGAGCCTACGGAGCGTAACAGTGCCTGGAGCGTCCGAACGTAGTCGCCCGCTTCTTCAGGTGATCTGTCGTAGAAAATAGTTCCCGTGAGGTTGTACGTGCACTGGGAGACAGAATGGTACCTACCGCATGTCCGGCTCCGAGACTATCTCCATCAGGCCCATTCCTGCCCGGTTGAGGTCGATCGCAGTGGTGCGAGTCCGAGGGTACGAAGTCGATTTCCCTGTATCCTGGTTGATGTCAAGGGTGCCAGGGGTCGACACATTCTAGACACGTTATTCACCTGTTCAAGTTGTAGTTGTTTGACTCGGACAACGATGTCGTCTTTGTCAAGTTGTAAACGCCCATTACGAGCTATTGGTGCTGTGAAGATGACAAGAATTACTATCGTGGAGAACTTGAGAGTGCGTGCCTCATGACTGATTACACCAGGAAAACAACATCGCGAACCAACGACAAGGCATGCAGCCTCTGTATATCCACGATCATGCCGTTCATACAAGACGAACCCCTCGTCAATGCCAATATAGTATATACCAGTTGTGCCTGCCAGGCATCACATGTGGTAGTCCTGTCCCTGCGAAGTCATACTCACGCATCGCCACTGTACAGGAAAGCGTTGATAATTTAGCCTGCGGCGGCGTTAGTGAAGTGCAATGCCGCCAGGCGAGCAAAGGCACACACATGCTGACGACGGCAATGCTTCCGCAGTGTAGACTAATGGTGCACGCAGCTCCGCATGGAATGGAGAAACCAACTGACAACGGCGAAACACGTGGTACCAGGCTTGCAGCGGTTTGGCTGGACAGGAGACGTAGGTTCAGGATATTTGTACCTCTTGACCTCAGCCTGAAGAGGATCTTGCCGGAACATGAGAAGAGGCACAGGCTTCAATGACTTACCGTATTGCTGGGTGATTTGGTAGCCCGACGGAAGGTCCGCATAGAAGTAATGCTTCCGGTCGAAAGCGGACCTGTTTTGCACCTCAGCGTTCAACGCTATGGCAGTGCGAACCCCAAGCTCCACACATCTGGGATTTAGCCGCTATGACAAGGGTCGAGTCAGCCAATCCAGGCAATGTCAGATCCGGTATTACACACAGGCAAAGTTCCAGGGAAGGCAGCGTCAAAAGGCACCACATGTGTGTTGGGTGGCGTGGTCAAGTCAGAGGAATTTGACTCTACGCTCGTGTTCAGACAATGCAAGTGGTCATTCAGCTTGGCACCCACCAGAGAAGAGCTTCCGACGGGACTTGATCTGCGCGTGGACTTCGATGCCTATAACAAGCTCCCACCCGGGCCATCGCAAGTCTTCCTTTAGGGTCCTCACAGAATGCGCCTGTCGAGCTAAACGAGTTAGACACTTTGATAGTCGTGCTCTCCCATAAGTAAGCATAAGTGTCGGACGAGGAGCGTGTTGCAGTACAAGTCCAGACATACGCGCCTAGAGCGGGAGGCCCGCAGACGCCCGGTGTAAGGTCCTCGGCAAAGCCCGCGAGCAGCGAGAACAAGCCGCACCGTGGTTCCGGTCCCCTGTCTCTCTTCCACCACGACCATCTCCCCGGTGACCCCTGCCTCTCTCGCTTTTGACGGCTTGTATCTGCCACCGCTTGCACGATGGCGTCGACGAACGGGTGCGTGATGCGTTGTGTACGAGGATAATCGTGGTTGAACAAGCTTGACAGGTATCTGGGTGTAACACCTCCCATCTCAACAAGCGAGTCGAACCCTCGCGAGAAAGAAGTTACCGTCACTCTCCTGGAGGAGTTACGCCGTCAGGGCATATTTGAGAGTGAAGAAGAGGCAAAGATGAGGTGAGCGCAGCTCAATTGTCACGCCGCGTGGGTCGCGCCCACGCTCGGTGCTCCTTCAGTGGCGACAGGTTCTGACTATGACTGCTCAGGGAGATTGTTTTGGGCCGTTTGGCTGCGCTGATCAAGAAGTTTGTGAAACGGGTGTCGCTTGCTCGTGGACTTTCTGAGTCTGCCGCGAACTCTGCTGGAGGCAAAATATACACGTTTGGGTCGTATAGACTCGGCGTACATGGTCCGGGGACCGATATAGATACCCTGTGTGTGGTGCCACGACACGTCACTCGCGAAGACTTCTTCAATGTGTTGGAGGGAATGCTTCGGGAGATGGAGGGCGTGACCGAAGTATCGGTACGTGCTCGTTCTGTTTCACGAGGAGTGGAAGTGGGTGTTCACAGTTCACGGGGCATAGGGTGTACCAGAGGCCTTCGTCCCAATCATCAAGACTGAGATTTCCGGTATTCCAATTGATCTCTTGTTCGCGCAACTGTCTCTGGCAGCCATTCCTGACGACCTGGACCTGCGAGATGACAACTTGCTGAAAAACCTAGACGAACGTTGTGTGCGAAGTCTCAATGGTCAAATAACCTTCATCACTTTCCTTTGGCTCGCCGACCCTGACGCTGTCCACAGGTTCCCGTGTGATTAACGAAATACTGCGGTTAGTGCCGAATGTGGATGTATTCCGGGACGCACTGCGATGCATAAAGCTGTGGGCACAACGTAGGCACATTATCATGTTACCCTTGCGAACAAATCTTGACAGCAGCCCACAGGACGAGCCATCTATTCAAATGTGAATGGTTTTTTGGGCGGTGTCGCATGGGCGATGCTGGTCGCTCGGATATGTCAATTGTATCCAAATGCAGTCGCTGGTGCTATCGTCAGTCGTTTTTTTATCATCATGCACCGTTGGTAGGTACATTGCAATGCCACGAACGGAGATCCGGATCTCAACGCACTTTGACAGGTCGTGGCCACAGCCCGTCCTTCTGAAACCTATTGAGGACGGTCCTCTTCAGGTTCGGGTTTGGAACCCAAGGGTACGGTCCTTTCTTCTCCTTCTGTACTCCCGTTTTGACCGGCACTCCATAGTTGTATCCTCAAGATAGGAATCATCGTATGCCCATTATTACACCCGCCTACCCTTCAATGTGTGCGACGCACAATGTGATGGCATCAACTCAGCAGATCATGACTGAAGAATTCAAGAGAGGTCAGTAATCCACTTTCATCTAAGGCGGTGAACTTACACGGTCCAGGCTCCGAGATCGTTGACCAAGTTATCAGTGGAGAGGTTCAATGGTCTGCGCTTTTCGCCAAACACGATTTCTTCTTCAGATACCGCTTCTACCTTCAGGTCATCGCGTCATCACCCGATCTTGACACCCAGAACAAATGGCAAGTCGTTTGGGTTTTCGATTTGTCTCGCTGTAGTTGATGGTACATCTCAGGTCTGGCACGGTTGAGTCCAAGATCCGGCAACTTGTCATGAGGCTGGAGTTCGTGGACACGCTAAAGCTGGCTCATCCGTTCATAAAGGGGTTCGATACTGTCTATTACTGTCTATCTGAAGACGAGACTCGGGCTGTGGCGCGTGGTGAGATACCGGAGGCTGTCGCCAATCGCAAACAGGAAGATATCGCCGGCAAGGAGGGCGCGACAACAATGTACACGAAGTCGTTCTTCGTCGGGCTATCCATCAAGCCCAAAGAAGGTACTTGTCGAGGGCTCGCCTAGCCCGGAACATGCGCTGATTTACGTGTTTGACAGCCGGCGCCACTGGACCCCGTAAGCTCGATATATCATACCCCACAAACGAGTTCATCAAGATGGTCAGGCTGTGGGAGAAGTACGACGAGTCCCAAATGAACATTGTCGTTCGCCATATCAAGCAGTTCGTTTCGTTGTCTGTTTGGTAAGAACCGTTGCGCTGACATCATTACAGCACGGCGCTTCCCGACTTCGTCTTCGACAAGGGTGAACGTGAAGCGGCTGCTCGTCCGAAGAAGCGTAGCCGAACTGCCAAGGTAAGCGATCGAAACATCGATGTGCTCATCGTCGCTGACTCTATCAAGGAATCCCCCGCGCCGAGCGCGAAGCGTTCAAGGTAAGATACCCGATAATCTGCAACGCGGATATGTGTGCTGATCGCTTCTGCCTCCGTGTAGGATGGAATCAGACACGCCAGCCCGACCAGATTCGGAGTCGCCTCTCAAACGCAGTACGATCTCCTCTCAAGGACGCCAGCTCAGCACCCCAGATTCTTCTATGTCCTTTGGTTCCATGACAGAACATCCACATACCGCTCAAACGTCGGATGCCATGGATTCTCTAGCGGTGGCGGCGAGTGCTTGAAGCTTCTTACGGCGGCACCACATATCACCTCAGTTCCGTTGTTCTATGTTCTATCACTGTACTATGACGGCTCCCTTGCTTCACAGTACCTTCACCTCCTTCACCTGCGCTACACTCACCTAGCCATACCATGTACTGCTTGCACCGATTCTGGGATAGTGCTGGAGCCAGAGAGACCTTTATTCAGGGTTACCTACTTACTATACTGTTCAAACTACTACATACATACATTGCAAGACGCCTGTACACTACCGCATCAATGATCAGTTCTTCCACCATCCACCTCCGGTGTACGGCATTCAACCCGTCATTGCGGTTCCTCAACTATACGGATATATGAGCCTCACCCCACATCGTTGGAGGCGAGGTGACGACGGAGGCGTCGCAGAGCGTCGCGCCACATTTGGACAATTGACTCCGGGAATTGCCGCTGAGGCTTATGACAGAGGCGAGGGCTCCCGGTGACCTCTGCGTCAGGACGAACAACTTAAGTACGTCCGTTTTTCCCCCATTCCCCCTCCCCGCCACAGACACTATCAGACAAACACCATGACCACTTCAAACGGGTGAGTGGGCTCCGACCAGAACGATGACTTCCGCCCAACATCTATTCGCAGGGCTACTACCTCACAGCACCTGGGTGTAACGCCTCCCATCGCTACATCGGAATCCAACCCTAGAGAGAAGGAGGTCACCAGAACACTATTAGAGGAGCTGAAACGGCAAGGGACGTTCGAGAGCGAAGACGAGTCCAAGACAAGGTGAGCTTTCTGTTCGGCTTCGCGAGAATGTCTTATGTCCGACTCTGTTCATCATCCGACTCTCGCCCCGTTCTCCTCCCAAGTGTCACGTCTCTTGATGGCACTCTTTGTGCGCGACGTTTCCTGTTTAGTGGCGAGCCCGCACGTCTATTCGCTTGTCCGGAGCTAATCCACGCTTTCGCGCTCATAGAGAGATCGTCCTGGGCCGGATAGCAGCTCTCGTCAAGAAATTCGTCCATACGGTCGCCCTCAGAGAGGGGCTCAGCGATGCCGCTGCCACTGCCGCTGGAGGCAAAATCTTCACATTCGGGTCGTATCGGCTGGGCGTGCATGGTCCCGGCTCGGATATCGACACGCTCTGCGTTGTGCCTAAGCATGTGTCCCGAGAAGACTTCTTTGACGTCTTTGAACACATGCTCAAGGACGCGGAGGGTGTCGCAGAGGTGTCGGTACGTTGTATCTTGTAGCAGTGTCTCTACATTGTCTTAGGGTAAGGAAGTTCACGATTGCTGTGTTGCGCAGGGTGTGCCAGACGCGTATGTGCCCATCATCAAGATAAAAATGTCGGGCATCCCTATCGACCTAGTCATGGCGCGACTTGCGCTCTCGACCATCCCGGACGATCTGTCTTTGCAGGATGACAACTTACTTCGGAACTTAGACGACCGATGCGTCCGAAGTTTGAACGGTGCGCTCCAGAACCGCTTATGATTGCTACCCAGAACGTTATCTAACCTCTGTATAGGCTCACGGGTGACGGACGAGATCCTACGATTAGTACCGAACGTCTCCGTCTTCCGAGATTCATTACGGTGTATCAAGCTCTGGGCGCAGAGTACGTACCTGCATGCCTTATTTCCAGCCGTGGTACGTAAGTATACTAAAACCTCATCGATAGGGAGAGCAATATACTCCAATGTGAACGGCTTCTTGGGTGGCGTAGCATGGGCTATGCTCGTCGCTCGCATATGTCAACTATACCCTAATGCCGTCGCGGGCGCGATCGTTAGCCGGTTTTTCATTATCATGTATCAATGGTATGTTACCCGTTGCCGCGACGGGAGGGTGTTACTCACAATGTCTACGCGATCCAGGGCCTGGCCACAACCTGTATTACTAAAGCAAATCGAAGACGGTCCTTTACCAGTCCGTGTGTGGAATCCAAAGGTAGGCTTTCAATCTTCCAAGTTTTCTTCCGTGATACTGAGGTGCTTCTAGTCGTATCCGGCTGATAGAGCCCACCGCATGCCGATCATTACTCCTGCTTATCCTTCCATGTGCGCAACGCACAACGTCACACAGTCAACACAAATGATTATGACGGAAGAATTCAAGAAAGGCAAGATTCAGTTTGTGTAAGAAGCTGAGCATGGTACTGACTTCTTGGTAGCTTCGGAGATCGTCGATAAGGTCATCATCAATAAAGCGAGTTGGTCTGACCTGTTCGCGAGGCATGACTTCTTCCATAAGTACCGGTATTACCTGCAAGTCATTGCGTCGACAGGAAGCCCAGAGCTGCAGGTCAAATGGTGATCGTGCAGAAGTTGTCTCTATGCTGGCCCCTTAGGACTGACCATCTGGTTAGGTCCGGCACTGTTGAGTCTCGAGTACGGCAGCTTGTCATGAAGCTCGAGTACGTGGAGAGCCTAGCATTGGCGCATCCCTTCATCAAGGGCTTTGAGCAGGTATCGTACTGTATAAACGATGAGGAGGTACGCTCTGTTGCCCAGGGCGAGGTCTCTGAAGCCGTCGCGAGACGGAAGAAAGAAGACATTGAGGGGATTGAGGGTGCGAGCGCTGTCTACTCCACCACCTTCTACATCGGCCTTGCTGTTGAGCCCAAACAACGTGCGTTGCACTCTTCGCAGACGTATCAGGTTGCGCATACACTCGCTTACATGCCTCATCCGCAAGCGGGCGCCGTTGGGCCGCGAAGACTGGATATCTCATATCCGACGACGGAGTTTACCAAGCTCGTGAAAATGTGGGAGAAGTTCGACGAGCAGAAGATGGGCATCGTCGTACGACATATTAAGAGGTCGCGTTTCCTTTGTCACTTGACTTCAACTCCGTCTTTGCATTATTCACGTTGTGCCCTTTTTATAGTTCTGCTCTGCCTGAATATGTCTTCGATGATGGTGAACGTCAACCAAGGCTAGCCCAGAAGCGGCCTAAAAAGGAGGTACGTCCAGACAACACTCCCCTCTCGGAGCTGACTCTCATCAATATACGTTCATGTTCAAGACGACCGATCGGTCAAGTAACACGTCGCCCGATATGCCGAACAAGAAGCCGCGGTTGGTTCAACAAATTGTCGCCACTCCTCAAGCCGATAGCAAGCTAACTGCCGACAGACATTCCCTTCCAGAGATGTCGACCGTCACCCTCCCGCACGAAACTGTCAAAGTCTCAGAAAACGGCGATACCCTCCCTCATCATGGCGTGACCTCATCTGTGGAACGACCAACAACTAATGGACTATACGCAAACAACACCAAGGACTCTGCTGAAATTAAATCCCCTCACCTACCTCTGGGCGAGAACGTGGCCATTGCGACAGCAACAGGTGCGCCATAGCCCCGGTTGATCCTCTGTCCGGAAGTCCTGCCCCGCCATGTCGCCTAGCTTCACACCGGACCATCCCAAAGCATGGAAATTCTCTTGGCCTATTTCGCCTCACGATACTTCGCATAAAGGGATCAGCTCGGATTCCACTATCCTTCCGTATGGTCCTAAGAGGTAATTTATCAATGGCTGTATGGCATTCTTGCCGTCCTCCTTGACTGCTCGGATGCTCGTCTAGCACTCCCTTTGGCTACGTTCATCGCTTGTTGTCGCCGCCTCTTTCATATCGTCTACCCGGAAACCCCCTCCTCGCTAGCATTCGTGCAATTATCGGTCCGCAACTACCTTGTATCTCCAACTGTCGAGTAGCATCTCTGTATTGTACCATGCATGCACTTGCGTATCGTATCGTATAGTATGGCATACATTATTCCCGGAACTCGAAAAATTGATGTGCATCAAGCAAATTCCCTGCTGCATGCTTTCCGTACGCACAATTGAACCAAGCAAGAAGTCAAGATGACGAGGAAGTGAAGACAGTTGCCGAATTTGACCAATTAGATGCCTGGGAGGGGGCGTCTGTCTGCCTTGTTATCTTCAACACTAATTCAGGGACGCCCATGTTCGCGCCGTCAAGGGCCTTGCGCTGGCCTCGTTATTCCCGCTGGCTGCTCTTGCAGCAGTACTGTTCACCACACGGCCTGAAATTCAGTAGTACTTGGGCAGCTATCGACGTAACGTCACCTTGGGCAGACAACTATACCTATCTTCATTTCCAGAACTAGAAACACCGGGTCCGCTCCGTGTTCCGACATGTTGCTGTATCTCACGCTCCTTCAATCTTTCGCTCTTCTTGTGACACTATCTGGGACCTCCTTTGGGGAGCACACTCGCCATCTCGCACACAGGAGACATGTCTCAAGAACTTCGGATCACAACATATTTTCCTGGTGAGTGCAATCCATTGCAGAATCAGTAGGACGGCGGTGAACATAGGCATCATTGTCGTGAACAGGCCTTCTATGGCGTTGCACGCTCGCGATGACTGCGAGCCCAGGGACCCCTTGAACACTCTTACGGACCGCCTGAACATCCTACTCAACTCTTCCGGGCCAGGATACATCCTCCCTCTATGTCCGGGCGTGGAGTATCTCATTGAAGCCCCCATCCTGTTTGCCGCGCCGGACCAGGAGATCAGCACTGTTGGCTATCCAACAGGCGATGAACGGGCCACCCTCGTCGTCAACGGGCCCGTGGCTAACGGACAAGGGCACACAACCGCGGTCGATGGTACCTGTTTCAACTGTAGTGGCGTTAAGCTGCGCTACGTCCAGGTCAGTAATCTGTTCTTGCTGCACCCGCAGCTTCGAGTGGTTCTCATGCCGTATATCGTCTGGAAATCCTCTCTTCTGATCACGGTTGTGCCTGCGCTGATCAACTCCCTCGAACGCAGATCAATGGCACGCGCGCAGGCGCGTCGCCTACCTCGGGTGGCGCAAACATCGAGATGGGGGGTTCAAACTCTAACCAGCTGGTTGAGTACGTGCATTCATACGACCCGCGCAGCTGGTCGTGCCTCCACATCGCGGAGGGCGCTCTGTCCTGCAACAATGTCACCGTTCAGAACAACGATATCGGACCATGCGGGTCTGATGCCTTCCAACAATGGGCAGATGGCATTAGCGTCAGCTGTCAGAACAGCCTCGTCCGCAATAACATGGTCAACAATCCTACTGTAAGTAGGAAATGTGTCGTTGGGAGATATGATGCTCACCAGTGCGATTAGGACGGCGGGATTGTTCTGTTCGGGGCGCCTGGAACGCTGGTCGAGAACAACACAATCTGGGTGGAAAATGTGTGTCTTCAGCATACCGAAGCTGCCATGTGGCCTAAGCTGACAGTTAACGGCAGATGACCCTGCTTGGCGGGATCAACATGGTGGACTACGAGCCGTGGAGCGGGAACTACACGAATACGATCGTGAGGAACAACATGATCTATGGTGGCTTCGCCACAGAGCCCGCGGTGTCCGACGAGACCAAGGGCGTGAATGATGACGATGCGATCATCAAGTAAGTGTCTCCAGCTACATAAGCACTCAGTATACCGAGAAAACCTTGCTACAGGATCGGCATTGCGATTGGCCCTCGTACATGGTTCGGTGACCAGTATCTGAACAACGTCAGTTTGTCAGGGAGGGTCCTGAACAACCAGTTGAGCGGAGCCTTCGGCTATGGGATAGCGATTTCGTCGGCTGTCAACTTCACCGTCCAAGGAAACACGCTCGTCGGCAACACATCGTTTATCGGTGCTCGGGGTCCTAATTGCAGTACCGTAGACACGACGCCGAATCCTGCGGCGTTTGTGGAGGATCAGAGCACTGTGCAATCATCCACTATCCAGGGTGACTTCCAAATGATTCCAGACGGGAATAGCCTCACTTGCATTATACCTCCTCCCGGGGGCGACTACTGGCCATTCGGCGGCCAGCCGTCTGCAACAAGCTCGTCGACTGGTCCGACATCTTCGTCCTCTTCCACCGGCACCCAGTCAGCCGGGACCTCCTCGTCTCACGGGCTTTCTGGTGGCGCTAAGGCCGGCATTGCCATTGGTGTCATCTTGGGCGTTGCGGTAGTTGCAGTGGTTACACACCTCATCCGGAAATCGGCGCTACAGCGTGCCGACGTTGCGAGACGCTACTGAACACTACGCGAAGTTACAAGGAGTACGTAAGATAATGAGTCTCTAGTAATTCTCTTTGACCTTCTATTATTAGATTAGGAGCCGTTGCTTGTTGTTCCACAACCATAGACAACTACTGTACTCTTCTCAGAGCCTTCTCATAGAAATGTAGCATCGCCTCAGATTCACACAGACGGTACTCGGGCTGTCGCCGCCTACTTCCAGGTTCTACATGGAGATCTGTCATAACCAACGTGTTCGAATTGGACATCCTAATATGCTGTGCAATGTACCTTTTGTTGGTATAGCAACGCCACGCAAGCCTGGTGTCGAATCTTCGTTGGGCCAACCTTACATCTCGCTTCCTTTCACGGCAGTGCTGGGCTCCTGCTTGCTTCTCACATCTGCATTTCAAGGTAAGTCCCAGGCTCGGTGGGGAGACCTTTCTGACGCTCTACTGACAGTCACAGCCCAGGCGTCAGATTGTGGGTAGGCATCGGTGTTATCAAGGAATGTCTAGTGCCAGAGCTACGCCCGCTGCGATGCACACCACCATGCACTGGTCACGACTTCTTGGTTCCTGGCAATTTGCGTTCACTTCGGGTTCGCAGGCGTTCTTTCGACTCAAACATCTACGTGTTCCCTCCCATAGCCTTCATGATACACGCTTGTCCCACAAAGCCTCCACTAGACCTACACTTGCCGTGCGTTCAATGCAACGATGCCGAGAAACGCCATACAATATACTGCGTCCCTGGTCGCGGCGCTGAAGGACGGGCGTGATGCATGTGGCGCTCCGCTCCGGTTCGGGAACATCGAGCATCGAGCGTTGACTACGGATGACCAGGACGTAGTAGCATGTTGTCCATGAACGATGCAACCGGACGCGGCGCGACGCCGTAAGTAGCTTCCCTTCTCTTCACACTTGGCGGAAGCTATCTTCCTGTATCAGCCTCCCCTGTACCCGGCATGGGTCCGTAGTGGGCGCGGGCGGGAAAGTTCGAAGTTGGTCGCACGGGATCTCGTAAGATCGAGTTACCCCGCCACATATGCAAACGGGCACCACGCCAAATTGCCGCCGGCCGGAGATTGTAGAGGCCTTCTCAAGCTCTTTCCGCGGATTAGATGACTTTAACGCTGCTTCCGCGGTGGCTCCTGGGATATTGACACTTGTACCGTGTTGAGCAGAAGCGCGAAGGAACACTTGTGCAGCTCTGCCTGTAGTCGTAGCCCAAGTTCGACTCCTGCCCCCTACCACGATGGGAAGGGGCGGCTTTGTTTTGCGGGAGAACGATATCGATTCCGGTCCTGGAAGCCCTCGAGGAGATGCACAGCTATTGTCAGTCTCCATCTCTGAGGGCTCAGCGGGATGTGGCTGACCGTTCTCACCGTGCTGTGCAGACAACGGCGTTTTCTATCTGCTTCTGACACGTGCGGCGAATATACTGGCTCGTATTCCTGGATTCTGGCTTCGTGATGATCAAGCCCACCTACGAACTCTGGTAAGAGCAACCCCGGCCGCAAGCGAGCACCCACTCACCGCGGTCCCACTCTGCCAGAATTGATAAAGTTATGTCATCTGGAATGATGAAGGGGAGACCGAGGGTGAGAGTGTGCGAGCCAGTAAGTGCGCGAAGAAGCACACTCAGCATCGCCTCCGGCGGTGCTCACGTTACATCCTCCGCAGGCTACCACTTTACAATTTGCGGTAAGTTGCCGCCGTTCATTTTGCATCCGGTCCGCACGCTGCGCAGCGTGGCGTCAATTGCGTCCACGACCAATGATTTACACACCGAGGTCGGAGTTAAGACGCAGACTAAAATACGCATCAGCCAATGTCTAGGCAAACGTACGCAGTTCGGAAACACGGTTGCATTTATGGGAATTCCTCACGACAAGGCGGCGTAAATACGTTTTCATGCGTTCATATCAAGCAGCATCAACGCCAGAACGGACTTGGAAATTCTTGACAAGAAGATGGGAAGGAACGCACTGCCTGTGTCCGACGAAGCTGCCCTGCTGATTGCGTCTTAGGCAGGCCCCCAATCTCATGTCTCAGGTCCCGAAGCTCCTCAAGGTACCTGATGACCAGTGGAAGTGCCTGGCCGAAGGCTACCCTCCGACAGTGTCTTGGATGTAGCAAGCCAGGCTCCCAGTTTCCCGGCATTCGGCATCGGTCCGCCTCTGCAACCCTTTTCATTGTAGGCATTCGGTGCGTCTTTCGGTCAGCCACTGCCTTGTCGTTAGGGCACCAAGTGATCCACCAACCCCGTCTTGGGCCATCTCACGATGAGGGTGCCCAGGGGGAAACAGCGGGAACGACCCCTTCGCCTTGCCGAGGGTGTCTTGGGCCTCCCACAAACGTCGGAGTGGACATCCGTTTCAGCGCCCCCATGCAAGACCAGCGTGCAAACCTCTGGAACGATGTCGACATCGTCGGATTATGCATTTGAAGAACGTTCCCGCATGAGAGTAGCTCAATGCTAATGCTGCCTTCGTTTCGATTCCGGAGAAGCATTCATTGTAATAACGTACGAGAGAATATGAATAGACAAACATGATGTATGGACGAGTTAGGGTGGCATGCAAAGCGTCTACGACGTGACCAATACGCTCTTTCGACAGAGAAGCGTCAGGAACCCTGAACGCAGCAACGAAGTCTAGACACTGAGACGTTAGCTCAAGTACAGGGTCGTGCAACATGGAACACATGGAACGCGAAAACTGACTCCTTATGACATAGTTCCATGACATAGTCCACAAATACGGTTTTACATTCCCGCCTGATAACGTCAGTCGTACCCCCGTCGCGTTCTGTGAAGCGTAGCATCGTCCCGCCGATGCCGTCGTCTGTCGTCGTCGTCGTTCTCGTGACGAGAGCGATAAGGAGGCGTGGGACTCCGACGCCTAGGCGGCGAACGTTCACGGGAGCGGTTGTGTCGGCTTCCCGGAGAATAGCGATCGCGGTCCCGCACATACTCCCGCGCGGGGGGTGTCCTGCTGCGGGAGCGGCGTGGAGATGCGCTCCTCCGCCGGTCAGAGGGCTCTGTGCCTCCACCCAGAGACTTGAGGAGATCTTCGACGGCTGCCATCCCTGCAGACTTGCCCTTCTCTTTCTTGAGCCGCTTGCGCTCCTTCCGCGCCCGACGTTCTTCTGGCGTCTCGTCCCTGTGCTTACGCTTGGATTTTGACTTCTTGCCTTTCTTCGCCAACTTCTCCTCCTTCCGCTTCGCTATGAGGTATTCTGCCATAGGATCCTCTGGGTCGATCTCAGGACCAGAATCGTCAGAAGATTCCGAGCCCTCATCCCCGTCTAGAAACCGAACCGTTCGTTCAACTTGTTAAGAGCAGAGTTGGTGGAACGGTACAGAACGTACCAATGACGATCGGGGGCTTGGCGTTTAAGCTCTGCTCCTCAGCCTCTTTCCATTCGCCGTCCTCGCCTTTGGCTTTGGGCTGCTTATAATTCTTGACATGATCGACGCGCAGGGTCCTGTCTAGGACCTGGGCCCCGTTCAGATTGTCTACCGCGAGAATGGTGGAGCGTTGGTCCTCGTACATTAGGAACGCGAAACCTTTCTGCTTGCCGGTCTCCTTGTCACGGGGAAGGTTAATGTCCATAATTTCGCCATACCTGACGCACTCAGTTTCGCGTCGCCTAGAGGTTTTAAGGCTGTGAAACTCACTGCGAGAATATGGTGATCACATCTCCTTCTGTAAGATCTCTGTGTAGCCCTCCGACGAAGATGTACGCAGAGTCTGGAGCAATGGTGAGCAAAGAGACGCATCAAACGCGAGAACACCCGACGGACCCTTGTAATCGTCATGCCATGAACCAGAGATCCCCAGATCCAGCTCCCTCTCGTTGATCTTGTTGATTTCGCGCACAACGCTTAGGGTACAGCATCAGCAGAAGCGTATAGAGATCGAACCCCGTGTACTTACTTCATGTCTGTGGTCGTCGCTGGAAGAAGTGGCCGTCGAACTATACGCCACCGACGGGCCTGACCAGTGATCCCAGAGCACGTGCGCGTCTATACCGAACGCCTCCCTTGGCGCTAACCGAAATTTTGTACCTCGCTTGTACCCTCACTGAGGACATCCTCTAAGCCATGTCCTCTTTTTCGCTGCCTCAGATCAACGACAATCCCGATGGAGGTTGGGGACCGTCATCGTCCACTGTACCTGCACAATTCAAGTTCAAGGACATTCCTTACGCCCCCTACTCAAAATCTGACAAGCTTGGACGTTTCGCGGACTGGAATGATATCTCTGGTGACGGACGCCCGACCAACCTAGGTCTATCGTCTACCCAGACTACGCGCGGTGGAGGACCCGGTCGTAGGGGTCGCGAGGGCCAGCAAGCTTTCGGCAGCGGTGCTGCGAGTGCATTTGCGTATTTCCATGCGGAGGATGAATCGAGCTTCTCTGTCGTGGATAGCAAGGCGACCGCGACACGCAGGGGTGGTCCCATGACCCGAGGCAGGTCCACCGGTCGAGGAGGCGGTTACGGCAGGGGCGGAAACTCGCAGAGGGGAGGTCGCGGAGGGTTCTCTGGCGGTCGGGGTGGAGGCCAGCGCGGTGGAAGGAGGGGTTGGAGAGACTGGGAAAAGGTTAGAGGATCTCTCTTGTTTTTCCTTTAAAAATCCGTGAACATGCTTCCATCGCTTCAGAACGGTCGAACCCGGGAGTCTTCCGTCGCGATCTCTCCGGACTGGGCTATGCTCGAGGAGATTGAGTTCCACCGTCTCGCTAAGTTGCGGCTTGAAGTCGACGAGCCTGAAGATCTGTGAGCTACTGCATAATGTTTGGGACTGCATCGCAAACTCACCTGCCGTAACAGCCAAACCTATGGTCGCGTGTACCCATATGACAAGACATACGACCGTATCAACACAAGGAACGAGAAACCTTTGCAACTACTTGACCGTATCAAGTACAACCCAACCACATCCGATGATCCTGTAATCCAGGGGGTAAGTACGGATTTGCGGTCCCACAAAAATCTTCTGACCTAAGTATCGCGTTTCAGTTGGCAGCCAATGATACAGCAACGATCTACACCACCGATGTCATCCTTAGTGTGCTCATGTGTGCACCGAGATCAGTTTACCCTTGGGACATCGTCGTCGTTCGCGAGGGGAATAAGCTGTTCTTCGACAAGCGTGACGGCGGTCCTTTCGATACCGTCACCGTGAACGAGAATGCGGCTGATCCGCCTCAGGACCCGACCACCGTGAACCCGAACAACCCGAACGAGAAGATCGCTGTGCCAGAAACTCCTTCCATCAACTCCGCTACCTCTCTATCTCTTGAGGCAACGTACATCAACCAGAACTTCTCGTTCCAGACGGTCATCGAGACGCCCCCTCCCCCTGCGGTGGACTTCTCCAAGCCGAACCCTTTCTACGGTCCTGATGAGACGGAGCCGCTGGCATCTTGTGGCTATCGCTACCGTGTCTTTGATTTGGGCGTCACTGAAGACGAGGACATCCGCATATGTGTCCGTACTGAAGTCGACGCCTACACTCCAGGGCAGGACCCCCTTCAGGGTCGTGGCCTTGTGACTATTCGCGCTTTGAACGAGTTCGATCCCCGTGCCGCTGGAGCTGGCGGTGCGCCGGATTGGCGTACAAAGCTGGACTCTCAGCGCGGCGCTGTCGTGGCCACAGAAATGAAGAACAACAGCTGCAAGCTCGCCAAGTGGACTGTGCAGAGTGTCTTGGCTGGCGCCGATGTCCTCAAAATCGGGTACGTGTCTCGCTCGTTTCCATTCAGTCAAGGTTTCCAGGCAAGAACGCTTGAGACGAATGAAGCTAATACTAACCCTATTATACCCTTGCAGGTGGATATCCCGCGTTAACCCACGTGACAACACTCGGCATGTTATCCTCAGCACGACCTCTACGCGGCCGACGGAATTTGCGGGACAGCTCAACGTGTCACTTGCCAACGGCTGGGGTATCGTCCGCACAGTCGCCGACATGTGCATGAAGCAACCTGAGGGCAAGTACGTCCTCATTAAGGACCCCAACAAGGTGAGTGCACACGCTTTCAGATGTGCCATACGTCCCTGTTGCCGTACCGATCGTGACCTGGACCGTGGCATTCGCGGTTTCCGTTCACGTCTTCGATCAATGTTCGTGACGGCCACCATGAGACCATGGTGTGCGTTCGAACTCAGCGGACCTGATGCCCATCACCTGCCGGTATCTCATACTGCCATATGAGGCAGGCATCTCGGGTACTATCTACAGTGATCTGCATGGCTAGCGCCTCAGTTGAGGGCACTCGCGGGATCATTGTCGTGCCGTTATCTTGCGCATTACAGTCCTCTTTGTTCCGTTGAATGATATGCTGATTCCGCCTCCTTATCGTGCTCAACAGCCTCTTCTTCGCTTGTATGCCGTCCCTGCGAACGCTTTCACGGCCGAGGACGAGGACGACGAGGCGCCGTTCGACGGAGAGGATGGCGATGTGTAGTTGGAGACAAAACTGGTCCGGATACCTGGTCAATGGCAGTAGCACATCTCAATTGTAGCACGTTGACGGCTGTATTTCTACCGACGAGATCTATGCGTGTCTTACTGTACTACAAGTGTACACTGCAGCTCGCCAGATAGCCGGGCGTCGACGCTAGAAGTCTGTCTGTATCCTCTCATTGGTATCGTGCATATCTCACTGCGGTGCGTCATCTTACATATGCAGTAAGTTCTATGTGCGGCGGAACGCGTATGAGAAAGATCTTTGGACGTTGTCAAGAAGCACCGGCAGTATCGCGACGCGTTTGAAGGGGTCGGCATCGCATGGTAACAAGTGGGGATTGCTCACCTGACGAGCGTTTCGTGCGCAGTGCGCAACCACCTCAACTCGCTCGCACAAACTTCTAGTCAACCCTGAGTGTGCGACTCGCCAGGAACCGACGCCCGAAAATTTGAGCAAGCCCGAGCTCCGTGTGTGTGTGGGGAAGAAGCGCTTTAAGCTCCACGCTTGTGTCCCTGCCCATGCAAGTCCCATCGGGTACGGATGCACGGTAGCGAGCCTCGTGTTCTCGAACTATTGGGTGCTCGTCCCTAACGGATGAGGGCACTCCCGGCCCGCCACAACGGATCTCCATCTTAGGGCCCTCTTCCTAGCGATGGGCTTCACTTGCCACTCTAGATTTGCATGATGCACCTTCGAATTTTCGCACATACCCCTGGTCAATGCCCAAATTTCTGATGTCTTGGTTAGCACCAGACCCAGCTTCGATCGAGCGCCTGACCACACCCAGAACGCTACAGGAGCCCAAGAACGTCGGTACATCTTGGGCGTTCTTTTGCTGATGGGATAGTATGTACATATGGCTTTGAGTTACCGCTGCTATTCTGTTAACCCAGCCGAGTGGCGGCATGTTTCGGCTGTCGAATGATCTCGAGAGCAGGTACATAGCGCGATATCACCGGACATGTCCAACACTTCTAGACGGTGGCGGAGACGGAGGTAGATACGAACTAACCGCAGACGGGGTCGACATACTTTGAATACTGATCTGTGTCGATCTTCGTCGTCAGTGAATTGCATACAGACATGCTTGGGTTGATAAGCTCGTTCGCATCGTCGCTTTCCACGAACACTAGTTGCGCCCCGCACAAGATAACTCCGCAAAATCTACGAGGCGGCCTGGGATGCTAGAAGCGTCTCTGCCGCCGCTTCTATGCTCGGACTAATGGGAAGCAAAAGGCCCGTAAGTTACGTGAAAGTGTGAACGCAACCAGGTAGAATGTCATGATGCAGAGATGTTCAGTATACAACGGTGCTCAGGTCGATCAGCCCACACGGAGCGGAACTGCTAGGACCCCGGTGCGGTCGTGCAGTAGCAGCACAGCCTGCCAACGAGTATGGATGGAGATCGACAGCGGATGTGGGGCAAATCATATTGACAAGCGTGCACTCACCTCCTTTGTAATACGCCAAGAACCACCTCGCGGTCCATGTCAGGGAACATACCCGTCAGGATAGCCACCTCGCCTTCGCTCGGTGCCCTGACAGTCGCACCCCCCTGCGCCACGGGACGCGCACCACTCGCGAGCTCCGACATCCACTGGCGAACCATTCCACCTCCCGTGCTACTAGCGTTCGGACCTGTCCCCGAGCGATCCTGAGCCTGGTCGGCTGCATTGTGTCCCCCTGAAAGCGCCTCGGTCCGACTGGTAATGCTGTCGCCGCTATGCGCGGTTCGTACATTCGTACCTAGACTCCTGCGTGTATTCGAGTTACGGGCGGTGGTGATCACCTCATCGTCCGTAGGGTTCACCGTCCTCCTGCTGCCACGGGTGCCATCCTGGGCGCGCGGTCCAGGCAGGACTCGGTTCGTCCGTCGTAACGGCTTTTCCGCTCCCAGAAGGGGCTTGACCCAATCCTCGGCAAGTTTGACTGCTCTAGATTCATGAATGAATGACAAAGATGAATATCAGCCGAACGGCATGGCACGGCACGGTGAGAACTCACTTCGGCGGGATCCTCCAGCTTTTGAGTTGCAGGAAGTCTGAACGGTACAGATATCCGACGAAGAGGCCCACTGCAGTCGGAAGTAGCGTGGACGGAAGGCGCGCCAATGCCAGCTGTACGGAAGTCTCGTCAATTCTGCTGACTGTGAGGGGGGGTACGAGACTCCGAAGTCAACATCCACGCAACGTTCTTCACCATATGGCTCCACAGCGCAGCGCGAAAATCGCCATATGGCCCGCGCGTCGGACCCAGCGCCACCACCATTTGCTCACGTCGAACCTTGCGTGCTCCCTACATACCTGAATAGCGATTGCGTAAACCCAGATTTTATCGCTCATGCCGACTCCGAAAACCTTGAAATGGTATGCGGAAGGAACCAGGCGCATATACTGATACACCACCGCGAAAATGATAGCGATCGGTCCGGCAGGAATATTGTTGAAAGTGGTGCGGGTCACGGCTGTCAGCTGGCATAGAAGAAGGGTGACAAAGGAGACAAGCATTGTTGTCACAGCGGAGATGACGAAGAAGGACTGGTAGTGCCATAACGTTCAGCAAGCCATGCCCCGGTCGCAATCGAAGGCGACACTCACAGCATACTTGACGCCACCGAAGCCCCGTTCTATTGGGATGCCAACGTTATACAGGAGCAACTCCGTCAGCAGCAGGTCGCTGGAACTTGCGCATGCAAATTGGTGGACGAATAGCCGCCAATACTATACAAGACCAGAACCCTCTGGTGAATGGAAGTATCCCGAGAGGCAGTACACACAGCTTGCCTGATGATGTTTAGAAATGTGTGGGACGAGTTGAAGGTTGAGATAATGTTTCAAGTCAAAAATACCCGCAACTACGGAGGTGAGTGCGATCCCGAACATCAAAGCTGAACGAATGACTACATGTTAGGAAGAGAACTAGGCCTATAATCGGAGAGAACGTACCCTTGGTGAACGTAGCATATTCGAAAGACATTGAGACGGAATGAACTGAACTTGCCTGGACGTACGTGGTAAGGAAGCCGTCACACAAAGCGGACGCCCGACCCACGCGTTTCCTTTCCCACGGCATCCTTTGGTACACCGTGATACATGACACCTTTCCCCGACCAACTCTACCTCCTCCTTGTAATCCCCGGAAAATTGCCACTGTGCACAGGTTCTGAGCCTGGCTTGCGGCCCATCTTTGAGATCTGTTGCCCTATGAACATCATTCCGGCATGCCGCTGCCCCGCCTTCTGACCTTATTCCGGAAAGATGTCAGGCGCAAACGGGAGCTCAACAGCGGATGCATACACGGACCCACTCTGTGATCTCCCACTTCGGTTCTCCTGGCATGCGGACTATTGTCGTAAACAGGATGGAATGATTAACCACTGGACGCCACCACCACTCACGGGTTTGACTGCCGCGATCGGGGTGGCCGAGGTCTCAGCGCGGTAATGGGCGTCGACGGTGGCGAGAAGAAGACACGAAGCTTTGAGCCAGTGCTCGACAAGACAGGCTCTTCCTCTCTCGGCGTGCACTTCTTCCCGTTCGCATCACTACGACGAGCACCGCGGGGACCGTGATTCTGAAACTCCCTTCGGCCTTGAGGTGGTCTAAGTTGTCTAACCTTACATACATCACTATCTCCTCTTGGCTCATCGCACTGGCGGCTAAGCCCCACGGTCATCCCCTGAAACTCGATCATTCCAACAAGTGGGCATCACCACACTGCCCACATGTCATCTTCTCTTCAAATGCTGTCCCAATGTTCCTGACTTCGACGTTCGACATCAAGAATACCTCGTCTGGCGCACACATGCCAGTGGCTCTTGACGACTTCAGGGACCCACGTATCGCTGCTTGCGTGGCTTCTCAAGTGACGCGCTCCAAGCTCGACATAGCCTCTATCGTGCCTTCTGCGCTGGATCCTTGGCGTCGTCGTCCTTATTCGTCCGATATCCATGGACTCGGCCCTCTCTCCTGCAGTACCGCGGCAATACGTCTTGTCTTTGCGCTCATGGATGGCAATGTGCCGTCTACCAGTACTTCTATGCAAGGCTCGTAAATCGTATGTCACAGCGTTTCACCAGCGACTACTCGGGAGTTGCACGTCCGGTCGGCATCCGGCCCATCCGCACCTATTCCGCCGTTCTTCGCTCTACATCTCGCCGACATGGGATTCGTTACCAGGCGTTGCGCCCCTCTCATCAGGAAGCCGTCATACCGAGCATATATTCGTACCGGTGTGGTATCGTCATCACCCTCAGCTGTCATGACTAGCTCAACGGGGCAGGGACATCCCAGCACAGCGGTGAGTGTATATTACGGGGAGATGGGGGCTATGCAGCGGGGACGTCATGCCATCGTAAATACAAGAATAGGTCTCCCAAGTTCCCACTGGGACTGGCATGTGTCCATCCCACACGCCCAAGCTGAGCGCCCCACTTTGAGTGCTAGATGTCAAATTGCTCTGAGCGTTGTTTTCCTAGGTAATTTGTCTACGGTACGCATTCATGCGGTCACCTGTGGGTGCCATTTGACGCTCTATTCTCTGTATGCATACTCAATGGCGAAGTCGTTTCCGCTGATCCGAACCAAGAACCAAGATGTGTCCCAAGGGTGTAGCATACGCTGTCTTATCGAACGCGACGAATCGCGCCCGCTGACGGCGTCTCCAACAGCGGTCGCAGGCGGTGCTTCGCAATTGTCTACGGACGCCCTCAGGAACAAGGTTCCGAGGTGCGGTCCTGGCTCGCAGTAACTGTACGTAGAACCAAGACGCTCGACCTTCCTGTCTCCTGCGCTCCTCCCTTTTGCAGACGGCAAAGCACACATTGGCCGCATACGGAGGGGTGCTGCGCTCGGACAAATATGCACATCAATTGCCCAAACGGCCCGATTAGGGGATGCATCGGCCTCGGCGACATCTTGAGCGGGATGTGAGCAACATGTACGTATGCGAAGACCACATGACACGACGGCGACACCGGTCCACGAGGTACCTGTACTTCCTGTCAGAGAGAGAAGGACAGAAGGATTCCCAACACCGCACCCACGCTCAGCTCAGTTTGGAAGGGCGGAGGATCGTCGTCGACTCGTAGGCATGTGTCGTGTGGCTGAGTGTAGTACGATGACCTTTCCGCTTGCTGGATGCTTCGGAGGGTATCGAGCCGGTAAGTAGCAAAGAACACGGGGGGGGGACATTCCTCCTATGCAAAGGAGATTCGCATGCGCTAGACGGATGTAATGAGCCTTAATTATAGATAGAGTACAACACGCGGGTCCGATTGTACAAGGTAGGTCTACAGCAGTACGCAGTATGTGTGATGAACGAGAGCTGTCCGCCAATACATGGTCAAGATAAAGGACGAACCACACGTCGACAGTTAAAGATACATACAGCGCCGCACGCGTATCTCGCATGGTGGAAGTAATGGCACTTCGTGGTGTCCATGACGTGCGCAGATTCTAAGACGGGGCAATTGTGAATCCAGTCCCATAAATATTGCTCCCAGCCGACTTCGCGGGTGGCGGACCGCCGTATGAGTCGCTACGACGGCGACCGTCGGCGCCCATCGCCGCTTCTTCGTCCTGCGGCGGAGAGCGGAACAACGCCCTGCCCACTCTAACGACGCTCCGGATCCCCTGCGCCGCGAGCCGGCCGGTGACCCACTGGATGAGTGTCATACCAGGTAAGAGGCCTAGCAGGTCCTGTAATCGAATTGAATCACGAAGCGCATCAATGTCCGCGCAGCGTGTGGGTCGCGACTCGTGTCCCCTACTACTTACCTTGACGTCCCAAAAATCGCGGTGATGGGTAATCTTGCCGGCCTCGTTGAATGATAGTCTTGTGATGATTGGAAGCACGAGGTGAAAGGGGGAGGGAGGCCAGAAAGAGGATTTAGGATGTCGGACAATAGCAGAGGGTGTGGGCGTAGTAGTGTGATCCCGCAACGAGACTGTAGAGTCAGAGCGCGGGACGACCGCACTCCCAGCGTCGGAGTAGTTCGGGGGCGCATGTCGCGGATGCCAATGCAATCCTGGAAGGACAACAATGTGGAGGGTGTGCTCGACTACCATCCGTTTGTGACCATCTGTAGGCTTTACATTGAGTCACCTGCCTAACATATAGCCCTTGTTGTGGAACCATGGGCTAAGCCGACGAATGCCCAGCCCTTTTCAAGAAGGTATAGCAAGTACACGCACCGAATGATTCACACTCGGAGACTTCGTTCACTTCGTTCCACATACTCAGCCCTCGAAACCACGAATCGCTCCATCGGTGGTCAGGGGATAACCTGAAGAGAATGCGGAGGATCGCGCCAGGCTTGGGAACGTCGAGCTGTGCAAGGCACCTCGAGAGAGCATGGACGTCTCCGATTGTATCTTTCGACGTTGCGGTTAGGAAGGGATTCTCGTATGTTGCGTTGGGATCGTAATAACGTTCGACTACCTGCCAGGCCGGAGGTGAGGCGCCATAGAAGAGCTCACAGACCTCGGTGGCCGCCTGAAAGTGAGGGTTGTAGAGCGATGTCGCGGAGGCACTTTCAAAGCTGCCTCGCGAGACAAGACGGGAGGACGGAAATGCAACGGAGTTGTGAGCGGCCATGGGTCGGACAAGCAGGCAGTCGACGAGCAAGTGAATAAGCGCTCAAGAGCACGATCATTCATCATACCGCCGGCCCAGCTGTGGGGTTAGTCACGGTCTTTGCTAGATCTGGCGACTATGTAACGCGCCTTCCCCCCTTCTAACACCGTTCCTATTGTTTCTCGAACATAGAGCCAAGTGATGTATATGCATTGCTGTACCATTGGTCTAACGGTCGTTCTACCAAGCATCAACGATGAGGAGTTATCCCACTAGCGACGTGCCCTCTTTCTGGGAGTTTGGGAAAACAGTACGCCCACGTTAGGCTCAATCTCTTATAGTGTCCTCCGAGTCCCGGAATCGTGCAGATAAGCACTGAAGTACTGAAACCATAGTGACGCATATCTCATACAGCTCATTATTGGCCCCGCTGCTGACCCGGTGCTTGGAGGAGTCGTGGTCCGGAGCCGACGCCCGAAACACCATCCTCCATTCCATTCGACTGGAACGATACGTACGTGCTCGGTGGCTTATCGACGGTCGAGATGCCAGAAACGTGGCCGCGGCTACACATGACTACCGGGAGCCTGGCATCAAAGTTTAGCATTTCTCTGATCAGCCTACTTGATGCGCGCCCTCGACGGATGTCGATCACTTCAGCCACAGACTCTCGCGCAATCTCGGGCGACTGCATCCTCATTCGTTCATGATCGACCCCTACCATCCCTTCAACTTTGAGGACCCCCACTCAAGCTTTCTTTCTCTGCTCTGATCGCGATCGAGCCTAACTCATCTGTTTCATGATGCACACGAATGGCCTAGACGTCACTCCATATCAGCCACCATGCCCTTACAGAAGCGGTTCCAAGGTTGTGTCGTAGCTGGCAGAATGCGCTCAACATTTCAATGGACCCCTATTCCAATATTTCGTTTTGCCTAACGGAGTTCTCACCTCATATTGCGTTTAGGGCGGCATTTGGGGTATGTTACCAGACCGTATCTTGGCGTTTGTGGGTCCCTTGCCCTGTCGATTAGAGACTCCGGACTGCTTGCTTGGGTTTCGAAGTCAAGTGCACCTCGGGAGCTGTCGCTCGATGTGATGATTCTTTATGACGTTGCATGTCTCGCTCTCTAGCCGATCTGTTCGGGTAATGCTGCTTCTTTCGTGTTTCAGAGATACATAGTACATACGCAGGGGGGAGGTTCGAGGACAGTCTGTGGCTAGGTGACTCCTTTTCGTCAACACTGCCACTGCCACACACAATGTCAATTCAGGTTGGTTCTGCTCGTTGATTGGACCGCAGGTAACACAGTGATAAGCCGTCCGGGCTGAACATGGCTGAACATCCCCCGTTCCACTCGCAATCCAGATAGCGAGCTGGTGCATTTTGCAGGAGGGCTCCTTCATGTCGGCCGATAGGTCTCTGGGACTACAGCGGATGACTTCTCCTTTGTTCAAGGGTTCCAAGACGGCGCCCGGGCACATGCTTTCTGCGAGTAATGGCAACCTTGTACTACTGCCACCAACTCGGTGTCAGTCGCACCGGGTCGGCTTAGCAGCGCATCGGCAGCAATTGCTCTGAACGTGTGGTCGCCGTCTTTCCCATTCCACGACGAATTCCCTGACTCGTCTCGTTCATTCCTTTGTCCTACCCTCAGAGACTCGACCACGGAACGTCCGCAAAGTCATAGAAGGTCCACAAGGCGACGAAATTTTCGAATGAACTCCGGTAAACCCGCAATTAGCGCGACCGAATGTCTCTCCATTCCTCCCACGTGCATCCTTTCCTTCCGAGGATCTGACGCCACCAGTTTCCGGCTTTGTTCGCAGTCCTGACGTAGGTTCCCGTGGCCTCGAGGTTCATGTTTCACGTCCATCCAGCCCTCCAGCCACCAGGGACAAAGTTGTATGCTGTACTTGCTTCAAGGCAGATGCATCTGCACGTATTCATATGTGCGAGGTTCGCCTTCCCGCACAATCGCCAAGTACCCAGGCTCCGGGGAGAAGCATAGCACGATAGTCCGGTCCCATGACCGCCGCTAGCGGCGAAAAAGTGCGCCGAAGCATTGCTCAAACGTCGCCACGCATTCAGTGGACTTCACTTCAAGTGTATTGCTATGCGGGGGCATTACTTTGAGAACAGGTATAGTCTTTCCTTTGGTCCCAAGGATGTCGTAACCTAATGTGCAGGCGTTTGTACGTGGTGGTATGTAACATGCGCTAGAAGAGCAAATACTAACACCGCTCAAGAGAGCAAGTACCGCCGGATGACGACGATGTTGAATTTCCGCCTTGGCGAGCTTTGGGTTTAGCGTGCCTCATGTTCTGCTGTTTCAACCAGGTGAGAGTCCGTCATTCGGGAGCACTGGCAATGCAAGTTCAGAGATGGAGTCGTTTGGCGTCCGGGAGCGAGCCAAACACAGACGCCGGACCCAGATACGAGGCCGCAACCTAATCTTGTGTTCCTGAGCCCGAGCGCGCGTCTGACAGGACATATGGGTGAATGAGGGAATCGAGCCGACGTACGCTCCTCTGGATGTGCCGTCATGCATTTTACGAGCTTCTCGATTGAAGCCTTTAAATCATCCGCGACTGGGGTTCGTCGATGCGGTCGCAGGTCAGCTCGCCGGTAGCTTGTGTCGAGGTAGTTTGCGAAGAGCGGCACCCCGTATTGCATTTGAGCAAGGACAATGAACGACAGGTGACTAGGCGAAATCTGGGCCGGCGCAGTCTCCTGTTCCGACGGACATTATTGCGCCTCTTCGGTACTATCGCGTGTCACCCTCTACGCAATGTGGAACCCTCCCCTCGCTCTTCGTCCGGTCCATCGGGGTCTGAGGAATCGAGTCTTGCCGTTTCTTGTCTTTACATAGCGCGTCGCCGCCGCGGTGGCCTGCCGCGGCTCCTCCCGCGCAAATAGAGGGGCATTAGAGCACATCCATGCTTACAGCAGCACCGCGTTCCCATGCCTCTCCCCTCTGCGCCCATTACGATCACAAGACAGCTTTCTCTCATCGGCACTCGCCCATATACGGCATCCGCCCGCAGCAGGACGTGCATTTGCAACATCCGGCGAGTCCGGCGGTTCGTAGGCGTGTGTCTGCAGAGGAACGCGAAGCCGAGTCCCGTTTCCGGGCCTGCTGCCCTTGAACTTGAGGCTTCTGCGGCACCCAGAACGTGGGCCAGCGACGATGACGTACTAGAAGCACACGCCTCTCCGTGAAGTTCGTGCGTCGCTGCATTTCTAGACACCGCAGTGTACGTTGAATGGAACTAGGACGGTCTCCGCCAGCCCGCGCCCATGCTAAACGTCGACTTTGCTTGTACGTCCTTATCTGCGTAGTGGCCCAACGGTCAGGACTCCGTTCACCGTGGGCTCGTGCGCGTTGGCGAGGCCGAAGAGGTATAGTGCACGAAGGGCCGGCTGTCGGCTCGTCGTGCTGGGAGCCCGGGGTCCCCGCTACGCCTTGCGTCGCACAAGTGTAGGGCGGGGTAAAGCTACGTAACTTGCCAGACATGCCCACCGCGTATTACGACGATTACGCACCCGTCAGGCAGCATGCTCTGAGGGCCTCGAACCGTAACGTGTGAAGGCTAACCTGAGCTTGCAGTCTAATCGACTTCCAAGCTCGCTCGTGAAGGGTGCAGGTGCCCGAGTACGTTGGCGTCCAGCGGCTCCTCCTGTGGTGCGCTTGCTTGCGCCCGTGGGTCTGCAGAAATGACAGGCCTGGCGCCGCGCGTTCTCTGCTTCTTCGCCCATATCGGGCATATGCTGACTTCTCTCCGAGAGCTCATCGGAATCGAGTAATACAAGAGTCCATCTCACCTGCAATCTTGTTCGTGTATGTCTGAAATGACGCGTCCCTGCGTGGCGGACGGCCATCCCAGGCTCATGTCACGGCAGGCACTCGGATGTAATTGGGAGGCAAGGGGCAACAGGCGGTCTGAAAGACTTGCGTTAAGGCCACTTACGCCTCTCTCTAAAGTCGAAAACGTCCGAGCGCCTGTCATGTTTATGTCAACAGGCACAGTCAGAGGCAAAAATGCAATGACCCTGCACCCTCTCGCGGTATAGCACGCGGAAGACAGCAGCGGCTCCAAGCAATGCACGCAGACATGCGTCTCCAGCGAAAACCTCAGGGTCAGTCAGGCGTTCTGCAGCCTGCACCCCGTAAGTTTTTCCGTGCGGGCGACAAGAGAGCGAGACCCGCGACCACACACGCCTTCGACGAGGAACGCGGTGTCGTTTTCAGGCAACCGCCCTAGACCACGGAAGCTGCCTTGTAATGTGTCAACGCCGCGGGTCTGTCGTATTCCCGAACGCGAGCAGTTCTAGCTCTGCTCAGGTCTCAGCGAGGCTTCCTATTTGTCTTGTTGTCGACTGCACTCGAAGAAGCTGCGGGCGCCGGCGCCGCGGCCAGGAACGGCTCTGCCGGAGCTTCCAGCGAGAGCACACCAGCCGGAATCTGCGCTCGCGCGCGGGGACTGTGTGGGGCCCTAGTCGGTGAGCGACGTCGAGGGGTCGGACATGGGGCGCAGAAGACTATTCGATAGGGAGCACACGCCTGGAAGGGACGTCGCGGAAAGTCCGGAGGTATTGTGGCGCCCCCGGTATTCGTGGACACAACAGGTCTTTGGGAAACGTCTGGCGGTTGCCTCACATCTTCGTCGACTTTTCTCCAGTCGAGAGCCTCCAGCCAGCTGGGGCCCGTCCCCACGGCTCCGAGTCTAAACAGGCGGAGGAGTGAGACATATTACGCATTATTATGTACAGGCTTGGCCGCAAGCCTGCCCCGGGGGGCCGCGCCGTATTGCCGCAGAAACACGCCTAGCGGGCGCAGGATGACGCGTTTGTGCACGTCCTATCCGGGGAGCACCCGCCCGAACATTCGAAAAGAGGAGCGGCGCGCGTTGGTTGGTATGGACGTGCAGGGTCGCGTAGCCACGCCTCTACTAACCTGGCTCGTCGGGTATTGGGAAGGCGGCCCCGTGCGTCCTCGCACGAGTCGTATCGCGACAAATAGCGCGCTTCTGGGGCGGTTGGCTCAGGTCCGCCTGGGCAGAAATCGCTGCTTGCGGACGCCCCACGCCCGCCAAGCGATCGTGTGCGCACGCGGCGCGCGGGTCAGATAATGCGGTTTGCTAAGCCGTGGTGGCGAACGTGTGCCTGTCAGCAGGGCGCCCCACCCGCACACGGCGGCCTCCCGCCGCAACGTCCGCGTTCGTATCTACGCGTGCCGCCGGCTCCTCCGACCTCGCGCCACCGCGTTGCCCGCAACGGATCGAGGGGCGGGGCCACGTGTACGACGCGGCGGGTATGTCCAACGTGCGATCGGAGGCGAGGGGGGGCGGCATGGGGGGGAGATAGCACTCGAGAATTAATGTGGGTCTGGGACGATCGGTGAGCGCACCGGTGGATGGGCATGAGGGCGCAGGCTGAAACACTTGTCGGCCTCGAATCGCGCCGCGCGACTGGCTGAGCGGTTCCGGCTATACGGAATCCCTCCCTCCCTCGCGCGCTCCAGCCCGTCAGCGATTGCGGGCGCCCGCCCCGCCCGCCACAGCTCGCCGCCGACGGAGCGCACGCACTCGCCGAGTCCAGGGAGCCAGGGACCGTGAAGACAGGGAGGGCAGGCCGTGCACGAGGGCCACGAGGGGCGGGCGTAGATGCGCACCCATGTGCTTCCCCCGCTCCCGGAAACGTCGCATCGAACCTCGCAGCGAATCACACGCGCCCTCGCGCGGCCGCATTGTGCGAGTCTCTCGTCCGCAATTGCGCCAGTCGCGCGGGCCGCAGGCCGTCCGCTGGCAAAACTGCCTGCGCGCGCAGTGCCCCAGCGCCGCCCGCTCCTTGGGTACCGTCTCAGTCTCAGTCGCTGCACGCAGACCGAGGCAATGCATGAGCTTGGATGAGTGTTCCTGTGTCACTCCGGTGCCGCCGCACCAGAGCGAATTCGAACGACGTCCTCCGAGCGATGAGGCAAGGTCATGGCGACCGCGAGGGTGGATGACACTCGATCACTAGATCGGGCGTCTTAGCAATACGCCAGGTGGCGCTGTCAATGTAGCCATTTCGATTGCGCCACCATCGCCGAAGTCGGCTTGCTGGGTCGCCGCTCGCGTTCAAACGTTCAGCAGTCATATCGGTTTGGTTTCGCATTTGTATTTGCTCTTTACGGCTACTTCCTATAGGCTACGATTACACGGTGGTTGGGGATATGCAGCAGAGGGGGACTGTAGTACGACACACATAATAAATAGATAGTTAGATCAGCGCGCCCACGAGTCCTAGCAGCGACCAAGCAAACGAGCGAAAGAAGTGGGGGCAGGGGGCAGCAGGGAAAGGGGGGGGGACCAGACCAATAAGTAACAAAAAATACGCGTGCAGGGGCGATGGGGCACATTATACCTTCAAGACAGAAACCAGTGGCTTGATAAACACAAGGATGCGAATGGGACGGATGTGCGTGCGGTGATACAGTGGACATGCGGGGAAGACGTGACGAGACCGGAGCGCGAGCCAAGAGTACACAGACGGATTTTGCCCGCGTCGCTAGCCGCGGTGGAATGTGGTATGAGGGGGGCGGGAGTGGTATCGGGAGCGGGATTTTGCAGTATAAACAGAAGCGCGCCCGTCCGAACGCGCGAATGCGGGGCTAAGATGCAAGTGAAGGTATCGGTCTATGCGAAGGGCGAAGGGGAGGGGAGCTCGAGTGGAGGTCGACGACCCCGACTACGCGGCGATGACGGTCTTGCTCGGCTGTGGCGACGTCCGCGCGGCCTTTGAAGGGGCCATCTCGGACATCGGGATGCTCTGCCAGCCAGTCACCTCGGGCATGGGGCCGTCTGACCGCCGCTGCTGCTGCTGCACCTCCGCTGGTACAGGGAGCGAGCCTCTGCGTACGAAGTAATCGGTCTGCTGACCCTGCTGTGCGGGGGAGGAGGGGTAGTATGGAATCGGCATCGTGGCGGCCTTACGCGGCGTAGGCGGCGAAGGGCCGTTCGACTGGAGGGACGCGATGTCGGAGAGGGGGGCGTTAGGCAGGCGAATGCCGCCTTCGGGGGCGACCAAAGGAGGGGACTGCGAGTGGGGATCGCGCGGAATGGGGAAGGTAGAGGCGGATGGCGAGTTGAACGACGAGGGTGGGTTTGATCCTCCCGAATAGACCGACACTGAGGGAAACGACACGGCGTCAGCTAACTTGCTTCACTGACCCGAGACGACTTCGCGCTCTTACCGGAATCGTCCCAGTCGCTGCTGGCGGAGTGCACGGACGAGGCAGAAGACGAGACAGACGCGCGGCGAGGCATCGCGTTGTCCATCTCGGTGGGCTCCTTCTTGATCATCTGCGGCGGCGCCTTGGCAGCCTTGGGCGAGTTGTTCACCTTCGGCTGCTTGCGCGTCTTGCTCCCTGCCCGGAGCTCGTCGAAGCGCAGCGGGCGCGGGCGCAAGTGGGTGCGCTCGTAAAGACCGCACTTGTTGCAGACGATCTTGCCGGGGTTGAGCGTCGAACGGCGCCAACTCGGCGGCTCCGTCGTGTGGCAGTTGAAGCAGCGCCTCCGCAGGTACTGGGTCTCCTTCGACGCGGCGTCATCCGTGTGCTGGACCATAAGCCCGGCGTGAGGCACCAGGCAAGGAAGAGGCTGCATGCCTGCGGACGAAGGCCGGCTCCAAGCGTTCTGGGAGGGAACAATGATAGCGCCATCCTCGGTTTTGATACCGTCTAGCGGGTGATGGTGGTGGAAATCGTGGTAGGGGGGGTGAGGAGAGCCGTTCATGGGGACGGTGTGCGCGAACGGCTCGTCCATGCCCGGGTGCATGGGCTCGCACATGGACATGTGCGGCGACCCGTCCAGGGAGAGCGGCTCGGAGTACATGGCGGCGGTGCTGGGGCGCGAGCCGTAGGAGCTCACGGAGTCGTGATCGCTGCCCATGAAGGGCGGGGTGTTGTAGGGGATGTGCTCGGCGCGGTCGTGTCGGACGTAAGGGAAGGTAGCGCGACGCGTCATGGCGATGTCGTGAGGGTGCCGCATCCCGTGCGAGACGTGGTGGTGGCCGTTCGCGGTCTGAGCGATGCCGGACCAGTTGCCTCCGTGGAAGCCTGGCTCGGCGGACTGCTGGTGGCGGTGATCGACATACACGTCCTGGGGCACGGAGTGTTCGGGAATGTCGTCGTGGTACAACTCCTCAAGCAGGGAGCCTCGGGAGCCCGGGGGGGTCGGGAAGGAGGTGGGATAGCCTGCAGACCACATGTGCGCGGGCTCCATGGATGGGTGGGGATGGTGATGGTCGGTGACGACGACAGCGCCCTCGTCCGGGTGCTCGAAGAAGTTGCGGTGGATGTGAACGTCGAGGGCACCCTTGTAGTTGTGCGGGGTGGGATAGTGGTGCATATCGTCGGAGGAAAGGGAGGTCCTCGGAGAAGGGGTGCGGGGGGTGGACGCGTCTGAGTAGGCGGAGGCGTAGTCGAAGTGTAGGGAGTCCATGGAGTCGCGTTGTGGATGTGCGTCTGGAAGGGTCTGGGAGAAAGGAAGCCGAACCCAGACGGAAGAGAGGGCTGGAGGGGCACGGAAATATGAGGAGGCCTGGCGAGACGGAGTCGGATGTAAGTACGGGTTATAGACTCTCTGCGCTAGCCGGCACAAGGGTCCTCCGGGGTCCTGCACCAACCTGTGCACGAGTCTACGAATGGCTTAGCCGCTTCTTTCCCACTGCGAATCCAGAGATACGGGTCCTGCCACGCCCCATGCCACCCTATCGCACCGCCAGCCTGGCTCTCCCAATCTCAACCGAGTCCACGCGCCCCCGTCCCACCCTTCCACACAGAATCCCCATTTCCTGCCACCCACCACCCCCCTGCGCGAGCCCCCCCGCGCGAGCCCCCCTGCGCAAACCCTCCCCGCACGCCCCAGCCGCCCGCCGTCGTCCACGGCCTGCCCGCTGCATCCTCCACCGGCCCCCGGCTCCACACCGCATATCGTCCGCGCCTCAGCGACCCAGCTTGCTCACTTACTCCGACCCCAGAGCGCCCACTGCCCCATCCGGGAGGTCCACACCGCTCGCAGCCGAACTGAGCACTCCCCTCATCTCGCCCAGATCTCGCCCAATCCGCCCAGCCGAAGATCCCTCCTCGCTCGGCCCCTCCCGCCGCCAGTACCCGCTCTCAGCATCGCGCCAGCGTCTCTCGCCCCCCACGTAGCTACCAGGCGCACTCGCCCTCCTTCCATTGTCCGGTGCTAATCGATACAGCGTATCATACCACACCCGCACGCCCCAATCGCCTTCGGGGCCAGATGCGGCGCGCACAGGCTGTGTCCTGCCCCAAACCTAGCTTAATGACCGACAGCGCCATCTGCGTATCCGCACGGCGCTCCCCCACCGTCCGTTTCACCTGCAGCAGGTCGGGTTTCACATACATACCCAGACGAATTCACTGTTTCTTCCGCCCTTTCCGGCCGCCGCCTGTCGCCCCCGTCGTCGTCGACATGGGTGGCGCGTACGTGTCCAGGATGCCCAGTTTCTCCTTGCAGTCGTTGCAGTACCACACGTCTGGCAGCGGCGGCTTCAGATTGACGCACGAGAGGTGGAACTGCACGGAAGAAGTTCGTCTCAGCGAAGACGTAACGCCGCGAAAGAAGCGTGGGCGCGGCCATAGCGCCTATGGAAGAGAGCAAGAAAGAGCGTTTGCTCTCACTCACCCATTGGTATTTGCAGTCCTCGTTGTCGCAGGCGACCATCTGCACGTAAACAAAGGGGACGCCACGAAGCGGATGGTCAGCGCCCCTCTCGACCTCTTCACCTCGGCACACCGCAGCAGCACCACCACCACCGCTCGCGGGTACCGGAACGAACGCACCTCTCCATAGGACAGCTTCTGGCAGTAGCAATAAATCTCTTGGTCTTCCGTGTCGCCGGCGTCTTCGCCGCCTTCGTCCTCTTCGCCCTCGGCGTCTTCGTCGTCCAGCCCCGCCGAGGCGTTGAATCGGCGAGAGCGCACTGGCGACTGCCTCGGGTGCATCACTCGGGACAAACCCGACCTTTGGCTGGCCCCATTGTTGTTGTAGGCGCTGGTTGTGACAGGGACGGGGCTCGGCAGCTTGATGCTACCCGCTGACGACGTGGTCTTGCGCTCTGTATGACAAAGGTGTAAGTCAGCGTCTGACAAAAACGCGCCTAAACCGGATTGATTGCGTAGGCAACGCAGCAGGGTCGTGTAGCGACAAAGGCGTTGCGCGGCAAGCAGGATTAGACATAACAAAGGCAGGCGAGAACATGTACACACTTTTCTGCGGAGGGGGAACGGAGACGGGTGTGGGTGCCACGGGGACGTCGATCGCCTGTGCTGCTGCCCGTAAGCTCTGGATCTGTTGCACCGTCGTTTCTACACTGCTTAGAAACTGCTGTGTAGGGGGCAAGCCCGGTTCCTCCCCCTGAAGTTTCAGTATTCGCTGCAGATCGTGCTGCAAGCGGGCCATGGCGCGCTCGAAGAGCCTCACGAGCCGCTCCGACAGGGCGGTCTTTTCGATAGCGAGGGCATCTAGGTCTGCGTAGAGCGTGTTCACTGTGTCCGGGATAGCCGCATCCTTGCCCGGAAGTGCCTGGCCGGCGTTCTTGGACGAGTGGCGGAAATACTTTTGGGTCTCCTTTCGGATCTCCTCAGCGAGCTCTGCTTGCGAGTAAATGTACGCCACGGAGTGCGGATATACAGAGATCACGTTGGTCAGTACGAACGCGGTAGGATGAACGTGAAACGTTGTGCATGCCTTGGGTCCTGGAGTCCCGATGTTTGATCTCCACCAGGATATGCTGTGCCTCGTTGGGCAGATTCTCCAGACCTGCCAGAAGGATAAGTGAGCACGCGTGCTTCGACGTAAACGGGGCGTCCAATGAACGAATGACCGGATACGGAGTTGTATCGGGGCCCGGAACGCTATCTCATAATTTTGAGGGGAAAAATATTTCGCCCGATCACGACATTGAGACTCAAATTGTCGCGCATGCTAGCAGCGCTATCGAGAGAGAGTCGCATGAAGCTGTACGGGCCGGCGTCACTCACTGGAGAGATACTCTGTGGCGATGTTCGCGGCCTCCTCGAGATTGGAGTTCATGGTGCGCGCGGCTGACTGTGGTGGTCGAGATCGAAGGTATGAAGAAGCGCAGCAAGATGAACAAACACGCTGATTGAAGAGCTCGAACAACGGACTGTCGCGCAAGAAGCCCGAAAAGCGGTGCTGTCGATAGAAATGCGCCTTGGACGGGAGAAAGGTCGCGATCAGAACGAGGTTGACGGCGGGATGCTGCTTGGTTGAGTAACCGCGGACCTGTCATCGCGGGGCCGGCGGGGTCACGGGTGGGTCACAGAGTCTCACGGGGGGAGCGTGAGGTACAAGTGGTTGCGAGCCCCGAGGGTCGTGGGAAGCTTGGGCACTAAGTAGTCGGAGCCAAGATACGGGCTGGGCCGATCGGGCGGGAGAGGACGACCGAAGCCGGGCGGTGGCGGGGGACGGCCACATGATCGCGTCGGTTCACGCTCAGCGGGCTTTCGTCGGTACACGAGGCTCGCGCCCATGACAGTGACTGCTCAGGTCCACACGCGCGCCCGTATCCTTGGGAGCCCCAGACAGCTCTGCACTCACGTCCACCCGTTCTGAGCCAGCTCCAGCTCTCCCCCTCAGCTCCCCCCTCTCGGTTGACAGCGAGAACCACTCAGGCTGTGTCTCGGGCTGTACTCGATGGGGCCCCTTGCCCGCTTTCCTCCGTCCTCGGCGCTGACCATGACATTCGTGAGTCGCAGGCGACGATACGGAAACCCGAACCCCTTGTCTTCCGCGCCTTGCCTCACTCGAATGCTTCGGGTTACTCGCTATGATTCCGTACAGGTGAGTCTGCATTCCTACCTGGTAAGGTCGGGACTGGTCCTCGGTGGTTGTTGAAGCCCATGTCCTTGTGGCGCTCAAAGTATGCTCTGATAAATGAGAACCGTTGACCTTTAGAATACCGGGTTTCCGTAAGTATGCCTGCAAGCGCGCACGGTGCTTGTGATGTTGTAAGATGACTCGAGCATGTCGTAACAGGCCCTTTCTTTGGACGAGCCCCTCCTGCCTGCAGCGGTGCTGTCTCCCATCCGTGGGGCTGACGTTCATGCGTACCAGGACGCTCCCTCTCATGTCAGGCCACTTCCGACGATGTTTCACTCCTTAGTCGCTCGCGGCGCAAGTCAGGCTCGGGGGGCCCATGCTCAGGGGTACGTAGCCTGGTACCTTCCCGAAGAGCGTTGCACAGCGGACACCGCGGAGCGACAGAACCGTGAAGGCGAGCCGTGCCTTCTTATTCGCAGCGAGCCCGCCAGGCCAGAGGAAGCGTTCCCCGCACCTCGGGAATCCACGCTCTCCCGACGCACTCGTATCTGAGTCTGACGAAGCGCGCTCGCCAAGGTTCGCGGGTGCGCATGACGATAACGTGCTCGCACGCGGCTCTCGGGGGACCGCCGAGTGAATCGTGCCTTAGCCGTTGCGTGCTTCTGCGCTCTGGCCCCCGCTTCTCTCTAGCTCATGAATGTGCGCACGGTCCCACACTGCTCGCCCGGGCCACGGCTGCCTCTTTTCGCGCTCTGGAGAAGCATGCCGCTGTCCGGCTAGCAACCTGAAACACGAAAGAAGCACGCTCCGAAGGCACCCGCCGCGCTTCGCCTCTCGTTCTACTGGTCCCGTTGTGGCGTCCGGACGCTACGGGCCTTTTCGTCCTCGTCCTCAACGAGGGTGCCACTGACGTTACACGCCAGACATCGTCGCTGACATCCTCCGCAGGCCCCCTCTTCTGTCACTGGGTGGGTAAGTTGCCAATATCGGTTCATTGGGTCATCGGGCTGTGTGCCCGAGCAGGTACTGACTCCGTATGTTTCAACCGGTGGAGATAGAGATAGCAACATGTATTTCGCTTCGCCCATGGGCCGATAGCCAACACATACATTAGGCTCCAATCATTTGTCTATCTACTCGGAGGGCTTCTCCTAGCCGAGAAGAGCATCCTGCTTCTGGTCACGAGAACGACTAAATGTGTTTCGTCATGCCGGACAATTGCGACATTTGCCTCCATGAGGACATCGATCGACCTAAGGGATGTGTCAAAACATACGCTCCAGTCGCGCCAAGGCGCACGAAGTCGGTCGCATAAACCAGGTCGCACCCCTCGCTTGTCCCGGCAGGCGAGCGGGAGGTGAATATGCACTCTATCGGCAACGCCGAAAATCCGCGCGCGACGACGGCGATTGGCCGAGTACATACTCCCAGGGTGGCCTCGTCCGAAGTGAACCGCACAGATTGAGAACGTGACATCTGCACAACGCCACAACGCCGACCCCGTGTCGTCAGATACGGAACGCATGCGCGGGGCCGAGAGATCCCTCGGACGCCTTTGTATTGCAACCGCCAAAGTGATCGGTTTCGCATGCAAGCGAGGGTCTATGGTACGTGGTACGATCATCCTTGGCCCCACAACGCGCATCCAGTAATCTACTTACGGATTAGGCGTGCGGCGCACACGACGGCAGAGCCAGAATTTCCAGGCAAAAGATGCAAATATTTGTTATCAGTAGCGCGGGTGTCCGCCATTGGGCAAGGGTAACAACTTCCCAAGTCGGTGAGGCAAAGTAGAGCTCACCTGGCAACACCTGTGTGGTACACTTCCCGATGCGACTTGTCCAGCGGAACAGCGCTGCACACAGGATACGACCATGTCAACAAGCATCTTCTGTGCATGCTGAGATGAAAGATTGCGAAGCACGGAAGGAGCCGTGGAGCACTCGCGAACGACCGAAGACAGAGTTTCTTCTTCCAGATACGGCCCCCAGTCAAGATCTTGAGTTCACGCTGTCAACATGCTGTGATGTCAGGCGGTGATGCAGAAGAGAGTGCAGCGCACGATACACCAAGTTGCCGGGGAGCAAAGAGCCGTCGGCGAGTGCGCCACTAACGATATTGACAAGGGCGGTGACACGGCTTGACAGCTCTGCATTGCTGTCGGGAGTCGATAGGGGGCTCTAGTAACGCGTGCACGCGGCATCACGTCTCACTGGCTGTCCCAAAAGAATACGAGGAACGTCTGGTGGCAGCGTCTTTGCGGGGCCGTGCAAGCAACCCGGCAGTACACTGTTGAGATCCTACGCCCTGGGTCCTGGGCAATCAGCACCACGTAGGAAGATCGCTTGCGAACGTGCCCCGACGCGCCATGGGTGGCCATATTCATTCATGCTGCGCGAGCACATGTGTCTTGCCCTGGCCATCTGCCTCCTACGACCGTATGTCGAGTGGAGCACCTACGAGGACCACGATGCGTTGGCAGAAGAGCTAGAACATGAGGGGGCGTGAGCGGCGAGCACGAAGTCAGGCCACTTCAATTAATGAACGGATGTCGGCCTCTCTGGCTATCGGGGGAGACACAGTCCAACTGTTCGCATGTGAGGTTTTGAAAGTCTGGGACATAGCGTAACGCAATGATGTCGACGAAAAGCCGAGAACGTACAATAGCTCCCTTGCTCTCGTAGCATCAGTGCAATCACTGCAGACCCCAGAGCACGCTGGTTCACGGCATGGCTTCGTATATCGGTGAGAAGACATCGGGCTTCGGAGACTTCGACTCGAATGCGGACTGCCGACGGAACCAGCACCCTATTAAGAATGTGGAGGTGCTGTATGTTAGGTGAAGTGGACAAGGTGAGCAGCCCACTCTTGGTCGTTAGAGGTTACAACCAAGTGCTGATGGTGAGCTGGTGGTGAGTATACACGCGACAAGGCGTACGCTGCGAGATGGGATAGCTTGGATGACGTCGGTCCGAGGCTTTTCAGCCTGTGCACAGCCTCGTAACCAAAAGCGTCAGTAGTTGGTGATCCTCATTTCGGAGATTGAACACAGACTTATCTCCTTGACTTAAGGAGCTTACCCGGTGTTAATGGTAGATAAGATGGACTACACACGAGGTAAGTAGACGGTCTAAGCGACGCCACGATGACGCTGCCGGAGCCAGTGTCTGTCTCGCGGACTCGGACGACGGCGCAGAGGACACTCAGGCCAACTTCACTCAGTTATCCTCCATCTTCTCGCCGCCATGGCTGGCTTGCGGAAGCCCGACTTACTGAGGAGGGGGCTTTTCCGTGTCCTCTTGCTCTGTGCTTCCCTAGTTTCGTACTTCATGATCACGACCGCTCAGCCAGCTACCGTCCAATTCTCCGACTGCTTCTCGAGCCCGAACATCTCCCAGAAACTTGACGTCTCCACCGTATATGCTCAATACTTCCCCAAGAGCTCGAATGGCCCTTACATCAACTTCACCGTAATTGGCACGTCGCCACAGCAAATAGTTTCCGCTTCAAACGGAACCAATCCTGTCGCCAGTAAGTACCCCAAGTTCCACTTCGCGCAATGCAAGCATGACACGGGTCCACACCACTCCCAGCGACACTGTTCACGACCACCGAGGTACTCACCTTCCCACAACCCAACAACCACGGCAACTCGTTCTTCTGCGCAACCTTGCGTCCGGCGTCCCCCCTCCCCGCCGATCCGAGTGGCAGCTTCTGCCCCCTTGACCCTGGACCCTTCGCGTTCTCCTCATCCGTGCAGGTTCAGCCAGGTTCAGCGCTTTTGACCTTGGACACCCGACTTCGCGCCCTTGACCCATTCCAAACTGAACTCCTCTGTCTCGACGTGAACACCACGATACTCGATCCGAGCTCTGGCGGTCCCGATTCAGTCTATGGCCATGCAAACATCATTTTCTGGAGTACCGTTGGCTTGGCAATAGGGTACTGGGTAGTGGTTGGCATCGCCCGCCTGGTCGCCGCGTGGGGACGAGGGTCATCGAGGGGTGGGAACGGATTCTTGGCTAGGGTGGAGGGAGCAGGCTTCGTCTTGGCTAGCGCGTTGAGTGGGGAACGATTCGCGTCCTCGCCCGCGCTCATGCGTTTTTGTACGTGGCATTTGAGTGTGCATATGCAAGGAGGAATGGACAGATGTGACGTCACTTCGCAGGTACCCCGTCGCTGAGGGATATCGTTTTCCATACCCAATGGTGTGCGGTCCTCTCTATGGTCGCTGTACAGTGGCCGATGTTCACATGTAAGTGAGATGCATCCTATTCTTGCCTACCATTGAGTGCTGATGGATTGACATCGTTCATTAGATCCACTACTGTCTCAGACGGCCTGGGCGACTTTGAGTTATAGTCAGTACCATTGATGACGTTCTTCGTCTAACATATATTGAGGTTACATACAGACATCTCGCTCACCCAGGGGAAGAATGCAGATCATCTCCGTTGGAATCCTCTCACGGTCCAGCCCTACAATCCTCCTTCAATTTTCGCCGATCAACTGAATGACCCATCTTCGCCCATATTCATCGATAGCTCCGCGCCGAACTTCTTGTTCCAGCTACCGCCGAACGCAACTACTGGGATGTCCGCGTTCGCGTGGTCTGTTGGACTGCGGCCACAGGACCTGTTCGGCATCTGTGTCTCGATCTTCCTGGCCATCGTTGCTGCGACCATCGTGCTCAGTGTCCTTGTCTGGGCATTGGACTTCTTCATGTCGCTGATTGCGGGAGCGGCGGGCGGCGGCGCCCCAACCCCGACTGGCTTGGGAGGAACGCGGAGCCCGCGCTATTCCTCCGCGAGCAAGGACATGCTTGATGGTATCGGGATGTCTACAACCGACGAGAACCGGTCTCTCAACGGCCACTTCTTGTTCTCCCGCTCGACTTCTCGTTTCCCAAATACTCGAGCATGGTGGAGATGGAGAAGCAATTTCGTCTCCTTCCATGGCAGCGCCCTCCACGGCAATCTCGTCCGCCTTCTCGTACTGTTCCACCTGCCGATAACCGTCTTCTCGTGCTATCACATGAGCCTGCCTAGGAGCCAAGCCTCGGTGGGCTCTGTTGTCCTCGCCGCGCTGTCGTTCGTATTCCTATCGGTCCTTATCCCAGCCTTTCTGGTATTTCGGCTGACGACCACGAGGACGAGCAAGCTCTATGACGAGACGTGGACCCTTCTTTCCCTTGGGCCATTATATAACCACTACAGGCACGGTTCTCAGCTATTCGCTTGCACTCTCTTCGCCATCAACATAGCCTTTGGGGTCACCATTGGTTTCGGCCAGAAGAGCGGAACTGCGCAGGCTATCGTCATCCTCGTGGTTGAAGTCGCATCCGCGCTTGGCACAAGCGTTTGGTTACCTTGGGGCCAGGGCGCGAGCATGGGGCTCATTAGCTTTCTTTTCTGCGTAGGCCGAATTGTAATAGCGGTCCTTCTCGTCATCCTCACCCCAGTTGTGAGTTCTTCTAGCTCTCAGGCATGCTGTCCGTCCGTCACGCTGAATTTCGGCCTCCGCTAGGTCTCTATCGGCGCTGGAGCGGCGCAATGGGTCGCATATGCGATTCTGTTCATATTGGGGCTGATCTACCTGGCCTTCCTGCTTATGTTGATCGTCAAGATCGTAGAGGCCATCCTCCGCATTGCTGGCGGTATCGGGTTTGGCAGGAGCCGACACGTGGTCGACAGCGGCCTTCTCGGTACCTTGGGTCTCATGGGATGCTGCGGACCCCGACATCCCCACCGCAATGGCGGGTACCGTCCGGCTGTCGACCGACCTCCATCCACCTTGGCGCTGCCCAGACCTATGCCGTTGTACAAGAATTCGACTCCACCTTCTTCAGGCCCGCCCTCCGTACTCCGTCCCGAGCACGCGATGCAGCCATACAAGGAGGATAGCGACGATGAGACTGGGTTCATCATGGGTGCATGGCAACCATTCCCCGGCCCTGGGATGAGTCAGGTGGAGGAGCAAGCCCCGCCCGAGCCCCCGAAGTCTGGCTTTGCCAGGGTCGCAGGTGGACGCGCTCATTACGACTCGCCTTACGCCATAGCGTCTGGGTCCACCACGACGTTCCCGTCGGAACGCAACAGGGGCCCCGGTTCGTTTGCAAAGTCAACTCCATCAGTGGTTCAGGACTCGCCGCCTCCCACGCCGTCAATCGCGTCCGCGGCAAGGGGCCTTCCTCCAGGCGCTATGCCCCCTGCGCACGTACGTACGAAGTCGCAGACCGCGATCATCGAGAGCGCGCCTTTCATGGCGGCACAGGCCGCTACAGTCGCCGGTGGGAGCGGCGGCGCTTTGTCGGGGCATCAGGCCGACGCTGTTGCGGCGCTGGCCGCTGAGCCTCAACCGAAGAAGAAGTATTGGTACAGCAGGAAGAAGAATCGCCGGATGAGTGAGAGCGATGCGCCGCTGAGCGACCCTGTTCCAGTCAGCCAGGAGTCGGGCAGGTCTTTCGTGGTCATGCGAAAGCCGCGTCCCGGGATGCCGTCGCCATCGCAGGGCTCGTCGGCATCACAGCCGCTGGAGGGCGCGGACGAGCAGGGGCGCCGATCGTTCTCGGTGCTCCGAGGTACGAGCCACTCGGACCCACAGACACCAGCAGCGTCTTGACATTCTTCGTAACACTTCCATTGTCGTCGTGTTGTCGCTCACTGTTGGTAGATACTGTTGTATACTCTATTCTCCCTTCATTTCTATCGCCTTTTGCATGGGACTCAACTGCACTAGTCTGTACACCTGGGACATACATTTTATCCTATACATGCTGCTTTCATCTCATGACAATAGCTTGGATATACAGTCCGTTGTCCGTTGTCCGTGTAGTCATATCGAATGGTAGCACTACTCAAAATCGTCGAAGCCGTCATCCTCCACGCTAGCATCACCCAGCCAGAGGACACGGTAATCCTCTGCGCCCTTCTGTACCCAACCATAAACACCTTCCCTGATCTGCAATCGTCGCGCCCCTTCCTCGTCCTCCAGCGTTGAGGACGCATAGGTATCGGCGCTGGAAGTTGAGAGAGATCGCTGCAGACCGCCTTGGTAGAACGGCCGATCCCAGTGGCCACCGACCATGAGCATTCCTGCGGCGCCGCCGACATCGGCCTGTGTCCGCACAGGATCCTGGGCTCTGCCCTTCCCCTTACGCTCCGAGAGTTGAGATAGCGGTACCTCCAGTACCTCGACGCCGTCCTCGCCGAACGCTATGGCCTGCAAGTAGGGAGATTCTTCCGGGTTATCAGAGTTACATATTCGAACGGCGACATGCGTCGGCGTCGATGTCCAGTACAGAATGCGATATGGAGGTACAGCGGAAACCTTGGCGGGGAGGGGGTGCGTGACTAGCTGCGACTGCCTCCCGCGGGTGAGAAGGTACATCTGCGTGAAGGTCGTGCGCCCGCCCGGCCCCGGTACGTCAAACTTGACGGGGCGGATCCATACGCCCTTCTCCTTGCTGAAGCCACGGCCGTCCCAGGATGCGCGAGAGCGGCGGGAGGTGAGCGAGCTCACGCTAGGGGCATTCATCAGAGCGGCTTGCTGTGCGCTCCAGTTGTCCTCGTAGAGCTCGACTTCGCCCACGGCGGCGTCCGCTATGCGGATCGTGCCCGCCTTCTTTTCGAAGACAACGAAGAGAGAGAGCTGAGTAGGGTATACTCGAACGTTCGAGCCGAACGAGAGCACGCGATTGTGACGGTGCGACGCGCTATCCAATGGGGCCGTTCGCGGGAAGACGTCCGACGGGCTTCTGGACATGCTATCTTGCACGGACTGGTGGATGAAGGTGATGCTCCGTGCTGGAAGTGGCGTGTAAAATTCCTATTATATAATAGTGAAGACGATCGTTTTATCAGTACCCGGTCTACGGAGCTGAACATCTCGCCAAATAACTAACCTTCGAGAACCGGAACGCACGTTCACCCTTGGGAGCCTCGTAGAGAAGTATTGACGACTTCGTCGCGATAGCGAGAAGCACGCCCCCCGGACCCCGCTGACCTTCGTTTCGCCAAACCTCGTACAGAAGGACTGAACTATTCTGTAGTCGAGAGCCGCTCGAAGCGAGCGGAGTATAGTTCGTGGCCCATCGTAGCGGCAGTTCGTTCACCATGTCCCAGTCTGAGTCACCCGAGTCCGCTCGTGACGGAGGTGCGACAGCCTTCGACTTTCCAGGTGAAGTCCAAGAGTCGGTGATAGATGAATACGACGCCCGAGGCTCGGGCTGTCGTGGTGGTGACTGAGGTTGGGCGATACCATTGTCGAGCACGAGGTTCTTCAGCCCTTTGGTGATGGAACTCGGCGGTCGGTGATGCTTCTTTCCATGGCTCTGAGAGTTTTTACCGCTCGAGCGCAGGTCCAGTGGTCGGGCACCCTACAGGTCAACAATACCGGGAATCAGCGACACAGGTCCGAACGTCCGACGGGAACCTAACCTTTTGAGTGGAATAGTACTTCGCCAGACTAATGAGGCTGCTGAGATTGTACATACGCAGAGTTCGCATGCTTTCTTCTCGTTCTTTGGCCGAAGTTTCTTCGGTGCTCACGAGCGCAAGTACTACACCCTGAGGGGTTCCTTCGCCTGTGCTCTCTGACTCTAGGATCGACATCTGGTGCACACTGAAAGATACAACTCAGGTGAATAAGATTGCGGGATGGAGAGGCACTCACCCTTCGCCTTCCCAGATGAGCTTCGCCTCGGCGTCAGCCGGACCCTTCTCGGTATCATCGTCTTCGTCCCATTCACCAGGGAACATGTCCAGCACCGAGAGTCCGTTGTCATGGCCAATAAGCAGCAGACGATGGTTGTTGAGCGGGAGCAGACAACGAATCGGAAAAGTCGTGTGAGGCAAAAAGCGCGAGCCAAAGTTATACAGCTTGAGATGGGAAGGGTCCAATGACTCAGGTATGAGGGTCTGTGGAGGCGGAGGATAGTTCGCGTGAGCAAATGGCGAGGGCATAGGTGGGGGTAGGGATGTTTGGAGGTGCAGCTGGGGTTGGAGCGACGGTGGGTGTGCAAACGTATAGGATGAGGGCGCGTTGGAATACATTGACATTGGGTGTGCCGATGGAGCATTCGAGTACATTGAGTACGGATTCGAAGACGAGCCATCTAATGATGAATATGTCGAGGGAGCATATACGGAGAATGTGGGCAATGAAGGAGCCTGTTGAGATTGACGTTGCTCAAAGCTTGATTGTCGGTCGAGCTTCAGGCGATGGGGTTATTACGACTGTGGCTGAGACATATATTACAATTCAGTGCAGGCTCACCCCGTCACCCCAGCCTCGCTGCCGTCGTCGCTCGAGATCGGCAGGTGTAAGATCATGATAACGCTCTGCAGCCCTTCGGTGACAACATGTTTGAGCGACTTGGGTGAGAGTACAACGGACGGCAGACGTACCTCTTCTCAATCCATTCCCTCCACCGGCCAAACCTGAGAGAAGCGTATTCCGTCTATGGCGTGCCTGATGTGATTGAACCAAGGTCACTCACCTTGAGTTAGGGCCGTTTTGTTGAGCAAGGTCGTCGTAGGTAGGCAATCCGTCGCCGCCGGATTGGTCCTGCTCAGGTACGGGCGGTACATTGAACGGATCTGACATGCTTGCGAAAATGGCGGGACAGTAGGCGAGGACAATTGGTTCAGTAGCTCAGATGTGTGACGGTCCAACCTAGGAAGACATGCGCCCTGTTCAGGATACAGTTTGCCAGGCAGGACGGATATATGACGGTCGTGAGCGAGAAGGGAAGTGGCAGTGCCCGACAGCCGTCGACCAGCATTTGGCACAGTATTTCATCGCGCATAGCCTCCCTACCGCCGGCTCCTGTCACCTGTCTCTTGTTCGGTTGATCACCACCATCTACGAGCCACGTCCTTGTGAAACCCTCTGTACTGAACCTGTACGGCCAGCTTCCCGCAGCAGACTATGGGCATCTTGAAGAAGTGACGGGCGTATATATCTACATTGTGGACGTCTCGGCTTCGACGTCCGTACACGAGATACAAATAGACTGTGGACACAGACAAGTTAAAATTACTTGGAAGTTTGAGGCTAAGTCGGCCTACGTCGGTTACCATGCGCCAGTGAGTATTTGAACAATCTCGTAAAAATGCCTACACACTCACATGGTATTCTTAGATGTCGTCGCATGCGTCAGTCTTTGACTCCTTCGCAGTCTCGTTTCCTCGTGGTGCCCAGCCAACCAAGTGCCGTATTCTGCACAATGTTATGAAAAACTGGGTTCCCAATGACCTTGGTCATATATCCCACCGCGTACCCCATCCACGATTGCTGTCTTAGACACTTCCGCAAGATGTTGCCCACTTGTTGAACAGCCCTCCCGTTCTCTCCCCAGACCAGCCAAGCACAATCCTGCCCTCTGGCGGACTTGCCGCTCTTGACCACGTATGTCTTGTATCCTAAATCCTCTGCTTCCCCGGCGGAAACGCGGACGTCTTCGTACGGCCCTTCCACAAGTTCCACTATGGCGCCGAGTTTCTTCACCTTGCCAAGAAATTGAGTGCTCTGCCTAGAGCGTCGTGTCTTCGCCTTACTCTACTCGTGAACAGGAAACCAATCATGCTGACGCGCAGCGAGATAGCCATGACCACTCACCCTTGGACAGTCCGTGTACTGTGCATGGTTTTTCATGGGACGCCCGCACTCACGACAATGAGGCGGTTTTCTTTTAGACTCGGTTTTGGTATAATCGCGGTAACGGCCAGATCGGTGACGATTAGTACCTCGCAGCATGCCAGAGACGGCACTGGCACTGTACCTCTCGGAGTGGTTCAGTTCGCTGAAGGAGTCGATACTGGATTCCGAGGTGCTCATGGTGATAGCTGGGCGTAGAGGTGGCGGAACGAGAGGTCATGAGTTGTAAGTCGCGTAGATCCCTTACTATAAGTCTGATGAGCTGACAATGGACACGCCCTTGCACAATGCATCATAGTAAAGCCATAACTTTGTCAACTGCGTGCGTGTTCTGGCGTGTGTTCCGGCGGTAGGAATGTACGGTACGTTTGTGTCACTCGAACTTACGCTTTTTCTGGTAAGCGCGCCGCTCTCTTCCGGACGGAGTCGACATAGCTAACAAGAAACGAGGAGGTACCGTCCTACCTGAATTTAACGATGCGCTGATTTCAAGGCTTGGAGCCAACGGCAGTCACTAGTTAGGAGCTTGTCCTGCGCTTTTTGATGCGTTCCGCCGACACCCCAACCGCCACGACTCAACAGCATCGAGCTCGATGTTGGAAAAGTGCGCGGAGCTTTTGCGTCGGAATGGCCTCCGGCGGTGCGTCACTGCGGATCACCCAACATACGCGAATGGATGTATGCGCACCAACCGGTGCTAATTGGAAGTCCTTTCTGGTCGTCGACATGGTCCTCCAGACGGAGGAAATCGACGACGTGGCCATGGCTACGAGGCGCGAGCTGCTCATCTATTGGCTTGTCTGCCACATGGAGATCCCCAGTACGGTCCGAGGATGATCGCGAAGGAGGGATTGCATGTGTGCATGTGGTTCCAGCGAGCTTCGCCCGACTGGCGGAAGGGGCCAGGGCTTGTCGCGCTACACCTGAGTGACTCCTGGGTATCAAGGGCGTCATGAACGAATTGCTAGTTAATGGTACTTGAGATAGCCTCGGGACAACCACGAGGCCCGTTCACGACGATCCCCGTCATGTGCAACAATGATTCACGTGCGACTGAGGGACATTGATGGCCGAGGGTTCTTGGTACAGGCCTCAGCCGCCACCCGTTAGCACTTTGGTGTGCTCAGAGGAGGATGGCAGCAATGTGGTTCCGATTCATCGCGTTGTTGACTAGCGTGGGGGTACTGTAGCCAGTTTGTAAGCGTTTACTTGTTGGGTAGGATGGATGAGCAATTTGGGGATGTTTGATACTTTTAGGAGAGCAAGGTAAACATGATTGAATTAGCAGTTGCAGAGGTCGGATACCGCTCGAGCTACTACTAGTTTGGAAGCAAAACATTGTTATGGACTCCAACTATGTTCACTTTCAGCTTTTCCATTAAAATACGACTGTGGTGCACGAGATCTTGCTCGTGGTTTGGTGGGTTCTCTGGTACGCAGCTGGCCGTGGGTTGTGCGACGATCAAGGCCAGCGTTCAAGACCGCGCTTTCCGAAACGGGCCTTCGACGATCACTTCATCTAAGATCCTGCTGTGACTGCTCCGTGACATATGGCATAATTTTGGGAAATGCGAGCGACAGATAAACGGAGCGCGACCTCAACGACTCAGGAGCCTGGCTTGCTGATCTCTTCCGCTCTACCCTCCTGGACGGTCTCATTGCCTTCCATAGCTTCTTGGAGCTTGCGCTATGGCAAAAGGTTCGCAGCTTAAGCAGCTGAAGACCGCGCTGCACTCCGCCGGGCTCGCGCAACAACCCCAGGCCGGAAAGAAGCGCAAGCGGGCTGCCCCCACGGAGCGCGACAAAGAGAAGAAGGCCGCGCGGCTGAAGGAGATTCAGCAAAAGCTCAATCCCTTTGACGTGAAGGTAACGAAGCTCAAACATGATGTGGGAGGAAGGAAGATCATCGGTACTACGGGACGGCCCGCACAAAGCAAGCAAGCAGGTATCGAGCAGGTGCGCCCATGCACATGCAGGCTTTGGAACATTTTGCGTTTGCTCATTGGTGCTCTTGAATACATGTGAACTCGTGAATAGAGGAAGAAGACTCTGCTCAAAGAGTACGAGGAGAAGGATCGGTCTGGAGGCATAGTTGACCGTCGGATAGGTGAAAATGACCCAACTATGTCGCTGGAGGAACGTATGTTGGAGCGTTTCACGCGCGAACGGCAGCGTGCCTCCAAAGGCGTTGCCTTCAACCTGGAAGATGAAGACGAGCTTACTCACTACGGCCAAAGTCTCTCCAAGCTGGACGACTTCGACAACGTCGGTCTTGGTCTCGATGAGGACGAAGAAGACGAAGGTGAGTTGCTTCGATGGCCACTGTTCACGCTGAAATTAACATTACTGTAGGTTTGTTGGATAGACGAGCCGTCGAGAGATCCCATTTTGGCGGGTTTGGGGACGAGGACGAGGAGGATGGGGAGGACGACGATGAGGTACGTGTGTATCTCCTGCAGTATCGTCTGCATTGCTGTTGCTCATGTTGCGCACAGCCCGCGCGGAAGAAGTCCAAGGCGGAGGTCATGGCGGAAGTCATTGCGAAGAGCAAACAACACAAGGTTCGCTGTTCCCTGTCACACCGTCCGTCCAGTATCTGAACGCTCTTTCCACAGATGTTGAGGCAGACGCAACAAGAGGAGGACGAGAACCTCCGTCACGAGCTTGACAACGAACTTGACTCCATCCGGTCGCTGCTATTCACAGCACCACCTCACCAACAGGCCACCGAGGATCAATCGTCTGCACCTGCACCCACAGACCTTCCACCAGACGACCAAGACAAAGAATACGATCAGTATGTTCGTGAGCTCGCACTTGACCGGAGAGCGAAGCCGAAAGACAGGACCAAGACCGAGGAGGAGCTTGCGTTGGAGGAGAAGGACGCGTTGGAGAAGGCGGAGAGGAGACGACAGAGACGGATGAGGGGCGAGGAGAGCGAGAGCGAGGAAGAAGGGAGAGGGAAGCGGAAGCAAGCGAGGCCCCGCGGAGGGGATGACCTTGATGACGACTTCGTTGAGGAGGAGCGTGCTTCGAATGCGCTCGGTGCAGGCTTAGGAGACGATCTGGCTATGGCCTCGGAGGACGAAGAAGATGGTGCCGACGACGAGGAGAACGACGAGGAAGGCAGCGAAGAAGGGGAGGAGGAAGATGAGTCAGGTGAGGAAAGTGGTTCGGTGACGGAAGAGTTCGAGACTGCGTCCGAAGACTCGGGTGAGGAGGATGGGGAGGAGGGTGAGGAGGAGGCTCTCGTGAAGTCGAGTCGAAAACGCCACGCAAACCCGCATGCTGCGAAGGAACTCCCATACACATTCCCTTGTCCTGAGACCCACGACGAGTTTCTCGAGATCATCGAAGGCGTCGACGATGAGGACGTGCCGACGGTCATCAAGCGTATACGTACACTTCACCATCCCAGCTTAGCGGAAGAGAACAAGTTTAAGCTCCAGGTCTGTCTCAATCATGATGAAGGTATTCACCCGAGTTGATCTCGCCGTTCCAGGGTCTGAACGATGTGCTCATCGATCACATCCTCTACATCACCTCCCCTCCTGCACCTCGTTTCACCCTGCTTGCATCACTACTGCCTCATCTCGCCGCTCTCACCAAAGCCTACCCCATTCAATCTGCCGAGAGTTTCACTGAGAAGCTCTCGCTCATGCACAAAAACTTGAAGCGCGGTCTCTCGAAAGGCGCGCTCGATCCTGAGGCGAAGATCTGGCCCGGTTCCCCAGAACTTTCGCTTCTTCGTGTCATCGGTCAACTATGGCCAACATCCGACATGAACCATCATGTTGTTTCCCCTGCACGATTAATCATGGGCGCATACCTCGGCTTGGGTCGTGTTCGGTCATTACAGGACATTGTGAGCGGCCTCTTCCTGTGCAGCCTTTTCATTCACTACGAGAAGTTGTCCAAGCGTTTCGTCCCTGAAGCAGTCAACTTTTTGGTCAACTCCACCCTTCACCTCGCCCCGCACTCGTACGCCGACGTCGCGTCGTTACCCGGCAATTTCCCGGCGCAGGACTTCAGGACAGCGCTGACGCTACCTTTAGCTCTCGACGAGAAGAAGGCCAAGAAGCTATCGGTCAAGAAGCCCGACTTCGCCACCTATCTAAGCGGCGAGCCTCTAGAGGAACAGGCGAAGGTAGACTTGCTTGGTCTCACCTGGGAGCTTCTTGGCAGAGTTGCCGACATGTACAAGGGTTTGGAAGGCTTCATCGAGTTATTCACTCCCATCCAAGAAGTCCTGGGGGCAGTGAAGGGCAGTGGTCTACCTTCCGACCTCTCGACGCGGTTGCAGTCATTACAAGACATGCTCCGCCGTCTCCTCAAGTTCGCCCTACAGAGCCGCCAGCCCCTTCGACTCCAGGCGCACAAGCCCATCCCGATCCCGACATACGTCCCCAAGTTCGAGCAGACAAGCTCTAACTACCTCCGCAATCGCGACCCCGACCACGAGCGGAACGAGGCGGCGAAGTTGCGCGCGCAGGTCAAGCAGGAGCGCAAGGGCGCGATCCGGGAGTTGCGTAAGGATGCACGCTTCCTGGCAGCGGAGCAGCAGAGGAAACAGAAGGAGAAGGACAGGGCGTACAACGAGAGGATGAAGCGCGTGTTCGGCTCGATCGAATCGGAGCGAGCGGAGGAAAAGGCGATGGAGAGGGAGAAGATGAAGGAGAAGAAGAGAGCCGGTCGCAAGTAACGTCGCGGATGATATGTACTCTTCAGTTTGTTAGGTTGCGTTCTCACTTGTATCCCTATGGATGACATGGCCAAGGAGCCGCAGTCAATGGGCGGGTATATATATTCGTGTGGGGTCACGTGAGTTGGGATACACGCCAGGAGACGCCGAGAACGCGTCGCGTTCGCGTTGTACTCAGGCGCGACTTGTCTCTGAACGTCCATCAACGAGACCCATTGCTTTTTTGCTACCCGTGTTCCACACTCTCCACTCTGTGAAACTGTCTTAGAAATGCTGCTGTCATGAGCTCCCAAATACCATCATCTTTAGCAACCGTCCCGTCGACTTTCCAGGAGAATGGCGAGCCCGCACAGTTCCTCGACTGGGTGCAAGGGCAGATGTCCGCGCTCCTTGGAGATCCAGGTCTTGTGCTGAAGGACAAGAGGAATGATTGGGTCAAGACAATATCCAGTCTCCTCTCAGTGCTCGCCCTTCCAGGCGCAACGGAACTTCCATGGCATGCGATGCACGAGCAAATCAAGCTCACGGAGGTCTGTCTCCAACTCATATTTCACGCTGCGCAGCGGGTACCTTCTTTGTTTGCTGGAGAAGAAACCCTCGCACAAGCTCTCTTCACAAGCATCACTATCCTTTGCACGACTCTCGATCTCTGGATAGATGTAGACCCACCGCCGGAAGCCGGGTACTTGAGCCCCGTCGAGCTATACACGAAGGCAAGCGTAGCTGCAGCTGCAGTCCTACAAGCACTTGGAGATGAGGTTGTGCCCGAGATTGGTCCGAAGTCTCGGCAGCTTATGAGGGCAATTGTTGATCGCTGTGCGCAAGCAGTTAGTGGTGCGTGTGCCCGAATCTCCAACCGATAGCACAATTTCACTACTGACGTGCATGTTAGATATGCTTTTGACCTCCGAAACAACCACTTATCCTGCGTATGTGGAGTTGTATGTCGATCCCGACGTCGTGGACTACCTCGCGAAGATATCCCAGGTGCGGCTGCTAACCATCTCAGTGTGACGATTTTCGTTTGGCTTACGGACGAGATAGACGTCTAGATTGAAGATCACCAGTGCGGCGCACGTTCCTTTAGTACTGAGCACCTCACTAGAGATCTGCATGATTGCCCTTACCCCCACTGCCACAAACCATTGGTTCGTCGGCGATCTCGCACGAGAGACTAGCCAGCTCGTGCAAAAAGCCTATGAATATCTGCTCTATGCTTGTACGACTGCCGGTACCTCTAGGCTGCGGGCACTCACGAGAACATGCCTGGCTTTGACTACCTTCTACGTGTCTAGCGGCTTCCCCGAGCTTGCTGAGTCTTACTGGACAAGGCTGCTATTGTTCCGCCTCGAGAGCGGCCCAGAGTCCGATTGGGATAAACTCGATGCCTCTCTGGCCGCAAGCGTACAGACATCAGGGATGACTCCTCGTAACCATGCGGATCTCTATGCCATTGCTCGCGCTTTGAGTATGGAAGACTGGGGAGAAGAAGGTGGTAGTTTGAGGGTAAGTACTGGACAAACATAGTAAATATACGGGATCTTCTCACCAATGCACACCAGGGGCTTTGCGAAGCGTACTTGATGCTGTTTGTACCATCCCTAGACCACGAGACACTTCGTAATGTCAATGCGTTACTCAACACGGAGACAAGCCCTCCCTCCTACGCCAATCTCCTGAAAGCCGTGAACGATCGCCTCGTCATCCTGGAGAATCCAGAGGGCGTGCTCAACAAGGCTACGTTATCACGGAGAGCCCTCGCGCGAGAGGCAGTGCAAGCCATTGTTGAGCCTCACGTTCTACAGTGGATGGACGACGATGATTCCCTGACCGACGTGGACTTCATCCGCCGAGCTCTGGACGAGATCAATAGACGATTCGAGGAGCAGTGAGTGACTGCCTGTATGCTATGGAGATGCGTTCCTAACCAATTCTTGTAGGCCTGTCTGGAATACAACACCTGGCGCCCTCGAAGGTCTCGCCAAGAAATTAGGAGACCTCCCGTGCCTTCTTTTTCACGCCAAGGACAAGTGTGAACCAGATGCGAACACGACTAGGCTCGGTGTTCCATTCATCGCTGTGTATCTCAAGGTCGCGTTCCGTATCCTTGAATGCGACCAGTCGCGCAAAATTCACCCTCGGGTCAGTGCTGCTGTTTACGACGCCCTCGCCAAGTCATTCCGCCACCAAACTTCAATTGGAGACGACCGGTTATATGAGGAACTCGGTGGCTTCGTGTCTCGCGGTATGAAAGATAAGGAACGGGCTGTCCGTCTCGCTGCCGGGTAGGTGCACGTTACCTGCCATTGGCGTAGCGCATAGAGTGACTTCCTACGCAGGCGTGCCCTCGTTGAGCTCGTCAGACTTTTCGAGAGGCTTGAAGAGAAGAGAGAGATCACTGTTGTAGGACTGTTCGAGAGGGTGAATCCGCTTTTGAGGCACCCTGAGCACCGAGTTCGCGAAACCACCATTGTGACTGTAGGCTTCATTGGAAAGTGAGTGTTAGGCTTGCCACTTGTCGGAACAATACTGATCGTATCGATCAAGGTCGTGCACTGGGCCTGCCTTACGAGAGAGCGTGTGTTCGTTGGTCTTCCAGATCGGCCAGTCCAATCCGATCTTGAAGGGCACAGCGACGCTGCAGGTATGCGAGGTCGCTTCCCATGTCTACACTTAGCTCATCCGACCATTATGATAGCTACAGGCCCTGGCGCGGCAGTACAAGAAATCGCTCTATAGTCTCACATCTCCCTATCTGGACCGCATCGCTCCGTACCTAGTCCGCCGCATGATCAGCGAGCCGGACGGCATCGCAGAGTTCTGTCGCCTCCTCTCGGTCACGCTCGAGGACTTCGTGAATCTGACGTTGAAGCACTCGCTCCCCCCTCTCTTCGCCGATGGCCAGGCCAAAGTGCTCGAAGCGGTCGCTGCGATCGTCAGGAAGCACAACATTGCGTTACTTGTGCTGGATGGGGCGCACTGGATTCTCTCGCACTCGTTCATGTTGACCGGAATTGGTCAAACTAACAGGGGTTTACAGTTCATTCTGGGGGTACTGCGGGAGAATGCGCAGGACCCCACAGCGATTGACATCGCGAGCGTTGCCCGGAGTTGTCTCATTAACCTCCTGGGAGAAATCGTGGTGTGCCTGGGGGATGAGAATCCTGACACTGTGGAAGCGGTATGTTACAAGATAACCTGCTCATGTTAGCTCAAGTTGCTGACACCAAGCAGGCACATCAGGGGTTACGCAAGCTCGTTCGGCTATTGGGTGCTCCAGGATCTGAGGCTTCGGGGACCAGGCAGGAAATCGAGGCGTTCTTCAAGGAACACATGCTCGGCGTCATCTCAACACTCAACGATATGTTGCAGGAGGTCCATGGCAGACAGTCGATTGAGACCAAGCAGAAGATTCTCCGAAGTCTTGGAGAGTTTGCCAAGCTCGTCGGTCCGACGATCGCGAACGTCGCTCCTCAGGTTCAGAATTCAATTCCACTTCCATCTTGAGCCGCTCTGATACATTATGCGTAGATCATGGCCTCGCTGCAGACGATGGTGGTTGTACCTCAGTTCTCCGAAGCAGCGTTGTCGAGTTGGTGTTCCTTCATCTCGACCCTGAATCCGGCGGACATTGGGTCGCACGTCGGACCCACGAGCGCATCTTTGGTTGCTTCATGGCCCTCTTTCTCTGAAAATGGCCGCGAGTTGGCACGAGAATGCCTTCGCTTCATGATTGTAGAAAGGGGCGCCGCACTGGGCTCGCGATTAGCGGAGGTTGCTGACCTCAGCTCCGTACCAGAACTGCATGCGCTATCCAAACATCTCGCAGAGTCGCGCAAGTACTGGTCTCCGTCGGAGCGCCTCAGCATCCTGTTGGAGCGTCTGGACAGCGATAGCCTCACTGTGGCGGTGCGCTCAGCGATAGAGCTCAAGGCCTGGTTGTTGGGTGGCGGCGAAGACCACGTCCGATCGCTGACGAATGGCGACGTCTTCGATCCTCTCGCCGGTCATCTCGTTTTCGCTCTGTATAGGGCGGCTTGCCGGGATGGAGACGGAACTGAGGCTCTCCACACGCTCGCGTTCGAATGCATTGGAATTGTCGGCGCTATCGATCCTGACAGGTTCGAGCTACGCGTCCACGACAACCGCATGATCATGACAAGCAACTTTGCGGACGAAGGCGAAGCGATGACTTTCGCGCTCCACCTCATCCAGGATCTTCTAGTGGGTGCATTCCGGTCGACGAGCGACATCAAGTACCAGAGCTACCTCGGTTACGCGATCCAGGAACTGTTGAGATTCTGCAAGTTTACTCCCGCATTAGTGAATCCTGGATCGGGGTCAGGTTCCATCCCAATGAAAGTGCGGCACCGCTGGAACAGCCTGCCGAAGACGGTTCTCGAGACAGTCACCCCGTTACTGGAATCGCGATTCAATCTCACATACTCGAGGATTGTCCTGCAGGCGTATCCGATCTACCCTAACCACTCGACATATCGACAATGGGTGCAAGCCTGGACTAGCGATCTGATCTACAAGGTCAAGCACGATGTTGCAAAGCGGATCTTCCAGGTGTTCACTCCTGTTGTTCGCAACAAAGACGTTGGCGTCGCTCACCACCTGCTGCCACACCTCGTTCTCACGGTCCTCGCTTCTGGCGACGAAGATGCTACCCAGGCAATCCGCACCGAACTGCTCTCTGTGCTCGCCGACCAGGTAGATGTGAACAGTTCCTCTACGCCGGATAAGAAGTTGCTTAGCGCTCAGGTATGGTCACACTGCCCTTTTGCCAGAAGGGGTCCAGATGCTGATGCACCTATAAGACTGTGTTCATGTTGCTTGACCATCTCAGCAAATGGATTCGCATTGTTCGCCAGGACATTGCAAAGCAGAAGGCGGAAGCGAAGCGCTCATCACGAACTTCAAGTGCCTCCGGGTCTCTGACGAATCCAGATATCGAGGAAGCCCTGCTGCGCGTGGACTCTGTCCTGGCCAGCGTGGATCAAGGACTCATGGCAAAGGCGGCGTTCCAATGCAAGGCCTACGCGAGGTCTCTCATGAATCTCGAACAGCAGATCATGACCCTACGTGAACGTCATACCTCAGCCCCTGAGCTGCAAGATCACTACGAGCGGCTGCACGAGATGTACGCTCACCTCAATGAGCCGGACGGTATGGAGGGTGTCTCGACGATGATCCTCTCCCCGTCCTTGGAGCATCAGATCCGTCAACACGAGAGTACCGGCCGCTGGACTTCCGCTCAAAGTTGTTGGGAGGTCCGCCTCCAGCATGAACCTGAGAATTTGGACTACCATCTTGGGCTACTGAGGTGTCTCAGGAACCTTGGGCATTACGGCATGTACGCACGGGTTTCGCAAGGAGTCGCGAACTGACCTAGCACCTTCACAGACTCATTGCGTACCCACGTCAAGGGCGTACTGATTAGGAACCCTGAGTGGGGACCTCAGCTAGTCGGCTATCAAGTCGAGAGTGAATGGATGGTGGGGCATTGGGAAGAAGTACAGAATCTCGTCTCGCAGACCGACGCCCGGCCTCCTCTTGTCCTGATGGCACATGTCTTGCTTGCGATGCGGTCTGGGAATGAAGCAGCCATCGCAGGATCGCTCTCTGCGGCCCGCGAAGCTTTAGGAGCATCTATAACGGCATCTGGGCCGACTGGTTATCGACGTTCGTATGACGCCGTGTTGGACTTACATCTCATCCATGAGCTCGAAGTTATAAACCAAGTCCTCCGCGATCAATCCGGCGAAGTACCCGCGGCTATTCGAATCGTGAATTGGAGCTTCGAGAGCCTGCTGCAACGCCTCGCCACTCGCTTCGACTCTACACTCCCATCGTTCCGCATTCGAGAGCCCATCCTGAATATGCGAAGGACAGCTTTCAATTTGAGGTGAGCGGGTAGTGTATCAATTCGAGATGACGTCTTCATGAATCTGTTCAGCGTGTCGCAGGTCGAGGAAGCGAAGCGAGCTACCGGAAAGCTTTGGCTCGACAGTGCCAAAATCGCGAGGAAAGCTGGTCATTCTCAGACGGCCTATAGTGCAATACTGCAAGCTCAGAGATGCAATACGCCTTTCTCTTTCATTGAAAGCGCGAGGCTCGTTAGGATGAGGGGAGAACCTCTGCGGGCGCTACAGGAACTAGAGAATGCCATGAAGTTGTTGGGAAACGAGGCGCATGAGCCATCCCCTGACAACGAAGTCATTGACCTGACTGAAGCTGCTCCTCCAGTTCGCCTATTCCCGGGCGAGACAAAGGCGCTGAGGGCTAAGGTAGGTTTCCGGCAGTATGATATGCAGTGAGAAATCGAAGCTCATCTCACCTTCAATCAAAGGCTCACATCCTTCAGGCCCGTTGGATGGCAGACTCCGACCGATACGAGGATTCTAAGGTTCACAAGGAATTCCTAGTAGGAGCGGAGATGTTGCCCAAGTTCGTCCATCAGCTCAAGCGTATGCAAACCGTATACTCACAAGCGGCAGATGGGAGAGTGGACAATTCCACCTCGGACAATTTCATGATGAATGCTTCAAGGCACTCTCTCCTACAGATAAGAGGAATCGGTCAGTGGCGGGAACATCTTCAACCTGGCCAATTCTGACAACCTGTTCAGCGGCATGAAAATGAATCTGCAGACAGTCCGATGCTTTACTCGCGCGATCAGATATGGGTCGAAGTATATCTATCAAACCTTACCTCGCGTACTTACCATCTGGCTCGATATGGCTGAGGATCCTGAGCGGGCGGCAAACGACATCTTCTCCAAGATCAATGCAGAAGTGTCTCGCACAATCAAACTAGCCCCAGTATACAAGGTGGGAGCTGTCTTTGCCTGTTTCCCGTCCTGAAGGCTTTGCTTAAAAGATTCCAGTGGTATACCGCTTTTCCTCAGATCGTATCTCGGATTGGCATGAGGAATGAGAGGGCATATGAAGTACTCGCCTATTTGCTCTCGTATGTCATTGCAGAGTATCCGAGGCAGGCGCTGTGGCTCTTCACGGCAGTGGCCAAATCTACCACTCCACAACGCGCTACGAGAAGCAAGCAGATCCTGTCCAAGCTACGAGTAGGTACCCTTATGAATCTCTGCAATAATGTGCACTCACGCGGACTTTAGAATCAGAATAGGAACAACACTGGTAGCATGGTTACGGCGATGGCCAAGATGACTGATGAGCTTCTGAAGTTCTGTCACAAGCCCCCAAAGGAGGCCAAAGTACTCAATATGCTCAAAGACTTCCCGGCACTGAAGAAGATGATAGACAATACAGCAGCTGCGAAGGAGATACTGATACCTTTGCAGGAGTCCCTAACGGCGAATCTTCCACCTCTCTCAGCATCGGAGAGTACACATCAGCCGTTTCCCATCGACGCCCCAACGTTCGCATGTGAGTGATCTCCCTCGACACTCTTGCCTCAGATAGTGACGGCCTTGTGCAGCCTTTTTTGACGAGGTCGAGGTCATGACCTCGTTAGCCAAACCCAAGAAGATGTCCATCATGGGAAGCAACGGGCAGGTTTACACCTTCTTAGGCAAGAAGGATGACCTGCGGAAGGATGGTCGATTGATGGACTTCAACGCCATTCTCAACAAACTCTTGAGGAAAGATTCTGCGTCACGTCGCAGACAGCTCAGTAAGTGCGTGGTCCTGTTGAATAGACATGTACTCAATCCGTGCGGCTACCAGATATCCGCACTTATGGTGTCGTGTCCCTGAACGAAGAGTGTGGTTTGATCCAATGGGTCCCCAACACGGTACCTATTCGTCCTATTCTTCAGACCCTCTATGCCCGTCGAGGAAGGCAACTGTGGGTATGTTGTGCTCCCGATATATTCGTAGATGTTCTCCTGACGCGGACAGGGCAACGACGTGAAAGTAGCATTCGATAAAATGAAGTTGAAGAACAACAGGGAGGCTGCCGCGATCTTCACCGAGGAGGTCCTGTCATTGTTCCCGCCGGTCCTGCACGAATGGTTTGTCGAGACATTCTCGGAACCGTCCGTATGGCTGGCAAGTCGGACGGCGTACAGTCGAACTGCTGCGGTCATGTCTATGGTGGGATACATCCTCGGGTAAGTCGTCACTATATACCACTGCGTTTGGTCTGATGAGGGTATCTACAGTTTGGGAGATCGTCACTGCGAGAACATTCTGTTGGATACAAACTGTGGAGACGTCATCCATGTGGACTTCGATTGCTTGTTCGAGAAGGGACAAGCTCTTGAGACGCCTGAGATCGTGCCGTTCCGTCTGACGCACAATATCGTCGACGGTTTCGGAGTGACTGGCGTCGAAGGTTCGTCATACCGATATCGCACTCGTATACCTCCCTCTGAGTTTAACCGCGCAGGCTTCTTCCGCATCTCATGCGAAGTGACGCTTCGGTTGCTTCGAGAGAACAAGGACTGTCTCATGAATGTTCTGGATGCGTTCGTTCATGACCCCCTGGTCGAGTGGGAAGAGAAGCGTCGCCGACTAGAGCGCAACCACGCTGTGGCTGACATGCGCGCCGTATCCCAGGATGCTTTGGGCCCGATAGAGGAGAAGCTGCAGGGTGTCTTCAGACTCATGAAGTCGAGCCCTGGGAAGCAGCTGTCGGTGAACAACCATGTCCAAGCTCTCATACATCAAGCAACCGACCCCGGGAACTTGGTGAGTACCGTTGGTGTCTTGACGACACGGACAGGAACTTACGGGTCATAGGCACGAATGTATGTCGGATGGGCACCGTTCCAATGATTTCAGGTTCACAGACGAACTGTTCTATATCACTCGCATTGTATCATATTCGTACATCCTGTTCCGCACTGTATTGCTATTTCACATACACGATTCTTACTTCAATTTCGATTGGAGCGCTGCCTCGAGCTCTTTCTTGTACTTGTTGGATTCGTTCTCCTTCTCAATAAGCTTATTGCGCCACTTGTGGGTGTCCTCGACGATCTGCTTCAACGCCTTATCCAGCCTCTCCGCCTCCTCCTTCTCCATCTCCTGCGTGAACTCTGGCGTGCCGCCCTTCGATGCCTCAAGAGAAGCCATATTCGCGATGTGGTATGGGACTGGTCGCCGCTTGACCTTGGGGAGCGGGGTAGGAGGGTGAGCAGTGAGGATGTTGAGGAAAGACTGAAAGGGATCGTTGAAGACGATCTCGTCGTACTGCCATGAGTGCACGGGACCCGCCTTCAAGGCGTTTTCCAGAGTGGGGATCTCAGGTTCGCCGCTCTCGGGGGTGGTCCAAGGGTGGAGCTTGAGGTGGTGGTAGAACGTTATGGCCTTCTCGCCGGACTCTTGGACGAAGGTTATGCGAATGGTGATATCGAACTCACCCCACCTATGGAGCTCTTCAGTGCGAGAGGTCCAAAGGGGAAAGATATGGTACGTACCCTGTTTCTGACACTTCAAAGGGAGGCTTATCCACGTCTACCACACGCATGTGAGTCAAACGGGTAGGAGTAGCGCAGTAGCGCTTACTTCGAGTTGGATTAGGGTACGTATCGTGCAGCTTGAACGTCACCCGTTTGATGAAATAGCTCAAGTCATCCGCTCCTCCCACCTCATTAGAGTCTGGGGCAGAGGCGGCACTGCGTACGGCAACCGTCCATCGGTGCGTATGGTCGGGGCTAGGGAGCGCCTCCCGCTCTTTCGGAGTCAGGACCCACGCAGTGTTTCCATAGATGATAGGACGATGTATTGTAACTCCCTGTTGTCAGAAGGATATGAGAGAGACATTAGGGCAACGGGAGGCGGGATACGCACTCGGACACGGACGCGATCGTTGGAGGCCATGACGGACGCGGTCGAGGCGAGTCGCGCCGGTTCGGAAGTTAAGACTCCGCCTCGCGCGCTCGGACTCGAGCGCAACAGCTTTGACTTGCTCCTTTACCCCTCCCTTACTCCTCACCCCGACGTTGCGTCAAAATGGTCCTCAATGCTCTTGTGAACAGTCAGTGTGGTTTGCTACAATGCTAGCGAATCGTCTACCCACTAAGATTATTGCTAAAGAGCCTAACCGTGTCGTGGAGAAGCAGAAGCTCGTGCAGGTGAGTCTTGGTCTGCAATCCTTGCTTGCGGAATGGGACAGTCTGTTCAACCTTGTTTACCTGACTTTCAGAGCTCACACGAGCCCATATACTACCGTCTGCCTCGCTCGAAGCTCTACGTCAGTGAGTGTCCCGTCCTGACCCCGCCCATTGGTCTCCCCTTGATGGCGTTGCCTCCCCTCAGACGCGTACTTCGCCCTCTTCACGGTGGGCATGCTCAGCTCGACGTACGGTATCTACCGGCTCATCCGGGTGGGTTCTGTTGTCTCGTTTCTCCTTGTGATATATAAGCTCATGAACTCTCGTCCTTGCTTGTTATGTACAATAGGGCAAGCCCGCTGGTGAATGATTGGTCTAGCACACAGATGCAATGTCAATGTAGCCTTTCGTCGTTCTTAATTTCAACGCTCTAGACGAGGAACCTATGTTGTGTGAAATCGAAAGACCATGCGTGCGTTTGATGCGGTTTACCCGACCTCTCCCGGATCTCTCCGTGGCCTGCACTACTGTCTGGCTATCCTTTCAATGGTCCCGTCATCAAACGGTAGCGTGAAGAGGGGGCTCTGTTGAGCGCATCAATACTGCAGGATGACAGTGTAATGCAAGGAAAGAGTTATCCTTGGGATCATACCGTATGCTTGCACGTGGTCCAGACACGAGCAAGGACGCGCGCGAAGTCGGGCTGCCCAGTCGTCCACTTTGCCTCCTGCCCTCATCTATCTACCTACTCGTCTGCGCTCTCTACACGGGATGACGGACCAATATGTTGACCCGAAGGTCGCTCGCGCGTCCTACCGGCCCAAAAATGTATGTCTTACACTTGCCTAGCAGTCTCGGATCCCCCGACAAATGTTCCTGGCTCTAGGTGATGTCCCCGGGCCTGAAACGCGCGCGCGAGCCCTTCAGGCTCCGTAACGCAATCACCGGTCTCGCACTCGCCGGCTTCGCTGTCGGCGTATGGGCATACTCCATCAGCGCGGTGAAGCAGGACGACTTCGGAGACGTGGACGAGGAGGCACGCGCGCTCATGGCGGGGTCTGGGATCCAGAAGTCGGAAGATGGGGCGGCAGAGGCGGGAGGAGCGGCGGAGGTGTCGAAGGCGATTGCTGTCCCTGCCCCGGCAGCACCTACTGTCGTGTCACCTTCGATATCACCCCTCAGCGTGGGGACAAGACGGGGCATCCTACCACCACTTCTCGAAGGTCGGTTCCCCAGCCTCCTGGATCCCCGAACAGGCACTCTGGTCTGGAGCGCACCTCCAGTAGACAACGTTGGGAAGCTGGGGTCAACAAGTTCAGGAACAAGACGAGTCCTCTAGTGTCCATGAAGCGAAAAGTACATTTCCGCTTGCTTCTCCGTATTGTATTCATAATAGTAATCCCCATTCAGCATTTGATCTTGCATATCCAATATATAAGACACAAGGCACGTAGATCATAGCACATATGCACCACAAAGAAGCAACAGAAAAACACAAGTAACTGAAAGCAATCAGCGAGCATGACGAAAACACAGCAAAAGCAAGCGATGACACGCTAGAATCCATTTCCCTGCGGTCAGCATTCCATCCGTCCGAGTCCTGGGTATGAACGTCCGTCTAAGATAACCCTCGCACATTGACTTCACACCTGAGCGGGATGACCAGCTTCGTCTGCTGCGTGCATCCAGCGCGAGTCTGGAGACAAGGTGCCAAGGCTCAGGCAGCCGCGTAGAACCCTTCCGGCTGCCTTCGCATCCAGTCCGATTTCCAGTCAGCCATCCGTCCCCTTTCCTTGCGTTGCTTGGGAAGGACTCACGAAATGTATATGCCGAGGTGCACGAGCCCCTCCTTCGCGGCCTCGTTCCGCGCGGCTTTCTTCGTGCTCCCGCGCCCGCGCCCGAGGCACTCGCCCTCGCACATGGCGCGGACGACCCAGATGGGCGTCGTCTTCGTCCCCTCGCCCTCGCTGTCCGTGTACACCCACTCGACGAACTTGCCCTGCTGCTGCATGTGCTGGTTGAACAGCGAGAGGTGGCCGACGTTCCCCGGGATGCGCGGAGGCGGCGGGATAGACCAGGACGACGCTGGGATCCCGCTGTTGTCCGGGGTCGCGACGCCAGAGCCGCGCATAGGCGGGGTTAGGGAGACATGGCGGTAGGCAGAGTGGAGGAGGGGGTAGGGAGGGTCGGGATCCGGGGGAAGGCCGTGCTGCACGCGGACGATGCGGTACGCTTCGACAATGTAGGGACGGAAGAGCGGGTGCAGCCAGGTCTTCGTGACTTCAAGACCACGGTCAAGGTACACGCCGCCTACGAAAGACTACAGCGCGAGTTAGTTTGTCGTCTCGTCTTCGTTCGAGGTGCACGTTACCTCGAAAAGATCAGCTGGAAACGATTGTGAGTGCTAGCCTGAAGGCAAACAGTGCCTGTCCTCATACCTTGAATGTTTGTGGACGCTTGCAGCGTGATCGCCTGCGCAGGGTGCATGCGTAACCTCTCAGGCAGACGATACTGGACAGAGCTAAGAGAATGGTGCTCAGACTACGTGTCGATGGTGATCTCACAACGGAGATGCTCACATCGAGGCAAGGGTGGGGTTCCCAACGATTAGAGCGCGTATTTTCTGAACGGGACGGTGGTGTTAGTAGGGGCACGGTGGAGGCCAAAGGACCACTCGCTCACCGTAGAGGGCCCCACCCGCAAGCATGGGTAGACTTCTCTCAACAGCCCTGTCACAACCAAATTAAGTACAGTATCCCCGAGATGCTCAAGCCTATGGTCAGATCGGACGTCAGGAGACTTCGAGGCTACACGGCGCAAGAGGAGTAGGGGTGCCCACATCTCGTTGTCCGGACTGGGGTCATCTGGCATGTCCTCAAAGATATGGGTTGGGCGCGCAAAGAAGCTGCGATGGGTGAACACCTGCAAGCGCAGCTGCTCGGACTGTATGTCAGGTAGCGGGGGAAGTCCATTCGGGAACTCTGGCCTGCAGGAGTAAAACCAGCTTCGATATCGACCACAGGTAGTCTTCGTAGGCATATCGAGACGTACTTGATTGGAGTTCGCCCGCTGGGGAGGAAGATACGAGGCAGACCAGGCCCGCTGAACCGCACGAGTCATAGTCAGTTCCCTGTCTACTCGACGTCGATCGACGCAGACGCACTTAGCGGCGGACGCCATACCCGTAGCTCACTCGGCACAAGAAGAGGCTGGGAGAGGAGCAAGCATCTCTAGATACTCGCGGGGTATCAGTATATATGAGGGCGCCCTTGGCGTGGTTGCGGAGATCCATCGGACTCGGTTACGAATGGCTGAGAGACAAATCATGCTCAAGGTTCAATCGGATCGCTCGACGTCTACCGGTGATAGTATAAATGCACTGCTGAGCGTTTGCAGGGCGTTCGTTCGGCATCGGCGCACTGTCCAACATCATTTTGCAGGTTCATGGACCGGAGGTGGAGCGTGAACAGAGTCAAGGCGGCGAAACAGAACGAAGGGGACGAAAGCATAAGATAGTGCTACTATACACGAGTGGATAGCTTCCTAGAGCAGCAAGTAGCCACGCATCCTCCTCGATCATGCGATCGCCTCGACCGCCAGCGCCGACGCACTTTCTGAAGACTGTTGGTCGGCAGCCTTCTCCTTTAGCTACATCGGAGGGAGGTTCAGTCACCAAACTCAGCTGATACATGTACATGCGCAATAGCGTACCTTCTTCTCAGCCTCCGCCTTCAGCTTGAAGTAATCCACATGCAGACCGCACTCGGTCTTCTCCTGCTTGCCCGCCCACCGGCCCGCACGCTCACCAGCATCCCCCTCGCCGCTCTTCACAGTGCTGTGCCAGTCGCCAATGCTACGGTAGCCCTGGTCGAGGAGCTTGTTGCGCGGGACCTTGTTGTTGTCGACGTACCACTGGACGAAGGGGAACGTCCAGGCGAAGAGAGGATTGAGCTTGATGAGACCGGTGTTGTCGACCTCGAGAGGCTGCAGATTCGCGCGATCTGCGCCTTGGGATGCGCGGCGGCCGGTGATGACCGCCTTCACGCCGAGCTCTTCGTATGCTCTTCGAGCAGGCTCGACCTGTCAAAAACATTAGCGTTAGAAAGCGGGACAGCGTAAGGAACAGCGTACCTTCACGAGGTAGTCGTACAACGTCTCATCCGCCTCCCAGAGCTTCTGCCCGTGCTTTTTCTCGAAGTCCTCCACCGTCTCGCAACCCTTGGGCTTGTATACATGCACGTCGCGATTGTACCGCTTCTTGACCTCCTCGACGAGCTCGTAGGTTTCTGGAAAGTGATAGAGTGTGTCGACGAAGATCAGCGGAGGGGGATTTGGGGTGATCTTCGAAAGCATGTCAATGGCGACAAGGCCCGTGAGCCCAAAGGCCGTCGTCTGGAAGAGGCCGGGAACATGTTCATGAGCCCACTCGAGGATCTGCTCCGGGGTCACGTCGCGGAGGTAGGCGTTGATTGAGTCGATCTCCTCTTGGGAGAGGGGAAGCCTAAGGGGCTTGTCGAAGACCGGTTTGGCGGTGGATTGCGGCATTAGTGACGTAGCTTAAAGTATCTCTGGAGGCAAGGAATCAAGAATAAGAGTGCTGCCGTTGTGGTTTATGCAGGAAGGCATCTCGGGGTGCGAGTATAAGACGGAGCAGGAGGACGGAATGCGCGCGCTGGGAGTGGTCGACACCATAATGGCGCCCAGGTCCCACATGATTCAGCACATTCTCCAAAGTCACGCAAGGATACGCAGGCCCAATCGCCAGGAGGAGGTTTTGGTGTTGGCTATCGAGCCTGAGTGGCATGTCAAGCACAATTTGGAATAGGATGGAGTGATCTATGGCTCCTTAGAACGGGCGTACACAGTGCTGATTTTCGCGGGCCAATGGTCTCTGCGTTATTCCATCATACAAAGAGAGTATCTAAAATCCATTGACCCTGCATCCCATGTGAACGCAGCAGACTCCATACGAATAGAAACGTGGTGAGAGAAGGTTCCTCGAAGCGTCGATAGCCTGCCAAGGTACGGCAGCTGTAAGACGTGACTGTCTGACGTCTGACACAGGAGGATGTTGTTGCACGACGCCCGTAATCATATGATACACATCTCGGACCTATCGAACAGAGTATATCAGCAAGCAAGCAATGAATTGCGGCGAACGGCGAGTATATGAACACGTCAATGGGGACGCGTTCACTATAGTGCACTCAGATTGCAAATTACGACCATCATCCAGCTACAAAGCCGACGTTCATGAACGGTTCCTTCAAAATGGAACCTGCCCAAGCCCGAGGACAGCTGTATGGCAAGTTGCTTGGCTTCTTCATGATGACCACCCTGCCCGCCCGTGAGGTCGAGGGACAGGAAGCTACTAGATAAAGGGGGACAAATTTCACATACATGTACATCCAACCCATGACGTCCACGGTACCCGGAGACGTTTGCGAGATGATCTGTGGCAAAGGCTCAGGCGTAGGTCCGTACCCAGTACTGCCAGCCAGGAGTGTCGGCTGTCATCGTGGGTACTCGACATATTTTTTTCTCCATGTGCGCCCATTGCCTTCAATAGATCAGTTGGAAGAGCCTCATTGATGTGTTGATTCCGAGTACAAGGGTCCACCAGCGTTGCTACATGCAGGTGACAATGAGTCTTCGCCACGGAGACCCACTCCAGTACCATTGACAATCGTCAGCGAGTCTCTCATGAATATATCCGTGCCGGACTCACATCATAACGACACAAATGAATCGACACTGCACGCACTGAAAATCCATTGTACGAGATGCAGTCGATATACACTGGTCCTGAATAAAGTCCGCCCTTCATTTACGCATCCTCTTCTTGAACCTCTCCATCACCTGATGCAAGTGCGTCAGCTATACAGAATCCTCGGTTATCATGTGGCATGACTCACGATCTCGTCCGTCGCCATCTGTGCCCTATCCGATGGTCGACGATACTCGTGATCGTCGGGACGAAGGCCCATCGCCTCGAGCTTAGCATCACGCATGATATCCGCATCCGACTTCGCTTTGAGGTTGGGACGATAGACTGAGCCCAGGCATAAGCGTGCATGTCCTGAGCGGCACGAAAAGAAAACAAGATCGAGGGTGGCACGTACAACGGGCTGCCGCGAGATGGGCTTCGTCGTCCGCTTTCTTTGACCGCTCTTTACGCAGTTCGGATATCTGGCGTTTGGCCTTTTCCGTCTCCTCGATATTCTTGAGTCGTGTACTGGGAAGACCGTCAGCGGACGTGAGTGGCACGAGACAAGGGTACGCACTCCATGCCTAGATCAACCTCCGGTATCGCAGTCAGCATGGCAAGACTGTTCGTAACGTTCCCTTCCTCCTCCTTCTTCTGTGCAGCCTTCGTAAGGCGGAACAACTCAGCGTAGGGATCCGCTGGGCCTTCATCCTTCTTGTCGTCGTCTTTCGCACCCCGACGTAGCTTCATGTTCTCTTCAATATACGCCATCCTGGAGGGAGATGAGAAGCACGAAAGGGCACCGAAGGAAGCGACGTACATGTGTTTGTCGACATCAAGCGCATTGGTTTGCTGGGTGAAGTTGTTTGTGCGTACGACCCTCCGTGCTTTGGCTTCGGTGTCTTCGACATCCCTGGAGCATACAGTCAGTGCATCGAAGATGTGAGTTATACCATACCACAGGTGAGACTCACTCATCGTCCTCCTTATCTTGGGTCGAGGCACCTGGTCTGAGTCCGTACGCTTCCTCCTCAGCCTCCTTAGGCCGCTTGCGTTTCTTCTTCACGTCACCCTTCGTGAGCTTAGCAGCGTCAATACCCTCCCTTGCTTTCCTGAGTTTGCGCAGCTCAATCAAATCTGCGATACTACAGTGCGTTGTCGTCAGTCGTAGCGCATATACTCGACCTAAAGCACGCCCGAGTACCTACTCTAGCTTCTCCTCATCCTGCACCTGTTTTTCAGGAGCCTCAGCAGCAGGGGTATCATCCTCATCATGAGACAACAGCTGTCGTGTGCGGGGGGGTGGACGAGCACGTTTCTTGAAGACGGGGACGGGATCTGAGGACATGACAGTGAGCGGTCAAGCTTTCAAGCGTGCTCGGGCTGATTCCGAACAAAGCGGAAGTATAACGTCACGTGCGCGATACCCTCACACCATGCTGAGAGTAAAGAGGATTAAAAGTCAAGGCGAAATCCAAGACGTGACGGTGAGATTGAGACGGCAAGAGCAGATGGTACTAGTACAGATGGTAAAGATACAAGAGCTGCCGAAACTAATCCAACCAAACACATCTCCAGGCGATCTACCGGGACTCGATAGCAGGCGAAGCAGCCCTGGAGGCCGAAGGTGGTACAGAAGTGCCTTGTGCAGGAGGCGTCAATGACTCCCCTGCAGCCTCCACTGGCGCAGAGGTGACATGAGCAGATGGAGATGGTGGTGAGAGCGATGCTAGGCGTAGGAGGGATGGGCCGGTGCCCGGTGATGCAGGTCCGTGGAGTAATAGCGACTCCGGTGGACGAAGGCCCCCTCGGCGCAAACGTGGGGCGATGACTTGTCGACGATCTTCATTAAGGTCCGTGGTACTGGATCCGCGGGAGAGGGGGGCGAAGGACATCGGTTCTGGCGAAGCAGGAGACGACGCAGTTAAGGAATACCACATTTGTGATGAGCTGGGGTTTGAGTTCGCTACAGGCCAACCCAGCTCGTCGACAGTGATGTTGCCGAAGGATGACGCTCCCGCCCTGCGACGCGCCATCCAAGCGCTGAGATCAAGACCCCCTCTTGCGCCGGTATCTGTGGCAGAGGATGACGCTTCCGTTAGCCTGGTAGCGTCAACAGAACTTGACCTCCCAATGGTATCTGATGACGATTCCCCGCGTGGTCCATCATCCTGCGTTGTACTGTTCCTGATCGCAGAGCGACGACGCGACGTGAATCCCGCAAACTCGTTCGACGTGTCTATTGTCCTGGAGCGATGCGGGCGGCGGATGCTGCCTTGCCGAGTAAGAGAGGACGAGCCAGGACCACCGAGTCCCAACCAGCCTGCCGTAGCATGGCCAGCAGAGGGAGACCGTGGAGGGGGGCTGTTCATAAGCCAAGATCGTGAGGACTCTGGAGGGTGCGGGGAAATTGTGTTCCGTTCCGATGAACGTGACATAGAACCTGGAAGGTCATATGTCGACGGGAGATACGCGTCGTATAGATCCGTATTGATCTGCGCTCCTTCGAGTTGTCCAGAACTGCCCAACATGGTGCCGTATTCTTCATCTCCGTCGGAGTCTGATAAGATGTCATGGAACGTGGTGCCGTAGGGACGAGGAGGAGGAAGGGGGACACTGCGACGGGCGCGGTCTCTCAGAGAACTGCCGCGGTAGACATGCAAGGGGGCTGCCTGCATACGTAGGCTTTTCGCGGTCCTTTCTGAGATGAGTCGACGGTCCCCGGGATTGGGACGCTGTTTGCGTTCAGCCAATTCCTATGATGTTTGCTCGTTGAGGGGCTATGCACAGAACGTCGCAATTCGTGGGGCGTACCTTGACCAAAACGTCCACTAACGTCGCCGTGAAGGCATCTCCCTCATCTAGCTCCTCAACAAAGGCTTCGTACGTGATAGAGGGGTCATCCTGCTCGACCTTCATTCGTTTTATGGCGCCCTGCCTGTGAGGAGTCAGTAACTTTCAAGGAACTCACGTTGGATGGGCAGGTGAGACACTAACACCAAGTTTTTTATCTTGTTCCGAAGCACTTCGTCGTGATATTCCAAGGTCCTGCAGAGGTTATCTCAGCTAAGCCCTGTTTTTACTGTATTGCGGTTCTGACAAACCATTTGCCCATGGCGAAGAGAGGGGAAGCAGTGGTGGCAGTGGATGAAGGTCGGGAACCGGCGTTAGCGGGGTTCGATAAGGCAAGGGCCATCTGAACGCTGATTGGCTGGAGTGGACAATTACTAATACTTTTCCCCGATAAGCGCGGTTTAGGGAGGGTATGTGGCGCCCTGCCGCAATTGAGGCCTGCACGCTTCTTGTCGCTAACCTTCGCCATCTCCTACGTCGACGAGCCTTGGGCGGGTTCTGCCTTGCATACAACAGAGTATCTGCGTGGGCAAGTGCAGCGGTACGTCCTTTCCGAGGATCATGATATCATGAAGAGACAAATAGCCACTGAAGCTCACTGATACCAACGCCTTAACCAGAACAAAACTCGACGCTACCCAGCCAGCCGTTCCACCACTCATTTCTCCTGTCTACTGTCCTTTGTCGCTCCACAACCCACATCTGCTATGGCATACGCTCAGCCGTTCCCCCTCGCTCAGCCTCCTCAGAAGGCCCTGCAGCAGACTTTCGGCCCTGATCTCGCTGTCCGCCTCATCTGCCCTGAATGCAGAGATCCCAATCCGAACATTGTCGAGGAATTTAGCAGCGGGGACCTCGTATGTGGCACTTGTGGGCTAGTGCTGGGCGACAGGATCGTCGACACGAGAAGTGAGTGGCGGGTAAGTACCTACATTCACCGCAGATATTTACAATGCTTTGCGCTAGACTGTCTAACGCTAGTCGTATTTAGACGTTCGCGAACGACGAGGGTGACGACCCGTCCCGTGTTGGTGCGGCGTCTGATCCCCTCATGGAAGGGATAGAGCAGCTGGACACTACCATCTCCTTCAAAGACGGTGGCTCCGGCTTGGCGCGAGAGCTGCAGCGCGCAGCCTCTCGTGCGAACTCTTCGCGTTCAGAGCGCAATCTTTTGCAGGCGTTCCGGGACATCTCGAACTGGTGCGACCAATTCTCCCTCCCGAAAACCATCTCCGATATCGCGAAGCAGCTGTACAAGCGGTCGGATGAGGAGAAATTGCTCCGCGGCAAGCCTCTTGAGGCAGTGATCGCAGCCTGTATCTTTATCGCTTGTCGACAAGCGCATGTTCCCCGTACGTTCCGCGAGATCTGCAACCTCACCCACGTCAGCAAGAAGGTCCTGGGACAGTGCTACAAAGCACTCGAGCAGGCGTTCAACCTGACCCCCGGCGCGTCCCAGGACCGCCATGCGATCACCCCCAGCGGTACCACCGGTGCGGAGGACCTGCTGGTGCGCTACTGCAATCACCTCGCGTTGCCTCCGAATTTCCAGCCGATTTGCGCGGATATCATCGTCAAGGCTCGCGAACTGGGTATTGCGGATGGCCGATCGCCCGTGTCTATCGCGGGTGGCGCCATCTACTTCACGTGCTACTTGCTTGACAAGCCGAAGACCGTGCGCGAGATCAGCACGGTCGCAGGTGTCAGCGAGGGCACGATCAAGCTTGTCTACAAGCTCTATTATGCGGAGAAGGAGAAGTTGGTGAAGGAGGAGTGGATTAAGGATGGAAAGGCGAAGCTGGATAGGCTGCCAGTTGAGAGCAGTTCAAAGTGAGGATTCTCGCGATGGAGAGGACCGGAGGACCACGGACGCTGTTACTATACAGTATATAGCTCATGGAAAACCCGTAATATGCGACACCCGCTGTATGTATCATATTATGCGAAAATGACAAACAGGTTATCACCGACTTCCAGAGCAGCATCAAAAAGCTAGCGACCGAGATGGAGATGTATGGTGAACCACACAGTCGACACAAAGTGATGATACCATATGCGAGGGACTACGCTACCGTTTGCCCTTCTTGCCCTTACCACCTTTACTGGCCCCTTCCCTAGCTAGCGCTGCACTGCCCTTACCCTTGCTCGCTGACCGGATAGCCTTCCTAACGTTGAGGACATCACCGGATGAGTCCGAAGATTTCTTCGACTTCTTTGCCATGGGCTCCTTGTCAAGTTTTGAGATAATGGCAAGGTTTTGTGACTTCTCCTTCGACGCAGATGTCTCTGTAGGCTCGAACTGCAAAACATACGTCGCACAGTATCGACAAGGGGCTAAGGGTATGATCAGCCGTCCGGCTTACCTTTCGCTTGACACCCTTCAACGGCTTCTCGCCATCCAACTTGCGGTCGAACTTCCCCAAACTCGCCGTGCTTGTCCGAGTGACCGCGAGCGTCCGATCAATTGTCTTCTTCCGATCGTCCGAACTGGAGCCCGCCGCCGCCGCCCGCGCGAGGTTCGCAGAGCGCTGCTTCTCGTTCTTCGCGACGCGGGCCTTGCGCTCGTCACGCGCGGCTTTTGCGGGGTCAAAGTCCACATCTATCGTCGTATGAGTTCTGTGGGCGGATGTGCAGCGCGGAAGAGGGATTGGCCATACCGGCATTCGCAGGGACCTCGGTAAGCCATTGAACCTCCTTGTCCTTGTTCGCGCCCTTCCAACCCCAACGGTCGACCCACTCCTGCTTCTCCTCGTTCCAGACCTTTTTGTCCCTCCGCTTCTTCTGAATACCCTTTGCCTTCGCAAATTGCTCCCATTTGGTTGGAGGCTTGGGTTTGGGTAGAGGCTTCGCGCGGGGTAATTGTGTTGTTGGCGGGGGGAGCTGCGCTAACGGCCCATCGTCGGTAGATATCGTGGGCAAGGAGAAGAGAGAGGCGATGAGGGTTTGTACACCGTCTCGCGCAGTAGACATGAGATACTCTTCGAGATCGGCTCTGAAGATAGTTCCAAAACATTACGTCAGGTCAGGCGCAACGTACTAGAAGAGATCCAACGCACTCATAGCTTTCGGTATCTATTGGGTTGAGGTCGGTGACTGTTAGGAAACCGGCATCGACCTCGAGCGGGATGTCTTTCTCGACGAGGACTGCTTTTCTGGGGCCATATAAGTGATGAAGTAGAGATAGCAAGTTCAATTTGAGTTTCCACGCACTGCTTTGCTTGATGGGCAGCGAGAATGTCAGAGACGTCCATGGCACGCGCGAGCTTGGTCGGTGCAATGGTGAGAAGGTGGAGGAAGGGTGTCTTAGGCGCCTGTCACAAATTCTCGATCGCTTGGAACCCTCGCCCCTTTTGGTAATCGTTCAAAAACACCACCCTTGTGATTAACCACTTGCGCGGTATGTCATACCAAGGAGGAGCTGTTATACAGGATCGCTTAAAGCTACAGAACGTTGGTCTTCTGCGCACGCATCACAGCCAGACACTAGACCCCTATGTCGAAACGACTCGACTATTCCAACGTTGCGACTTCAATCTTCGTTCCAAGACCTCTCCACTTCGTTCCAGCGCCAACTTCCCGCGAAATCTCAGAGGGCATCTCTGACAGAATCTTCGCTATCCACATGGGATCCGTCAACGGCGTTAGATCGTCTCGCCTGGGTAACCGCTGCAATCCCAGGGTCAGCAGGAGCCTAAACAGATTGGACGAGGAGTAACTGACTACTTTGACCCTCTCGTAGGGTGCCTCCCAACCGCTTGTTTCGCGAACCACAAGAGACGGAGAGGACGCGAATGAGTGATATATGCGAGTGTCGTATGTGCGGAACAGGACGTTATCAACTCGCAATGTGAATCGCTGTAGAATGAATATGCACGTAGGCATTACACGCTAAGCAAGAGTGAATAGGTCAGAGTGGGATCAGGCCAGGAACAAGCCTGACGTACGATGCGGACAAGTAGATGGGAGGCGCCATTATCGTGAAGCTCATCCTCGTATAAGGGGATCTCGGCGTAAAATAAGATAGGATCGTGACGAGTGAGCTCCGCCAGGGGAATTGTGTGCTTGGCATTGTTACGCTCTGCAGGTTTCCACTTGATGTCTTTTGAAGACGACTCTAAGTGGCCTGGATATAGGGTTGTGTACGTCCAATCGTAGGGCTTTGTAGGGACGGTCGTGGGCATCGGGATCTGGGACAACGGATTTGTTCTGAGTACCTGTTAATGCCGCGCTTGACATTCCTTCCTCCGGGAGATGACATACCTGCTCTTTATCCAAGCGTCTGCGTAGCCAACTTTGACCCCTCCATCGCCATCTTCAAGCTCGCCATTCTTCACACCTTTGAGCGCCTCCTCCGTCGTGAATGCATACTTCCATCCGCTCGTTTTGTGCTCCAGCTCAAGCGAGTTGTTTCCGAACGTCATCTCCGGAAGAGGTATGCCTCCGATTGCAGCTTGCAACGCGTCGGATTGCCCTGCGTTCGAGATGGGGTTGGTGGAAGCGGTGATAGTCCACGGACCGATCTCTATCGTCCGAGAATTGGGTGATTCCAGAAGGCGATGTTGGGGTAGCGCGACTGCCGCAGACATGATGACCTCCTCATACGAAGGTGCGCGGATAGAGTAATAGCGGTAGGACGTCGTGACTATCGATTGCAGTAGGAAACAGTATGGATGGCGCGTCTGAAGAGGCGCGTCTCCGGAGTTTGAATGCACTCGTCCACTGTCCTGAAAGTGCCTGCACGTCTCTCTCCTGCCACCGGCTCTATTTACATCCAACGCTCTCTGACGACGTCCTCGTAGGCTGCTGCCATGGATAACTCACGACCTTCTTCACCGGACGCGCCGCCGCAGGACCTGTGGTCATCCATCCTAGATTCAGTCTCTACTACGCGCTCTATACCCTCCAAGCAGATAATCCTTCTCGGCGAACCATCTTCCGGAAAGTCTAGCTTAGCTTCCGCTCTTTTACAGAGACCTCCACCGGATGAGACAAAGGAGGAGACACGCATTGACTTCGCAATTGGCTACGACTGGGCCGATGTACGAGACGATGCGGATGAAGGTGCGTAGTATAACGTGCCCAGGAGATTTCATGTCTTATGTTCCTACTATAGATACCCTTGCACGCCTGTCCGTATACACCGTTCCGTCTTCTGCGCCTTCATTCACCGCGCTATTACCTCACTTTGTTCCGCCCCGCACCTCACTGCCGCATACCCTCGTAGTAATCGCCTTAGACTGGACGCGACCATGGTCATTCATTGAGGAGCTAGAGACGTGGTTGGACTGGGTCGAGAAGTGGGTCAAAGGGGATGGATCTCGTGAGCTCGATATCGCGAAGGAAGAGAACCGTGAAAGACGTGCGTACAAGCCAAATCCCTCTCATTCAACCGTCACTCATGGCTGTATCTGCGTTTCAATAGTACAAGCACACTGGCAGCATTATACGGAACCTTCTTCAGAGCCTCTTCCTGCAACGGCGACCGTCTCCGGCACTGTGCTGCCCTTAGGGCAGGGCACGCTTACGCACAATTCTGCCGGTGTTCCCATTGTGGTGGTCTGCACGAAAGCCGACTTGATAGACGAGGGCAACGATATCATCGGCTCTGGTCCGTCGGGCATGGGTGGCATGGTGAAAGGAAAGGGAGGCGAGTGGGAGGAGCGCACGGACAGTATCATGCAAATCTTGCGGACAATATGTTTGAAGTGTAGGTACTCCCATCTAGCTTCTCGCATTCGGCTGTTCACATTCTTCAAGATGGTGCTGGATTGTTCTACACTACTCCACAGCCCACAACGCTCCAAGTGCTGAGGCAATATGCATTGCATACGCTGTTCACGCCGCCTGCTCCTTCACCTTCGATGGGCGGTGAGGTCGTCGCTCCCCCCCGCAATCCATTCCCCTTCCAGACCAAACCGAACGCACTCGACCGCGACAGGATTGTTATCCCGGCCGGATGGGATAGCTGGGGCAAGATTGCAGTCCTCCGGGAAGGATTTGACGCGAGGTTGTGGGGAGAGGCTTGGGAGAACGATCTGGAAGGTGCAGACGATGACGACGGTCCTAAAGCAACCAAGTTGTATGCGAGCCTCGTCCCTGATCTCAGCCGTAAAGTATGTGATCCGACATCTCCTTTTGTTGCTTGGCTCACGTTTGCCTTAGCCCCCGCCTCTCCCTCCGCTCAACAACCCGACTCCGGAACAAGTCTTCCTGGCGAAGAATTACGACGAGAACGCAAAGAACCCCAATCGCGACCCCCGCGGCGCGTTCCGCAATCCCAATGAGACCGCGTCCGCGGGTATCGTCGGCCCTATGGGCAGCAGCAGCTTCACTCTGCCGAACGTCGAGCGCGCACTGACGGAGATGGAGAGCTCAGCCGCGGCTGGGACTAGCCCTCTCAACGTCAGCGTTGGGAACGACCCCGCGCGGAAGCTGGCCAGTCGAACGGGTGCGCGACCGCCACCTTCGACGCTCTCCGTCCCGACTGCCGGCGCGGCCATCCTCGGCCGCAGCACGTCCTCGACATCGCCTGCGCCTTTATCTGCGACGACGCCGAACTCCGCAGACGACCAGACGCAACACCAGGCGCTCAAGAAGTTCTTCGACGACCTAATTAACAAGAGGAACAAGGTGGACGACAAGGCTGCCACCGCGAAGAGCCCGGATGGGGATGGTGGGGCGGACGGGGGCAGCTAAGGTAGTGTGTATGTTGTTATTGCATCTCTTCTCTATTCCATTTGCATGGATGTGCTTGCCCCTCGAATATGCGCCATAGTCAGCGCCATGAGGCCCAGCACCAAGGCGAAGTAGAAGCTTCAGGTAGGAATCGTGTTTCGCTTAGAGTGACGGCTGTGGTTCACAGAGACGCCTGCTGAGCAACACAAAGAAAGTGCAGATGACTCAGCTGCTCAACATCTTAAGTACCAATCGAGGCCATTGTGAACGGGGACAGCTGCAGCGTGTACGCACGTCGCTTGGTGCCCTTAGCTCATTACTAACAGAAAACACATGGTCGCTTCTGTCGATGAGGAGTCACAAGATGATAACCGGTGGCTTGGGGTCCAGTCTAGACTCTGGGCAGAAGCGGCCGCCGATGATTCTTCAAAAGAGTCGCCCGTGTTGTGCGAACTCTGTCCACTTCGCCTCTACTACATCGCCCCTCTGGTGTAGAAAGGGTTTGCCAATTCGCTCTCATGACAGCTGACATCCGTCTCTCTGGGCTGCCCCCGGCTCTTATAGGCGTCCCCGTCCAAGAACGGCACCTTCTATCCACCGCGAGCGACGGAGCCTCGCCGGAGGATATGAGTGCTCAGCAGGATAGTCTTATCGCGGATACGTCAGGAGCTGCCACAAGCAATACATTGGGCCAAGACCCACACATCGCCCACCGGCCAACCGCGACTAGACTTGACAGTGCACAGACGGCCATTGGGTTGGTGGAAGGGAAGGCCCGAGACGAGAGTATCCCGGACGATAACAACCCGGGCATCCCTGGGCTCCCGGAGGCGGCTGTCGGGATGGCTTACCCACCGACACTGCAGTCGCCGGACACCGCATTGGCGGAGCCGTCTTCGGAGAGTCTGGGTCTACGTCGTCTCCGCATGGCGTCTTCGTTCTTGACCCTATTCCTCGCGGGCTGGAAGTCAGTCGAATTCCTTGTTTGCAGCCGGTGGAGAAATGGTGTCGATGGGCGCAAGCCCTGGCGTGACCCAGTCTCCGGTCCATGGCACTTATTGCATGAGACGTCGTTGTGCTCATCGATTCCTTGGACAGCGGGGGAGCCACCGGAGCTTTGCTTCCTTACATTGAGAGAACATACCACTATGGCTACGCGCAGGTCTCCGTACTGTTCGTGTGCACCTTTCTTGGATATGTCGTAGCGGCGGCGGGTGCAGGCACGCTTGCTCGAAGGGTCGGATTTGGGCATGCCATGCTCATCTCTGCTATGGTCGAGCTAGCTGGAGTACGTTCGGCCCTCGCGTTACAGTACTATGAAACAGAACTCACTGACCTCCGTTCGCCAGAACATCATCAACAGCTCCCAGCAGAGGAGTTTTGGATTAATGTGTTTCGGTTTCTTTGTTGTCGGTATGGCTTTCGCGACACAGGTAGGGCGGATCTCTTCAACGCGTCATTGTGCGGGCCTATGTACTGAATCGACCGTATTCTAGTTAGGACTTTGTAACGCTTACTTCGCTATTCTCAACAAGCCGCTCATGTGGACTGGGATTCTACATGGCATTTATGGACTCGGGGCGTTCGCTAGCCCTCTGGTGGCTACAGCTATGGTCACTCGCGGTGTGCCGGTCAGTCATCTTCCTCAGTTTTGCGGCGCACTAGGCTGAAGAAATATGACAGTATCATCTCTTCTACACCACCAATGTTAGGATGAATATCCCCGTGTTTGCTCTTGCTTGGGTAGCGTTTCGCAACTTGCACGCTCTACCTCAGAATCCGAATGAAAGGCCCGGTGAAACGGGTTCTGCTAGTCACGCCTTTAGTGCAACGCTACGCAGTCGTGCTGTATGGACACTTGCCATTTTCTTGATGCTCTACGTCGGGTGAGTAGCTTGCTCAACATATGGTATATCGTCGCAAGCACTGATCGATGCCCGGGCCATACTAGCGCTGAGGAATCGATGTAAGTGCACCTGGCTACACGTTCCTGATCTCTGGGTGTCACACTTCTTGTGCTAGCGGCGGGTGTATAGTGTCCTATATTCTAGATGTCCGCAACGGAAGCCCAGAGGGGGCATCCTGGGTAGCCTCTTGCTTTAATCTCGGTACGCCATTGTAATTGCCGATCCTCCGGTCCTCAAATATACTAAGCCTCCCCTAGGCATCGCGCTTGGCCGTATAATCCTCCCGCCCCTCAATATACTCATGGGCGAACGCCTCGCCGTCATCATCTATCTCTCCTTCGCCATTGGACTTGAGTGCCTGGCCTGGTTCCTCCCTTTTCTCGCCTCCACGGCCGTCTGCACTGCTCTCGTTGGGGTCGCAATCTCCACGTTCTACACCGCGGCGATCACGATGGGTGGCAAGCTCGTGCCACGGAACATGCACGCGGACGCATTCGCGCTCATGAGCTCCGTCGGCCAGAGCGGGAGTGCCTTTTGGCCGCTGATAGTCGGTATCATGAGCACCAAGAAAGGCATCTGGGTGGTCGAACCGACTGTGGTCGCGCTCCTTGGTGCGCAAGGCATTTGCTGGTTGCTTGTGCCAAAAGTTGGCAGACGGTCTGAATAGACAGATCGGTTCAGAGGAATACTGCGTATGTAGATAGATAGATGGTTTTTGAACTTTCAAGAGGTCTCTACATAGCCCTATTCTACAGCCTAGCCATACCATTAGCTGCAATACGAAGACCTTACCACCACAGCATTCAACGTCGCCGAAAGATTGGGTCGAAGGAACTGAAAAAGATCAAAGACGTCAAACGTAGAAGAACCGTGTATTCGTGACACATAGACCATTGAAGACGGTACTGAAAAATACGATAGCAGCAGTGTCAAGGGCACACAGTGATGTAAGGAAGCTGAGCAGCATGAACGGTATGCCATACGTAATATCATTGACAGAAGAACACAAGATTGGGTCGTGACAAAGGGCGCGATACATGAGACATGGTGTAACGTATAATAGCAGGAGCATGAGGATGACAATGGTTATAAAGACACAGGGATGATGACGACGATGACGCAAAGTGGTGAAAGAGTCGAGGACGGTGCGCAGAATGAGAACGTCCAAGCGTGCATACACGATGAGCAAAAACGCAAAGCCAGAGATAGGTGTGAAGCAAGGTGCAAGATTGACTAGTAGTAAACGACGGGCTGAGACGGATGATGTTGGTGCTCCGGGGGATACATCTCGTACTGCATCATCTGCCCCGACATGTCCACATACGGCGGGTAGCCGTACTGCTCAGGGTAATAGTACGGCTGCGGGTACGGGGCATACCCGATGCTCTCCATCGATGGTGTATGGGCGTGGCCCATAGGCGGTTGCGACAGCGCCTCGTCCGTTGCACCGACATCCTCAACGGACAGGTCCTGTTGCGGATAGTAGGGACCCTCTGCAGGGTATGCTACGGACAGGTTGCTCCGCTGGTGAGAAGCCCGAGTAGGCTTCTTGCTTTCTGCAGCCTCGGTAGGGGCACGGATCTCGATGCGACTGCTTTGGCGAGCGGGTGAGAAGATGGGCACTCCAGTGGTGGGATCGACGAACGACTGGATAGGAGTATGGGTATGCGGCGTGTGAGGATGAGCAAGGAAGTCGGGGGAAGCAGCCGAATGGTGGCGGAGGTGCGACGGAACAAACGGTATACTCATAGACGGATGATGTCCGTGCATCATCGGACGAGGCGTATACATGGGCGGCGGCGTAGGTTGGATGTACACGGCGCGACCGGTGGCATATTCGTACGCCATACCCTGGCTGTTTACACCGACACCTGGCGGAAGCGCCGGTGCGTAGCCATATGGCGACCCGTACGGCGGCGACGTGGGTGGGGGAACAGGGGAGAAGCTTGTTTGGAGAGGGTGTAGAATCGGGGGCTCTGGACGCGATTGCGACTCTTCTCCGGGCGCTGTAACAGAAGGGCTCAAGTTTGTGTCCTCGGATGGCAGAGGGTTCCGAAGAATGGTTTCCTGGATCTGCACGCTAGGTGAAGAAGAACCACCATCGATAGGGAGAATCGAAAGCTGCTCGATGGGATTATGAGCGTCAACCTCCGCCGGTTGTGAGAGTTGCGGCGACGGCGTCTTGGACTGGCCAGACACAGCTTGCGGAGCGTGAGCTGTGGGCACAGAGGGAGACGGCACCGAGAAGTCGATTCGGCGATTCGGCACTGCGTTAGGCCGTACAGTGAAGACTTCCTCAATAGAAAGTTCCTCGACAGTAGTCGCCAGTTCCTCCCCTCCTGCAGATGCCACGGGCACCTCTTCGACGACCTTGGTCTTGCCAAATGCGGCTGGCATCCGGACAATAATGGGCTTCTCCGCGTCGAGCGATGGGGAAGGTGTCTCTTCGGGCTTGTCGGAAGCGCGAGCAGTAGACGTGCGTGGCGGGAGTCTGACTATGAGTGGCACCTTCCCTCCCGGCAGCTTGACCCGCACTCCGGGACCAACGCCGGGGCGAGGTTTAGTAGCGGCGTCGTTGTACAGGAAGATGTCGTGCTGCTTTGTCCACATGCGCTCGGGCTTCTGCGCGTACCAGACGCGGTCCCCCATCGAGACGTTTGAGGTAAGCGGACGTTGAGTGGCCGTTGGGGAGCCGCCACGAGCGAAGGCACCTCCTCGCCCACGGGCGGGAACAAAGCCCCTTCCACGGAAGCCAAATCCTCTTTGCAGGACTGCATTTGCCTGTTGCTGTTCCTGCAGCGCGCGCCTACGCTCATCTCGCCTCTTCATCTCCTCGAACCCGTCATGTGTCCAGGGTCGCTCAACGGGTGGCACATCAGCTGACTCCTCTGGCGCGACGCTCTCGTCCCGTGGGGATGAACGACTGGGGAAGAAGCCACTACGCCCACGACCGCGCATACTAAACGCACCACGTCCACGACCTCGCGACTGCCAACGGCCTCTCCACCATCCGCTCAGGCTGCGCAGGTCTTTGTCCAAGAGACGGTCGTCATGACCCCAGAATTCTCCCACCTTAGGAACGAAGGACGGGTCTGACTCGAGACGTTGTTGGTACGCTTGACGAGCCGTCTGACCGCGAGAACGACTGGGTAAAGCAGAGTGCGGGTGTGGCTCGTCGGAGGTGGACGCGACGGGTCCCTGCTCCTGAAATTGCTCTTCAGCCGGCTCTTCTTGAGAGGTAAGAGCAGCGGGGGGAGGGGCAGATGTTGCACGAGCAGCGGCTGACTTCTTGACCGCCTTGTGGCTTTTGCGCGAGCGATGAGCAGGGGAAGGAGCCCGAGGCTCAGGGAGGTGATTCGAGGCCATGTCAGCAAAGTCGATTACGGGCAGATCGGCCGCACCATTCTCGGCCTCCCCAGCAACCATCTCTGCCCAATTGGTGGTATCGGCAAAAATGCCTGCTTGACTGCTCGATGGATCCTTGACACCACCGTTAGCCAAGCGATCAAGCTCCACAGGAGGGGGACTTTGAGTTGTCGACGGTGTTACGACTTCGGAATGGACATCTGCGTGAAGATCGGAGGAGGTGGACTCTGAGTCCGAGTCGGAATCAATGGAAGAGTTGTCATCGTCTGTTTCCGAGTCTGTCCTGACCTCCCGTACGATTTCTTCATCGCTTTCAAACTCGTCCTGGGTCCGACCTCTCCTCTTGACAGCACGCCGTTTCCTAGGCACTGGGTTTGAGTATGACCGTTCGATGTGGCGTGCAGGCTTGGATGATGCGGAAGGCATTTCGGGTGGCTGACGGAGCAGGGACAATGCGATCAGGAAACGTCCGCCGCAAAGTTTTAAGCGAGTCACGTACAACTATGGTCTCGGGGAATCGTGGAAGATAGCGAGCCTGATGCAGGGTCTGGAAGAAAACAGGTAGAAGAAGGGCAAATGGACTGAGTGAAAAGGCGTGGCCTCGTCGTGAGTGGCGACGAGGAGAGGGAGTCGACGCACAGCAGGTTCCGTCACGCCGTCGGCCCCGTGATTTGTCAGCAGCTCTCATCGCCCGCATTTGGCCACTTCTCTCTCGACACCCAGCCACCTCCTACCGCAGTTCTAACTCGTGTGCACATATCCCCGCGCACTCACTCTCAATGAATGCACAAGCCATGTAAAAGCAGCCGTTATCCGGAAACTATCGTGCTATATAAATAACTCTACAACTTCGTCGGCACAGCATCGGGGAGGTGCGCTCGGAGGAACCTAGGTATGCTCTCGTTTATGCGATCCTTGCATTCCACCATGAGCCAATGTCCTACACCCTCGATGAGTTCGATCTGCGCTTGAGGGATCAGTTTCTTCGTGGCCCCGAGAGCCGCCTGATTGGAGGTAGGATCATCCTTGCCAATCATGAGGAGCACCGGGAGGTCAGAACGCGGAGCCTGCAGGATAGTTCCATCTGCAGTCGGAGTGCCACCCAGTCAGTATGATGTTTCTTATGAAGGCATGCGGACGACTCGCCTCTCTCTTCCTCAAAACGGTATCGGGTCGTTCGATAGTAATTCAACGGCCCATTCATGCTGTTCGCAAATTGCGACAAGTAGTAATCGTGCTCCTGCAGGTCGACATGCGTCAGCTACACACATGACACCGGCGACTAATCTCTCTGACCTCTTGCGTCAGGTGGCCCGTATGCCTCTCAGTACCTTCCGCGGTCTCGAATAACGCCTTCAGGCCGCCGGGAAGAGTCCACTTTGACAGGCCTGGGGTGCCCCTCCGGTTACGGAAGATTAACCTAAAGAATCGGGAAAGCTAACAGCCAAGGCGAATGAGCGGCCCGAGCGCGTAGGAATTCCGATCCAACGCAAATTGCGTTACCTGATTTTCCAACTCGGCGTTTGTGCTCTTCTCCTGGAAGTAAAGTTGGTACCCCCAGTTTGGATATCTCTCGACTAGCGTCTCGAGAGGCGTGTATTCTTTCGCTGGTGGGATGAATGGCACTGACAAACTAGACATCCGAAGAATGGGCGTGAAGATCAGCACCGAGTCATAACTGCCCGCTGACAGAACCCACAGGACCAATGCCAGCAATCTGTCGGGATGCCACAGGGCGAAACGAGATGCCATGAAGCACCCCCAGTCGTGGCCAATAATCACCTGTGCAGCGCAGTGTTGGAGTATCGTTGGTAAGTAACGGAGTCCGAGCGTAAGTGCAACAAATACGTCGACTAACAGCTTTCGTTATTTGCAGAAGATCCAAGAGAGCTGCTATGTCGTCGCAAATTCGTCTGGAGGTATATTGGATCGCATCCTCGGGCTTGTCGCTCCCACCGTATCCCAATTTATCCGGAGCCACAACGCGGTACCCGAGCTCTACCCATGGCTTTATCTGATACCGCCAGCCATACCTGCCCGAGGGTCCTTCAGTCCGATCACGGGATACGACCTTAGCATCCACTCACCAGAAGTCCGGGAACCCATGGATACACACAAGAGTAGTTGTGGTGGTAGGGTCGTAGTTTGTGGGGAGTTGATCGACGAAGTGATATTTCCGACCAGTGGGAAGGAGCGCAGTGCGGTGATTGAAGCTTGCAGGATTTGCAGGATCCATGGTCTAGTAGCAGAGATACTGATGTATGTCGCTTTCTTGTGTGGCTTTTAAGCTTAGAGGGCGCTTGGTGGTACCGGTAAGTCTGAATGGCCGAAGAAACACCCTACAATCAGACACATCAAGCAACGGAATGTATAATTTCTGCGATAATTCCAGTCGCTCAGAACGACTGCATCGCCTTCTCTAGTCGATCTTCCCCACGTAAGCACGCCACGAGGAATGTTTTTGGGAACGCATGATGAACTGAGGCACACTGACATCGCAGGAAGAGGAAGTCTCGAGCCTCGCAGTCAGCCGTCTCCGACGTTCATTCGAGCCTCGGATGAGTGCTCGCACACCTCCGGGCCGATGAGACCACACCGCCCGCACCAAGAATTCGCATGTCTTGACACCGTCCCACCAAGCGCTGCCACAGCGTCATCCGGAACCGCTCGGAAAGGCTGGCGGGTTCTGCCCCCCTGTACGCGCTTCAACGGTGGTTCCGTCCTCCGTCCACGATGTGATCAGCATCGGTAGGCGTACACTCCGGTCTGGGACAGCGAATATGAGACGGGACGAAGACGGAGACGAGACGAGCGGGTACGGCCCAAGCACAGTGCACATACGGCAACGCGACACTGCTCAGGTATGTCCGCAGCGTTCGCATGTGACCGGGCGGGGATGCGTGAGATTCATGATGTCCAGGCACTCTTTGCACGGACGACGCGTACGCTTATCGCCCAGATCGGACATATTGACGACGCTCCCGAAACGCCATGGACGAATTGCTCTGAAGTGGTCGATGCCGGCACGGTCTTGTACGAGCGGTTTGTCCGTGTACGTACGCAGCCTACTTCAAAGAAATTACTCCCTCATTGCTGATATTGGGATAGATCACCACCTGGCATGGTTTCGCAGACTTCAGTCTGAGACCCTCGTTGGCGCGAGATAATCCGTCCATGTCTGGCACTTTTCTCCTCTCATCAAGGCGGCCCGCTTTCTAGAGAAACCGTTCGGTTCATCGGTACACGCAATTCGCATCTAGCGAAGGAAGCCACCAAATTAGGCTGTGTTTCAGACTTATCGAATGTGTCTCCTTGACCAGAAAGCAGAGCTGGCTCATCGAGCCCGACCGCCCAGGAGCCGGCTCGCTAATCCAGGGATGGTCGCGGCCGATGATCAAGCTTTGAGTCGAGATCGCGCCTCCTCTACGATCAGGACGCAACGTGGGCCTACTACTCCACCCGGTCGTTTGATCCCCGGAAGTGAACGGCACGAGTATCGTGATAAAGTCAAGGATTGAGGTAATTCACGTACTACTATCTGGGAAATCCTGCGGCTTACTACTTCTCAAACCTCGTCTCTAGCTAGATCGCCTGCTCTTGTGCATGATCTGAGCTGTTAGAGAGTAACCACTGGGTCAAGGCATGCACTAGTGCGGGTGCCCAGTGTGAACCCCGAATACTCGACGCCATGTACTCTTAGACGGACTTGCTTCTGGACCGCTACAGAAGCTCGAAGATCAATCCTGCATGTATTTTGCACAGAGTGTTCGTGTTTTCTTCATCCGGATATCTTCGCGCCGACAGTACCTCCAGTGTCACAGGGGCTGCTGAGAAGATGACATCAAGAATGCCCTGTGAACTAGAAGGGTTTTAGGTTCGCATATCGTGCTGCCTTCCTATATATGAGACCGGTACTCCTCCATCCGGATGTCTCTAGCGCGATTTCGGTTGCGCGCTGTGGGTGCTTCCCGGGTGCTCGTGTAGAAGCACATGGCGCAATACATTGGCCGGGGAGAAAACTTCTGCCCTCAGTGAAATGTACTCCCTGCACGACGCCATCGGACGGACTCCGTTGTGTGAGTCATTGGACTCTACATCTCTTATCCCGCTGGTCTACTCGATGCAATTTGAACCGTTGTTCCTTCTAGCTTCTAGGCACTTTAACATTGGTTCCGCGAGCTATGTACAACAGACTCCACCATTCGCACATAGCCGATAACGTCGAATTATGACTGGAAGGCCAGACACAACGTAAGCGCCACATACTGGTAGATCTTATGTTATGACCCCAAGTTTATCACACCTTCAGGCACCTGTCCTGCTTTTGCACTGTACCCAGGAGCGCCCAGTTCAGATTCATGTGTCTCAGTCCTTCCGTGGCAAATTCGGCCCAGAGCATATTACGCACCACTCCGTGCAACTCGGGATGTGGCGTTTTTGGACAACCCGAGATGCACTGAGTGCGCACACCACTGAATTGCTCTCTGGCCGAGCGAGAGAAGATCTCCCATGATACAGCGGATGGGCGCACTCTCAGGAGACGCAGTCGCCTTCTGGAAGACAGGGTTCGACGTCTCTTGCATCTTGCATTGCTACGGCCCTGTCCGGAACGTCATTGTCGCCATCTGTGACCTTGGAGCGCGCTCACTGACTGACGGGGTCAATCATCCCGCACTTCCTCCGAAGGGCGCGTACAGAATGTCGTCGAATGAATGCTCGTGCCGCTCGTGAACCATGGTCACTTGTCAGATGGAAGTCAAGGTACGCCTCTCAGTGTCCGTCGGTCTTAGACATGTTGATAGCTTCAACCATCTCTGGACCTCAGCTTGTAGGTACGTGGTTGGCGACGAAGGAGACGCTTTCGCCCATTTACTCCTTCCCATTCTACCTTCTCGTCTCCTTCCTTCTCGGCAGCGTTCCTCACCTCCCGTCTAGTGCCTATTTGTGCAAGTGATGCACTTGCGGCAATGCTCCGCCGTGCTGTATCTCTCGGATCCTCCCTTCCAATGCTTCGTGTACTGTCTTTTCTGATCTTAGCCGCTCGGCTTGTTGTGGCTGCGTCGTGGTCCGTCGCCATCGACGACACTTACGGAGATGTTGCGACGGGGGCGATGCCCATCTATAACCCTCCTTCGGCCTGGACCCAAGGCCAAGCATGCATATCTGAGAATGAAGATTGCTTGGTGGACCTCGATCCGAAGCAGGTCTCAAACGGAACTTGGCATTATTCCGTCGGAAGCAGCGACGACGCTCCTCCGCGGACCATTGACTTGAATTTCGAAGGTACGCCACTATCCTCTCGTAAAGCGATATTGAATCTTACATATGTGGACCGGGAATCAAAGGCAACTCCATCAGCGTGTACTGCATCATATCGCAGGTCGATCGTGTACGGATCGCTGTGGTGAACATGACCTTCGAGCTTGACGGACAGCCAGTCGACACATTCTTCCACGACCCTTCCGGAACTAAGGATGGAGCGGGGAACTACGACATCCAGTACAACGTCGCAGTGTATCAAAGTAATCTCATCACGCTAGGGAACCATACGCTGCGAATCAGTTCCATAGGCGGTTCGAGTATGTATTTTGACTACGCGCTGTACACGTACGTGCAATCCAATCAATCTCGGTGTTTCACGTTGACAAAGGATGTTCTGCGCCCAGGACCGAGTCGGATCTTCATAACCCTGCGATGTCCCCGTTGCCTTCGGCATCGGCACCGTCGGGCACCCCTGCGACGTATGCCCAAAACGCGTCCTCCGCCCACCCTAGACTCGGAGTGATAGTGGGGGCTGCTGCGGGAGGCGCTGTCCTGCTCATCGCCATAGGAATCCTGGCGTTCATACTGATTCGCCGGAGACGCCGTGCCGGCGAGGATCTCTTGCGGCATCGCAATGCCAGTCTCTCCAAGGGAGGCTGTCGGGTGTATGGTAGACACGACTCGCAGTCCGATCGCCGGAGCATCATGTCCATGGACTCCGTCACGCTCGAGAACCATCGTGCCTCGACTCCATACTTTCCGTTCAAGGACCCGGACCCTTTCTCGCCCACGTCTCCCTCGCGGGACAGAGGAGACGCAGACAAGACGTCTGTGGATGTATCGCCAACGGACTCCAGTTCACTTCGCTACTTCCCCGCTCTTTCCTCTTCCGTGGATCAGCCTGCTCCGCGTATCGTGGTCACCAGGGGCGAGACTCACCTTGTTGGGCCAGACAATTCCATGGCCCGCTTCGCGCGCCAGACCATGGTGGAGCGCGAGGCAGAACTTATGCGTCGCATGCGAGAGATGGAGGCCGCTCTGGTGGCGAAGTAGGGCGGATGTGGCTGTATCATCTTCCCCCTTACCTGTTGGCCCGGCGAACAGCAATACCTCAGAGAGGCCGCTCCGAAGTGCCAGGTAGAGCAATTGAGAGCGGAGGCCGATGAGACTCGAGCATGGAAGACGGCCTCTGAGCTTCAGGAAGCTACTGAGCCTCCTTCACAGTATCGACAGGTTTGACGTACCATAGGGTGTACGGTCTGGTTCCAATAGATAGTCTTGCTACAAACGCTCCTTAGAAGACTTTCCCCTTCTCAAATTTTAGTCTGTATCCGTGAAGTTGTGGTCTGGATAACTGTCCATCTAGGATGTTTGGTGCAATACTCGCAGACGGTCGACTTCAACCAACGAATGACTACACTTGCCAAGTCGGGGAATGTGCATACGGGCGCTCACCCAACTCTCGAGACTCCACCACTGTCGACCTCAAAATCGGCCCGAGTTTCTGTCTTCAATTGTGTTTTCTAAGCTTAGTTTCTCAGCCTGTACACAAATCGACCACTCTACCCTGCTATAGAATGTCTCATCAGCTATTGAACGCGACGTCGAAGGACGAAGACGAGATACCACCACCGGAGCGCCCGCCCTCGCCTCCACCGCACACCACCTTCGCTGCTCGAGGCCTCCATGTACGAATCAATTGGCCAAGTGATCTTTCGATGGACGTCAATGGTGACGGTCGCACTTCTCTCTGCCGTAGGCCCCCACGTTTTCGGCCTTCCGGCCGCGAGACATTCGCCTTTCCCACCAACAGGCGATGAACCATATCGCTTGGAGCTGTGATGGGAGAAAGTTAGGAGCGGTGGGTGTCGACAAGACTGCGAGAGTATGGGCAATGGAAAGGGCTGTATGTACAAAAATTTGCATCGGCGTGCGATGTGAGCAATGATCTGAGATGTGGACAGGTCGAGATGCGTTCCGCGACTACTTTCCCTGGGGGCCACAGTGAAGACATCGATTACATTGCGTGGAACCCCACTCATCCTGAGCTCTTCTGCACATCAAGTCAGAAGGACAGGCGGATAGTGTTCTGGGACGGTAGACGTGAGTCGCGAGCGGTTTTGCAGCAGTCAGGGAACCTTTGACGGACATTGCCTCTCAAGAAAGTCGTCATGTGCAGCAGATACAGCTCAAGCCTTCACCTGTTCAGCTGAGCTATTCACCAGACGGGAAGACAATTCTCTACACTACCACCAACAGATATCTTGGCGTGTTGACGTTCGGGAAGGAGGGAGACGAAGCCAAAGAACAGTGGCGAGTAGCGGACACGAACGGAGTATGTTCATATGCCGAGACCGCCCTTTGCATGCTCATATCATGATTGGTAGAAAACGATATACGGGTCCACAACCACCTTCAATCATGCCGGAGATGGTCTAATCTTGACGACGCAGTCGGATCCTGCCATCAGAGCCCTCGATTACCCTGGCTTGAATTTGCTGCATAGTATTCCTGGGCACGTCGGCGGATGCGTGACTACCGCACTTGATCCCAGGGGAAGGTGTGTTGCATGCATTTTGTCGCTGGGCCTTGGACTTACCTGACTCGTGTCCAGATATCTCGCATCCGGAGGGAATGATTCCATAGTCAACCTGTTCGATATGTCAGACTGGATCTGCGCCCGCACGATCACCGTCTGCGAGTATGTCTCCGCTCGGCTCAATTTTTCTTTGTTTATGCCTCATGGTCTTGGGAATAGTAACGCCATCAATGCCCTAAGCTTCTCCCACGACGGGGAATTCATAGCCATCGCAAATGCCGGTAACTACATTGACATTGTGAGTATCTGCACCGATTGTTGTGACCGAATTGTTGATCAATTGGATACCAGTGTGCTACGGAAACAGGTATGCCATTGCATCGTGTTCCCGCTCTCGGGCCCGCACCGTCGGTGGCTTGGCATCCTTCAAAGCATGTTATCGCGTACTGCGGGCAAACAAAAATCAGGGAAGGTGGTCCTCCGCCATCAGCTTGGATTAGTCTATTTGGACCGGGAATGTAGAGTTGCACCCTGAGCTTAACCCAAACTCACCGTACATAGGATGATAATCACGGTCCTGACTTGTGCAAGGGGGTCGACAACACTGCGATGTGGTAACGTAGATCGATTGACAACAATGCATATGGACACGACAGCGTGCTTGCGCCAGACAGATAGAAAGCGTGTAGCTATGCGAGGACTGAGCGGATAGCGAGTAGGGTATATGTACATAGAAAGCCTACTGACTAAGCAGCGAGGATAGCAGCAACGATGTAGTGCGAGAGAATGCAAAGACAAGTAAAGGTGCACGCATGCATGCGACGAAAGCAACAGCGCGGAACCGTAGACGAGAGCGTAACCGAGTCGTAGAAAACGTAGTAGCGTGCGACGTAAGACAGTACAAGAGACAGCTTAGAAACGTTTGTATGTAGCAATTGAGACGTAAAACATAGAGACAACTGAGAGAGGAGATTGGCATAGAGGCATAGGTGGAGAGGCGAGAAAGCAAGCAAGCGAGACAGAACAGACAACTTCAAACAAATGACAAAATACAGCAAAAACGGAGAAAAGTAACGCGACAGCAATGGTACAAATCTCAAAGCGATAAGTCATCAGCAAACGGTATGTAACTTGACGAGGCTTCAGCACGAGACGGGAAGTGTCACTGTCAGTGTTCGGGAGAATACCATTCGACTTGGTTTTGGTCTTTAAGGGTCTTTCTTAATGGAGGTAAGTCTAGCGGTCTACCAGCCATGACGGAGGACGCCTGGGTCAACCTCAGAAGGAGGGCGAACGACGACGTCGGGGAGGACCTCCTTCTGACGAAGCAGCGCACGCTCCTTAGTGGTCTCGGAACGGTTTAGCTTCAATGGCTTCAAGCTCGCCTTGATCTTCCCAAGGCTGCCCATAGGGTCCGCATTCTCATCCGAGCCCTTGCTTCTCTTCCCAACACTCAGAGGCTTCGTCTCCGAGCGCACCTGGTTGACGTCGCGGTCCTGGAGGAGCGAGAGCGGGCGAAGGCCGCCCGCAGGCGGGGAGGCGATCTTGCGCTCATTCTTCTTGCTCTTGCTCTTCGGCGACTTAGGCACCAGCGGACGGATCGCGCGCGCGCCCCACTGCGCGAGGCCACGGCTGGTCTCGACCTTCGGAGACTCTGCGGTGACGGGGGCGTTCTCGTCCGAGACGATGTACCGGATGCTCGAGCGACGGGACGCCTTGGGACCATCGCGCAGCTGCGGGACAGGCGGGACGTCGCGGTTCTTGGACTTAGGCTTCGTGCGCTGGCTCTCGTGCGGGGTGCTCGACGCGAGCGGGCCATCCGCCTCGGGGTCGAAGTTCTCGAGGTCGAAGAGCGTCACCTCAGACGCAGCGGAAGGCGGCGGGAGAGGGACGCGGAGCTCTTGGTCGAGCGCGCTGATGAGCGTAGCGAGCGAGTTGCGAGACTGACGCGAGCTCGCCCGGCTGGTCTGGGCCCGGGAAGGGAGTGGGAGCGCATCGTGGCCGAAAGTCTGCGCGGAAACGGGGCGGTTCGCGTTCGAGATGGGACCAGCGGGCGACATTGGGGAGGCAGGGCGGAGGAGCTCTGCGTCTTCCGAGACGATGTCGAGGTGCGAGTGGTTGTTGGGGACAAGCTCGCCAGCGTACCCATAGACGGTGTTGCGTCTGTTGTTCGTCGAGTCGGTCGTCATGGGAGCCTGAGAGTATTGTCCAAGCTTGCTCTCAAGGGCGCGGTTCAGGTCGTTCCTCCAGGTTGCAAGAGCGTGGATGCCATCCTTGCTGAGGCTGAGGCTGTTTATGCATGATCAGCAATTCGCTGGCAAAGAACCCGGGATCTTAAGTGAACGTACCTCGGAAGACTGAAGTGGTGACGACCGTGCGATACCTTCCTCTGCCTCGTAGCCATCGTCTTCGCCTTCTGTTCCGCAGGAGTCGAGTGTCCGTTAGGGGACGAGAAGTCCGTCGAGTATCCGCCAAGCTCAACCGGGACGGTCTTCGAGCTCTTCATTGTACCAGTCGGCGCGCGCACATCGCGGGGGGACGTAGACATCCACGAACCCCACTCCTCGCGCACGCGAATATCGCTGCCAATGCTCAGGCCAGGGACGAGGAGAGGCAGGACCTTCGCCGAGAGCGCGTCAATCTCCGCTATGTCGTCCCCAGCGATGGGACCGAACGAGAAGCCGGCGGACGAGGACGAATGAGAGTGAGACTTGCGGTGTGAGAGCATGCGCGCCTTGCGCTCGCGCACGGACGGTGGCGTCGGCGGGAGCGGAGACGCAGGCGGGGGGCTGACCGGGAAGCGCGAGTCGACAGAGGTGTTGCCAGTGATCGATGAGACGGAGCGGACGCGGAGGTGCTGCGAATGCCGTGAGCGGGCTGGTGTAGTCTCGACACCCGTAACGGCGACGGCGTCGTCCATGGAAGCGCGGCGGTCCAGCGGTGTCGGAGCGGTCGGCGAGGGCGGGACAGCGATAGTCTGCGCGAGCGCGGAGTAGTGGCGCTGGGCAATGAGTATCTGCGTCTGGAAGGCCAGGTTCTCCGACTGGCCAGAGTAGTACGAGCTCGCCTTGCTCTCCTTGCGCGGGCGCCCGGGGGTCCTCCCAAACTCGGCGCTGCGTTCGCTCTGTGCAGGAGTCGGGGGCAAAGAGCGTTCCGGCTGCATCTGCATAGGGAGCGGGGGCGTGAGCGGCTCCTCGTTCTGGAGCTTCTCACCCTCAGGCGGTAGGACCGCGAGCTTGGGCTTGGGCTGGAGAAGGCCTAGCGCACGGCCGACTCTCCCCTTGTTGTCGACGGCGTCGCCGTTGGTGACCCAGACGTCCGTGGAGCGGCGGGATTCGACGACCGTGACGGAGCCGCTGCGCTTGTACTCGTGGGAGTACTTGAGGTACGAAGGCGTGGTGCTCGCAGGGGAGGGTGCACGGAGGACGGCCGACGGGGGCTCGCTGTAGCTCTCAAACAGCTCGGACGGGATCGGGATGGGCGAACGGAAGAGCAGGTTGAGAGCTAACAGAGGCGCCGAGAGAGTGACCGAAAGAATGAGCAGAATGGACCCAATGGAGCTGATGGGGGAACCAGGGGAGACCATGAACAGGAAGGGGAGACCGAGGCCCTGCGAAGTAATGATTGTCGATCAAAAGGAGAACATCACCACAGGAGATGTTGACATACCTGAGGGAGCCAAATCATGAAGAGCCACCCACCAGTACGGAATATCGACATGTCCAAGTCACTAGAGGAAGACGAGGACGAGAAGCTGTTGAGACCCTTCTCCGCCTGAGCAGCCTCAGGGTTCCAACCATAACCACCAAGAACCTCCGCACTCGCCATAGCCGGCGTCATAGGACGAGACACCGCAGTGGAAGGCAAAAGGTCAGTGCCAAGGCCGGGCAAAGACGCGGTAGTCGGCGGAGGCGACGGCACATGGGTGGTAGGGAAAGACCAGTTCGATAGCGAAGGGCCGTACTGCGAGGGCTCCGTGAGCCAGGACGACTGCGAACCCATCCGCGGCGCTGGACGCTTGAACGGATCCGGATCGTCGTTGATCTGGGCCGAGGTCGTCGACCGGGGACGGTACGGCGCAGGGAGCGGCGGAACCGGCGGGATGCTCTCGTGACTGACGAACGGCGTCGCGGGGTTGAACCAGAACGAGGACTTCGCTGGGATTGAGGGCATGGACGCCGTGGCGGGGTGGGGGAGCATGCGCGCGCTCGCGGCTGAGTTGGCGCGCGAGTGCGTGCGGACGTGCGTGTGGTGCGTCGAGAAGGAGAAGGCAGAGACGCTATCGCAGCGCGAGCTCGCGCGGGAGGTGATCCAGGACGAGCCGTCCTTGAGCGCGTTGATCTCCTCGGTCGCGAAACTGGGGCGGCGGCGCTCCTCGACGGGGAGCTCCTTCGCTGGGGGCCAGGGGTCGCGGATGTCATCGAGGGCGGCGAGGTTCTTCTTAATGATGACAAGTGTGCCGACGAGACAGCCGAAGGCGGCCGTGCTAAGAACAGCGGTGGTCGTAGAGTATGCGACGAGCCCGACGAAGAAGCTCCGGACGTTGGTAGCAGCAAGCACACCCGCAATCGCAGTCGAAGTTGCGACGAGGAGGAAGGTAGGAGCCCAGAGCATCCAGTGCTTGCTGCCAAAAGCTACGGAGCGACCCATACGAACGTGCAGAAGGGTCAATCCAGAGATGACGAGAAGGCAAGTCTGGCGGAGGCTCATGGCGAACCAGAGCCTAACGGCGGATCCTGGATCGCCGGCAATGGCATAACCAGCGGGACCACCCAGATATTCGTTCACAGCTTGCCATGTGAAGACGGCAAGAGCGAGTAGGTCGCAAGTAGCAAGCCAGAGGTGGCTCTTATCTGCAGGAGAAATAGACCGATAGTTAGGAAGACCAAATTCGGACTATATGTTAGAGTGTCAGCTTTCTGTTTTGGGCGAACAATAGGATCAGAGTGAGGGGGATCGACCGGACTTACGGGGCGAACTCGACGACTGAGAGGGTGGGGTGGGAGAATCGGGATAAGAATGCGAAGAATGACGAACGCTGAGGAGAAGAACGAGACGAAAGCAAGTGCGAGCGTTGGGATGAGAGGGAACATGTTGACGTGAATTCTTGCGGACGTTGATTCCTTAGTCTTGCGGGTCTTGAGGGAGTGTCGTTTGCGTTGAGCGTATGGGCGTAGGGCCTTCGTTGAACCGTCGAGCGGGGAACAAGTCGAGGTCGTGAAGATAGAAACGATGCCTACACCGTCTGCGTTGAGCTCGCAGGTCCGCCGTTTCGAACCGTGGTAAATATCCTCGACCTACGCCCACCGAGCCAAACACTGCCCAAACCGCGGTTATCCCTGTATGCGCGTCCCTCACGTGGCCGCGTGCGGCACTGTCTCGTTACATAAGTCACTCCTGTGACGCTGTGTGAACATAGCGAAGCGCCCTAGGAGGTCGACGAGTCTGGCGCCGAGCGCCTGTCTTCCCGTACCCAACCATGTCGTCCCTCCCGTCGCCGTTCACCGCGGCGCACAGGTCCTACGTCAAGAACCTATATCGGCGCATCCTGCAAAATGAATTAGACTGGATCGTTCAGCGGGACCTCTGGAGAGCTCGCGCACTCTCCATCCGGGCAGAGTTTGAGAGGAACAGGTGCGTACCTATCTCACTATGAAAGCATGAATGTTACTCTTTATGCTGCGTTGCTCACTCTCGCACTCCTCCCCCACTTGTTCAGGGACATCCACGATCCTCGTGCGCTTGCTCAGATCTTCACCAAAGCCGAGGCGGACCTCGCCGCGCGCAAGCACCCCGACCCATACCGACGTGAGTGCTGCAGCTACTGTCCCTTTGACTTCACATTGAATCGCGGTCATACTAGCTCCCGAGGCTCCGGACGGCACCAAGTGGTATGTTGTATTCCTGATCCTCTATTCTATTCAGTACTTAAGAGGCTTTGCAGGGAGCGCAACCTGCCGGTATGTCTTCTGCATGCAGGCGAAGCCCTAGAGTGGGCATTCAACTTACCTTCGTCGCTCCTTCCATGCAGCCACCTCTCGGTCCTATCTTCGAGCACGAGCCCTACAACGAAGCGCATGGTCGGGCAGGTCACTGATTACGCACCCTGTATTCGTTACGCCAATGCTATCTCGTCATCGCTTACTCCTCCATTAACCCGGTATTCGGCCGATATTGAGTGCACAACTTCCATTGAGATGAGTGCCGCCAAGGTGCAGCAGCAGCTAAGACGACGCGTGGGCAATGGAACTTAGTGGGTCTCTGCGGTTCACAGTCCCTAAGGATGGATACAGGTCAAAGCCTCTTCGTGATCATGCATGCTTGGCTGTGAGTCCGCGAATCCTACCATCTGGGATCAGCTTGGCCAGGTGCAAAATCCCCAGATCTGTAGAGTCCTCGCTTTACGCACATTGTTGTACAGGGGACAGTGATAACAAGCACTTTGCTCTACGTTTAAGCCTTTCATATGCTAGGTCACGGTTAGCCACATCAGCGTATCACATTATGGCGCGAGTGTGAGACACTGTCAAAGATGTGGACCGGGAACGGAGAGGAGGCGTGTCAATGATCGACACGTCCAGCCAAGCGCAACACCTTGCAACGCCTCCGCCATAAACATCTCCGCCTCGCGCCTCTCGTACTCAGCTTGTACGTCTAATCCACTCCAGACGTCCGCGCACGGTCGCTGTGTTTGTCGTCTCTTACGTCGATTCCACGCGAGTGCGAAGCTTGTACTACCGCCCGGATCCAATGTCGCGGAATATCACGTGTCGGGACACATCGGCGCTCAGAGCAGAAATGGCTGGGGCAGGGGACGAGACAGGACCCCATCCAAGCTCTCTTCTCGTAACGGTTCTCCCCATCCTCCCACTCCTTCCTCTCTCTCGTCGCGCACCATGAACTACCTTCGGGGCGCGGTCAGCGCCATCAGTGCGCCATACCAGTACTACAAGGACCTCAACCCCTCCACTCTCACAGGCGCCATCGACGTCATAGTCGTCCGCAGGCCCAGGAATCTCCCTGACAAGCCGCCGGATGGCCCTGTACCACCGCTGTCAGATGAGGAGACCGAGCTTGTATGCTCTCCGTTCCACGTGCGGTTCGGGAAGTGGCAGGTGCTGCGACCACAAGATAAGAAGGTGCGCATACAGCGTCCATTCCTTCCGGCTGCAGTAACAGACCTATTGCGCATAGGTCGATGTGTTCGTCAATGGACAGCTTGTCCCCTTCTCGATGAAGATCGGAGAGGCAGGCGAAGCGTTCTTCGTCTTTGAGACCGAGGAGGAGATCCCAGAGAACCTCGCTACCAGTCCCATCCTGCAAGCGACCAGGCCCGGCGAGACGAACATGCAGGCGCGAGAAACGGGCAGGTTCGGAGCTGGTCCCGCCTCTCCACAAATCAAAGACTCAGCCGGGGAGCCCGAGTTTCTCGACCTCAACGCAACTGCCGGTACCCAGTCCCGCCAGAGCACACCTTCTCCGCCACATTCTCCCGAGTCCTCGCAAGATGAGGAAACCAAGGGTCCTGGCATCCTAGCCCGGACAGCTCAAATTGGAAAAGCGATAGTCAGCGCAGCGCGGGAGACGGAGAAAGCGGAGGAAGATAAACTGAAGGACAAGACGGTCATGGAGGCTCTCAAGGAGACGGAGAAGGACCAACGCGAGTTCGTCAGAGACAAAGCTACAGCGGCTTACGCTGCTGTAGAACGTGCTGCTGCGGTGAATTTTCCTAGCACTAAGGAGAAGGGTGATGAAGTACTCCCGGAGCCCGAGGTGGACGAACAAGGACCAGACGTTAAATATACGGACAGTACGTCCGGCCTCGAAATCATAATAGTGGGAGTCTAACGCGAGTTGTACCCTGAAGCTATGGTCTTCGATATGGAGGGCTATCACGCAGCTGATCACGGAAGACAGGCTTCAGATGCCACACTCAGGTCGAGTACAACACACCGAAGAGGTTCCTCTGCATCTGACACATCCAGTCAGAACCGAACACCAGGCCCTTCCAGTGAGCGCAAGTTCGCCAACGCTGCCGTCACGTTTAGCTGAGTGTAACCTTGGTTGCAGGAACTCCCTCCCCTCCCGGAACACCTCTGTCTGTCCCCTTCCCGACTGCCCGCGCGACTTCTGAGCCACCTCCCCAACACGAGGACGGCTATGCGTCGATCACCTCCCCACAACGCGCACCGTTCCCCACGATAGCGCGCGATCCGCCGGATACCGATAATCGCCCCCATATCCCTTCTTTGCCTTCAATACGCACATCTACAACGGAAGAGTACACTTGGGACTGGGGTAATTTCCCACAGAAGACTCCCGTACGCTCAACCTTTGCGCACAGCCATGCGCCCGGCACGTCTGTCGACCTCACTCGCAAGGGGAAAGGCCGCATGATGTCGGAGCTCCCGGACGCCCAGTACGCGCGGGCTCGCGCAGCTGCGGAACGCGAGGCGCAGGACGACTCGACGTCCTACGGCGTCGGGGGGCGGCTGACCATCGACCACAACGACCCAACGCGGTTCCGGGTGTTCATCGAAGGACGCGCGATGGAGTTCGAGCTTGCAGTTGTCCCACCGACCTCACTGCAAAGCTCTGTGGATGGGAAGGAGCACGCGGGTACGCTGGGCGGAGACGACGAGGTCGAGGACGAGCACCGGTTCGAGCAGAGCAAGATCGACTTCGAGCGCTTTTTGGGCGATGAAAGCGTCGTGCATGATGACAACCTCGTCTTGTTGTGGGGCGACAAGTGAGTGTATCACCACTGTCGTATATGACAACTATAGACGGGCATTCGCCCTCCCAGGTATATCCGGCGGCGAGACGGCTCGCCGCTCATGGATGCGCTGATCACATGGCGCCAGGCTGCGTTGCGCGACCAGCAGTCGCTCTTCTCCTCTCGTCCTGCGTCTCCATCGCCGCTCTCGGAGGACGAGTCTGTCAAATCGGAGGGCGACGAGCCGGCCGAGGAACGTCGCCCACAACGTGCGAAGACAGACACGGCGCTGGCTGTCGATGGCTCGGGGAAGGAGCCTGCCCCTACGTCTTCCTCATGGGTTCGCTGGTGGAGTCGGAGTCGACGAGGGGAGACTGCGCGGCCTGAGATAGGACACACTAATTCGGAGCCTTCTGCCGTGCCTCAAGTACGTATTCTTTTTGTCGGTTGGGTCAGTCAAGCAGTCGTGCTAATAGGATGTAGCAGGCGCAGTCAAATGCCATATTGAGACCTGAAGCAGTGGTTCAACGGACGAGCACGTCCGCGTCTGCTCCTGTACCCGCGGTCCAAGATGATGCCGAGTCGCGTTCGAGGACAAGGTCGACCTCGCCTGAGCTGCACAAGAGGTTCGCGAAGACGTTGCGCCTGACGTCGGACCAGCTGGTATGTCGACTTCGGTAGCGATATACCCAGTGAGGTTGGCGATACTGAATAAGGGCTCAGAAATCGCTTCACCTCAAGCCAGGCGCAAACTCGGTGACGTTCTCGCTGTCATCGACGGGCGTTGCGGCCTGTAGTGCCAGGCTGTTCGTCTGGGAATGGACGGATCAGATTGTCATCTCTGACATTGACGGAACTATCACAAAGTAAGCCCTCCTGATGTGACTGCAGAAGTTCAATAGACTTACGTGCACTATGTGTAGGTCGGATGCGCTTGGTCACGTCTTCACGATGATTGGGCGTGATTGGACGCATCTCGGCGTCGCCAAGCTCTACACCGACATCTGCCGGAATGGGTACAAGATCTTGTATCTGACCTCTCGAGCTATTGGCCAGGCAGACTCCACTCGAGAGTACCTCAAGGGTATCAAGCAGAACAACTACCAGCTTCCGGAAGGTCCTGTCATCATGAGTCCTGACCGGCTGATGGCCTCATTGCACCGGTAAGCATTGCATCTTTGTTCCAACGTCGTCCTTCATGTTGATCGATCGTCCAGCGAGGTCATTATGCGCAAACCGGAAGTCTTCAAGATGGCATGTCTGCGCGACATCCAGAAGCTCTTTGGAGGGCCCATTCACAATCCCTTCTATGCCGGCTTCGGTAACCGCATCACCGATGCGCTCTCTTACCGGAGCGTCAGTGTGCCCAGCTCCCGCATCTTCACCATCGACTCCACCGGCGAGGTCAAGATGGAGCTTCTCGAGCTCGCTGGCTACAAGTCGTCATATATCCATATGACGGACCTCGTCGATCAGATGTTCCCGCCTATCAATCGCAAGATGGCCGCAGAGTTCACTGATTTCAACTACTGGCGCACGCCCATCCAGGACTTCCCCCTTCCCGACCTCTCTCCTCCCTCCCCTGCCCTGAGCGCGCGTTCCGACACCTCGAACCAGAGTACGTTCGCGCGCTTGCGGAATTTCAGCCTCGTCAGCGGCCGCCAGCCGTCATCGAAGTCCTTCACGCTTCCCCCGCCTGCAACGGAGGCGAGCCAGCAGAAGAATGACACAGACGGCAACGAGGCTCGTCTCCGCCAGATGTCCTCGTTCGAGCGTCTCAGCAACACGTTCGCCAGCCTCACTCAGTCGTCTTCCTCGACTGCCGGCAGCCCGCACTCTAGCACGCCTACCCTGCACGACTCGGACTCGGAGTACGACGAGGAGGCGGATGATGTCGAAAAGGCGCGCCGCAGGCGACAGCGACGCCAGAGCGTGGCGAGCATGCCTGGTTCGCTTCCGGGCTCGAACCCCGGGTCGGACGACGAGATGACTTTTGGTGACGACGAAGACGATGAGGAGGGTGATGGGTACGAAGGCGAGAACGAAGTTGTGCCAGACGAGGCTTTCGACGACGCCATATTCGCTGCTGGTGAGATGAAGAACGTTGATTATATCTAGACGGTCTGTGACATCATCATACTGCAAGCTCTCATCATCCCATCATACACTCATACTCGCATGTTCCACACGCCCAGCCATGCACGGACGTCGCTCCTTAACATCGTACAATATTTCCACTTGATATCTTGCTTGGCATGTCGTATCACCAGCTGTCGCACAAATAGACGATACTCGGACATTGTGTGCATTTGACCTGCCCATCTCACATCTTGTAATATAAGCAATCCGCCGGGAACTGAATCGCATCGACACCAGAGGCAAGATCCGTGTTGCGAGAGCAAAGAGCAAAAAACGACAAAGCAATAGTGAAACAAGACTGTTCATGATGAATGTATAGCCACCTATCATACAACCAAAACCTGCGGTGTGTGCTCGGGCCGCGCGGGGCTGATACTCATACCCCCAAACGACTCCCCAAGCCCGTCAGCCTCATCAGCTGGCTGGGACCCCGCGCGCGCGCCGTTGATCATGATACCGATGGGCTGAGATGCTACATCTTCGTCATCCCCCTCGCCACCCTCATCATCTTCGTCATCTTCCTCCTCCTCATCTCCGTCGTCAATGGCCACAGATGACCATTCTCGGTACACTCCCTGTATGTACGACCCCGAGCGCGGCAGCTTGTATGGGTCAAAGGGAAAGAACGCGTTGAGCTCGGACGTCACCGACTGCTCAAACACGATAGCTTTAGGCTTGGGCAGAGGGCGTCCGCCCTCGGCGTTTGGGGCATAGTCGGAACGGCGATTGGCCTCCATGATCGAATAGCAATAAACGAAGCCCGTGGCGTGCGCGACGCGGGCGAATTGCATGACGACGTTTGGCGAACAGACCTACCAGCATCGGAGAAATTAGGACACGTTCGATGGAGGAGTAGTGCGCGGAGACGCGACGGCGTACCTTGAGAGGGTTGAGCTCGGACGTGACTACGCGCTGCATAACGTCCAGTTCCGGCATCCACTTCTTTGGCGGGCCCTGTTGAGGCGCGAACTCGTCCACCTCCTCTTGATCCTCGAGCAGATCGCGCCAGCGGAAGCAGAAGATGAGGAACACCGCCTGCGCGACAGCGTAGAACACGCTGTGCTGCGCGACGTTCATAGTCGACGTTCCGACGAGCCCTTGGCGCACCGCAGCGGCCATCGCGTCGAAGACGTCGAGCCGCGCGCGGAGGAAGTTGCAGAGTACCTGGATGACGCGCCGTGCGCCCTCACGATCGACGAACTGTGCACGTGAGACGAAGCTGGCGATGTAGCTCGCCGCGGCGGCGCGTGTGACGGGGGGCTGGTCTTCTTCGAGTAACGCCTTGGAGACGAGCATGCCTTGAAAGAGGTCTGCGAACTCGGGATCGAGGGAGGAGTACCAGAAGACGACAAATTGCGTGTAGCGGGACTTGAATGTGCGCAGGATAGTTCGGTCGAATATGGCGAGGAGGGTATGGAACTGTGCGCGTCGAAGCGCCTTACCCTCTTCGACGGTCATTGGCGAGAGAGAGCGAGAAATTTCGATAGTCGAAGTAGACATAGAGGGTGATGCTGAGCGGGAAGACGGCGTGCCCGGGGGAGGCAAGAGGACAGGGTCGGACGAGGCATACGTCTGGTTGAAATGATCGAAAATGACCTTGAGGATGCAATCCAGCTTGTTCACCATGCCTTGGATATGCGTGAAGTCGGTGGCAACATCCTCTTGGTCTGAGTCGTCGTCGGGGTCACCACCCGCATCAGACGAGAGATCGCTCAGATTGTCTCCATCGTCGTCCGATTCTTCTCCTTCGGAATCACTTTCATCGCCCTCTTGGCCAAGTACAGTATCGAACGGATCTAGGTCGAATACCTCCGGCTGTCCCTGGGACTCTAATGCCTCCTCCAGCTCCTCCAACTCCACTTGAATCTCAACCTAGTGGTCGTATGAGGAGATGATCCGGAAGAAAGAGGGACTACAGCACTTACGTCGACTTGAATTGCGCGATCGATCACCAGTGCGAGTATGCGGTCGGCAATCTCTGGACAATATTCAGTGACCCGGAGCAGGTTGCGTATGTATGTCACTTGGGCTATCTGGTTTTGCCGCTTATGCGGGAAGTTGCGTGCAAGTAGGGGTTGGAGAGTGGAAGGGCACGTGGGTACGAGGGAGATCAGATGTCGCAGGAGGTAATGAATACGGTCGTAAACTATTCGACGAGTGAGTGGCCTCGCAGAGCTTTCCGGCAAACCGGAGTCCAGTGCTTGCAGACCGGATTCTACGGCGGAGTCAACACAAGAGACGGAGAAAGCAGGGCCATGCAGACGTACGATATGTGAGCCCTTGGGAGATCTTCCCGAGTACAAGCGACAGATACTCGGGTCTCGCACTGACTAGCATTCCGATGAAATTGGTGTATGACTTGACGAAGCTTGTGTCCATCGTGGTCCATGGCATATTGACGATAGCCTCAACCAAGCCAGAATGTACGCGCTCGAGGCGCGAGACAACATGCGAGAGGGCGAGGATCCACAGACGAAGCTGAGGAGCGGGGGAGGGTGCTTCTGGGATAACTTGGATGATTTTCCTCGGATTGAACTGATCCACGAGTTCATCAAACGCATCGCTGATACCCTGGAGTACGCAAGTAAGGGTTTGAGAAGCTAGAGGCGTACAGCTCTGACTCACCATCGCCTTCATTTGTAGGGCATTGTTAACGAATGCAAGGTGCATGTCCTTCCGATACTGTTCATCTGCGCACCAGTTGAGAAGAGACGATCGAGAGACAGTAATGGGGACACATACCTTGCTTGATTCTCGAGTTAGTAACGGTGGGTCTCTCCGTGTATAAGGTTGATGGGGAGGATATAGACGAGGATTTCTTGGGAGTAGATGGCGTCTTCGGACCCTTCTTAGTAGAGAGGTTGTCAAGACTGATTCGTGTCTTGGGCTGCTCCATATGACGCGAGCCAGACGCTATGGGTCCTGCCTTTGTCTGGCGAGAGTTGAAGTGAGAGAAGCGGGAGTGAGGGTCCATTGTGAACTGGCACGCCGTTGTCGGCACTGAGCAGGAGGCCCTCTGTCGCTTCCGCCCGCCCTTCACAAAAAAATGGCTTATCTAATCAGTACATCACCAGATTAGGGACAGGCGCTCGTTTCACTTATGGGCGCTAAATCCCATGCGTCCTTGTTTTATGCCTGTAATCAATGGCATCCCAGCCATGTAGGCTTTGATTATGCTTTGTGAGTCATATCGAGCCAAGGCTCGCCGTATTGGAGAATATGTCGCTGCTTGAAGCCAATCTGAAGAACGGCCGTTGAGGCTGGTTACCAACGCAAAAGCGATACGCCGCACTGAGCTCGTAGGTGATAAGGACTACTATAATGGATACACTCCCACTTCCCATCCACCATGAGGTACATTTGGCTGGACTGTGACCCTGTGAGTACTAACAGCACGTATTCGACCGATGCTGAGCACTTTTCAGGGTCACGACGACGCTACCGCGATATTGTTGGCAGTACATTGCCCAAGCGTTACGTTGCTAGGAATCTCGACCGTATGCATAGTCCAACCACTATCACGTTCCTCGTGAGACAACTCTACTTTCTCCATAGGTTCATGGCAACGCGAGTGCAGAAAACACAAACAACAATGCCGCGCGCTGTCTCTATGCTTTTGCAGCTCCGAAGCATATACGCGTATGTCCTGGGGCAAAGAAACCCCTCATACGGGTCGAACGACATGATCCCGAGATTCATGGAATAGACGGTCTAGGCGGGGTGGAAGGTCTGCCTCGTGCAGATGACCCAAACGTTCAAGCCCGCTTGGTTGGTGATGGGACACCAGGCCGTGCCCTCGAGGGTATGGCTAAGGCAGTATCAAGTACCTGGAACAACGGCCAAGGGAGCAAAGTCACTGTAGTCTCTTCCGGACCTATGACGAATATCGCCCTATTTGTGAGTGTATATCCAGACCTTGTCGAGGGAATAGGTAAAGTACCGCTCCAGCAGATCGCCCGTTTGTGACGTCTGATTATGGATGAATAGACGAGTTCGTATTCATGGGCGGCGGTGTGGGTATGGGCAACCGGTCTGCATCGGCAGGTCAGTCTTTTCCCTATGACCTCATTCTTGCCCCGCGTTTATGTTTCGCTCTCAGAATTCAACATCCTTTGTGACCGTACGCGGACTTTGTCGCAGTGTGATGAATATCCATTGACCTTTGATTCATAAAGCCGAGGCAGCGCAAATCGTCCTAGACGTCCCGGTCAAGAAAACCATGATACCTATTAATGTCACCCACACAGCAATAGTCACCCGTCCCATTCTTAGCCAACTCCTCGCTCCGGGATCTGCCCCGACACCAATCGGAGGCCCTCTGCCCAAGGCAATCACGCCCCTCCGCCACATGCTCTCCACCCTGATCGGTTTCTTCGCCGAGTCGTACAAATCCACATTCGGTTTCATCGATGGACCGCCTTTGCACGACGCCCTTACTATCGCATACATAGAGAAGCCCGAACTCTTCACTTGTAAACGGTACCGCGTGGACGTCGAGTTGGCGGGGACGCACACTGTCGGGGAGACGGTCGTAGACGCCTTCAACTACCGCTCCGTGGACAACTCGTGGGGTCGTCACGGCAAAAATTGCCTCGTGGCGGATAAGTTAGATGTGCGTCACTTGTTGTCTTGTTTGACCGACCCCGACTCTGACGTTATGGTAGGTCGATGGATTCTTCCAGGTGTTCTTGGATTGTATTGCGCGATGCGACCCAGTCTCGCCTCTGAATAGGCAATGAGATGCCACACTATGCACGAGAAGGCACCAGATGTGTAGTATGCGGAAGTTGTGGGGTTACATCCAGTCATTACAGACATTGCGTTGAAATCTCGTTTAGATACAGCAAGTGCCCCAAAAGAAAGGTAGGAATAGGCGAGAGCACCAATACGTAAACAATGTCCTGTGATTGCGTTGTACGGAGAAGAATGTATGGCAGTGCAACTATGGGTCGAATATCCGACTGGACCGTGTGCCATCGACGAAGATCTTGCTGAGCGGGCGTGATGCGGGGTTGCGGTCTCTCCTCCGGCCGGTGCGCATACTGCGGATGGCCTGGTCAAGGTCGCCACGTCCAAATGATCGGCCTGTTGCGCGACTTTGTGACGAGGGAGGGGGGCGAAGGGTGTCGCCCTCCTTGCGCTTGACAGTCTGTGCCGACAAGATGAGCTACTGACAGCTATTGATTCGATGATCATACGTACCCCTTCCTCGCTTAGAGAGGCAGGCTCCTCTTCAATAGTGATGATGGGAGAGGGCGTAACGGCCTTGGGCATGGCATCATGCACTTCGAGCGCTGCCTTCTGGAGGGACGAGGAGAAGGAGAGAACGAGCCCAAAGAAGTCCTCCGGCTTCGGCGCCTCAGGGGAGCTGGGATCCTCTCCGTAGAAAGAGAGCAGAGAGCGCAGCTCAGTATCCAGTGAGGTTCCCATATTCTTCAAGGAGTCAACTATGGCGCTCATTTGCAGTACGAAAGGCTGTCGTGTCGTGAGCATGAAGGATACTCGGCTGAATCGGTTCAAGATACGCACCTGCATGACTACCGTGAAGCGATCCTGAGGAGTACGAAGCTTCTGCATTTGTCGGATCTCCTCGTTAACTTGCTTCATGCCTCCAACAAGAGACTGGACAGAGGCAAGAATGGTTTGCACGGAAACTATAATCGCAGGATGAACTTTCAGATGGACTGGCCAATCGATATGGTAATACCTCGTGCTGCGGCCTCGACATGGGGCATCTCCTCAATGAATGTGGTAAGAGAAGGATCGGTCTTCAGCAAGATCTTCGCGAGGTAGTGCAGGAGCGTTGGACAGTCTGGTGTACCCCTTGCTGTCTTCGTCTCCTTCAACTTGAGCAAGGCCTCAAGCTGGAACCCTCTTGCTCCACCACGGAATGTCGAGCCGTTCAAAGCGTTACCAATTGTCAACACTGCCTGTAGGACACGCTTAAACTTCATCGACCCCCGCAGCTCCTTTGCGGCCATGTGAACGATGTTGAGCTCAGGGCGAGTTTCCTCGACCTCGAGCTCAAGCTTGCGCCGATAAAGCATGCATTCGAGACGTTCCGAGAGACGCGGTATAGTCATTATCTGGCTGAAATATTGGTCCGCCTTCGCAAGCTTGCTGACGTCGCCGAAGTCCTTCAATCTTGCGATCTCATCGGAAGTAGGGAGTTGACGGCTGATAGCTCGGAGATCATCAATGGATAGGCGTTGGTCGTCCAATTCAAGGAGAGCTTTGCGTATATCGGCAGGACTGATCTTTATCCTGGTGAGCATAATGGCTGCAGGACTTCGTCAGCACTGCAAGCGAACCCCCAGAACAGGATACTAATGCTTACCGACGTTGTTGGCACGCGTGATGTCCAGCAGAGTCGTTACATTCTGCTTCTTTGGCGACGTTACGCTGATCTGCGAACTCGTGGACGGTGAATTTTCGATGGCAAATGTGGACTCAAGATCATCCATGTCGAAGGAGAACTCTCCGGGTATCTCGCCCCATACCGTAGTCGGCAATGTCGGCGTGTTGAGCTTGTTCCAGAAGAACGGCTTGAGGCGCTTATTCGACTTCGAAATCCTGGGAGCCGGCGTCCTCCATGCTGAAGGAGGGGGAGGAGGTCCACCATTCATAGGCGGTGGTGGTGGTGGCGGAGGTGGTGGCATTCCAAGGGAAGGTGGCGGGGGTGGTGGTGGTGGTGGCGGGGGTGGTGGCGGAGGTGACGCAGAAGATGTGGGAGACATCGGAGGCGGCGGAGGTGGTGGTGGTGGTGGTGGTGGTGGTGGTGGTGGTGGTGGTGGTGAGGGAGGATCGTTCAATGTGGGTGATGCCTGTCCCATAGAATTCGTCCGGGAGATTGGAGGCCTCGGTGGAGGCGGTGGAGGAGGCGGAGGAGCTACACCGTTGCTAGCATTCGGCAGCCCACTGACCGGGGCCGTCGTTGAACGGACAGGCTTGGCAGGTGGTGGAGGTGGTGGCGGAGGCGCGACCTGCGACTTGTAGTCCTTCTCAGTGATGAACTTCGGCTTTGCGGCAAGCTGGAGCTTGAGATCCTCAATCTCTGAGCGGAGGGCGGCGATTTCTTCGTCTTTCCTGGTGAGACTGTCGATCGCCCGGCTAGCCATCAACTCAGCGTTGACCTCGGGGTCTCGCGACTCTGGTTCCCTACTCTCTTCTCGAGATCGGAATCGCGAGTACACAGATTCAAGAGCGCGTTTGAGGTAAACAATCTCCTTGTCTTTGATGCCAGCGGTGATCTCCAGGTCATGGATCTGGACAGGAACGTCAGACAATTGGGCGCACACACTGTGAAGTTTCACCCACCTGGGACTTAAGGTTGGTGATCTCTTCGTTAAGCGTGTGCCACTTGACCCTGTCACGTTCTCGCCTTGCCTTGTCGTCCTGCAGTCATCAGCAATTAGCACAGGCCTTATTTTGATGTACGTGAACGACTCGAATGCCTTACATTCTCGCGGGTGTCGGCGGGATTCTGGGCCTTCAGACGATCCAACTCGCCCTGCAATTGCAGCACCTGTTTCTCCTTTTGGACCAGGCGCTGGACCAAGCCATGGAAGCCTTGCGTGGACTGAATAAAGCATGTCAGTCTTGTACGCGCACAGGAAGCTCATGATAAAAAACCTCGGGATTGCCTCGACCAGCAGCGCGGCCTATAGACGCGGGCACAGCAGGAATGGATTTCAGGGTACTGAGCTCCACGGATTGTTGTTCAAGCTCGTTCTGGAGCTTGGTTCGCTACGGATTCCGTCCGGCTCGGGTTAACGAGCAGGAGCAACGACAATATCATCAGGCGCACCTCGGCAGTCAGCTCATCGACCTGGGCACGAAGGTGCTCAATTTCATCTTGGAGTACTGAGTGATCCGTCTCCGAGGCGAGTCTGACGTCCACAACTTGTCCTGTGACCGACTGAACAGAGTCTGCAAAGTGCTTGAGGAAGGCACACCAGCCGTCGTCGCTACAAGGAGAATGTTAGGCTATCGCAGATGATATACGCAGCCGGAAACTTACAAGTCTTCAAGGGCAGACGCTTGCTCAACGAACTTGTTGGTGACAGTGAGCACGTCCGCCTTAACTTGTCTACGTAACGGAGTCTGTCAAGCAAAACGGGGATAGCAGCGACAAAGCTCGACTCACGACTCGACATCTCGGTCAATGATATCTCCGTACCGCTTGAGCGCCATTAACAACATGGGGTATATGCTCTCTTGCTGCTTGGCCGAATGCAGCAAGTCATCCAACGCTGGATCCGACTCCGACCTTGATCCCCGATGATCTGACAAGGTGTCGCGCGCACGTTCGCGCATATCTTCCTCGTCCTCGAACTTCTCTTCTGTATAGACATCGAGTTGGGTCACCAAGGATTCGGGCGGTTTCATGTATCGGAGCGTCTGTCCGAAGGTCGATGACTGGCATTATGCAACTGGAAAGACACAGACTTACCACAATGACTTCGTTCAACCCTCGTCGGCCGAACTCCTCTCTGAGCAATATACGCTCCTCCAGTGAGTCCGGGCAGTTTGTGAGCGCGTTGACTAGAGCCATCGATGCTGTCCGAGCCTCCCACACGCCTTCCTCCTCGTTGCTGTATCCATCCTCCGTAGGAGAGGCCTCCTCATCGCTGACGTCCGGCAGTCGCATGGAAGCGATGAGTTCTTGGAAGCGGAAGGCCTCCTCGAATTCGACCCGGTAGTCCGACATCGCTGAGAGGACGGCTCTGTGACCTTCCTTCAGAGACAGGACGCATATCGCGGCGAGCACTTCGGAAGTCAAGGTACGGAGCTTGGCGGATGAGCCATGTAATGAGTAGGCAAGGTGAGTGATGATCGTCGGATGCGCGAGGACTTCGCGAAAGCCGGGCTAGGGATCCGATAATGCTAAGTCTGTCACCAGGGCGGAGGATCTGGATAGAGCATCGCATACCTCAGTGTTCAACAAAGCCCGCAGGCATTTGATGACCTCAAGTAAAACCGTATCCTCCACTTCAGTCAGCTTCTTCCTCTTGCCCCCTTTACTGACCAGACGCGCCAAAAGATCGCTTAGAACATTCATTCCAGATTCTGTCGTCACGAATTCCTCGACCCAGGCAAGATTAGCCGTAGACAGATGTACGCGCAGGGAGATGAGATGTTTGACGAGCTTCGTGTCGGTGGTACGCCCATTGCGGATCCCAGCCGCATACCAACTGGGGGTCTTCTCCGCTTCCTTCGCCTTCTCTATCGTCCCACCAGACGATGACCACCAGCTGCTCCACAGACTTCCGGTAGCTTGCGGCTGCAAGGGGGTAGACGACTCAGCGCCCCTGTCTGTCTGCGACTTCAAGGAGATCAACGAGTCACGCCGTCTGGAAGTCAGGTCGACGCTTGAACGAGGCGACTCCGGAGGGGATGGAGTGGCTGGTGTGTTGGCACCCCAAGCCGCGATGGAGAAGCGTTTCATGAGGCCGGAGTCCCCAGTGAGTTGAGGGACAAGGCGTGGAAGGATTGCTGCGGCACTGGCGGGACCAACAGTCGAAGGCGTTGCTGCAGCCTTGTTGAACCTGGACGCAGCCGTCTTCGAGAGCGTTGAGGCCCTAGAGACCTGATTCTGTTCCATCAAGTACCGTTTCTGCTCTGGTGGCAGACGATACATGGCCTCGCGCTTCGGACCTTTCAGACCCAGATCGTCCTACATAGAGTCAGCACGTCAAAACACCCTTCCATTGTATTGGGACGCACAAGCATCTGCTCGAACTCCGCCGAGTCGACGCCCTCGGACTGTTCGTTACTAGCCGTGCTAACGACGCTATCGCCCGTCTTCTGCTCAACCAGCCTCGGCTCGCTGACCACCTTCTTCTCCGTTCCCGGAGGCGACTTCGTCTCCACAGTCGGACTCTGAGGCCGCATCCAGCTCTCCAGGATGCTCGAGAAACGATTCTGCGAGATCGACCCACGCCAGTCCATAGGGGCCCTGAATTGCCCGCTGCGAGCTGTCTCGAAGATCGTCGACGCCTCAAGGTCCTTCGCCTTCGCCGTGCCCTCTCCTTCATCCTCCTCATCCTCATCCTCTTCCTCCAGATCCGCGAGGCGGCGAATGGTGTCTTGTGAGACGTCGCTTGACGTTGATGACACAGAGCGTGATTTGGAGCGACGATACCATTCATCTGGGATACAGAACCTGAAGGAACGACAGGCCGCGGGACCGATAGGGTTGGCGGCGACCGCGTTCTCCAGGGCGGTGGAGAGTACAGTCTCGGAAGGTAGCCTGGTCGACCCTACGGACCATAATTGTGTTTAGCCTGACACATGTCCTATGCGGCAGATGGAAGGAGTGAATTGTAGTCTCACTTTCTGTATGATCATCCGACCAGACCTCCTCCAAAACATACTCGAGCGCTCCGCCGCCCGGAACGGGCAAGGCCTTCGTCAAGCCCAGCTCCTCAATCGTCGCGTCCAAAGCCTCCCGAACAGTCAACGATCGTGAGATGAACAGCCTCCACTGAAATCCATCGTGTATCTCCGGAACACGCAGAAACGAGAACGTCAAGGACAAGAAGGGGTGCAGTGAGACGAGGCGCAGGGTCGGGGTATGCAGATGAGACGTCAGCGGGAATGCAGAGAAGTGCCGCTGCGAGCGCGCCGTCGGAGAGGGGGCGTTCAGCAGCGGTGCAACGGGTGAAGATGGCGGGAGGATCCCTGTGCAAGCCAGGCCACATGGTGCGCGGGTGGTTAGTTGAGCTACTTCTTAACGGGCTACGCGAAGGCCTGGTGTGGTGCGCACCGTTTCCCAGAGCCTCAAGCTCATCTTCCTCCCACTGGCGGCCGTTGTGTTCGCGCCGGATCCGCTGGACGGCCCACCCGTATGGCTCAAGATCGCCCAAGACCTCAGCGGTCACCTCCTCATTCGATACGAGCGCATCGAGGACATCTTGTACGGTGCCCTCCGCAGTGATCGTCGCAAAGTGCAGAGAGCCTCCGGGCACAACCGTTGGTACAATGAGCGGATCGCTGGTCATGAGTCCTGGCGTTGGTATACAGGTCCGTCCCAGGCGACGGGTCGCGTTACGCGTTCCTTGGGTCTAGACGGCGCTCCGAGCGGCAGATGTGGGTACAGCAAGTATAGTGTGGAAGGTATAGATAGCTCAGCAGGATGTACAAAACTGGGGTGTAGATGGTGGTCCACTTGGGGCGAATGGAGGTGTGGTGCCCATGGACTCGGGGAAGGCAAGGACGCAAGTGGCTGCAATGCTTCTCGGCCTGAGCCTCGTGGGGAAGCGCTCTAATCGTCATGGATCACTCTGCCTCGGTGCCGCCCCTTCCTACTCCCGCCTTCATGCCGCGGCCGACGCAGCGCGCAGCGATGCGGGTCTCGTCTCCGCATCATGCCGTGTGGTGGCTGGATATCGAACCTTCGACAAGATAGTTCATTCTGATTGCTTTTGACACTACTAGCACATATACTACACATGACATACATACAACGTGAGCTACAGACGACTCGGTCGGACAGCGTGGACACAGCAGCGGTTCACCAAAACGAGGTAACGATCCCAGAGAGAGAAACCAACCGACACCGCATCGGCAGCGTAGATTACCATGATCACTATACAGACGACGAGCTCTCCGTATCGACAGAAGGATGGACCATGTAGTACACACGGACATTGCCCTCCTGCGAGTCGGCGGTCTGCTGCCCACTGCTCTCCTCCATTGACGGCGGCAGCGAGTCCTGGACGTCTCCCCTGATTTCAATCAGGTAGTTGTCCTACAACAGCCTCCCATCAGCGACCGATCACAACCTACCCCAGGTCGAGCCAGACGTACCTTGACGAGCTTCCTCAGCATTTTCGTGATCAGCTCCTTCTCGTACTCGAGCTCCTCCACATCCTGAATCTCCTCCTCCTTCAGCTCCAAGTACCAGTCGATCAGCTCGTCCCTGTCCATCCCCGTCCCCGTCTCCCGCTCGACCTGCGACAGGTGCAGCACGATCAGGCTCTGCAGCGTCACATACTTGTCGTGCGTGATGACCATCCTCCGCTTCGGCTTCGGCTGCTGCGCGGGGCCCCCTTGCTCGCCTTGTGGCTGGGGCACCTGGCTCGTCGCCCGCGACGGCGCGTGCGACGACGGGCCGTTCGCGCCGCTCGCGCCCGGCTCGTACATGTCGTCGACCCCGGACTGGAGGCCGGACATCTCGACGTCCTGGCTGTCCTCGCCGTCGACGTGCGAGGACGCGCGAGGGCGGCGGTCCCCTTCGCGCTCGCCCCGGAGCTCTTCCTCGTCGAAGTCGATATCGTCTTGTTCGACGTGGATGATGGATTGTCGGAGGAGGGAGAAGGCCTCGCGGACGAACGCGGGTGTAATCTGATACAAATATCAATCTCAAAACTGGTACTGTATAATGCACCAAGGAATGCGCCTACCTCTGTTTTGCAATTCGCCCGCGCAATGGCCTCGCTGAGACGGATCATACTCTCGAGCTGACGAACCGTGATGCGGTACGAGTTCCTGCTTGCGCCAGACGCGTCATCCTGTCGGAGTATACGATACTTCTCGACCAGGACATCCGCCGCCTCAGGCGTCATCTAGTCATGCACTCTCTCAGCACCTGCCTTGTTCGTCGCAATCTATACGCCGTACCTTGGGGTTGAACGTCCTCGCATACCGAATATACCTCTGCAGCGCCTCCGTGCTAAACTCCGGATCGATAGCCTGGTCCTGGAACCGATGCACGTTCACGATGTGCTTCGCGATGTTCAAATCGCTCTTCTCGTCGCACTCGTCCAGCACCACAAAGAACAAGTCGAACCGACTCATGATCGGCGCCGTCATCGCGACGTTCGCCCTCAAACTCTTCTTCCTGTCGTACCGGCCCCCGATCGGGTTCGCGGCGGCGAGGATGGACGTGCGCGCGTTGAGCGTCGCGTGGATGCCCGCCTTGGCGATCGAGATCGTCTGCTGCTCCATCGCCTCGTGGATCGCGACCTGGTCCGAGATGTCCATCTTGTCGAACTCGTCGATCGCGCAGATGCCGTTGTCCGCGAGCATGAGTGCGCCGGCTTCGATCGTGAAGTCGCCCGTCTCCTCGTCCTTGACGACTGCGGCCGTGAGACCCGCTGCTGAGGAGGCCTTGCCGGACGTGTAGACCGCACGAGGGAGGAACGAGCAGATATACCTGGCGGGGTAAAGCGTCAGCTAGGTGGAGTTGGGTGCAATCGAAGGCCCGTACTTGAGGAACTGGGATTTGGACGTGGACGGGTCGCCAACAATGCAGATGTTGATGTCTCCACGTAGGTGCATGCCCTCTGGAGTCTGCTTATGCACTCCGCCCATGAGCTGGAGAAGCAGACCCTTCTTGACGATCTCGTGCCCATACACAGTTGGGGCAATGCTTCCGACCAGACGCGAGTAGATGTGCTCGTCTTGTATCATATGCTGTAGCTCCTGCAACTCAGGATCCGTCAAGGAGTTTGCGAAAGCATCCGTGTTGCTCTCCTCGCCATTCTCTTCTCCCCGGACATTGTTACGACGCTGAGTTGGTAATGAGCACGCTCACGTGAAACTGTCCGATGGAACCGAGCACCCACATAACCATCCGCATCTTGGACCATGCACGCCAAGAATGCAGTCTTGTACTGCAAATCCCGCACGCCTAGACTCTTCAGGCCAGTCACGCCAGCGCCGCCGATGCTCGACGCCGCAGTGCCGCCCTGCGCACGCGCCGACTCTCGTTGCAATGTCGCGTTCTCGCCACCAGGGAGGCCAAGCGAGCTGACGTCGGGCACGACGATGAACGTTCCTGTGAACACACACTTGTCACCAGCCTTGGCACGCTCGACAAGCTCCGAGCGCAGGATGACGTCCAAAGACCGCGGCATGGAGCCGGTAGGAATCTCTGACGGGTTTTCTTGGATGCGGACTTTCTGCCAGTCAGTGAACTTGGAGGTGTCTATCTGGAGCTGCCAAGCTGTGCGGTTTCCGCAAATGGGGTTGGGGCACAAGCTGGGCTGCGCGAAACGTTGGTTACAGGAAATGTGTGCTTAGATAGGCTGAACATACCTCGGTGTATTTAAACTGTTGCTCAATGTCATTGACGAGACCGCCGCAGACCTCGCATATGAAGCTACCGTAAAGTAGTTCGGGGCGAACCTCACTCGTCCGCGTCACGGTTCCACTGATGCTCATCAGAGTCCCGATTCTCTCTGTCTTCAGATCGCGTATACCAGACACGAGTGGCAAACTGTAGAACGCGACGTTGAACTCTCGAGATTCTAGGTTCACCGAGTCCGTGGCAGCGGCGGTGGGATTGATTTTGAGGTAATCCGGTTCGAATTCGGCGACGAGATTGTGGACTGCACGTCGAATGAAAGGAAGGAAGCGGTAGTATTGCTTTGTGAGCGCTTCGGCGAGGGTTTCGTCCAGCTTGATGAGGTGTCCATAGTCGACGTACAGGGTAGTGAGCTCGAAGTCGCGCATGGTGTGGATCTGTTCGATATAAATGAGTTCGCCGTCGGGTGCGGAGGGGACGCCTGCTTCAGAAGCTGGTGTAGGCGCGAGGTCAACTTCTTCGGTAAATCTGGTAGAGGGCAATGAGCAGCAAGACGCGCTGAGAGGAGGAAATCGCGTACGTTCTGAGGAAAGTCTCGAATGCCTCCTGTACCTTCTCGCCTACACCGTCCTTGACAATAGGAACGTCTGCACCCATCTGATTCCTCGCTCGACCCCGTCTGCGGGACGGTTGCGGAGCGTCGTCCTCGACCGCTTGAGCCTCATTGTCAGAGAGGCCGAGAGCGTCGGACTGTTGGCGGTTTCGTCTGGGGGTGGCTCGAGATGGGCCGGGAGAGGACGGTGTGGGCACGGGGGCGCTGCTAGGGGGGAGGGATGTGTAGCGGAGAGGCGGTGAGGACGCGCCGTCAACGTCCATGGTCAGCTCGAGGCTGTGGAAGACAGGAGAGGAGGAGGAACGCGTCTTGCACTACAAGCAAATCAGACACGAGACGGCCTGCCCTCAACTCACGCGTGTGGGTGGCGTCCGCCCACAGCCGTCGCGGTCCGCACCCTGCGAGCTTGTCCTGCTTCAAGTCTTCGACGTCTTCTCTCGGGCTCTCTGCTAATCAGGGACAGAACAGAACATGGATCTCGAGCCCCTTGACCCCGCTGATGTCTCCGATCAGCTCTCGAAGCCGCCCTTCGTCTCCATACCCGGCGTCGTCAACGTTCGCGACCTCGGCTCGTACCCTACAGACCAGCCGGGCTTCATGACACGACCTAGAATGGTGTACCGCTCCGGAGAGATCTCATTCATCACACCAGAAGGTGCTTCTGCGACAGTACTACTCGTCAAAATGCCTCACTCACATCTCCGTCTTCCTACGTCTTCAGGAATCACAGAGCTGAGGGACATACTCGGCATCTCGAAAGTCTACGACCTCCGCTCCGATACCGAGATGCAGAAATACGGGACCCCAATACCCGAGATGGAGGGCGTCGAAGTCATCCATGTTCCCGTCTTCAAGCGGGAAGACTACAGTCCGGAGGCGATGGCCAGGTACGTCCGGCTTCCTTCTGCTCTCTCACTCTGCAATCACACTTTGAACCCCCGTTCTGCCCTCGCGCTCCCAGACGATTCGAGCTCTACGCCAGCGGGAAGACAGAGGTACGTTCCCGTCGCCGTCGTCAACGCGATGGCTCATCGAGCGAACAAGGCCTTCATGCAACTCTACTCCCAAATCCTAGACCACGCCGGCCCCGCGTTCGGCGTCGTCCTCCGGCACATAAGAGATAAGCCAGAGCAAGGATGCCTCTTCCATTGCACCGGTACGTGCCCTATTGCGGCACCCCATTGGCTTTGCTACGCGGTGGTTAATCACATGCTCCTTTCGCAGCTGGTAAGGACCGGACAGGCGTCCTAGCCGCGCTACTTCTGAAGGTAAGAAGACGGGCTCCTCCCACCCAACGTCCGCTCACCACCATCGGGACCGCAGTTGGCAGGCGTAGACGATGAGAATATCGCGCGAGATTATGCCTTGACACGCGTTGGCCGCGAGCCGGCTCGTGAGATGGTCATGAGGCGCCTAGCTCTGGTCCCCTTCTTCGCCTCCAACACCGAAGGCGCTCTCAACATGCTCTCGTCAAGGTGCTCCCCTCTCCACTCTTCTCCCACAAGTGAGACTGTATTAATCACCGTATCTGCAGACACGAGACCATGATCGCCTTCCTCCGCATGCTTCACGATCGCTACGGGGGCGCGGAGGCGTACGTACAGAACGTCGTCGGCCTCTCCGCAGACGACATCGCCACCATCAAGCGCAACTTTCTCGCCCCTGTATCCCGGAGCTAGCTGTAGACATAAGTACGCAGTGCGCACGCCCGTTGTAATATACCAAGTCCAATACTGTACATCGGATATCAATGTTGTGTGTATCGTTACTCTAGGCCGGCATCGCGTGCGTCACCCCCATCCAACACGACTTTTGAACAAAGACGACGGTCATGCATTGTTCCAATTAACGATCCATGCAGAAAGATATGAATGTAGTGTAGCATCGTGACAAGTCATAAGCTAGCGCATGGCACATCCTAATCGTCCACGCAAACCGTTCACAGTCCATCATGTCGTGTCATGTCTTCCGGCTCAAGCTCAGCGTCCTCCTCACCTTCGACTGTATCTGCGTCGTAGGCCCGGTCGGGCTCCCGGGCGGCTGTGGGCCCGGGACGACGTTGTTCGCCAGCCCGCTCTGGATCCGGGCCTTCGGGTTGAGCGGCGAGAGCATCCCGCCCGTACGCGACGGCGGTCGGATCGGACCGTCTCCAGTGACCTTGCGACGACCGGGCGGCACATGCGGTGCAGGCCCGGCACCAGAGCCCGAGGGCGGCGTCGGCGGCTTCGCGCTCTCCGCGTATGGGTACGCGCTGAAGGACGTGGTGTCGGTCCCGAGGGCCTGTCTCCGCGCCTTCTCGTGTCTGACCTGGACGGCGCGGAAGTGCTGCAGGAGCTCCTGCCATTTGATGTCTTCTCGGCCGAGCTTCGAACGCGTCGAAGACAGGTTGCCGACCGTTCTGAAGTAGAATGAAGGTGAGATGAGCACTACGTACAGTACGCGAAGTGTGCTCGGTACGTACGACTTGGGCGCGATGTGGAGGAAGCCTGCGGAGTTGACGGCATTCAGGCGGTTGCGGAGGGAGAGGAATGCAGAACTTTGAGGTAGCAGCATGAGAAGCCCGTAAAGGCACTTGAAAAGGTGTGGGTATTTCTCGGGCTCCAGCAGCTGTAGACGCAAATCTAGGAATGTTGTTAGCACGCAGACTATGAAGATCACAGAGAGGGCTGATCATACAAGTGAAGACCGGTGACTCAATCAGCTGTACAAGCTTGTCGACTTGAACCAACAGCTGCACGGTGATCTCGAGGTCGGCACTGACATGATTCATGAATGAGCGGTCATCACACAATGTACGATATGGAGAAGAATTTACGTACAAGATATAAAGAAGATTTGAGGCGTGCTCATAGGCTTGGGCGAGGAGACACAGTGAAAAGACAGCGACGGCATTATGACACCATGATCGATATAACGTCGTGAAGAGCGCTTGGCCATCTGCCTGTTCATTTCGTCAGTAGCGAGACAACCGGAAGCTGCACTCGACCTAACTCGTGTCTCCAGACTCTTCAGCCTCCTGCGGAAGTCCGCCAGCTCGGGTGACGTGATCAGGATCATATTGAGCTTCTGCACCATGACGCTCGCAAACTCGAGATCTTCCTCCTTCTCAAGGATCTCGGCAAATGTCCTGTATATCCGCTCGGTGTTGAGGTTGAGACATAGTTGTCGAATGATCAGACTGCCTCTTGAGTCCAATAGGCCTCGGTCTGTGCTGAACAGCTCCAAGAGGTTATTCATGAATAACTTAAAGTAACCCTCCTCCGAACTCGACGAGATCTGCGCAAGCAGCTGCAGATCATGCTTGATGACCTAGACACGCCCACCATCAGCTCCGCACCCACTCCAATAGGTCAGGTCCTTACCTCTTCCGACGAGTCTGACAGCGTCTTCAACAGCGCCGGGAACGTCCCATCGTCCATCGCCAAGATCTTCTTCGGGGCCTTTTGGTGCAGCATGATCAGCCACTTGAGCGCCGCGACTCGCGTCTCCTCATGCTCGCTCAAGAACTGGATCGTCAGCGCGTTCACCGTCGCCTGGTAGTCGATCTGGTCCCGCTCTTGCAGCATCGACGACTCGGGCGACTGCTGTGTCTGCAGCACGCTGATCGCCGACACTGGCGACTCCGGCCTGCTGTTCTGCACCTGTGCCTGGGAGGCGTTCTCGATGGGTTGGTTGACAGCGCGAGGAGGCGTCTCAGAGGACACCGTAGCGGAACGACTCTTGATCTGCGTCGTCAGCCCGGAGGGCGGGGCGCGGTCGACTACTGTTTGGGGCGCAACTTCTGGAGGCGACTCGGGCGAGCTGATGTCCCGGCTCGACCCTGAGTCTCTGGTGGCTGCCCCTGTGGGCTGTCTCGTCGGTACTAGCGTTGGAGGTGTAGGGGTCGGGGAGGAAGGGATAGCGACGGAGGCATTGGACGACCTGTCTGTCCCTTGGGTCTGCTGACGACCGGGGACAGGTTCCGGAGGGACAGGGAGGGATTGAATGACGTTCAGGAGGGCTTGATTCGTTCGCGTTGCAGCGGATTGGATCATGGGAACGTCGTGGGCAAGGTTCGGAAGGATAGCGAGGATGAGTCGAGGGGTGAACGGTATCATGACATCCTGGTTGATGCTCAGAAACTCGCATAGCCATCGGAGAGCAGTGGATTGCTGAATCTCGTCGTCTGTATGTCAATTCAACAGCTGCTCGAAGTATACGGCGAAGGCTCACTTACGTTGATCATCCAACTGTGCAAGGAGAATCTCTACGATGGCAGCATAGTCAATCCTAACACCTTGCCCAGGTACCCAAGCTGCGGAGCGTAGTTAGGACAGGAAGGTTCTTGAGCTGAATAATGATCCTTACCACCGGTATCCCGGAGCTCTTGCTCCTCTGGCTTCTCATCTGGTGTCTCAAGATCATTGTCGAACACGTCATCATTCTCAGAGATGAAAGGCGCGCGCTCAGGGTGTTCCATAGTTATATCCGGAAGCTTTTCTTTCTCGGCTTCAATACGTCGGGATGCTTCCGTTATGGTAGCTTCTCTCTTCGCCTTGAGCTGGTCTTCATGGCGCTTCTGGACAACCGTGACTTCCTTGATCTCCCGGAGGAAGTCGGCAAGCAAACTTTCAGTCGCTACTCTGACATCGTCTGTGGGGTCGGAGAGGTACTTCCTGTGCTGTGGTCAATCGCAGCGCAGATTGACCGAGATGTATACGCACAGAAGTCCGTCCAGAAACTCCGGAAGGTAGGTAATAAGCTCCAGCTCTGGTACAGAGTCTAGAACGGTGATCCACGAGACAAGGTAACTTCGCGTGAATGGACTGAGGACGTAGATCCTGTCGGAAAGCAAGGGGATGAAGTGCGGGAGGGAGAAAGCCTTTCGTGCCCTCGAGATATCCGCGCCATTGGCAACGTCGTCCGGATGGGGCACCAGGATACCATTCGCCTCATCCGCTCGTCTTCTGACGGCCTCCGTCTCCGGATACTGGGGAATGTACACCGAAGCGGTCTCCGCAACAATGTCCTTCAGGAGACGGTCCAGCAACTCCGCGCCATTCTTGACAGACAGCTCCGAATCTGCGGCAAGCTGGTATGGATTTGTATCTTGAGCGTGGACTTCTAGACGTGAAGACGCACCTTGCTGAGCGCGTCAAAGATGGGGTTGAAGTAAACCAATATCTCGCCCTTTGACACTTTCGCGATGTTATACAGACACTCCGCCGAGAAATACCGGACGCGGTTCTCGGGATCCGTGAAGCATACAAGCAGTGGTTCCACGAATTTCTCCATGTACGGCGCGATATCGACCCCAAGGGCGATGGCTGTGCCCGCAAGACCAATGAGACCGCCATTTCGGACGTGCAACGGATTTGAGGGGTTGCTAAACATCTCTACGAGCTGGTCCACAATCTGGCTGATGCGGCGCTGGTCTCCCTGTTGGTGGCTTTCGCGTATCTGCCTGTACGATCACAGTTTGCATGCGCAAAGTGGATTGGACGCCAAGAGTAGCCACGCACTTTTCAAGCTCCAGCGCCGCCGCCTTCCGCTTCTCGTACATCTTGTCTACGAGCTGTTTCGAAATGCCTGAGTCTGGAGGACATTTCAGCGCTCGATGGCGGGTGGTTCTCGACAAGGACGCTACGCACCCATTTCGCATAAGTACTCTCGTCCAAGTGATTCGTATCAGGGGTCGTTCCAGGAGTGGCGAGCCGCTGCCCATGCAGGCAGAGTTCAGGAGGAGAGGTGGTGGTGGCCAGCGCGCGACTTGGCCTGCGCCTCAACGCACGCGGACGCGTCAGGCTCGGCGCCTGTGCTACAACGGCCCTTTCTTCCACTTTCTCCATCCTCCGACTCATAAACACAATGGACAGCGACCACGAAGCCTACGTCCTCCTCCTTTTGTCCGACAGTAATCTCCCTACTGGCTCCTTTGTAGCATCCGCAGGACTGGAATCATACGTCACCCACGGCTTCTTCACCGATCTCTCCGCATCGAGCCCATCGCGGCCGGACAAGATGGACTACACTGTAAACTTCTTACGCGACAGCCTCTCGACATATGCGCGCTCTGCGCTTCCGTTTGTTCTTGATACGCATCGCACCATTGAGGAGTACCTACAGGATCAAACTGAGCATACTGCAAGCGACCTTGACCCTGTTCTGAGTCGCGTCCGGGAGCTAGACGAACTTTACGAAACTATGACGCTCAACCATATCACCCGTCGTGCTTCGAAATCGCAAGGGGTCGCGCTCTTAACCCTCTTCTCGAAGGGTTTCTCGAAACCGCGACTATCACGGCATCTGAGCGTGTCTAGCGACTCTGGCCTCCTTGACTTGGAGACCCGCGCTACAACCCTAGTGGATCGCCTGAAGCTCCTTGTTCGGAGAGAGGAAACGCATGGGCACCTTCCGATCTGCTGGGGCGTCCTTACCGCGACCTTGCGGTTATCTCCTGGTGCGAATACTCCTCATCCTATAGCGATACTGTCTTATATTGGTATGTCTTCCTGTGCATGTTCGCACTACAGAACGAAGCCAGTATCTGCATATGTTCTTGCAGTCCCGCAGCCTGCTCTCCTCGTCTGTTCGTCTGAACACGATTGGCCCGTACGGAGCCCAGCAATTGCTCCTGCACACCGTTCGTCCACTCGTAGACGCGGAGATGTCCCGCTGTAAAGACCTCACGACAGGCCTCCTAGCTTCGTCCCAAAACGCAGAGCAAGATGGTCTCGACGACGACGCGATCCGCGGACCCACGATGACCTGGCCGCTGGGCGAAATCCTTACGGCCCGCCACGATCTGCAGCATTCGCGCATTTTCAACAGCTAGGCAGTATACACGCGCGCGTCCGCTATGGATACACTCTCGGCACATACTACATACCCGCAGTAGAGGATACAACAAGAACTTGCCCCGACGACTACGATGCCTTGACTAGGGCCAGGCGCGCCGACACCTCCGCTTGTGACCGTACGAGGTTCGCCAAGTACGATACAGTGAGGGTATCCTGTTGGGGTCAAGCCGCGTAAGCTGGGTTCCACCGCGAATGGTCAAGTGGGATAGGAAACGTACCTGGAGGTGGGAGTTGAACTCTCCCCTTTCGAGATCCTCGGTGCTGGGCCCGAGCGCGTCCATGAGGTAGCGGCCGATTGCGGCGTCGCCCTTGACCTCACCGGAGAGGACGGACTGGACATAGGAAAGGACGCGGTCGAGCATCTCGTATACGGAGACGAGAGAGCGCTCGAGCAGCTCGAGGTCGCTAGAGGGGTTGGTGAAGGTAGCGTTGACAGAGTCGGAGAGGTTAGAGGTAAGGAGGTCAACTGAGAATGTACAACTTGATCAAACCAACTGAGGAAGGAATATTATGGATGAGACGTACGGCCACTGCGCTCGGCATCGTTGAACCTCAATTCACAAGGGATAGGTACGAATACGCAGTTTTCGGGTTTAGGGTTCACACCCACTGGTGATCTGCAAGGATCATTTCTGTCAGTCCTGTTTCAGCGTAAAAGCAAAGCAATTTAGACTCACCCGACATATGCCTGGACACCTGCCTTCTGGCCCTCCTCGACACCAGTGTTCAACGCTAGGTGGATTGCTTGGTGTGGTGCTGTTTCTTGGGAGTAGAAGTTTTGGATGAGGGCAGAGTAGGTGTTCAGGTTTGACCCGGTCGAGTACCTGTTCAAATGCATGAAGATACGAACATCTCCATACAAATAATCATGGACCAGCGCACCATCCTACAATGACCTCCTTCGGGTTAACCTTGTGATGGAGATCGTACATCGTGCGGTGGTACTCCATGTCCACTGCAACCTGCACCTCCGTCTCGCTATGGAGAACGGCAAACGCGGAGCGAACCTCCACCTCGCCGTTATCCGAGCGCGTTCCTAACAGGGTCCCAATCACGCGTTCTTGCGCATCTGTTCTGCGGAGGTAGTGGTCCAAGATCGAGAAGAGGGCTACGGGGTGGACCGTAACGGACGTAGGAGGGCGTCTGGACATGAGACGCATTCAAGTGATTAGCACATGCTCTTGGTTTCGGATTCGACCAATATCGGACGTACCCTGGCGTAGATATGAAGCCAGGCGCAGTGTTTTGGATGAATACCGCAGATGACGGGGGCCCGAGAGGCATTTTGACAGACAGATGTAAGAAAGCTGAGGACAAGCGGGACGGAGTCTTCATAAATTAAGCGCCCATGCGGGCCAAAAAGTAGTCGGCAACGCCCGGGCGTCGCACTCTACACCTTCCTCCACGTCGGTCACAATCCACATCCCAAAATGCCCTCAGAAGAGACAAAAGTGCGCCCTTCATGTTCAGATATGTTGTCATGTGTATCATAAACCTTGAACTACAGGAGAGAATCATCAAGGCCGTTGACCTGGCACGCGTACGTTGTCCTTGAGCAGGCACCCACTCCCATGTCATCGGCGTTCCTCACCATGTCACTGCACACGCAGATTGTTGTCCACTATGGCTGGATTCCGTTCATTATCTACGTTGGCTACACGAGGAGCAATCCCCAGCCGTCGCTGATCAAGTGAGTTCCTTTATTTTCTTGCCATGTTGTCAGGCTGCCGACCTCCTTCTGCAGGCTTATCAGCCCACTTGCATAATCACGCCCGTATACTTGTATACTTAGTACGCACGACACCTTAATTCGAGCTCCATTCATTGTTAGACTGCCAATATGCTGTGTCTCTTCGTTGTGGCCGGTCCCCGCTTAGGTGAGTACTATGATATGCGTTCGTCCGTCTACGATGATATACGTCGTGGTGGCGTCATTGCGACGCTCCGAACCCTCTTCGCCCTGTAACCTCTCTCTAGGAATGGTTTCTGGGTGATGTTGATGTGAGGACATGACAAGGCCAGATCTGAACCTTCATCTCTTTCCCAAAAGCGCCAGACAAGAATGCTCATAACAACTTCACAGCAGGATATCAATACATCCACAACAAGAAGACAACAGTAAGAAAGCCGCGGAATTAGTCTTCTCTAGAACAGTCTATAGGTACACCCTTCTCAGATCAGCCGCTCCTGTGATTCTCTTGCAGATGGGACATAGCTTGGTCGACCCAAGGCAACGCAGCCAACATTCGCGGCAGCAGGTATGCCAGCACCCAGTCGAGACGGTGGGTTCAGAATATGGATCCAAGCAAATACGGCACAGCAAGGACGTCGAAGACGACACTTTCGTGGACTCCTACGTAGGGGTCAGGTCTAGTCGAAGGACATAGTAGAGGACCGCACGCTCACCAAGAGTTTGACCTTATTCTCCAAGGCCCTAACCATAGCAGAGCGGTCGCCACTTCTTCGCGCAAGTTCCACCGCAAGGTCGACTTGTTCCGCGTCGCCCACTCCCATCACTTCGTCCATCATTCGCTTCGCATCTTCCACTTGCTGACGGACGACTTTCCCCTCGGCAACGAGATCTTTCAGAGACTTTCCCTTCCTGGGGTCCCTCTCTGGTACAACAGCCTCAGTGCCTCCTGAAGCCACCGCCCCGTCGACATCGACGTCAGCCTCAGTGCCTGCATCCGACTGTGCTCCGCTAACTTCAGCAGGATCCACTGATGGTGCAAGCACGTCGTGTTCGGTGAACTGGGGCGCGCCAAATAGGACTTCGTCCTCGCCATCCACGTCGATATCCTCGTCAACATCCTGGTCGTTACGGTTGCGTATGTCGAACCCAGTACCTGCGTAGCGGCCAACAATTCGGTTCGCGTCCTAACTGCAATTGTAGATCGCGTACCTTGAAAACTTGCTCCTTCCATGACCCCATAGTGCCCATCGTCACCATCAATATCAATGTCCCCATCCAACTCTGCGTCTGCGCTGCCTTTCCTCTCTCTAGCCTGTCCCCGCCTCCGCTCCTCCTCCTCGGTCGTCAACCTCAGGAACGCCAGACACGAGTCCACATGCGCCTCCACCACGTCCACGTCTCCCTTCACGAACTTCGCGCACACCGGACAGACCTGCCCCTCGCCCTCCCCGTCCGCCCCGCGCTGCCTCGTGCCCCACCAACGATTGTCCTCGTCCTCCCTCGTGAGCTCGCGCAGCTTCGCATGCCGCTGCTTCCGATGCTTCTTCAGCATGCGCAGCGTCTTCATCGTCTGCTCCAATATCGCCTCCGAGGTCGAAGAGGATCCCGGCTTGAGGCTCTGGCGCGCCTTCAATGCAGAACGTCGTGTCCGGGCACTCGAGCTGCGTCCGGCCATCCAGTTGGAACGCGTTATTCACGGACGCATAGAAGTAGCATGTACGCACCTGTCCTCAGGCTCAGCCTCGCCCAATACTTCCGTAGACCCAACGGACCGTATTATTTCCTCCAATCTCTCGGTCTCTAAATTTGCATGCTTGCCTAGCAACCTGAGGGGAATAGCTTCGTCACACACTGGGCATCTGCGTGTCTCTGCGCGTTTAGCTAGATGGCAGGCACGTTCAGTCTGCCTGAACTCCATAAATGTGATGTAAGTTCCAAGACCTACGCTTCTTCACCGGCACTGCGGGTTGTTTCTCGCGGGTTCGTGTAGACTGCGGAGCGTCGGTAGCATCGGGGGACGATGAATCGCTCGTTTGTTCTTCCTCGCTCAATGTATCCTCCACGGCCCGTTTCTTCCCCCTGGCCAGTCCAGTGAGCAGCACAACTTGACGCTTCCGAACAAAAACGCACTTCGAAGCTCGGCGAACAGACATACTGTCCAAATAAACCCGTAGAATATTTTGGGTGACAATACAGCTCTCCCAGAGATTGTGAGCGGTTGCCGAGAACGTCGTAGACTGGATGGATTGACCTCCGCTCTTCTGGATGTCGGGCGCGCACCCCGCTAACTGACGCGCTCGTCATGTGACTATCATTCTCCGATGTAATCGGACACACAATGGGTTTCAGTAGGAGCTCGAAGTAACGATGATATTCACGCGGAGAACTCCTTTTCCAAGTATCATAATACAGCTTGCATATCTTCTGGTTCTCATACGGAGTACAGCTAGAGACGGCACTGGCTAGCCCTCAAAATCCCGTATTTCAGCATGAGTGGCGCCGTTCAAAGACGCATCCGTCTCACAGCTTGCCCTTGATGATGTCCGCAGCTGGCAATGAAAGTTAGCCTCGTGTTGGGGTTGTGAAAATGAAGACATACCTTGCTCGGCGATAGCGTACACAGTAGCTGAAGAACAACAAATTGTCAGTCTTCTAGCACATCACCATGATATTCCGTTTACTCGCCTTGAGGATGAGCAGCTACGTGCAGAGGAAGCACTGAAAGATCGGCTATCCTGAGGTTCTTCGTGCCATAGACCTGATGGCGTATGAGCGCCGTCTGAAGATAACCTCCCTAGACCAACATACCTGGAGTTTAGGATCGACCACCCCGCCATTGGCCTTCGGTAGCATCGAACAAGAGCTCGCAGTGTCTGCAGAATGTCCATTAGCGAACGCAAGACAACAGGGACATGATGAGCTACATACGCCATGTGGTCGACATGATCTTCTTGATCCAGTCTGCACGACTATTCATGATCATCTGAACTAGCTTAGGTATTGACACTACAACTTACCGACGATCTGCTCATCGGTCTGTACATCGGGCCCAGGATTGAGCTCTTTGGCTATGAAGACGTCAGTGTCAGTCCCGTCGAGGTTTATTGATCACGCATAACGCACCCGTCATCTCCTTCAGCGGCGAGATTTCGCGAAGACGCCTCGTGAACTTGACCATCTCGACCCATACTTGCAGATCTTTGCGGAAGCTCCTCAGCAAGTTGTCCTGCTCACATAAGGAGATGGACTGACCAACTTCCTCATCGAAATAACGAGGGTCGAACGCAGGGTCGACGGACGGGTCCTTCGAGGTCGCGTGCTACAAGTACACATATATCAGTCTGTTTAGCCAAGGCAAAGACGAAGCAGACGCACAATGGTACCCCTCGAGAACGTATGGTTCATTGCCACGTAGAAGGAGACGTAGCGCTTGCCTTTCTCGGGAGGGTCTAGGTGATCATCACGTCAAGCGATGCGAAGACAAAACTTGACCGCGAGAGAGCTTACTGGGCGCTGAGTTGCATCCAGGGAAGCTGATGAATTCTTGACCAACGCCGTTCTTCAGGCGTTCAAGGGAGATCTTGTATTGCTCCAAAAGCCCAGGGGGATAGCTGTTGGCGTTCTTCGCGATCTTCTCTTCAGCATCCTTGATGATCTCCCCCGCCCGAGGACTAATTTGATCAAGTCTAGCGAATGAAAATCCGATGATGCCAGTGGTGAAGAGACCAGTTCCCGCAGTGCTACGAGAGGGTCAATCGAAAAACAAGCATCGGAACATGAAGCAGAACATACTGTAGTTCCAGATGCTTCGCGGCAGTAGCCGGGTCCGCTAATAGATCCAGCGTGTCGAAGGGAACGTCATCCCGGAGTTCTACAGATTGGGGTCAGCACACCCCTTATTGACCAGACTCGATATGCGTACCAAAGCTGACACCAACAATCATATGTTCCTGAACGTTGGTTCCAACTCCTGGCAGGGCGACCTTGGTCGGGATCCCCAGGTTGCGAAGAATGTTTGGGTTGCCGATACCGGAAAGTTCCAGGATCTGTGGGGTCTTCAGAGTACTGGAGCGACTCGGCCGTGCGTGTTTAGATTACAATGCAGGACCTGATCATGTAAGCGTACTCACCCAGTGCTGAGGATGATCTCCTTATTGGCGTGGACAGCATAGGTCTCGCCGCCGTGATCAAACTCAACGGACTCGGCGGTAAACTCAGAATCATCCTCTGAAGCAGGAAGAACGCGGCGCACGTGCGCAGCGACGAGTACAGTAAAGTTCGGCCGATCTTTGTTCGGAAGATAGAACGCCTAGAGAAGACATACCGAATATTACAAGATACACACGGACTGGCAAACAAGACTGGACACACCGTAGTCGCATAAGAGCGAGTATGCGTCTTAGGGTCATACGTACAGGGTGCAAAGTACGTCCCGTGAGTCTATGATCAAGCAAATCAAAATCCAACCTGTACCATACTCCGTCACGAGCCACTCACCTGCCCGTTCAGCTTCGATATGGCAATGCATATATTTTGTTCAATTTAACACCGCGAATGAAAACACACCATGAACGAACTCACAGGTCTGGGAGCGGGAGGGATGCCGGCGTTGATCAAAGTCTGCATGTGAAACCATCGTCAATGCTAATACAGCATTCACGCACAAAATGCTTACCTCTTGCACCTTCAGCTCACCATCATCAATTGTGTACGGGTAAGCAATGGTGAGAGGACCTATCAAGCAGAGATGTGTCAATGAGGACAGAAACCTGCCCAATACATGAGCGCTTGCCCTCTGTTCCCAGGTTCCATGTGTCGAACTTGAGACCCTTGCTCAATTGAACATCCTTCGGCGGAGGAATGAAGCTACAATGCATATTTAGAAGCACCGTTGGCGTTAGAAGATTAGAGCACCCACCCCTCTGTACGGTGAATGAACTTCTCGTAGTTCTTCCAGTTCCAACCAGGGTTGCCGAGACGTTCGATATCTGTCGCCAGGTTTTGGGTACCACGCTCAGAGGATCTGACATTGAGACCCACCATCGATGTCTTCCGCTGGCGGCTTGATCCAGCACAAGAAGTTGATCGCCGAGCTTCCACCTAGCCCCTTGCCTCTGCGGCCAGTGTTATCAGGATTTCAACGGGACACAGAGCTGACTAACCTAGCCCAAGAATGAGCCGTGTCCCCGGTTGACTTCTGCTTCACCTGTCATCCCATGCATATGTCAACGCATTGACAGTCGTGAGTACGAGACCGGGGCATACCGTGTGGTGGTCCCAGGCGTAGGCAGCCTTCCCAAAGTGGCTGCCGTACGAAGCAGGACGCACTGCATATAGTGAGCTTTATCGCCGTTATCGGGTGATGGGTGAACCCACAAATAGCCATATCGCCGATGTTAGCATTGCCCGCCTCCAAAAGGAGTACAGTAACGGCAGGGTCCTCAGATAGTCGCGCTGCGACGGTCAGTCCAGCGGTCTGTTCACAGATGAATCAGTCTACGTCTTGAAATAGTGAGAGATCATATGAGCGATGGATGCATACACCTCCACCTATCAGATGCGAGCAGATGAATATAACGAGCTTCGGACGAGATGGACAGGCGGGAACATACCGCAAACGATGTAATCGAAGGACTTCCCCTTAACGTCGTCGATAGTTGCAGACATGGTGAGGACGTCAACTTCAGATGGGACGTTGGTACTGAGTGGCTCGTTCAACAATAGAGGGAGCAAGGGGCAACCTGGTGAGTATAACGGCGAGCATATAGGGGGTTCTTATAGGATAGCTCCCGGGGCTTAGCAAATGGACCGTTGTGTACGCTAGCGCTGGGCCTTCTTGGACGTGCTTCGCAGCTTCTCGTTCTTGATGTGTTGACGACCTGCCCCCCGCGCCGAAGACGCTTGACGTCTCTTCACGTACCTTGACCCCAAAGCGACTTACCGCAAGCGGTCGGAGAAGCACCATAAATATACTGCAGTGGACTCCCGCTTACGAAGAGATATCTCCGCCATCTTTCTTGTACTCACGCGAAGCCGTAAGGCTGGTGCTACCCCAGTCTGGGTCGATGTCTGGACTCCACTCGCCTTACGCACGCCGCGGGGCTCGTCAACTGACAGGCGTTTCAAAGTCGGCACCGCCACTGGTATGCTCGGCTAGCTCAAGTCCTCGTTCATCCTTTCGACATCCGCGCCAAACTGGAACGTTGGCTTTGGAGGTAGATTGGTTCGTCCCTTGGCGATACAGCCGGCGTCTTGTGTGTCAAGTCCCACGGACTCGGGCTTCTCTTCGTCGCAACAGCAACCTAGACGTGGAAGGCGAAGCTCATCATATTGTGATCAGAACGTATGCAATCACACGAAGTCGCGGGATCCAACCGGTATATTGATTCGAGCGTCGAGAATCCAAGGCGTTGCGGAGCTGGCTCCCCGCGCGCGATGCAACCAACAACGAGTAAGCAAAGCCGACTTGCGAGAGCTTATTGGCACCTTCCTTCTGGTAGCAGGGATCCAGGCGATACGTGCTCACGTAAAGGAACACAGACGATCGCAAGTGCTCCGATGGTCGTCGGAGGGCCAAACATGGAGATACTCCTGGCGTTGTGTCCTCAATAGGGTAAAGTCCTAGAACGATCACCCTACTCCACCAGATCCCAATACACAAGAAGTCAGCTCAGTGCAAGTGCAAAGGTGGCTAAATGGATCATACACACACACGGCGTAGGCTAGCGACGAACGGCTTATTCAATTGATCCCACCACGCACGCCGGAGTAGTTGAGAAGTTACGTTGAACAATCTTCTGGCGGGCGCGCGTTGAGGGGAGACGCCCCAATAATGGTCCTCTGATTCGCAGGGGCTGTCGTTATAGGGATTCATAAGAGGCACTGCGGAGATGGTCAGACAATCTAGACGGCTCGGGAAGGCAGACAAGACGCACGACTATGTTCAAGCTGGCGGCCGGAAGCACATGTCAGGACCTTCCCTGGGAAGTATGGTAGCGGACCCATCCTGGTTCCCTCCAACTGCCAGGCTTGAGAACAGACGGGATCACTTGGATGCATTCAGTATGACAGAGGAAGATGGGATAACTTCCGGAGCTCTACAGGGCATATGTCAATCTGCCAGACGTCCTCAGATATCTGGGACCTTAGGCACTGAGCGGGAGATAAGTTGAACGCGACCTTACGGCAGTGAGAAGAGTGTCACAGGCCGTACTGTTTCGTCCATATTCTGACCACAGTTGTCAGACAGAAAAGGTTTGCTGAGCTGAGAAATTTATGTAACGAACATAGCCTAGTTCAAGGAGGACAGATCTACTAGGACGGACGGAGACGTTCGAAGGTAGCCCGTGTGAGCACGCGCCTGTGAAGAGTCCCGAGGGAACGTGGCGCGTACACTTGCGCCACAAGCGTAGCGCTCTCGTCTATCTTCCACCATCGCTAAATCCTTGGGTGCTATGATATCCTACCCGTCCTGTTTGCGATTCGAGGCTAAGCCTCGTTTGCGTCGTTCAGTGACTATCGGCGTTCCATATACTGCTAGGGCGATTACCTGCGACCTGCAGCACTTCAAACTCAGAAACAGCGACGACTGGGACAGCTTGCTGAGGTAGGCCACCACTGGTTTCACATGCATCGCACACAGCCGCCGCCGGAAGATGTGCTTTGCGCGGATGCCAGGAGTACCTGTGTGAACGGAAGCAGACACGCTGCCCTGCCTGCCGACGGTCCGTCTACCGGCCCCTCATAGCAGCCATATCCTCCGCGGAGCACGCAAGCCCGTGGCCATCACGGTGTTTCGCCGATCATATGGACAGAGCAGGTGGGTTGTGTCGTTGTCGTCCCCAATTTGAATGGCGAATCGCCTGCGGCAGCAGGTTGAGATCCTCCTCCCCGCTCCCGTGACGCAGGGTTTTTCCGTGCACGGCTCCCCCGTGTGCGCTACATGCGACCTCATCTAGGACTTCGCTCTCATCATAGCGCAGACGCATCATCATATGGCCTATGTCCGGGAACGCGTACCCTTATGTCGCGGGCTTCCGCCACAGACTCCTCAAGCTCGGGCAGCGTGCATCATGTACGAACGTTGTCTCGAGGATGCGTATAAATGCGCACCAGATGCTCAGACTGACGGCAAAAGGACGAACCCAAAGAAGCCATGATTCTCCTCCCTCTCCTGCTGCTCTCGTTCTCCTGGCTCGGGAGCGCCCTGACTTACCACGGCGCTGATATCTCCTCGTTGACTGTCGTGGAGGAGGCGGGAGTGCACTTTAGGGATAACGGCAAAACCTTGCCTTTTGAGATTATCCTGAAGAACCATGGCATGAACGCTGCGCGTGTTCGTATCTGGACCGCCGGACAGTACAACCTGCAATACGGCCTTGCTCTTGGGAAGCGTATCAAGGACGCTGGGATGACGCTCATCGTCGACCTGCACTTCAGCGATACATGTCTGTACTCTCACCTAAACGTCATACTTCATGAAATCTGATTTTATGCTATCGATAGGGGCCGACCCGGGTCACCAGTCCATTCCCTCCAGTTGGCCCACCGACTTGAACGGTTTGAACACGCAGATCTATTCGTGAGTAGCCATACGAAGCTGCCCCATTCTATTATCGATCCAATGCCATCACAGCTACACACAGAATGTCACTAAGAGCTTTGCGAACCAAGGCACCCCCATTGATATCCTTCAGGTCCGTCTTTCCTTCGTGTATGCTTCCATGATTCACAGCCAACGCCGCTCTCGCGTCATTGCACATGCCTACCATAGGTCGGCAACGAGATCAACAACGGTCTACTCTGGCCAGTGGGCGAGGTTTCCTCAGCTGGGTACCACCCCCTCTCCGAGCTCCTCCACTCCGCCATCAACGGTGCCAAGTCCGTCGCCTCGCCCAAGATCCTCATCCACCTCGCCAACGGCTGGGACTGGTCAGGCCTCGACTCCTGGTTCTCAAACGTATACGTCCCCGGGGCGCTCTCCGCCGAGCAGGTCGACATCGTCGGCGTCTCGTTCTACCCGTTCTACGACGCCGGCGCGACCCTCTCCGCGCTCAAGTCGAGCCTGACGAACTTCACGAAGAACTTCGGGAAGCCCATAGTCGTCGCCGAGACGGACTGGCCCGTGAGCTGCTCGGGCGTATCCTTGACGGAGCCGAGCATCTCCGTGTCGGCGAGCGGACAGCAGACCTGGACGAACGACATCAAGAACATCTTGGCTGGACTTCCCAATGGGAGGGGCCAAGGGATCTGTACGTGTTGCCCTTGTATTCTTAGTCTCCGCGATCGGAAGAATTGACATTCGGACAGTCTATTGGGAGCCTGGTTGGGTCGGAAGCGCGAACTTGGGATCTGCCTGCGCGGTACGTCTTCCAAGAAGTTCACACCTGTGTCGACATGCACTCATGTGTCATAATGCAGGACAACCTCTTGGTTGACTCTTCGGGAAACACCCGCACTTCGATCAACATCTTCAGCCAAGACATGTGAATGAGGGCTGAGGGAACAAAAAACGCGTTTTGATTGCCAGCGTAGTCTTATACACAATGCCATTGCTCGAGTCATGAGAATTAATCGACATGTCTTGCCGGTGAATTTGTTGTGATCGTTCCGGCCTCGCCCTGCGGCTCGGACACCGACGGCGCGAAGCATGAGATTTCCGAGACCGTCCGACACAGTGATGCGCGGGCGCCAAGATGAGATCCCCGCACGGATCGGGACTCGGGAGGGGAATCGAAACACCTCCATCTGACCCCTCGGACCGCTGGTCTTATACATACCCCTAGCATTTGGTCCCTACGCGTGTTGTGTCTGCCCTCTTCACTTAGCTGTCGCGGTCAACTACCATTTCTTGGTTATCATATACTCTATGCGGCCGGCGACGTTGAGACCACGCGTTTCTGCGTCAATACTCCGCAGAGCTCCGTCTAGCGCGCTCGGTCGTCATCGCACCTCCTCGCGTCCAGTGCCTCGGGCAACTGTCCCGAGAACTCGACACTATTCCGCCATCGCAACACAGAAGGAGGAGAGCCATTGTGGAGGCAGGGCATTAGCAGTCAGAGATGAGTCTTCGTATGCTTCAGGTGAGTAGCATTGAATTTCTACATGAAACGCTCTCATCTCCCCTCTAGCCCCCGCACAATCTCCGCTAGGGCAGTATCGTAGACTTGTAGATTCTGGTACATTAAGGCCCGATGATCATCAAACGCGGATTATCGAAAAGCTACAACGGCTACATGACGACCTTCTACGCTACAAACCACCCCATATCTCGCATTCGCCGCCTTCGCCATCACTCGTGCGTTTAATCCATCTCCAGAGGGTCGCTTGCACTCACAACCGCTTGTCTTTCAGTTCTCTCGCTTCTTTGGGAAGCCATCGGAGGGACCCATAACACCACCAGAAGGTTTGCCGAAGGGTCTATATCTCTACGGGGATGTAGGCACTGGCAAGACCATGCTCATGGACCTCTTCTACAACACGCTACCCTCACACATCACCCGCAAGCGGCGCGTGCACTTCCATGCGTTCATGATTGACGTGCACAAACGTATACATGCCGCGAAGGCGAAGCTTGGACACGCAGGAGGAGACCCCATTGCGCCCGTCGCTCGCGACCTTGCCTCCGAGGCGTACGTGCTGTGCTTCGACGAGTTCCAGGTGCGGCGAACTCACCTACTCCTGCAAAGCGGTCAGAGCTGAATGGTGCGTGCGCTAGGTCACTGACATTGCAGACGCAATGATCTTGCGACAGCTCTTCGAGAGGTTATTGAACCATGGCGTTGTCTGTGTGATGACATCAAAGTGAGCATCTTCCCTCCACATATGGTACCCTAGTCTCATGTCTCTCAGTCGTCATCCCGATGACCTCTACAAGAATGGCATTCAGCGATCCAGCTTCGTACCATGCATCGAGCTTCTGAAGGAACGCTTCGAGGTCACGGACCTCGATTCGGGAACTGGTACGTTGCATTCAGATGATGTCGCTCGCGGCTTGGCTGACGTGTTCGAAGACTACCGCCGTATACCTCGATCGCTATCGCACGTGTACTATGATCCTCTCACCCCAGAGAATAGGGCAGAAGTCGAGAAAGTCTTCCGAGCTTTTACCTCTGATCCCTCTGACCCCGTTATCCCCAACCGCAAGTTGCACACCTGGGGTCGCGAAATTGTCGTGCCTGAGAGCTCAAGCACTGTGGCGAAGTTCAGCTTCCCAGACCTCTGCGGCAAGCCCATGAGCGCAGCAGACTATATTGAGATCACGAAGAACTTTGGCACGATTTTCGTCGTGGATGTGCCGAAGATGGGCTTGAGCCAGAAGGACATGGCACGCAGGTTCATCACGTTCATCGATGGTACGTCATCTTTCCGGTCTCTGCACGCGGCTTTGCATTGACCAAGCGTTCTTCTAGCCTGCTACGAGAGTAAGGTATGTGTTAGCTCGGAAAGTGCTACGAGGCTCAGAGTGACTGAATGGTACTGTGCTACACCGTTCCCAGACGAAGCTGTTCGTGTCTTCCGAGGTGCCAATATACCAAATATTCTCCGACGATCCCAACAGTAAGGCAGGGGAGATCTCCGACCACATGCGAAGTGTCATGGATGATCTGGTACGTATCGTGGTTCCATCCAGTAGCATCAACGAGTACACTGACGGCCTCGGCACGACAGGGTCTCCCGAGCGACTTGGTCGGCGCCAGTTCTATGTTCACCGGTGACGAAGAGTTGTTTGCGTTCGCACGGTGTTGCTCTCGGCTGGTTCAGATGGGCAGCAAAGAGTGGGCAGAGACAGCGGGTGCTCGCTAGCCTGTGGGGCCTAGCTGTGGACCACACACGTTCATATACGTCACATACGGGTGCACCATCTAGTTACATACACTCGTTTACTGCGTCGATGTATGCATGTCGTATTTTCCGGACAACACTCGCGCTGTATCTAATCATAATCTAGGTTTGTTCTGCCAGGTGCGACCGCGTTATCGGCGATGCGCGAAGGCGGCCACTGGGATGATATAAACCATTGCCAGTTGCACCCCACACATCGACCGTTATCGTGATTACACCACGACCCTCATCCTTACCACCATCACCCTGTCCCACAATTGCTATCATGTCTCACAGCGCTGACACAACGGATGGGAGGGCTTCCCCTTTCCGGCCGGCGCTTCTGGTCGTCGACATACAGGAGGACTTCTGCCCGCCCGTACGTATGTGCAGTCCACACGTCTCCCCATCGGTGCCCCCAAAGCCGCTCTGACACACGTCCACCTCCCGCGCAGGAGGGCGCGTTGGCGGTCGAGGGCGGACGCGACATCGTCCCGCTCATCAACGACCTCCTCCAGCTGCCCTTCGTGCTCAAGGTCGCGACCAAGGACCACCACCCGCCCGACCACGTCTCCTTCGCGTCGAACCACCCGGGCGCGCAGCCCTTCGTGTCCACGACGACGATCGTGAACCCCGCGAACCCGCGCGAGACGTACGAGACGCGGCTCTGGCCGGCGCACTGCGTCGTCGGGACGCCCGGCAACGCGCTCGTGCCCGAGCTCGACGCCGCGCGCGTCGGCCACGTCGTGCTCAAGGGCCGCGAGCCGCGCGTGGAGATGTACTCCGCGTTCCGCTCGCCGCTGCGCGACCCGCCGCTCGCGAGCGCGGTGAGCGACCTCGCGGAGCAGCTCGCGGCGGCGCGCGCGACGGACGTGTTCGTCGTCGGGCTCGCGGGGGACTACTGCGTGAAGAACACCGCGCTCGACAGCGCGCGCCTCGGGTGGAGGACGTACGTCGTCGAGGAGGGCACGCGCTGCGTCGGCGGGGACCGGGCGTGGGCGGAGACGGTGGCGGAGATGCGGGCGGAGGGCGTCGAGGTCGTGCACGCCGATGGCCCGGAGGTCGAGTCCGTCAAGGCGCTGTCGTCGTAGCGTCGGGCAGAGAGGGTCTGCATGGGCTTCGTGTGGGCTTTTTGGGCAAGTCCGGTCACTGATGACCTTACGGTCAGGTTAGCCCGCTAACCTCACTTTCACACTGCAGATACACACAAGGATTGGCACAAGTTAGCGGTTGTCGGCAGTCTACCGCCATGTAGCGTCGTGCCATATACATATATACGCACTCTGGCGTTCACAGGATGCGACAGTGGGGATATACTGTGCATCATGCCAGAAGCGAATCTGCGCGAACAAGACTCGGAAATGAACAAGAACAGATCGGGAGGCGCAAGCCGACTCAGACCTCCATGAGCGCGAATGCATCCTATTCGGCGATTGGAGCAGATACAAAGAAGTGAACCATACGCTAGTCGAGTAGATAGCAATGCATAGAAGATCCGGCATCCACAGTAGTCGCAAGAACGATAGTCAAGAGTCCGAGACGTCTGTATCGATGAATAAGGGTAGCATAAAGATTTCCCCGCACGTCTGCATAGGTTCTCGCCCTCCCGCCGCACTCCTGTCGTATTTCTTTCGAGCCCACGGGAATCACACGAGCCAAGTACAAGAGGACCGACGCCAGTAGGGAAAAACGTCGCGAACTGGAAGGCGCTCCATGGAGAGGAGACGCGCGAAGCGTCGAGTCAATCGTCGTCCATCGAGAGAGGGGGCCACAAACCTACTCCCGCCTCGCGCTACCTTCTCACCACACAGATGCACCCCGCAGCGCAGTCACGGCGTCGCAGCGTGGGCGCCGGAGTCGGGCACCCCAGTCCTGCAAGACGAGAGCGCAATCAAGGACCATCCAAGACGGGAGGGACGCACAGGCAGGGAGCGCGGGTGTGTAGGAAACTACGTACGCGACGGGGAGACGGTGCGCGCCCTTGCCTTGCGTCTGACGTCTGACACGGTCACCGGATCGAGTACTTACCACCGCGACAGCTGCTCGACGTCCGCGCTCGTCTCGCGGCCCAGCACCATCTCCGCGACGACCCGCCCCGTGCCCAGGCTCAGCGCGATCCCCCACGGCCCGTGGCCCGTCGCGACGAACACCCCGCCCCTCCCGTCCTTAGACCGCCCGTGTCCGTGCGGCTTCAGCCCGTCCCCGAGGTCCGCCTCGTGCATGCGCGCGATGATCGGGCGCCCCGTCGCGCTCACGGGCCGGAAGCACAGCGCGTGCCCCTGCACCTCGACGTCGTCCCCGCACAGCGCGCGCCCGACGGCGAGCAGTCGGGCCACCTCCGCGGGGTCGGCGTGCGCGTCGGTCGGCAGCGCCGGGAGCGCGGTGTGCGGCGGGTTGAGGCCGCCCAGCCAGACGTCCCCGTTCGCGCGGGAGAAGATCTCGGGCGCGAACCCCGCCGCGTCGGTGAACACTGCGTGGCAGGGGCCGGGAGCGCGCTCTGCGCCGTCGGGCACGGCGGGGGGCGGCCAGTGCTTAGTCCTGAGCGTCGCCGAGTACCCCGCCAGGTGCGCGATGCGCGGCATGCGGCTCGCGTTCGGGAAGAGCGTCGCGTACACGCGCGGCGTCCAGCATCCGGCGGCGATGACGATGTTCTCGCACGGGATGTCGACGGTCCCCGCGCGCGCGGCCGACTGCGGGGGCACGGTGTACTCAATGCGGAGCCACCTCGCGCCGCCTGGGTCGCTCTCGTCCTCGACGAGCGTGGTCGCGCGCGCGGGGTGGTGGAGAGTGACGCCGGCGGCGAGACACTGCTCGAGCAGGAACTCGCACAAGCGGCGTGGGACCCTGTATAAAGAAGGCTGATATAGGACGGGGCGCGGGCGACGAGGACGGGGCGAGGGGACTTACACCTGCGCGGTCGACGTCCTGTCGGATAACACCTCGAGCGCCCCCGGGTTCGCGAGCAGCCACTGAGGGAGATCGCGAGAGGTTGAGGCGGGCGCGCTCTCGGACGGTGCTTTCTCTACGGCATCCGGACCGTCGGTGGCAGCAGTTGCGCGACTCGCGCCACAGAGGAGCCAGTCTAGGCCTCCCTGTCCGAGACTGCTGTCAAGTCCGGAAGGGTCCCCGTGACGGTCTTCGGTGCCTGGTACTCCGTCCAGCAGAGACGGGGTGTCGCTCCCCTGGGTACGGTGCATTGGGCTTTCAGACGGGGTGGCACCAAGGTCGCTGCTCGCGGGCACAGACGCGGGCGCGGGGGTCGGCGCGTCTGCATGCGAGTCGTCGGAGTGATAGGTGTGGTCAAGAGAGTAGGAGACGGACTCGGAGTAGCCCCAGCGCGCGCGGCCGTTGTGCTCTTCTGCGAGGGCGCGGTGGAGGTCGAAGGAGAGCGCGCCGAGGGAGGCGACGGCGGGAGCAAACCAGTCCTTGGCGAGAAAGCCTGCGGCCTTTCCGGATGCGGAGGAGAACAGCTCCGGGGCAGGGTCGACGAGGTGGATTCTGTGATCGGGGGGCGCAATGCGGGCGAGAAAGTGGGCTGATGAGAGGCCGATGATGCCAGCACCGAGAATCACTGTCGTCGGCATTCTCGTGTATGGCAGGCAGCCTCGGGCAGGTTCAGGAAGGGGGTGCAACGCAGACAGCCCAGACTCACGGCCCATGGAACGTTAAGTATCATCATCATGTCCTCTCCCAAACATGCCGTCCTCCGTCCTCCTCCCATGCCGTCCTGTTTGGCCTTCGATCCTCATCGAACCGTATAGAACGAATGACTTCACCGTCCTGCCCACTAGCGCCAATCTATCCCCATCGGGCGCTATCCGTTTGAATCCAAAGTCATGCCCGCTCTTCCTCGTGTCCCAAGCGAATCCTCACAGCTTCTGATCGCGCTCGTATGATACAAAATACACTGCGTTTGCACATTCAAAAGTCCTTCCACCCCCGAGCTCAGCTGGCACCGAGTAGCTCAGATGCCGGTATTCGACTGCCGGCCCTTGGTATCGACCGCGAACGAGCCCTTGCTCAAATTCGCCACCCCGTCTCCGGTCCTGATCCCCTTCCCAGACTCCTGCTTGCCCTTGTTCAAGATCTCGGTGACGACGTCGACGTCTTTCGACGTGCCAAAGTCGTTCTCGAGCTGCTGCTTCGAAGGGCGCCCGAGGATGCCCTGCGCTCCCTGGTTCGACCAGAAGACGTCAAACGCTAATCGGGGCGGATCCAGCTCAGCAGCGAGTAGGCTTGGGGCAAGCGGGGCCACTCACAGTCGACGACCTCGGCTAATGGGATGGTCCTGGATCGATTACAGTCAGTCAGGCGTGCACCTGAGTAGCGGCACATCGGCGTATTTACGTGTCTGCGAGTGATCGCGTGAGTGACGGCGTAGATGGGGCTGCAAGACTGTGAAGACATACCTCCCTCCTTCCATCGCTGGTACTGCGCGCAAAGAACGACATCTCTAAGCTGTCCACCAAACAGATGACGGGAGGCATACCTCTTGGGGGTTCACGATGACGATGTACTCTTCGTGGGCCTCCACGGAGGGCTTGTACACGATCTTGGTTAATTCGCGGCCCATGTTGCTTGCAGTGGTGATGTGTGTGGGAAAAAAGCGACGAGGTGAGAGGGAATTGGTAGCGAGCAAATACGACTTGAGCGTGAGTGTATGCAGCGCAGAGCACGGGGTATATGAGGCGCGTTCTTGCCATGACGTCATCTCTCTGGGCTGCTCGCGTGACATCATCCAGGCCATCGATGCCTTGTTCTACGGTCGTCTATCGTACTACGTAGCCTAGGGATACCCGGTCCCGCCTACGCTGCTCTATGACTCCTAGGGTTGCCCGCGGCTCCGCATACGTTATTCTCTAACACCAGGGGCATTGAACTATAGGACGACGTGTCCCATCGTAGAGGCATCGTGACCTGAGCCACGTTGAGGCAACCATGTCTCTCCTCGTCCCAACTTTATCTTCACGCCAGCCGCACCCTGCACAACGAATGTAATAAGCAATTAACACGGTTTTGTCAAACCTTCCAAAGGGGACTGCGATGGGACGCCCAACGAAGTGATCATCCTGCAGTGGCTCTGATTGCGATGGATTTGCGATGGGACACGATGTGCCACACCCTGGTGTGACTCCATCCATGACCCAGTCACCGATGCCTCATGAACTCGCCCCAATCGATGCCCGGTCCCGGTCGCAAGCCCGCCATGTTCCTCGCACCGCTCGTGTCAACCAATGGCACCAATGAAGGCCTTCGGGCACCATTTCTCAGCCTGTTTATGCAAACAATACAGACTGTGCTTCTCTCACCTCCCGTGCGCGCACTGAAACGGCAAATCCGTTTCGCAGAGCTTCGCGACCAGCGCTTTGCACTGTTCGAAGGTCAGCGTGTCGTTGAACATGATCGCACCTGATGCCAAGGTATCAGCGCTATCGCCACAGAAGGCAGATAGAATAGTCCTATACCTCGACAAGCTTTAGAATTGATCAGCTCGACCAGTTCTCGTGGACACCATCGCAGGGCCTTCTGCCAGTTTGAGACATCGTCGTCCTCACGTAGGCTCATCACCTCCAAGATGCCGTCCGACTCGAGCCTTGCGAGGAAGCCCCTTACGAGATCGCGCAGCTCCTCCCCTGTAAGAAGCTGCCGGGCAACACATAAGACAACCTCCCATGGCGCGAGACATCACTGAACGCACCTTATCCGCGACCACTTCGGGCACTGCACCCACCGGAACCTGGACGTACGAAGCATGCTCGGCTCCACTATCTGCGGCAAGGGCATTCGTGCTAGGCGCCGAGGGAACGGAGAAGGCCAGGCCCCATCGATTGAATACCTTGCGAACATCATGCGATCCTGCTATTCGCTCCGCTTCGGGTCCTGTCAACAAAATCTGTACGGGGGGGTCGAGTTTCCTTGTCCGCACGCCACCTTCGAGGACGTCGCGCTCGGACCTTATGGGCACGGGTCGGCAAGGGTGTGAAAGAAATCCTTCGCATAATCCGCGAAGGAAACGCTCCACTCGAATCCGCTCGTCCGCGGCATGCTGGTCGATCAAGACAAGGGCACCCCCGCCTTCACGCTGGATATCCGTCGGTTCAGTTTCGTTGTCGGTAGTCGTCGAGAAGACGCATGCGATGAATTTCCGGTCTACCTGTCCGAGAATCCGGGCCCCGCGCAAGTCGTCCTTGCTGAACCGGGTTAGGTTTGACCCATCCCAGAGTTGGGAAAACGGCTGAGGATGGGCGTACTTGCGTATGCTTACACCTTCAGAGCAACGCTCGGAGACCCGTCGCTGAGCGAATTCGATAGAGGGACCCAGCACTGGAATCTTCCGCTCCACCAGCTTGTATGCATCATTGGCCTCGAGGGCGTTGGAGATCCAGCCCGGTGCGGCGGATGTCTTGGCTGCATCAAAACCTCCGAGGGATAGTCGCGCCCGTGTTAGTGGGCCTCCGGAAACAGCGTCGCTTGAGGCACCTGCGGCGATGTGCTGCGGAAACGAATTGCCAGTGCGTGCGTCCACGACGAAGACCTCTCCTGTTGCGGGGTTTTTCCACGTGATATCAGGGGCATCTTCGCTTTCCCCCACTATCAACCCTCCGTCACTTGGATCTAGAATTTCGGGCGCTGATTCATGCCACAGAAGCCCGTCGGTGCGTGTGGGAACAAGAACAGGTTGGGACGAGGAGCGGTTGAGATGGTGCGCGACCGAGGTTCCACTCCGATCCGATACTCCGACATGAGTCAACTTCCGTTTCTTCCGCGGGGACGGCTTTCCAGGATTGAGCACAGGCTTCTGAGGTCGTCGTGGGAGGAACCCATGTCGAATCAAGACGGATTCCACGACGGAGGAGAGAAAAGCCGTCGCGGATGCAGAGTTCTACGATCCCGAGTCAGCGAGTCATGGACCGTGCCCTGTTGTCAACGATAGTACCTGAAGTTGAACAGCTGCCTTGGAGGGTTCGACGGTGTTGTCGATGAATCTGGGCGGAATAGTCAAGTTAAGGACATAGACTGGTTTCTTCTCAACCTTGCGTGGTGAGCGGCGACCTGCCGAACGGAGATGTGTGAGCATGAGTATGGTTTGCCTGCCTGCATGTATGCGGAAAAGCGCACTGGAGCGAGGTCCCTCCGTAGCCCCATACTCGTTGTATGCCTTGCGCGAGATCAATACCAGACGCATGCTATACTGCAAGCAATTCACACGTACGTGCTTGTAGAAGGAGGTGCGAGCGAAGATGCCTTCCACGCTGCGATGCAGGCTACACGTCTCCAGGGGATGTCGGTTGATGTCTGCCACGGGACTATGAGAAGCGTAGCAGACAGGGGGGCATATGCGTAGCGTACAGAGGAATTGGTATGCCTGGGTTAAGGACTAAGCCATTGCCGGATTTCAACGTTTATGAACTATTCACCTTTGAATATGCGCCATCGAGAGACACAAAACCTTCCAGGTTCATTTCGGCGTAGCTTTGATCAATTTCTTCGACATGCTACCTAGCGTAAATGTGCACTTCCTCGATGTTATTACAATTTGAACTCACTGTAGCAAGCGCTTTGCCATATAGATGGCGAAACGTCAATAATGAAGATGAAGTCTGGTCATCAGCATACGACGTGAACACGGCATAGTAGGTTGATACGGTTTCCTACTTTGGGCACTGTCAGCAAACGAGTCTTGGCTTTGGCTCGTGTGGCATCTTTCGTCTTCTGTACATTCTCCATCGCGAAACATATGTCAGGGAAGACTAGGGCGAGCGCTTCGACGTCCTTTCGTACGAGTTCGACTGTCCTTGCACAATTCGGATGAGCCTTTCTGCGTATCGGCAGCTGTATAAAACAGAGTTACAAATCATCTATATGCGCAGCAAAAGCAGTTAGCGGACATTGTAAAAGGCGTCCCGCACAGAAACCACTGTGCCAGATGTCTCTCTCCGCCACCGTGTCGATGGGCCTGTATATAGTGTTTGGCCACCCTATCACTCGCAGCTCCCAGTCAGTCATATAGGCTGTAATAGCATGCGAGTCTAGCACACCTTCATAATCACAGTCCAACTTTCACTTGACTCCTTTGTCCGCGAAGTGATTTCCAGGCAGCATAAGTTGGCAATCGAAGCCAGTGCTAGAAGCAAGAGCCCTTTGTAAGGCCATGAATGCCTCCAAATCGAAAAGGTCGCAATACCTTCGCCGCGGAACCCAAAATTATTCACTTCATCTAACGACGACGCAGTATTGTATGCCTTAGATGTGCCTGATATACCTTCAGCGCCACAGACTCCTTCGACTACTTCACAGACGACCATAGTACCCACCATAACGTCCTGCTTCGGGCCCACTTGCCAACACGGCGAGTCCATCGCGGGATATACCGGTGCCGTCGTCGCGTACCCAGCACTCCCAGTCTTCAGGGTCTATGGATATTTCAATGTTTCTTGCGCCTGCATCCAGAGAGTTTTGAACGAGTTCTGACACCAGCTGAGGCAACGAAGTCAAGATTTGTGCTGAGCGCAACTTGGTCTTGGTTGACGGAGGCAGCGATGTGATGTGGGATACGTTGCCTGCATTTGTGGCCGCGCCAGTAGCGAGCATTGCATGTCCTCTGTAGCTTGCGAGAGCAGGTGAAAGTTTAACCGGGGGTTCACATTCGAAGCCAGAAGCAAGTTGCCGTCGAACGGGAGCAAAGCCTCGTGTGATCAGAGTTAGACGTAGCGCTGATCAGATAGGCGGTGATGTCAACAGAACCCTAACCAGAACGCCCAGTATTCCGTGATGCGATCATGGTTTCTGTACTCGGATTCAGGTGACGTTCCACGCCAAAACAGAACATATGTCTGACCACATCCGTGACTCGAGACGGCTTCTCTGGTACACGGCCGTTGTGGAACATCGTTAAAGTCATGGCAGCAACTTAAGCTGTACGATCAGGGTGCTAAAAATATAGGTCGACAGGCCGCCGTGTCTGGCGCGTCGCATGTATTGCCGGTGATGGCTGGACTAAGAGTTCAGCCCTGTCCCGCCCAAAGACCTGTATCGTACGTACGTGGTCCATGGGTAACCCGTATCGTGCAAAAACTGACGAGGCTCCGCTAGAAATCCAGACGCGCGTCTTCCGTGGTTCTGCGTGGCCTTCTCATCCCTCTTCTGGAATCTATCCTCGGATACCGGAGCAGGGGGCTGCACCTCTCGGCGAAGATCGTCACCTCAATCGAGTTGGCTCATAAATTGACTCGCTGCAGATGTTGCCGCGATAGGTACTGGTGAGAGACTAGAGAGTAAGTGAGGCATGTTCGTTCGAAACCTTGGGAGATGGGCCGCCCAAATATGAGGACCCACTCGCGCCAACATAAGCTTCCCTCTCCGTCGGGGAATCTTTTGGGGGTCTTTGGAGGACATAGAGAGCCTCGAAACCTTGCTTTTGTGGACCCGGCTTGGCACTCGTGCACCCCATGAGTCCTCCATGAGAAAAGGTCGCGACCTCCCAGCGTGATCCCTGTCCATCCCCCCGCATACTCTCCCTCATGGATAGTAATTTACTCTCAGAGCTTACACGCCAACGTCGCCTGTCTCCGGACAACTCGCGCGCTCAGCAGGACGGCTCCCCGACCCCGCCGGGCAATGGACCTCCCCGTCGGAGAGCTCCGCCTCAATTTCACCCAGGGATGACAGAGGAAGAGACTGTCCAGTACATCAGGGCCTACAAGGCTTGGTTCGAGGAGGACCGCCAAATCCCTCCTGAACCAGCGCTCCCCATCGACCCGAGCTCCCTGATTTCTGAGCAAGTTGACCGTCGTGCAGCGCTTGAGGAGGCCGCTCGTCGCGACAGAGCAGCCTCCGGCATTCCGATCTTTACCACCATCGTCGGCTTTTCGAAGCATTCGAGTGCGACCCCCATTGAACGCTTGGAGCCTGGTACGTCCTGCCACGATCCGCTACTTTCTCTTCCTCGTTGACCAAGGTGCCCCTAGTGACCTTCGCCGGGATGCTCGTGCGTCGCGCACATGTTGTACGTGCGCTGTCTGCGGCTTCTATAGTGCCTACAATCTGCTGATTTGTTGGCAACAACCAGGGAAAATATCTCCTTTGCCGCATCGTCGCTCCATGTTGTGCGTCCCTACTATCTCTCCATTTAGCCCCCATATACCAACTCCTCCCCCAGCCCGCATCGTAGCAATCCAGACGGTGGTCGAGGACATCGATGGCCGAGTACACGACCTATCCATCTACAATTTCCCCGCTACTTTCGACTGTTCTCTGGAACACCTCGATGCGTTGTTCCCCATTGGGACTGTCCTTGCTATTCGCGAGCCCACCTTCAAGGCACCCATGCAAGGCGACCGTCCGATCGTCAGGGTTGATACTCCCTCCGACCTCACGTTCGTCGTCCCCAGCAGTCCTCTCCTCCGCCGCGTGACCTGGACGACCGGCCCTGCGGTCCCCAAGTCGCCCACCGAGCCCGCGACTCTCGACGCATGGCGACAACGTGGAAACGCCTACTTCAATTCGAACCAATGGTTCCTTGCTGCATGGGCATACTCGCGGGGCCTTGTTATGGACCCCCAGGCAGCCGTCGTCCGCTCGAACAGGGCAGAGGTCTACATCCGTTTGGAGTACTACTCAGGTGCAGCTTATGACACACTGCGTGTCCTCTCGGCTACAGGTCTCCCGGACGCGCTTTCGGACAAAACCATCTTCCGTCTAGCGAAGGCACAATACGGCAGAGGAGAATATGCCGAGGCAGAAGAAAACGTCGCCAGGTGGCATGCGCGCCATCCAGAAGATTCTGCCGCAGCGCCCTGGATTGCCAGATGCCGGGCGAGGCGTGCGGAGCGCCAAACCGGTCAGTACGACTGGGCCTCGCTGTTCCGCAAGGCAGCGAAAGATATCCGACTCGATGTTGCCGATTACATGGGACCAATGGAGATATCTCAGATGACAAATCGCGGCGGTGGTCGAGGAGTCGTCGCCAAAAGGGCCATCCATACAGGTGAACTACTCGTACGTCGCCCGTCCCCCATCCCAGAGCTACGATGCACCGCTCACGTCGCACACACACTTTGTAGCTTGTAGCCAAGCCCTTCGCATCCGCATACGCCGCTGATCTCCCCCAGGACAAGATCGTCATAACCCTCGACCTCATCTCCAATATCTCCAAGGAGAGGACCGACGCCGTGCTCATGGCCGCCATCATTGAGAAACTATACGGGAACCCCGACCTGCGTGACCAGGTGTATCATCTGTACGCGGGTCCGGACCACCCCTCTCCCCCTGGCTCTTATCCCCCACCTCTTGGCCCCGCAGTCGCAGTAGATCCCTTCTCGCCCTCCATCGACATAGACATAGCGCAACTCGAAGCGATATGCACCTACAACAACTTCTGTCCTCTCCGCCTCGAAGATAAACAGATGGCTCAAGAGGCGAAGCCTACCGGCCTCTACCCTCTCGCATCGCTCTTTAACCACTCCTGCGTCGCGAACGCGATTTGGTACTGCATCGGTGATGTCATGATCATCCGCGCTGCGGAACCCGTCCCAGCGGGTACAGAGATCACGATCCCATACAGCGTCGAGGAGTCGTACTTCGCCCGTCAGTCCGTCCTCAAGAAGCACATGCTCGAACATTGCACGTGCTGGCTGTGCGAGGAGGATCGGAAGGACGGCGACGAGCAACTCCGGCGTCGCCAAGAGCTCAACGAACGAGTTCTCTCTCGTCGGCTGCTCCCGGCATCCCTGCTAGAAGCTCAGCAATTTGAGGAGGACGTGCGAAAGACATTCGCGCCCACGCGGGGTCCCATCCGACCCATGCACGCCCTCGCGCTCCACATCGTCGCGGAGAAACAGCGGACGTCTGGTGATCCTCGCTTGCTGAAGGAATCGTTGCAGGCGGACATGGAAGCTCTGCGGTGCCTTGGATTCGACGTTGCGGAGGAGAGTAGCAGGGGCCAGAACGAATTGCCCGTTGGAAGCGATCGTATCCCGACGGTGACAAGTTTTCTTGAGCCTTCTGGGATGATGCTTCGGATGGCGTGCACGTACCTGAACTTGCATGATCATGCAAAGGCGGTCCCGTGGTTGAGGGCGGCGTTATGGCGTAAGTCTCTCGTCCTCTTCGGATAAATCCTTCAAAGCCCCTCATCTTCTGTTTCAGTGACGGATACCTCAGTCGGAGGTGGAAAGGATTTGTTCATGCTTGTTCACGAAGATGCGTTGAAACAACTGGGCATTCACGAGTTTGCAGCGCAGGTTCTCTGAGTCGCAACGTCATCTCGTCCCCGTCTTACAAAGTCGAAACATGTATCCCTGCAGGCATCCTATTCACATCCACGATCGATCTACGCATGCGCCTCGTGTGCAAAATCAGTGATATTCTTCGTACACTAGGCGGAGCCCCGTAAACCAACGTCCAACACTGCCCACGCACGTTTCCCATGCGAACAGGGCGAATCTGGCCCTTAATTTGTGTTCAAGGCTGAACTAGGACTAGGGGGACACGAGGCGGCTCCTGCTTCCTCGCGAGCTACCCAGGCACACGATGCACTTCCGGGGATCAACAAAGCCTAGGTCAGAAGCTTCGAGTAGCGCTATGCAGCGTCTGCGTTCCGACGCTAGTCTGACCGCCCAACACAGATGAAACTCTCGCTATACTACAAAGACCATCGCGTGAGTGAGGGTCTATCATGGATGTCCAAGGCCAGTGATCTCAAGGCGCTGTCGTTAGTATCAATTTGGTATAGCAGCCACACTGATAGAAGGTTGCCAAGCGCTGCCGCGGTGGTTTCAGTTTCAAGTCATCTCCGTAGGAGTCGGAGGCACCGTCGACACACCGAGGCCCGATCAGGGTCGAACCTAATATATAATACCTGCCACGAGACAATGAAGCAGCCGCACGGGATCAGGAACGGATCGGGCGTACGTGTCTCCTACTGCTGTAATTGCCTCCGATCAATCTGCAGCATAATTCAATGAGATTCACAGTCAGATCTCGTATCTCCCACCGGTGCATGATCGCGTTTGGTGAGGTCCTCTAGTCCAAGGTGGGGCTCCTGACGGCTCGGGATGCACGGTCAGGCAGGCGGCCATTCTCCCAGTATTAACGCCGCCACGTACGGTCCTCCGTTCAAGTCCGAACACGCCGAACGGTCCGCAGGACTCGTCCAGCACATCTGACAAAAGCACAACAGTTCGATTCATCACTAGGTAACACGATACTAGACGATCGACAGCATAGATACGTAGACTCAAAGCAAGTCATCCGAGAGCAATAGATGCTAGAGCGACAGGGACATAAGTGTAGCACATTGCCGCGCAGTAGTGTGCATCAAATCCAGCCCACGCGGGATAATGATAAAGAATGCCCCTGCCAAACCCGAGGCAGAGACGATAAATAGACCAAAATAATGGGCGTCCGCCCTCCGAGTGACAAGGACTTCACTCCAGTGAGCCCTGTGTGAGACGTTGGTGCCTATGGATAGGCTGATTTAGAAGTGAGGAAGGTTGAGTCTGCGCAGAAGATGAGTGGTCTTTTTCCTAGCATACAAACACAGTATGAACTAACGTTTCCTCCCCAACGATATTGCCGACGGGATCATACAAGCAAACGTGATATGTGGCATCACCGTCCCCGGGGAAGATGTTGCCGCAAGTGGCCATACCACATCCCAACTGCGTCGTAGACCTCCAGATGACTTGCGTATAGTGGTTCAAATTGAGCTGGATGGGGTTGAATGCGACTGTGGATAATTGCGCGTCAATACTACCCTTAGGTTCGCATGCTACCACACAACGCACATTGGTCCTGAACGAACAACTCTACAGCTTGCAGTGCATCGAATGATCCGGTTGCGGCCGCGAGGTTCTCGCCGACGGGACCAAGAGCACCATCGGAGTGCTTCAATTGGCACTGTTCCGCGTAACTCTGCGCCTTCGCTGCGAGGTCATCTGACCACTGGAGATCTGGCATACCAACCTGGCTGCGTAAGTTATTGTGTAAGTCAAGGTAGGTCTGCTGGTCAACCTGAGGCGACGTCGGCTGTGAAGCCGCAGCGCTCGAGGTCGAGCTTGAAGGCTTGGGCTGAGTGGTAGGTGGTACGTTCGAAGAAGTGGTGGGTGGTACGCTCGAAGAAGTGGTAGGCGTTACACTCGAAGACGTGGCTGACGGTACGTCCGAGGATACCGTAATAGATGCAGCCGAAGACGTGAGGGTGGATTGCTGGGCCGCAGTGGTCGGCGCATCAGAAGAGGCGGTGAGCGTATCGGTAGACGAAATCATCGTAGAAGAGAAGATGGTCGACGAATTGGAGGACTGCGTCTCGGAGGACGAGGGGACAGAGCTGGTCTTAGGAGCGTCCTCGGTGGAAGTAATTGATGTAGGGCCAACACTGGAGAACGCTGAGGCGCTAGAGGAACCAGGAAGCGAGGTGCTCCCAACCGATGGCCCTGACGCAGTGCTTGACGGAGGCACGGGCACAGTCGAGGGCCCAGAGATCGGGGGACTTGGCTGCCCTGAAGCGATAGAAATGGGGTCTGTGCTGAGCGATCAGTTGTCCAAGCACATTTGTATCGATGCTCGCTAGAGGGCGTACCGTCGGGAAGCCTCGCGGGAACCGCCGCCGCCACCGTCCCGAATGTAATCACCAAGAGCAAGTTACCGAACGCTAGCTTCATACTGAGAACAAGCGAGGTTGTAAGAACGAAGGTTGGCTAGATTTACAACGGTAGGACGAAGGAGTGAAGTCCACCGGAACGGCTTAGTACAGAGCAGTCCGCTCGAGAACGAAGGGGAGGGAAAGAGACGAAGGAACGACGTTGGCGCCAGTTGTCATGTCCGTTTGCTATTATGAGCGGTGTAGGCAGTGCCAGGCACAGATGTGCGGCGTTGGGCGGCATGGACTGTTGAGTCCGGCTGTTAACCAATACATAGACGAAGAGCCATGGAAGAGGCTTTGCAGCTTTGTCATCCATATCTAGCTTGTATAATCCGTCCACGTCCACGTCCACGTCCAAGTGATTGGTGGCGGCGCCTCAGCTAGGGGCTTGTATGCGACGGGATCTGCAACAGTCTCCAAGGGTCGAGGCCTGAGGCCTGAGGTGCGAATGATGACTCTCGACAAGTGCTTCAATCCTAGTTGTTCAGCCACATGCACGACAAGAAGTCATGCGGACGAGGGCCATCAGTTCAGAGGATGTCGTATGTTCTCACTTTGGAGTCGCGAGAGTCAACCCAGAGGCACACTCAGGCGTTCAATATTATGAATATGGAGAACAGATGTCAGAGACAATGTTGCGGTGGCTATCGCATCATCAGAGTAGCCGTGAGTCGGACGACTGATCACGGCTTCGAAGGTAGCCAGCAAGGGTGCATATAATACAGTGTCAACGATAAAAGCGGTTTGAGGGCGCAGATATCACTAGAAGCGCGATTCATACATTGCAGATAGGTCCGTGATCTGCGAGGGATTGACTTGATCAGGGCTGGGTTGTCCTTACGCCTTCTATCGCTAACCCACTCACCTCTACCTCAGCCTATACCACTCCGGTGTCTCATAGATCACCTCTTCAACTGGTGGGTGCTGGTCGGATGTTATACTCTCGCTTGAAGCTCTCGAACTCTTCGTCTTTGCTTTTGTACTGTTCCGCAAGGCTTGTGATCACCTTCTGGATCTGCAAGGAAGGCTTAGCACGGCACGGTAGCTCATACAAGGAGCACTCACGCCATCACGGTTCGTCTTGAGAGCTGGCACGACATCCTTGACGGTGCGTTCAACCAGAACGCCGCCGACCAGACGGAAGCACTTCCGATCGGGTTCCTCAGCGAGGGCTTCGTCCAAGGTGGACAGCACAAGACTATGAACTTATCCAGATTATCCATCGGAGCACCAGATTATCCAACAAGAACGCACTTGTGCTCTTCTGCCTCCTGCTCTAGCTCTCCGATCTTGCTCGCGAGTGTCTGCAGGTCATTCTGGAAACGATTATACTGCTGTTGAATCTCTGGCTAGCCACGGTCAGGGTTAGACAGGTATCATCAGGTTGGGAGACTGAGCACGAACCCTGAGGAGAAAATTTTGGCTGTGCGGCCTTGGCCTTTGTTTTCGAAGAGGACATCGGTCGTGAAAGAGGATGGCAGACTCGAAGGCCCGTCTTGTGCAAGGAGTCCAATCACAGCCGGTTTCAGCTCGCTTGTCGTGAGAGCGCCGCGCCGCGTCTCGCGCATTTGCCTGTTTTCCCCTCCTAAGCGCCCCCAGAGGAACTTCGGACGACGATATCTCCTCGACAGCTCAATGTAACCACTTCATTCTTGCGTATTATGGCTCAGGATTACGACGCGCAGGGCACGGTACTGGTTTCAAGTTAGCAACTCGTCCAACGGGCGATTCACCTGCTTTCAGTCGATTTCATGCCGTCTCCTGCATCCATCGCACATATTTCCTTAACATCACATGGAGATACCTGGAGGGCTCACTGGAAGCCGTTGGCGGATGTCACGGAGGCCATATGGTGCAGAAGAGGTCCATGATGTACGTTTTCTCCATTCTGCGAAGGGTTCTGGCGCATGCCTAGTATACCACTCTGTCGTATATCGTCAAATCCAACACATCTTTGCTACCAAACATGTCACATATGTCCACTGTAAGCCTACAAACCCATGTAATCGTGCCGGTTGCCAATTGTAGTGTTCTACAAGCTCTCCTTTGCAGCTCCAATCTACCCACCTAGTCTGTTCCTCCCTCCTACTCAGCAGTGACTACATGGCCCCTAATGCCTTGCAAGACCACAGGGATTGTGAAGGTGCAGATTACTCACAAAGTCATGGTGTCTGGTGCTCCCCGACGAGGACTTTGAGCTGGCCCAAGAGGGCTGCTACCCGAGCCCACCCTATGGTGGACGTGATTGTCGCTGGACACTCCGCCTTTTGACACAGAGCCCTCGATAGCGTCTTGTCTTCACCATTCCGACAATTTCCGGGAGAGTACGCCATACCATTCAGCCAACAACGCTGTCCGAGTCCAGTAGGGAGCTGGAAGAGCGGGAATGCCTAGAAGTTGGTGACATCGAGTTGGCGCAACTTCAATACAATACCGTGCCCTGCGCGTCGTAATCCTGAGCCAGGATACGCAAGAATGAAGTGGTTATATTGAGCTGTCGAGGAGATATCGTCGTCCGAAGTTCCTTTGGGGGCGCTTAGGAGGGGAAAACAGGCAAATGCGCGAGACGCGGCGCGGCGCTCTCACGACAAGCGAGCTGAACCCGGCTGTATCAGATACTCGGCTCCCGATTGGCTGGGAGAACACCCGGCAAAATCCGGCAGCGCGCGACGTGTCCCGGAAACTCGCTCATCGTCTTCAACAACGCATAGAGGGTTTGCCCGTCGTCCACCGCGTCGCCAACGACCACCACCATGTCTTTTGCGCGCGCTCTAGTCGCCGCCGGTCCCTCTGCCAGGCTGGCCGCTGGCCGTGTCACTGCTTCTCGCTCTCTCGCGCTCGCATACCGTTGGCATTCCACCGCTCCCCATCAACAGCAGGTCGACCCTCTTGTCAATAACAAGCCCAGAGACTACCTGAACCCGGGACCGCCGATCCGCTCGCCTGGCACAGAAACCGCTACCTATTCTGCCACAAACGAGCCCGGGAAGGACTACGATCCGTACAAGGACGGTCCGAGTGCAATCGACAAGGCCGTGCACTTGTTCTTCTTCACAGAAATTATCCGGGGTGCGTATTCAGTTTGACAGCGTTCTTCCGGGCGGCCTGTGTCAATGACATGTTGTAGGCATGTGGCTTGTGTTGGAGCAATTCTTCCGCCCCCCATACACAATCATGTACCCGTTCGAGAAGGGCCCCCTTTCTCCTCGCTTCCGGGGAGAGCATGCTCTCCGTAGATACCCTAGTGGTGAAGAGCGCTGCATTGGTATGTCGATCTTCGCATCTCCGCTGAAGACGCTCTGCTCACACAGGTGACGGGAAGCTTGTAAGCTTTGCGAAGCCATTTGCCCGGCGCAGGCCATTACCATCGAGAGCGAAGCCCGGTTGGATGGCTCGCGAAAGACCACTCGTTATGGTCTGTTTCTATCGCCGCACTTGTGACTGCACCTTCCACTGACTTCGTTGTATGCCAGACATCGACATGACGAAGTGCATCTACTGCGGATTCTGCCAGGAAGCGTGCCCCGTGGACGCTATCGTTGAGAGTACGTCTTGGATTCGCCGGCTCATCTCATGTTACGGCATTCTCCTGTCTTCGGCTGTTTGCTGACGTCCCCTATCGGGACCCCGTAGCTCAGAATCAGGAGTTCTCCACCGAGACTCGTGAGGAGCTGCTCTACAACAAGGAGAAACTACTCGCCAATGGCGACAGGGCGGAGGCCGAGATTGCGGCCAACCTCCACGGTATGTCAGCCCGCTTATCGTCCTACATTCAATTGCTGGAGTCGTTGACGATGTCTTGTCTCCACAGCGGACCACGTCTACCGGTGATAGAACTTTCATGGGAGTTTCGCCTGAATGGGGAGAGAACATCGTGCCGCCACCATGCTGATGTGATGCGACCTCGTCCACGTAATGATGATGTTGTTTCCTTCAGGTCACCCCCTTGAGACTATCTACTGCTGAAAGTTCTTGGTTTGCAACTCTCGCGGCAGAAGCCGTACGTTGCCGGCGGCAGCTAGACGTCTATGGTCACGATTGCTCTGCATTTTTCCCGCGTCGCGATCCGCTGCAGACTTTGCGGAGTTCGTCTAAACACATCAGAACTTTGTCGAGTTGCGGAAGATAGCAACGTGGGCCCGACAGCCAAGGTCCCGCTGTGGCCGCGCAAGTATCCCATATAGCGTGAGATTGACCCCGAGACATTTGACCGCCAAATTGAGGTTGCTCCGTTCACGCTCTTGAGCTTCGCTCGGCACTTCCGCTAAGCGCAGCCCCAGAGTTCGATGGGCGGGCGGTTCTAGTTAGATTGATGACCGACAGAACGACCCATGATAAGATATGACGCAAGGCGTTGGTGGGTGAGGCCGCCGCCGTGGAACGTGCTACCAAACATGTTTCGGCGCGCCTGGTCGGATGTTGTCTGGCGGAGCGCGCATGCCCTGATCCGCAAACCGTAGCTGGTGAGTCTCGCTCTCGACCCTATGCAAATCCAGACCAACAGCTGACAGATGTTTTCGCCGCTAGAAATCGCGCTGTAGACCCGATTGGGTCAAATGCCCGTCCCCTTCGCGCCTTTGGTAGGCACTAGTCTGTATAAAGTGCTTTGCAGGTACCGTATAAGACAGAACCCGCTTGCCCCATACGGGTCTTATCTATGTGCTATGAACAGCTCATCGGCTCACAGGTAACCCGGACCGCAACAGAGTTCCAGGCGAAGCGACAGTTTCCTTCAACCCCTATCCGCCCTCGGGACCATATCGCGGACGATCTCCCCATGTGCGCGGCTCCTGCGAAGCTGTCTCACCTCGATTGAAGAGATTCAGTTCGGCCTGTGCACCCGGACAGGGCGTCGCATGCTCATGACACGTTCCGCGGGGCAGAGGTGGATCGGCGGGGTTCTATGAGGAGTATGTCTGATACTCGCTCGGAATCACAGCGGGCGACGTGACATTCCTTCGGCAGCGGACTTACGGCTATCCATCGAACCATCAGCATGAACTTTAGTCCCATCGTCAAACGAGGAGATGCCTGAGGAATACAAACCGCTACTTTGGGCTCCTCGTAAGCACTGTCGGTTTCCCGCCCGTCTTATGGATTGCTCATAACATACGTCGTTTCAGACCAAGCATGAATACGGGTGCATCGCCTCGATCTCGAGGAGACGCCAGCCACAACGTGCAACGTCCCGAATTTTCCCTGCAGTCAAACTCAGGGCCGAAGACCCGTGTACCGACGTAGGGTAGATCATCCGCCCCGGTGCGGAAGCGGAGGCATCGGACGAACAAACAACTATTGGTTAGTGGCGATGCCGAACATACTATGCACAATCGCGGCTCATCAACTCACGAAACTGCGATTATTGACCGCCACCTACGCCATTGTCAGCCACCGTTCCCAGAAGGTGAACGTGCGCACGCGCCACACGTCGTTGCCCGCCAGGCAGGCAGGCAGGCCCGCATCATTGCCGCCTTTGTCGCCGGCCATAGACCTGTTACGGCGCGCATGCCGCGGCCGCGGCCGATACGGACTGGCTAGGCCGGAGACCTTTCATCATGGACTTGGAGCTGGCCAACTGGCCATTGTCCCAAAATCACAGCCAGAGTGCAGTGATCAAGACGATCGAGCGCAGCAAGGCTGCCCTCGGACCTACCCAGAGCCAGACTGAGAGCGCTTGAGACCTCGAGGAGGGCCGCAGTTTCGAGGTGTATTGGGAAGCGCGGACAGCACGCCTTGGTTTTGCCGGTGGGTGTGTGAGGGAGCAGGGTGTCCATGGATTCCAGGTGTCTGCGGAACTCTCGACAGCTGCCTGGACCGGGGACGAGGAGGCCGATTCGCCGCCGTCAAAACTTGAAATCATCTCCGCCAGTGAGAACGCCGCAGCACACGTACGTTAGATTCAGTACCGTTGTACCGATAGATTGACTCCGGGAATGAGGTGGCAGGGCCTGACTTATTGAGCCTTGTAATAGACCGCGAGTCTGCTGTCGGCAGTGCGAGTGTTCTGCGGTGCTTTATCATATGCTCGACACGAAGGCTCCTGCGGCTGCGTGCGGCCTGACCTGAGTCACAATGGCTGCATTCGCTCGTGTTCGCAACCCGATTTGTGACATAAGCCGCTCGACTCCGCAATCCTAGTTTCCTCTTTGGGAGGACCATACGCTCTTCGCATGCCTAGAACCACCTGCACACAATGAGCGATGTGATGATCAAAATGGAAACACACCCACTCGACGTGTACATGTGCTCTGCATATTAGGGTATAATTGTTATTCGGCGAGCGGGTGTACATACAACGACCGGCACAGCGAGGGGCGATACATAGTGTGCATGAAGTTGACAGACAAGCAGCGATATAGAGATATGACGTGTCTTTTTCACAGGACCTGGGACGGGCACCACCATGAGCCTACAGCAGACAAACTGACACCAGCAACCCGTCAAAATTATGCCGTACCACAAGACAACTTGGAGTAGTGTGCATACTCCTTTTGTCCCACGAGCCTATTCGTCTTCCATCCTCTCATCAGACAAAGCATCTCCCTTCCCAGATGCAGGGTGCCCGGCATCGCCGTCTTCCTCAGAGTGAGCCCGCTTGCCGCCCCTATTGCCGCCTAGGTTCACAGAGCCGCGGGAAGACGGCCCACCTTCATTGGCAGGTCGGCCTTCTGAGTCGTAGCGGTCGTCAACCTCCATTTCATCGCGAGAGCGCTTCCGTGACTCCAAGGAAGAAGTCCTAGCGACTTCAGCGGCCGGAAGCCTATCGCGAGAAACACTACGTTCGTCGTCTTTGAAGCCCGGGTCACGCTCGATCCCGAGCAGGTTCGACACATGCGGGGCAGGATGAGTCCTATGCGGGGCACGATCGTGATCGTACGCTTGAGCCACCGCTGGGAGCGAAGCATCCCGACTTCCCCCCGCCCGAGCAGTGGAACCCGGAGAACCAGAGCGGGACAGGGCGCGGGCACGAGCCTCTTCCTCAGCCCAAAGCGCCTCCTCCTCCTGCTCTTCCAGCGCTAGGCGGTGGCGTAACTCGACCTCGCGCTGTGCCTCGCGCTCGCGTTCAAGCTGGCGGTTGTACTCAAGCTGCTGCTGCAGCTCCCAATCTCGCTCAGGGTCCCTCTCGCGATGAATGTTCGCGCCCGGTCCCATACGCTGGTGATTGTGAATCCGGCTAGAACCGCGGTGGTGAGTGGTCGGCGAGACCATGGGCGGCGACCCGGGCAGGTTTGACGGGGGGATATCGACATGTGGATGCGGCAATTGGTGTCCATGCGAATGCTCGTGTGGCTCATGACGACTTCTTCTGTGTTCTGGATGCGGTTCCGTTGGCATATTCGGGCTGCGGGTATGAGGAGCGTATGGGGCGCCTTGTGCATCTACGCGAGAGTTTCCTCCTCCAGCAGGATCGAGATCTGGGCGAGCCGAGGACGAACGGGAGTGATGAGAAGAGTTACTGTGTGAATGAGCGTTCTGCGGCGGCGGCGGTCGAGACTGTGGATACGTGTACTGGTTCACGTGGTGGTCGTTTGTCACAGAGAGTTCTGGGGTGGGATCTTGTGAATGCTGGAGAAGTGGGATCATAGGAGGCGGCGGAGGTAGAGGTCGGGACGGATCGTGTCCAGGGCCCGAGTCATGACGAAAACCAGGGACTAGAGGGATCCCATGAGGTGGCGGAGGGCCCGAAGGTATGGGTATGCCCCGCGCATCCACAGAAGCTGGCGTATCTTCGATCGCGACGACTCTGCCATCCGGTCCCTGGATGATTCGGGCCGTCGGGTGGTTGCGAATCCATTCAGACAGCTCGCGGTCATTGGGATCTATCACCCTGGCATGCTCATGCGGCGCCGGAGGCTGTGAGTGGAATATGGGATCTTGTTCCGCAGGCAATTCTTGAGTGTTTCTGCCCGGAGTGGGGGGCACGGCTGCGAGTCGCTCGTAGAGAATGCTGAGATGGTCGTGAGACGCGTCAGGAATCTGTGTCCGTAACAGACACAGCATCGTGAATACATACGCTCGCTCTAGATTCATCCGACGAATATTCTTCTTCGCGAGAAGAAGCTTGAAATACAGCCGATCGTTGTCCTGGTATGACAGGATGGGCAGAACATACGCATGGATGAGGAATGCATCCAGACAAGCTGTACTAGGAGTGACTCACCGATTCGATTTCTTTGACTTTCTTTTTCAACTCCCTATACTTGGCCTGATACTTGACGTCCTCCGCGCCAGCAGTTATGCCCATGATGCTCCGTTGCTTCTGTTTGCGTTCATAGTTAGCCGACATTGAAGGGTTGTGAGCGGGATAGGGTGCAGCGTATGCGGGACCGGGGGATGGCTGACGAGGCATCATGACGGAGACAGGAGAAGGCACGGGCGAGCGCAGCGCCGCGAACGTGTCCAGGCTGAGCTGTCATGTTGTTTGGCGTTGAGTCGTTTCGTATGAACTTCCCATACTCAGACGCGCTTCGGCTCTTTGTGGTCCCGTCGGCCCCGCCATTCTGCTGTACTCGCTGTCCAGACATGCTGGCAACGTGCTCATATTATGACTCAAATTCTGCAGACAAGTACCGCATCAGTTGCCACTGAGCCAGCTGCGATAGCTGCGCGCTGCAGGGGACACAGCGGAGGAGATTTCGAGGCTCGCCACAGCCACGTGGCTCAGGTGCAGCGCAAGGCGCCCGTCTGCGCTCCGCTCCTTGCCTTCAACCAACTCGACGCGCTCGACGTCGCCGTCTCCTAGGCTGTGCTTGTTTCCTACCCACAATACCGACTATATAGGGCTGGTCGCCCGTTCCTGTGCTTCTCTCTGACTCGACCCAAGGAATCTCCGCCAGTGAGTCTATGTGCTGTCATTGAAGAATGCACACATGCTCACAAAATCCAATTTCCCAGTGTCTACACCCTTCCGACAGTGAGCTATTGTTCGACTTATGCGTCAATAACTGACAGCGAGAGCGTGAAATCTAGGGATATGCCCCCACCGGGTGGTTTCGAGCCAGTGAAGTACAAGCGAAATCTCCCGCTCCGTGGTCCGAGTGGCCTTGTCATTCTCGGCGGCGTGACGGCGGTATGCGCGTACGGCTTCTATCGGCTTGGAAAGGGAAACCTTGAGAAGAGGTACGTGGAAAGATTGCAGTCATTCATGCGGGCGCGAGAAGGTCAGGCGGACGTTAAACGTGGGCAGTTGAGGGCCCGCCCAACGGGGAACGTGGCCTTCTGTTGGATCCGTCCGCGCGACGCAGTCTCTTATCAGTGACAAATCTGGGATAGCCATGCGCCATTCGCAAAGAGAGTACCGAGCTGATGCGACATTGCTTCTCAGGGAGCTCCAAAGAGAGAAGGTCTGGTCGCGCATACACCTAGTCCCGCTCCTACTCGCCGAGGGCGATCGTGACGCGTACAGGCGTCAGCAAGCTGCGCTGGAACGAGAGAGGGAGATCATGAAAGATGTTCCGGGCTGGGAGGTCAGTGACATCTCGAACGGGGAGATGACAAGATGGTCATGTTTGCTGATAACACGGTTCCCCGGGGTCGTACCGTCCTATCGTTTTCTGCGGTTTGTCTGTGACAGGCTGGTAAAAGCGTCTACAACAACCCGCGCCATCGGTCCTCAGAGTCGATCGTGGTTATATGATGGTAGCCGGTTTCCTTTGTATCACCTTTCGTGCGTCTTCGAGCAATCCGAATCAGAGGTTGATGAGCTGCAGCTACTGGATTGCGGACGGCTGATGTGACCGGGGATGTGGGCTGAGGGCCCCTTGGAGAGAGCTTGAGACGATTCCGCCGAGAGCGCACTGGCGGCTTTGGGCCGGACCCGCCGAACGGTCATTGGCGCACTCGGCTAGACGCCGGCCGCTGTGGCGGACTTGGACTACCGGAGCCCGGGGACCGTCCTGCCGAAGTTGGCCACATCACAGTGGTCCCGCCGTATACCATATCTGGCATGATTTAGGGCAAGGCCGGGCTGTGCGGGACGGCGCCACGGTGGACGAGTCTGTGACTGCGGGTATGCGTCCGATCGCATATTCGCTGACAACATCCAGGACAGCCAGACATCCGGACGCCCGACAACCGCCAGCAAGACGCCACATTAGACACAGAACCGCCGAGTTGGTCCGCGAGTGTGGGTGATTGGGATATCGGAGAGGGCGACAGACGCACACGGCAAGGGGGTGTCACATTGAGTTGAGGATACGGAGGCGCATCGGTCGTCGCGCGCAGGACGAGATCACGAGGAGGGCGTTGGGCACAGGTGCGCATGCTTCTGCCGACGATCTAGAGTCCTGCTTCCATATGCCTTCTGCTTTCACAGGCAGGGCGGGTCGGCACTGTAACTCCCAAAAGTGGGGAACAATCCGGCCGGGAAAGGCAACAAGCCCGTAAGTGCGAAACTCTCCGGATTCCCGTATTGCTGACATCTTGACCAGATCTCGCGCCTCCCAGTCCCGCTGATTCTCACCGAGTCAGCGAACGAGGCACCGAATTGTACTTAATGCGCCATGCCTCAAATACCGCTCATTCGAATCCCGCCATCCCTTGCAAACATATCCCCCCTTCTCAGATCTCTCCGAGCCCGCCACAGACGCGTGGTTCCCACCCTCGCAACTTCCCTTTCCGCTCGCGCATCCCCGCTTGCGCCATCCCTCATAAGGCCCGGTCCAAGCCGTTTGTATCCTCGAACCACCTACGCTTCGACATCCTCGATGCCCGCCTCGCCCTTCTACCACCGCGAACACGACCGCGACGCAGCAACCATCACCCTCGCTGCCTCCGATATGTCGCTACGAGACCACTCCCCCATGTTCACCTTCGACGACCACGTCCCACAATACGACCCTATGATCTCCGACCACGACAACATGATCTTTGGCCTCGAGCTCGACGATCCGCTCTACCAAGAGTCTAAGTCTCCTTTCTCCATGGACTCGACGCACCTCATGCAATATAGCTCGATGTCGTCTATCCCCTTCCCTGGCTCACCCGAGTCGACGACCAGTCAGTTGGACGCCGGCATGCCGACACACACACGACGCTACGACTCGACGTTCTCCAACAGCTCTGGCTACTTTGCTCCGTCGTCACCTGAATTCAACGACTCTGCGTTGTACTCCAACTGGATCGCTGACCCCGACGCTCCCCATCCGTCATCTGTGCCCATCCCTATCCCCGCCGGGCATGCGCAGGGTCCGCAGTCGCCCATGTCGTCGTCTTTCGCCGCATTTAGCGAGAACTCGTCAATCTTCCCTGACGTCACACCATTCTCGCCGACGACAGCATACGCCGCTCTACAACCACTGCCGCTCTCACCGCCCGAAGACACCGTTATGACGGAGCAGCTACGCGCGGACCTTTCCGTCGGGATTTCACCGCCCGCGAACCTCTACGGTGCGGAGCCGCCGGCGTGGGCCTCACACCTGTGGGATCCATCGGTGCAGTTGCCTTCTCCCGGAGCTCCGGTGGCGGTCATGCCCCTATCAGACGACAACTTCGCGACACAGAGGCCTCGGATGTCACTGCGAAGAGGCACACCCGTGACGCAGCTCTTCCAGTCTTCTAGCGCGCCGTCGCCGTCACACGCGCGGCCGTCTCTGAGCCTGTCGCGGCCATACAGTACGCGGCGGTCGGAGAGTATCAGCGAGCACGACGATCGAGATGCCACTGTCAGGAGGAAGAAGCGACCTATGGAGGACGACGAGATGGATGCGCAGGCGCAGACACGCGAGAAGCGCTCCGAGAGTCGTAAGTGCTATCCCATTCCTTGGCACGTGATATTGACACGTCGATGCAGCTCCCCTGAAATCGGTCCTCCGCCCGCCCAAGCTGGCTCCCTCTGCTTGGCAGCTGTACTTCACAGATTGGATCCAGCGTCACCAGGCTTCCAGTCACAAGAAGCTCAATGTCGCACAGGCGGCTAAAGAGGCCGGCCAGGAATACGCCAAACTCTCCGCCGACCAGAAGGAGGTTCGTCCCCGCTCTTCTCATGCTGATTCGAGATATGGTGGAGACAGATGTGACTGATCCCTTTCGTTACACAGCCTTACCGACGTCGTTCCCAAGCCCTCAAGGAGGCTCGAGAACGCGACCTCAATGCCTACATGCGTACCCTGACCCCCGACGATATCAAGCGCGAGAACGCTTATCGGACGGCTCAGAGGAAGGCTGGGAAGTCGCGCAAGGGCAATATCAAAGACCCGAACGCACCGAAGAAGCCTCTCAGCGCATACTTCATGTTCCTGCAGCGCATCCGATCAGATCCCGAGCTTGTCAAGGAGGTCTTCGGGGACGAGACTGAGACCACAAAGCAGTCCGTCCTCGCCGCGGGCAAGTGGCGCTCGATGACTGATGAGGAGCGCAAGGTGCGCTTCAATGTGAGCATAGTTTAGTGCGCGCGCTGATACGTGTTTCGTTTCAGCCCTTCCTTGCACAGGCTGAGCAGGAGAAGCTCGAGTACGAGTCGGCGCGCAAGATGTACGAGGAAGGCACCACAGGTTACGGCAACAGCATCAACTTCAGTATCCTCCCTGGTGGTCCCATTAACCTCATGCCGATTCCGCGTGCTAGCCAACGCCTGGTAAAGCAGGAGGCGCTCAGCTCTGAGAGCGAGAGCGACGGGTTCAATACGGATGACGGTGCCGACAATACCCTTACTTCGCCCCGGCGTCGTTGAGCATCACTCTTCTCCGGCTTCTCCTTACTATCTTGGACTTTCGACTACAGCTTCGCCGTTAGGCGTATCATGAACGGTCTTATGCTTCCCCGCTTTTCATGTTTAGTTTGAACCTTCGTTCCCCATGCGGGTGCATTATGGGCACTCTTCTGCCGCGATCTTTCATCTCTCTCTTTGGTCCACATTGCCTTACAGTTCGCGTTTGGTGTTGTCTGCAGTTCTGTTCGCAGTTCTCACGACCGTGACGGACTCCCCATCTTGCATCGTTGTATACCAACACCACCCTCCTCCATCCTCATGCTGTATTGTTAGCCAGTCATCTGTCTTCTGCTCTGTATATACGTAACGACCTTTCATGACCACCCATTGCCAGTACGTACTGTGCTATACCTTAATCTGATAGCGACAAGCGGGCGACCATCTTCTGATGAGGAGCGCCGTCTTCGTCGAATTCCTCACCCTGTAGATTGCGTGCCGTTGAACAATATAATCGGATCCTCATCAGTAAATGTACCGGGTCAGAAGCATTGTCGGAGAACCTCTTCCTCGTATCCAAATCTGTCCATGTCACGGGAGGCTCAGTCAATGTACCGGGGCACGGGGGAAAGCTGTCCGCAGTAAGGGACCAGATGGCAAGTACTCACTTGCCATAAAATCCCTTCACGGGAATCTGGGAGTGGCACGCAACTTTGACCGTGTCCGAAACCCTTGACCCAGGAGTCTTCGCATCGACTTTGACAAAGTCGTGCAAGGACTGGACGAGTGCCCGCCCGAAGCGGTATTTCCGATAGTCCTTGAGCACGGCCAGGCGGCTGAGTTTGCAGTAGCCATCCATTTTCGCGCAACGGATGGTGCCGATCGGTTTCAGCGAAGGGGTTAGTCGCAGCAGAAAATGGGTTGCTGTGTCGTCCAAGCTAGCGGTCGAGAGCGAGCGCACGAAGACCAGAAGGAGAAATGACGATGTCAGCCATCGAAACACGGTTTCTCGGGACAAACAGGCGGGCCACGGACTCGTCTATTTCTGTGTCGAGCGGAAAACCCTGCTCGTGGTGGAAGACGTCAATGCGGACGTCATAGCACTGCTGCCTGAGCTCTTCACGACCGGGCTGGCCGGGGGCAGGCACTATGATTATTTCGTGCGGGGGTGGGGGTGCGGCCATTATCTCCCTGTGCGGGCGTAAGTGGAGGAGATCGACAGGGACGGGTCAGATGGAAGCCGCGAACTTGGCGAACGTACTTAGCTACTGTCGTGCGAAGCTGTATCGGCGGAAGCGCCCAGCGTCCAAAATTCCGATCGAGGGCTTGCCGGGAGTTGCCGCATCCCGTCTTGCGCTGGGCGAGTACTCGTCGCTGCTGAGCTAGACATCCCTCTCTTTTGTATGTCGCCTCACACTGCTCTCTCCCTGCCCTGCGACGTCCTGCTCTCTCAGGTGCGTGCTCCACGAGGCCATGACACGCTTTTGGCTTGCTGACGCGGCGCGCAAGTAGGGTACAGACCACCACTCGTCCCGGCGAGTACGGTGATGTTCGAACCTCTAGCGGTGACTGTCCTCACTTCCATTCTCCCGGCTCGACCACTCGCAACTCAGCTCCTGTCCAACAAGTCCGCCTTTGGGATGGCTGTGCGGACCGCTTCGATCTCGCTTTCGACAGATTTCTTCACGCCGCGTCAGAGGAGCGCAGACGGGAAAGGAAAGGGGAAGGGCAGAGCCATGCCGGAGGACGAGTACGTGGCTTGTGCCAGTGTTCTACTTGGCAAGCTACCAAGGCACTGTATCGCCGTCATGGGTGAGTAATTCCGGCTATTTCGAGGTTGCGCAGCAGCGTTAAGCATATGTCTCGTGCTGCAGACGGAGCGGCGTTGCCTATGGCCAGATTGTCCTCTCCACGCCCCCGAATACGCCGGTCATCCAGTCACAAGAACACCGCCTTGGGGAGCAGAAGTCACATACCGTCGCTGCGCACATGGACGAGACAGGTTGACGTGGTCCAGAGGCGGCATGCCTCAAGCCGTACGCCCACCGCCGCCGAGCCCATCCGACATCCAACCCCCTCCCCAGAAAAGCAACGCGCATCATTGAAGATCTTCAGCGACATCGCATCTGGGGCGAGGAACTTTTCTGCGGAAGATGCCTGGCGTGCGTTCCAATTTGTCTGTGACGCTCAGGGAAGACCTCCTGGCAACACCGCGTCCGGTCTAGCGTTCGTGGCTTCTATCGCGAGGTCTGTTGCGAGCGGTGCCCAAGGACCTATGTCTGCGGAGTCACTTCGCTTATGGGGCGAGCGAATAGAGGGCATGCTACATCACATCGACCCCAATCGTACCTCACAAGATGTCCTCCGAATACGCTGGAACATCCTCCTTATTTCTGGGGCTGCATTGCAGGGAAAACTGGACGAGGCAGTAGAAGATGCTCGCGTCGTCTTCAACCGTCGTGATGTCGGCGACGAGGAGCAGCAACAAGTCTTGCGGAGTTATGTCCTGGAACTCTATACGGTGATTGTCGAGGCACTCCGCCATCATCGCGGTCCTACTGCTGTCTTCGAGTTTCTCACAGCGAACCCGGACTTGCTGCTTCAATATCTTGCCGAACGACCACCACAGACACGGCCGGATCAGGACCTGGCTCAGGTGGCCAAGCTGTTCACCTCCCGAGCTTTGGACAGTCTTGCTACGATCGAGGATCCCGCCCAATTTCTCCAAGATCACCTATCAGTCTGGTCCAAGGACAGGTTATCTGCCGCTGGTTCGCTCCTCGTTCGTGCCATCTCGCTAGCAGGACGGTCTCAGGTCGTTCACGATTTACTGCTCGTCTTGCGACGCCATGCCGTGACCTTGCCTCACTCAGTCATCTTGTCTGTCGTTCAAGACCTGACTAAGAATGAAAAGTACGATCAGGCCAGTGCACTCCTCGCTACTGTCACTCCCAGTCCATCCGACGTCACCGTCTTCGTTAGCTTTCACACAACCGCCATGATACTCACCGCTCATCAGGGTGATGTGAGGCGCTGTGAAGAGCACTACCACATGCTAGACAAACGCGGATTCGTACGCCAGGACCACAGAGCTTCTCTCATGCATGCCTATGCTAAGGCCGGACAACCCACACGTGTCGTAGAGCTTTTCAATCAGTTCTTCCCAGATCCTCCCACCACAAAGTCTTCATCCCCTCGTCCTAATCTTGTACACTACACCACCGTCATTCTCGCCTTCTCCCAGGTCGGCGACTTGAATGGCGTTAATACGTGGGTACAGAAGCTCTCTCAGCAAGGCCTTCGACCCGACCTGCATGTCTACTCCATCATTCTCCAGTCATTCGCCATGCATGGGGACATCGACTCGATGTCTTCACTCCTAGATCAAATGCGTAGTTCGGGTGTTCAGGTTACCGTGCATATGTACACCACTCTCATCGCTACCCTCGCAAAGCGTAACGACCCCATGGGCGCAGAGCGGCTGTACAAGCACGCTGTCTCTGAAGGCGTTGTACCTGACCGCGTCATGATCTCTGCTATCATGAATGCTCACGTTGAAGCGGGCTCCTGGGAGGGGGCCATCAGGGCGTTCGACTACCTCAAGTCCTCCGGCAAGGCTGGCGAAGGCGTTACGATCGAGGTCTTCAACACACTCATGAAGGCGTACGTCCTCATCGGTGCGCCCTTCCGCTTGGTCGCGAACCTGTTCCGCCAGCTCGACCGCGCGAAGCTCCGCCCCGACTCGCGAACCTTCGCTCTCCTTATCCAATCCGCCTGTGATAACGGCTTCATGGACATCGCGGAGGACCTGTACCGGGAGATGGAACGTCTCGCACAGACCATGCCGCACGCGTCGCTGAAGGCCAACGTTTACGTCCTCACCATCATGATGAACGGGTACCTGCGCATGGGCAAGCGAATCAAGGCTAGAGGGATCTTCGAACTGATGAAGTCTCTCTCGATCAACGCCAACGCGATCACCTATGCGGCGATCCTCAAAGCGTACGGGGAACAGAAGACTTCGCAAGGGATGCAGGTCGCGGAGGAGTTCTTGGAGTCGCTCTTGAGTAGCGAATCCGAGAACAACTGGCTGCAGACCACGGGCGGCCGCCGTCTCACCCTCGATACCGTTTATCGGCCGCTGATGAACGCGTATGCCCAGCGGCAGCAACCCGCCGACGTCGAACGACTCCACAGTGCCATGGCCAACGCCGGCCAGAAGCCCACCCTGGGCACGACGACGCTGCTCCTTGACGCTTATCGTCGGTCGGGCGATGTCGAAGCTGTCGAGGCACTATGGCCCAGAGCCTTCCGACTCGGCATTGAGTTCATGAAGCAGAACGCGCTTCTCAGTCCGATGACAGGTAAACCGTCCGATAACGCATACGGGACGCTTCTGTGCGTCCCCCTCTCGATCGTCATCGATGCGTTCTCTGCGGCCGGGAAGCACCGCGAGGTCGCCCAGGCATGGAAGGCACTCAAGGACCAGGGCCTCCAATTCGACTCGCACAACTGGAACCATCTCGTCATCGCGCTCGTCCGGGCGGGCGAACCCGTCCGGGCGTTCGACGTCGTTGAGAACGTTATCCTCAGGTACCAGCGCCAAAGTAGGCACCAGGCAACGCGCGAGCGCGACACGAACCCGGCGTCACCTCTTCTCCTCGACCTTCCGCCCCCTGAGGAAGGTGACCTGCCTCCGCCGCCGCCCGAGGCGCCCCTGCACTCCCCTGTGCGTCGGACGGGTGCTGCGGAGAAGTTGACGAGGCGCCTTCGGCACCAGGGGGGATCGCTGGAGGAGAAAGGAACTGAGGACTTCGCGCACCCGCTGCACCTGCTCCACACGATGTCGCCCGTATGGAATTTATGGCGGCCGCACGGCGCGACGCTGGTGCTACTCGGCCGAGTGCTCGATCATCTCAAGTCGGGGCGGCTGGTCCAGGCGGTGCGGCCCGGTGTTGACACGGACTTCGAGCAGGCCGCCGTGGATGCGGAGGAGATCAGACGGCGGACGGAGGCTGCGGGACGGTTGCTCGGCGAGGTCCATGATCAGTTCCCGGAGACGGTCCAGTTGGTACGCGAGTACGATATCATGCGGCAGACGGCCGGACGGACAAACCAAGCAGACGATGGTTCCTGATGTTTACACACAGCCAGATTACATTGCATACGGGCACGAAAGACACACTAATAACTCAAGCATCATGCGCAGCGTATCGAGCAGAAGGCATATGGGTTTCCCACGCCGTTCCCTCTTCGCATACCCCGCCGCGAGAGCGGCGCCGACGGTGGCGGCAAAAGAAGGGGAAGTAAGTACTGGGCTCTAAATTTACAATCGCTGGGTCTGCTGCACGGTCCGTGGGCTCCTCTCTCAAGCTTCATCGGACTCGTCTCCGGAGGCATCTGAGCCGTCGCGCCGCCTCTTGCGGCCTTGCTTGCTCGACCCGTTGCGGTTCCGCTTAGCGCGCGCACGATGATTAGCCTCACCTTTAGAGCGCTGCGGAGATGGATATGACGCACCAGCGGGAGTTTCTGGCCTTGGTTGCCCAACGCAATGGACAGGGCGGTAGTGTCTGTATGTCATGAGGTGTTGTCAGTATTCATACGGGGTGTGATTGTAGGATGTCGAATAGACGTCAGTTGGGAATGGGAACGAGACCTACCGGGTACGCCGGGAAAGCGCTTCGCGGAGAAGACGACGAAAGGTTCCGTGAAGGTCTGGGCGAGGACCGGTGACACATCTGTATGAACGGACAGCGCCCGAGGTTCAGGTGCGGGAGGGCTGTCAGTGTAAGAGTATGTCAGCGGAAGAGAAGATCCGTGCCCGCCATTAACCCCATTCATGATGGAAGAGCGGTAATCGGGTTATCTGGACCACTTACGCGCCGACGTTCATGAGGCGTAACCTAAGGCGGAAAGTGCCTACAATCAATCGTTCAATAAAGTTCAGCGATAACGAGACTAGGACCTATATGGAATTCGAAGATATCAAGACCCACCTTCGGTCCTGATGGACAAGTCTTGGAAGAGGAAAAAGATCCCGGGCTTACGGTGCTCGTCCAGAAGACGGCAAGCGTTCGACGCGAGCGGTCCGACTAACGTCCGGGTGTAGGTATGACGGGGCAAAGGCGGGATGGTCGACGGCGGTGTAGGTTCCTGGTATGAAGAACCCTGATGATATTGTGATTGAGTTTGCTGCTGGTGCTGCTGCTGAGCGTATGACGCAGACGCATACATCGACGAGTCGATCTGCTGTTGTGCGGTCGGGCTCGTCTGCACGGGCGTATACGGGGGCTCCTGCGAGTACCGCGCCTGCTGCGCATATGGCTCAGAGCCCCCGCCTGGAGCTCCGGGGGCGACGCTACCATAAGCCCCGTCTCGAGGATCAGCGTTTGCAGGCGGGTGTCCGGGTGGGGCGGAGGCGATGGTGTGGCCATCCATAGTGGGGTAGGCAGGCTGCGGAGGCCAGTTTCGGAAGTCGACACTACCCTGATCATCGCGGACTGGCGTTTGGATCTGCCAGTCCTGGCTAGTGGCACCCGCCGCGGCCTGGGCGGGCGCGCCGTACTCGGGTGCAGTAGAGTCAGCGTTTGCGGGAGACGTGTTGCGATTGACAGCATGGATAGACGGCAGTGCGGGTGGAGCATAAGACTGTGCGCGATCGACACTAGCGTTTGATGGAGGGTAACCCCATGAGGGCGCACTGGTATCCGGAGTAGGGGCATATGGGTGTACGGCTTGGAAAGAATTTGACTCGGGTAAGGGTGCGGGCTGAGCGGGGAAGGGATAGCCTTGCGTGGAGTAGGCAGCGTTTGACGGCTGTACATCGGGTGTTAATACGGTAGACGTATGCATAGATGCACCCCCTCGACGCGCTAATGGCACCAGAACCTTGACGACTTACCTGAGGATACTGAGTGGCGGTCGGCGTCGCAGCGGACCGCTCGGGGCTCTGCCGGCTGGAACGTTGATTGGAAGTGTTTGTAGTGACGGTGCCTCTGCGTTTGCCCTTAGGTGTATTTGCAGGGACGTACCGGTCGGCAGAGGTGGGATGAAGGACGAGGTTCATTTCATGTTTGCCATCAGAGGACCAAAGGTCGACTGTGACCAAGAAGAACGAACAGTCGATGTCACTGCCCCGGCCAGGAACGTGAGAAATGGGGGGAAGCCTCTAACAGGCTGCGACGCACTCAACATCCACAAGACTTCCGTCCTCCTTTCTTACGATCATTTTGGCAACAGCTGCGGGTGCCAGTGGTCGGCGATCCTTCGAGGAATGACTATTAACATGAGCGCGGGGTTAGGCGAAGAGGACGCGCTCACTTTGTCGCCGAAGCCGCACATTCGCGCTCTGATAGGATGTTGTACAACCTCCAGGGAATAGTGTCTATTTCGGAACAGCGCAGCATTTATTGAGTGCTGTCAGTGATCGCTGAGAAGGAGATACATGGAGCACTAACTTGCGTCCAGACCACTGGCCCCATGTTTCTGGGCCGTCGGAAGAGGAAGTCTGTCTGCCTGGGGCGGTGGAAGTGCTCCCGGACCGCGCGTTTGTCTTCTGAATCATCGCGCGTATGTACAGAGGGAAGAGAACGAGAGCAACAAGGGTCAGGAGTCGGAAGCAGGCGATCGGTGACACAGAGCGAGGGCTTGTTGTAAAGTAGCAGGCGGCTTGGGAACGTAAGGCGAGTCTTTCTCACGACAACTTTGAGGCGGAGACGAGGAAGTCAGGCAGGAGACGTAAGGGAAGCCGATTGTAAAGGTGGGAGACGTCGCCACTGCGCTGGAAGACGTCCAGTGCCGACGGTCTGGATAGCGTTACGAGAGTCGAACGAGATGTCGTACGGTCGCCGGAGTGCATGCACGATGGGGCCCCTTTGTCTTAAGCAGCTTAGAGAATTGCTCTTTGAGTACGAGTATCAGCGTGGGGCCGCAGGGGGTGGCAAGGACGACGGAGAGGACGAGTTCAGCTGCCCAGCGCCCGACCCGGCCACCTTTCCCGCCAGGCGCTCTCTCCCAGGCATTCTTCGGATGTGTCACGCCCCGCACACTCGCTGAAGCCATCTCGTAGTCTTAGCCCATCGCCACCGCATGTCGTCCAGAAACGACCGTAGCTCGTTCAGACAGGTTGCAATGTTGCATTTGAAGTGAATACACTGATCCGGCATCTATCCCACACGACGAGTGCCGATGAACCGGTATGCCAGTTTGAATGCCTCCGAAGTCTTGGAACGAGGTGAACCGACATCACCCAAATATGCTCTCTCGAATTTAATTCGCGTGCGTGGCTGCGTCTGCAAAACAAAATCGACACCGATGATGGGTTCAACCTCCTCCGTCCCCATTAGGGATATGCGTAAACCTATGCGTCCGCCGCTCGCTGGGTATTGAGTACATGCTACGCGTCTAGCTACACTTCATGATTCCCACGGTAGTCACAGCACGGCAGGGCGCGTGCTCGAAGATAATCATCACTCCTCGACTCCTCGGGCTGTCCGGCCTTGGTGACTTGTGTCTTTCTCCTTGCTGCGCTGTCTACCTCGAGTCCTTTTCTTCAGCCCCCTGCTAATCGCAATGGATCAGGCTGTTGCTCGGAGAACGCTGCAAGAGCTCATCAAGCGAGAAGATCTTGACAATAAGAAGTGCATAGATTGCGCCAACCCTAATCCCCAATGGGCCTCCTTGAGGTGATATCCTACCCGTCCGTGCAGCGACGACGGGTTCCGTGAACTGTTCCTGTAGCTTTGCCGTTTTTCTGTGTCTACAATGTGCCGGCGTTCACAGAGGCTTTGGGGTCCATGTTAGGTGCGTTACATTATATCTGCACACTAGGTACAACCCTACGAACTACCTCTGTACGCAGTTTCGTGCGATCAGTCTCAATGGATACCTGGCAAGAAGAGCAGGTGAAGAGAATGCAGGTGAGTCACCCGCATTCATGCATATCATCGCGTGCGGACCGAGCTGCACCACAGATAGGCGGCAACGCCCCCTTCCGCGAATTCATGAGATCATACAACCCTCAAACAAGCGGTTGGAAGGAAGGAATCAGCCCCTACGACACCTATCACAGCTGGGCTGCTTCACAATACAAAGAGAAGGTGCGTGACCATCACCGACCCCGCGCCCATCCTCGGCACTGAATTTTGACATCTACCATCAGCTCGACGCTGCATTAGCAGGTCGAGACTTCTCCCCATCGGCCCCACCAGAAGGTTTTGGTTCACCCAGCAGTCCTACCAGCCCGCCCAACCGGCCATCGTCTGCCCAAGGGCTCCGCAAGGCGCGCGCATCCGCGCGTTCGAGCACGGGACGATCGCTTCGCAGCGACTCGGCGTCCCCGGCCTCGTTCTCGAACTCGCCCTTGCCCAGCCCTAGTCCCGGGGGCGCGAGCACGCCCGGCTCGTATGCGGACCAGAAAGGACAGAACGAGGCGTTCTTCGCGACGCTGGGCCAGGCGAACGCATCCCGACCGGCGGATCTGCCGCCTTCTCAGGGAGGGCGGTACCAAGGATTCGGGAACACACCCACGCCCCCGCCTGGCTCCTCCTCGCATCCGTCGTTCGCACTCTCGTCTGCGAACGCGCCGTCGCTTACGGACCTGCAGGAGAACCCCGTCGCGGCGCTGAGTAAGGGCTGGTCGTTGTTGTCAGCGGCCGTCGCGGGCGCCTCACGGGCGGTCGCGGAGAACGTCATTCAGCCGGGCGTGGAAAAGGTTCTGGACCCGACGTTCCAGGCGACCGTGAAAGGGTACGCGGCCGAGGCTGGAAAGCGTGCCGGTGAGGTGGGTCGGACTGCGAACCTGTGGACAAAGACGACATTAGGTGTGGACGTGGCAGACTCGGTGCATGGCGTGGTGGGTACCGCGAGGGACCGCCTGGGAGGCGGGCCTCAGAGTCGGGGATATGGGGCGCTGGGTATGGACCACGAGGAGGAGAGCTCGGCCCTATATCATGATGACGAGGATGAGTTCTTCGACTCGTTCGACAACACTTCGGCTCAACAAGGCCCAGCGATACCCTCGAAGTCAAACGGTGCACAGGCTTCGACGACCATACACCGCACTGCTGCTAAGAAGACCGACGACTGGGACGATTGGAAGGACTTCTGAGGGCTCGGAGGTGGTTCTTGCATCGGTACGATGCGCGTACGGATGCACACGGTTATTTATTACGGGAACTTCTTTGGGGTACTCTACTCTATCTGTCGAGCGTTGGGCTGTCGTGTAGCTGTATACCGATGCAACACGACCCACATTTCGCACTCACTGTGAGTTGTAGCGGTGCTTGGCGGTGTAGTTGCTGAGCGAGTGCACCGATCGGGGTGTACAAACGCCCATATCGGCAATATGCGCACCGCCACACCGCCACGGGGTCTCGTCGACTGCCGCGGACCTCGTCCGTCAGCGGGCGTCTGCAGCCTCCTTCGTACTTCGATGAGCCCCTACATAAGGCCTCGAGCAACGCACTACCACAGCAAACTTGCTGACACCTCATCTCTTGGCATGTCTACCTTCGAATCACTACCAGTCGAGTTAGTCGCAGATATCCTTGGGGAGCTTGACATAGCGACCTTGATCACCGTCTCATCCCTTTCTCGCCGCCTGCGCGCTATAGCGTCCGATTCTTCTTTGAACCCATGGCGCCGGCCCATCCTGCGCACTATGTGCAATTCAAACGGAGATGGAGAGTACGAGCCAAAACTGAGGCACCTGAGCGTCAGGCATACTGTGCCGCGGCAAAACTGGGTTGAAATCCTGACCTTGGGCAAGGCGGAGTACATCCTCTATGAGATGACCCTTCCGAACCTCAAGGAGACGGAATGGGAAGAGTGCTTCCGAAGGCGTTTCCTGCCCGGATGGATCAAGTGGAAGACTTCGACGTGGAAGGCCGCGTACTTGAAGTGCGTGATCTTTGGCGTCCGTTCGTCACGAGGCTACTGAACATGCGCCCTTCTTATCGTTCTATCTTTCCATCGCAGGATCCTGCACCGAGTCTGGCACCGAAGCCACTCGTCGTGCACTGCTGACGAGGCTTGGACAAAGTGAGTTGCCTCCTCTCTTGAAAAGATAATGATCTACTTTGATTGCTGAACAAGACCTTCCCCTATTTAGATATATTCTGCTCAACCGTAATGGGTCTGCAAACCTTCTGGACGCTTCTTCTCGCAACCATAGTCCGATGAATACCTTCCACGAAATCAAGTCAGTACCCGAGCACATGCACGGCGTCATCTAACATTCTGTTTTGACATACCTGGATGAATTAGGCTGCAAAACAATGTCGCACATTTGCCCACGCACGTTCGAGTATGTATCCGTTCATTGTTCCCCGCAGCTCTCGCCGGACGATAGGATCTGACTGATTCGCGGCTTCGACCCCTATCCCTATCAGCTGGTCGTAGAGTTCAGGGACGTGCGAATCATTGCCCTCGGTGTCCTGAGCAAGCCGCGTTCGTACTTCTCGATCAATCAGAACGCGCGACTGCTTCTTCATCCTCCGGGCATGACCAAGGGAGACGACGAGGTTGCATCGGCGCAAGCGGGACACGTCTCCGAAGGGAGCGATGAGTCCTTCCCACCAGTCCTGGAGACTCCCCTTCCTATCAGGGTCGCACATCGTATGGGCCTGGCTCTTGCTGGTACACGTCGGATTGTTGACATGGGCGCTCTTGTGCAGCGATCAATGTGAAGGACGTCTACCGTCCGTTGACGCATCCCCTGCCTTCCCCTTGCCATGCGAACTATCCCTTCTACACCTTCGGTGGAGAGGATAAGCGATGGCTCGGAAATGAAGAAATGGAGGAAGGAGGTCGCCAGTGGATCGGGCCCATGATGTAAGAGTACGGCACCTGTGGCGTGTAGCAAGTATGACTGATCCATCTCCTGAAGGCTTACCGCGCAGTTGATCAATCTACAGACGAAGCAGCATCTCGAAGATGGGCCTCCTCTTCAGGATCTTGATCTCGTCGTCGGCCCTGGGAGAACGCAGTTCTCGTCTTTGTCATGGGCAGACTTGACAGCAATCGCTCCTTGGCTCGAACTGACGGCCAAGATCAATGGGCAGGGCCTTGGTCACTGAAATGATCGGACTCGCATTCCTATCCCAACCCTTCTAGGGGTTATCGGGCGTCATTGTCCCTGCGTGTGTATGAGTATGTACGATGTGTCGTCACGCTTGCTTGTTGTCGGGTCGGATTTTGTAGCATGATGTTGACGGTTTCGAAGGACTGGCTGTCAGAATTCGCACCCTGTAACAATCCTGTCTCCAATCTGGTAACGAGAGCTTCTCCAAAATCCGGACTGCTTCCGTCCGTACCCGGTGTGTACTATGTTCCGTCCCTTGTTCCCTATATATCTCTGTTTGAACTATGCGTCCACCTTATCCAGGGATATCGAACCACCTATCCGCTTCCAGAGGCCGACTTGACTCCGACATCCTTCAAACCCCGTCAGGTGTAACTTCTTCCCTTCCTTACACGCGGGAGCAGAATCCTCCGCGACGTGTGTGCGAAGTCGAAGCCCTTTGGGCGGGGGGCACGCACCCCTGTCCCTGAGCGAGCACCGCACTCCCTCGATCCACGACGTCGCGCTCTGTTCCCGTCTGACGTCTCCCGCCGGCTGCGACGATAGAACAGGCAAGTCCTCCTGCTTGCCACGGCTGTGGGAGCCCTCTCACATCCCGGGGAACGCGGCGCACAGAGACGCCAGCGACTCACGTCCGTTGTTCCTTGTTTGCGTCTTCTCCTTGGAGGACATTGAGTTGAGGCCGAGGTAAGGAACGAAGACTGAATACTCGGATGTGTCGGTGGCTGTAGGAATTGTGCGCCTTGGGTGGGTAGCCGCGCGTCGGTGTTTGGGTTGCCAGAGACAGCCTCGGAGTGTCGGCGGTGCGTGTGATATGCGGATTCCTCATATCCATACGACCTAATGACTAAGAGACGCTATAGAAGGTTCCATTCGACGCGACCGCTGTGGCGGCATGCGGAGGGATTCGCTCCAGCGGCCCGCATCCGCGGGGCGATCATACCGAGGTGGTTGGAGGGCAGTGTCTGGTCGAACGCGCAGTGGAGAAGCATAGTCGGGGGTCCTAAGTGATCGAAATAGGTGGGTCAGGTCGAAGATGTGGCACCCAGTTGCCGCAGTTGAGAGCAAAGTTCCGGGGGCGGGAGATGGGCGCCAAACCTTCTCCCCACTCAAGGGTGTTCTCGCCGTCCCCCCGCACCGCACCGCCGCTGCTCTTCTTCCGGGGTGCACCCCCGGTATACCGAGGCGGGTCCGTCGGAGGCAAGGAAGGTGGCGATGCCGGAGCTCATGTCGACGCCGAGACGAGATTTTCGTCGTATAGCCCCTGTATCGCGCGGTCGTTAAGTCGTACAGTATTGTGTTGCACGTTACATCCGAAGGCTTGTTGACGGAGCACAATAGAAAGTCGGTAAGCTGAGGGATAATGGTATAGTGCTCTCCCATGTGAGCGTCTATTGGGTTTCACTGGTCTTGTTAGGACTCGCGCCGATGGTTCCGAAGCGGCAGGACAACCACTGTCACGTCCATCGCCTTGCAGCGGAGCCTGGCTAGGAGTCCTTGGAAAGCCCAATTACCCTGTTGACCGCTACCTTGCAAGTTCTATCGTTCGTGCCGTTTCTGGAAAGAGGGACTGATATTCATGTAAAGTCATTGGTAAAGGCGGGCCACCGCAGAGTCTAGCCGAGGTCTGTGCCATGCGTTGATTGTCCTATCGGGGAACACCATCACTGTCCGATTGTAGGGCCACCCTACGCTACCACGAGGCTACGGCCCAGAGGCGTTAATTGTCTCCCGGTGCCCGCGAAGGTCAGTCGCATCACTGTATGCACGATGAACGAGTCGTCATGTAAGTGCGGCGTATGTTACCGAGGGCCACTTGAGGGCCACCCGTTTATGTATCCTCCCATCCCTTTGATATCTAATTGTTACCTTACAGGACTTCTAGTCGAACATCTTGATGTCTAGACCAGAGGCCGTATTCTACGGGTCGGCCCCACAATCGCTGACATGGCCATGGTACGGAGAGGCCAATGTCATGCGCCGAGAACCTGAGACATGGAGATCGACTCTCCGCCGATCTGTGCCTTGTACGGCTCGGCACTCAAAGACTCTCCGCTTTGCGCCATGTATAAAGCATTGGCGAAGTGCTGCGCCCCGCCTCCATTTCTGCCCCAACAAAGGCTTGCTTTGGGCCACTGGCTGTGCCTCGACCCTTTTTCCTCCCGGCCTATTTAAACCCTCATCGGCCACGCCGGTCGTGGCTCTTGACGTTCCTCCTTCTGCCACGGTCCATACGACTCTACGACTGGTCTCTGTCACGACACACAAACGACCACCCCGCGACGCTCAGTTCGACGCTTTACATTTACGACTAAACACACATGGAGCAATCGCACGACGCATTTCAGCCGCCGACGGGCTGGTCCGAACGCGAACCGGGAGCACAGACAGAACCCGCGGGGGTTAGGGTGATGATAGTGAAGGAGAGAGTTTCCAAGGGACCCGTGAGTCTCACCTAGGATAGCGGTGTCAACTGGTCGTAACCACATCTTCTCGCAGGCGAAGCCCAAGATCCATAGATGTGAGATATGTCTGAGTGTCGGAAACGACACTGCGTTCAGCCGTAAACCAGACTTGACCCGTCACGTAGTTGTCGTGCATAACAAGAAGAAGTGAGTAGCTATCAACCACCGAGCGTGTCCCTCTGCTGAACCGCCTTCCCGTAGGCCTTACCCTTGTACCTGGAAAGGCTGTGGCACGTGGTTCTCCAGCACATCGGCGCTGAAGAATCACCGGAGTGTACAGTGAGCATTTATGCTAACCCCCGTCCTCAACAGCTGCGCTCACGCAAAGTATAGCACACACGAGAAGTTGTGGAAGTGCCCGATATGTTCCTTGAGATTCAGCGAGCAGTCCTCCTGCGGCCGTCACCAGAAGGAAAAGCACCGTGGCTTAACACACTTTTGCCCCTTCTGCGACAAGACGTACGAGAAGCTAAGCGCTCAGGAGTGATACATGTACTGACAATGGATTGCTGTAGGGTCATACGCACCAACGACTTCGCTAGGCACTTACAATCCTGCCACAATGTCAAGAAGAGCGCGGAGGAAAGGAGTATGTATAAGCTGCACCATTCTACCCCTCTGGAAATTATGGCGACAATGCCCCAGTTCACCCTCCCCGGTATGAATGGACTGGAGATGAGGCGCAAGGTGCTCGACGCCCAGGAATCGGCCCCCCCTAGGACGCGCGTGAAGCACGCCGTTGATGTCTCTATCCAGGAGTCAGAACGTAAGTGACTACCCAGTTTCCACTGTCTGAATCATTGTTGACTTCGCGTTGCACAGTCATCTCCCTCTCTCCGGGCCCCCCGATCATGAGTGGTTACGAGACGACGCCGTCTTCCACTACGGGCTTCAGCGTCAGCCCTTCTCCATCTTATACGGACATTAGCGATGACGGCTATGCGTCCCAGAGTGGCTACAATAACGGTACGTTGCTTAAGTTGTTCATATGGTTGAGCCAGCTGATCAATGTCGCCCCAAGCACTTGAAATCGACTTTGGTTCTGGTGGGCAAATGCTGTATGCCAACATGCAACCTATCAGCCGGACATCGTCTACCACGAGCCTGTTGAGCGATGGTCGCCTACAAGTTCCCAGCCGTGCAAGCTCTGCCTCTAGCTTTTCCACTGGGGGGTATGCGTATGGGTTCACCGCGTCACTTGCACCGTCAGAGGAAATGTGTAAGTGCTAGTCCCTTTCACCGGCGCGAAATATGCTGATGTGTGATTCGTCTAGCATTCGTCTTTACACCCGACACGCAAGTAACCGGTGGATCGTCGTCCTATGCCCGTGCCGCTGGTGGTCAGATGCACTACGATGTACAGACTACCAACGGGTCTTACGTCTACAATCCTCAGGCTGCGTTCGGGGTCGGCGGGGTTTCTACTCAGAACCAGACCAGGTACTACTACATTGCGCGCCAACCCGAGGAAGTCACCAGCATATCGCACACGCGCCGCGGCATGGCGCATCTCTCCGCGCAGCAGTGGGGCTCGCAAGGATCCCTGAACTAGGGATCCTCGGACTGCTCCATTTGTATCTCTTATTCTTATTCAGGTTGTACGGTTATACTTCGGATTCGCGCGATTGATCTCGCACTTCTGTTGTGTTGTGTTAGCCATAGGTAGTACTAATAGCTCGCCACTCTGTATCGTTGTTCAACCGCTGTATTTCTATCCTGTTCTTCGCAATGTATACGTTGGTGTTTTCGACGCCACGCTGGCCACTAGTATCCGATTTGAGTTCTGGACATGGACTCCCTGCAGTACTAGTGATCTTGGAAGGTTAGACGACGAGCGGAGGCGGGGAGTCGTTTGGCGCGGATGGAAGCACGTGCAGGCCAAACAAGGGACAACACGGTATTGTGGCTGATCGGGGACTTGTTTGGGTCAAGCCTGTGTCCTTTGCCTGCACTCGTCTCTGCGCTCGTTTGTCTTGCCTTCCCTCCCCCTCGTTCCCGCTTCCAAAACGCTCTGTCTCAGTGCGCGACATCTGCCTTGTTCTCGAGCTTGGCTTGCCGCTAAGCCTCTTGTCGCTCTCCGTTTCAAAATGCTAGCTTCTCCACTTCTCCCTTCTCCTCGGTTCGCGGAGGAATCCTCTTACCGGCCGGCAAAGGATCTGGACGCGTTCAACAAGCTCCTGCCACCACCTATTGAATTCGTCGAAGGATCTTCGTCTGGCGTGCTTGCGGTTGGAGAGGGCAAATACCAGCCCATTAACGAGAGTCCGAAAAAGACGGTGGCAGATGTAAGTGTGACCTTCTTGACGCGTCATACCACCCTTCACGCGTTTGTATAGTCCCATGAGTTCAAGAAGGTCCAGCAAACTGCTTCTACGAAGGCTACAAAACCCACGTCGGAATCTCCCAACCACCATAAATTCATTTACACCGGTCCGATCGAGACAAGCTGGCCGAATGTCAGCAAACCCGTTGGATGTGGTCTCGGTAACACAGGGAACACTTGTTTTCTCAACAGTGCTCTGCAATGTTTGCTGCACACTCCTCCGCTTTTGCACATCCTGTCGAAGCACCCAGAATCTTGTGGGTAGCACCGGTAGCCACCCTCGCTGTCCAGTCCTCATCTCATGTGTCGTCATAGGCCACAGCCCAAAATCGAATAACGCGTCTTGTATGATATGCGTATTACGCCAAGTCATGCAGGATGTGTTCACCAAGCCACACTCAACCATACCATACCCCGTCATTACAAAATTGCATGGTATGTCGCATGCTCTCCAACGACGGGCTATCCTCAAGTCTATGTACAGTCATTGCGAAGCACATGCGGAGGGGCAGGCAAGAAGACTCGCACGAGTTCCTTCGGTATTTCGTGGACGCGCTGCAACGATCTGCTCTTGCTGGGGCTCCACCGTGAGTATAACCTTGTCCACAGCCCTCGAGGCGCGCTGAACATCGCCACAGGAAAGTCGATCCGAAGTTGGCGGAGAAGACCTGGGTGTACAAGATCTTCGGTGGCCTCCTGCGCTCCAGAGTGTCGTGTCTGTCTTGTGGCTACAACAGCGACACTTTCGATCGCATGCTAGACCTCAGCGTTGACATCGCTGGTGTAGCGTCACTGCGAGATGCACTTCGTAAATTCGTCGCGGTGGACCACTTGCGCGGTGCGGACAAGTATAAATGCGAGAAGTATGTGTTGATGCGCTCTGAGGAGAGATGGTTTGTTGACGAGTGTGCTGGCTTCATCAGGTGCAAGAAGCCGGTTAACGCGGACAAGCAGTTCACGATACATGAGGCGCCTGCCGTACTCACTGTCCATTTGAAACGATTCTCTCCTATGGGGCGCAAAATCGCGATCCCAATCCGGTACGACGAGCGTCTTTCTCTGGAGCCATTCATGAGCGAGGGGTCGTTTGGGCCCAACTACACGCTTTACGGCGTCATCTCGCATGCAGGTAATGGTCCAAATTCGGGACACTACTACGCGCACGTCAAGGGCGCGAATGGCAGGTGGCACGAGATGAACGACGATTACGTCGCGCCACTGAGCGGCGTCCCCACTAGCCTGAAGAACGCATACATCCTGTTCTACATCCTCGAGAAGGGTCAGGCTCTCGAGGCCGCACTTGCCCCACGCGCCGTTACTCCTTCACGGCCAACCCCTCCAACGTCGAAGATTGCAGGAATGAAAAAGCGCAAGGTCCCAGATAGCGAGACTGAGGACGGACGGTCGTCTTCGGCGAAGACGCCGAAGTTTATCGGCCCGCTACTCCCTTCCGAGCAAACGGCTTCTCCCATGAAGGATGCGGGGAAAGCTGACCCTCAGGCGGAGACGCTCAAGAAGAAGATTGCTGCGGCTCAGTGCCAGAGCGGGAAGGGTGCACTCCAGAGCTTGGCGGCGTACGGCGACGAGGACGAGGACGATGACGTCGGCGAGAAGGTTTCTCAGGAGGACGACTCCGCTGAGTCTCCTACTGCTAAGGCTCCGTCAGCCCCTCCCGCTTCGATCACTGCCACCGCTCCAGTTCAACCTCGTACTGAACCCGCTGAGTCCCCCACCTCCCCCGCCGCTGGTGGCATTCCACCAGATTCCTTCTATGGTACCTCCACGCCAAAGACCACCGACAGGAAGCGGAAGACGCCCGACGGGGAAGAGGATGATGCATCATACAAGGCGTGGGCCCGGACGCCCATCACGCCTTCCTCGTCGCACAAGGGGCGGCGTCACTCTTCAACACCCCGCATTTCCGCTACCAATCCTTACACCCAGCTGAAGGGTGGCAATAACCTTCACGCGACTCGTGGCTCCCAGTTGTCATCTCCCGGCCCTGATCGCCGCAAACCCCGGCACGGGCCCAAGCAGCGGCTGATCATGTAGAGATATAGACGTGACGGACTCCCCTGTTGTGTTTTCGCTCTCGATTCCGATTTCTTGCTGTATTGCACTCCCATTGACCACTGCACCATCCTACATATATCACCCACGTGTACGCTGACCCATACCCTGTCTGCCCTCACGTTCCCTTATCCCCATCCCCTGCACTCTGGTGTAGTAGATACAGACTTGTTGCACTGCATACAACAACACCCACCCATGCTTCCCTCAATCGACCTGTAGGTACAGAAAGATGAGAGTCAGGTGTCGGACGTTCGAGCCACCATTCACATCGAATACTCATGAATTATGATCAATATGTACCATACACCCGTGCTATCATAACTTCGCCCTCGCCTGCTGCTCCGGTACCGGAATCGCAACCTGCTCAGTCTGCGCCTGGCCCTCACGCCCGTCCTCCCACCACACGACCGTCACCGTGATGTCGTCGCGGAACCGGCGCGAGTATGGCGCGGGGATGCTCGCGAGCTTCCGCAGATGCTCGACGTCCCCGCCCCCGAGCGCATTTCGGATCAGGTGCGCACTGAGGTTGTCATCCTCGAACGCCCACGCTCCCTGCTTTTCTGCGGACTGCCTGCCCCGCCCGGCCTTGTCCTTGCCGTCGACCCCGGCGGCGCCCGTGGACGTGCGCACGAGCCCAGGCAGCGCGCTCTTGGGGACGGTGCCGCGGACGCCGGAGAGGTGCCCGCCGACGAGAGCTACGACCTCCTCATTTGAGAGCTCGTCCCACAGGCCGTCGGTCGCCAGTACGACGAAGCGGAGCGCGGACTTGGGCGCGGGCGTGCCTTGCAGCGGGAGCGGGAGGAAGGACAGCGGGCGGTGGGTCACGACGGGCGTCGCGGTGACGTAAGGTGGGGTCTTGAACAACTGTGGCGGAGGACGGAGGGCGTCGCCTTTGGGTTCAAGGAAGGCTTTGCTTAGTCTAGGTCAAGGCGAGGGTCAGCGGCGAGGATAAGGAGGAGTAGATGCGGGAAAGGGTACTGACACTTCCTGGACCTCTCGAGGCCACTTGTAACGAGCATCGCCGAACGCACGAGTGGGCTCTAAGCTACCTAGTACGCGGCCGTTGCGGATGACGTCCTGAGCCTCGCTGGGTGGGTGCTCGGATTGCATCCTGAACATCTTATCAGCACATACAATTAGAGGTGGACAGTGACTTTCATACCGCTTCAGCTCGTTGGGGTTCCGCCCTGTCTGGTCCTCCGTGAGGGCCTCAACGCGCCACACTCCCTGTCCGTCCGAAGTCTCCTCGTAGATACCGGCAACGGCACGGCTATCGCCTGTGCATGCAACGTAGAGGTTGCGGTTCGATGTATCGAACATCGCCAAAAGCGCGCAACTACCTGCAGCAGAATGTTTGTCAACACCATGCAATATTTCGGCGCGTGGTAGTACCCTACCTGACCGAGCCGTCTCTATAGCAGATGTCGCCAAGGGGTGCCCACTCAGGTCTGGAATGAGCTTCTTCTTAAGGGTCTCCTGATCCACGGCATGGTACAAGATCTCTAAAGGGGCATTGACGATCTGGGCGTCGAGCTTTGTAAACGCATCCGCGATGGCACGCGACACATCGGAAGGGTTCGCGTCATACGGGGTAGAGGAAGCGGACCAGATGAGCGATTTCGCCTTCTGGAGCAGACCTGCATCCTTCAGATTCGCCTTGGGGTCGTTTACGCGTGTGGCGAGCTCCATAGCGACGGTGGGAATCAGTACCTTTGCAAGCACGCGAGAAGTATGGTAACCCGAATGTCCGTCCATGATAGCATAGAAGAGGTAGTCCCCTGGCGGCGAGAGGTCAGACGCATCCCGCTCGATGAGCAGGTTCCCGTTCGCGTCCTCTATGGGGTCATTTGACGCAAAATGCGCGGTCGTGGACTTCCAGACAATGCCCCCGTGGCGCGTCGCGCTCTTGGACGTCGCGTTCTGACGAATGCGGGCGTCGACTTCGTCCTTGCTGAGGAGAGGGATGGTACGCGTGACCATCTGGCGTTTTCCGTCTGGGCCTGCTTCCCGCACGGAGAGGTCAAAAGTTTCAGAGGTCGGTTTCCGGTAATCACGATAATAGATATATGCGGGAGTACCGACTAGGACGGTGGTACCCAGGAGAGGTTTCCAGGCGCGCCTGAGCATGGAGTGCGTTTGACGGGCAGCAGGCGCGGTGGGTATGTCCGAGCAAAGGAGAATCCAGCCGTCTAAAAAGTCGACTTATGCAGAAATTCGGTTGGACAGAGGGCTCGCGGGGACATTGAACGTAAAGACGTACCAAGTTGTAGTGCACTCGTACACTCAATTCATACGTGTATGCGCACCAGTATCGGCTCTGCACTTAATCCTGAGACGTCAGGCTTGTTCTTTGGCCAGGATTTATACTGTTGAACAGGACTTCTGGGGGAGACGGCACAGGAGGGAGGACAAGCCGAGTCGGCCCCGCAGCCGCTCCGGCCACTGGCACGCCAAGGTCTACGCGGACAATGCCGAACAAGCGCGACGCGTCGCGTCCTCGCAAGCGCTTATGCTAGCGCGACGACTCAGACCTGGAAGGTCTGCGGCTCTGCATTGGAGAAGTGCACGGAGGAACATTCAGACCAATCACAGTATGTTTCTCGATCCCGGCAAGTTACTCGTTCCAGCTACAGTCATACACGGGTCCTTGGGACAGTCAAGTGTTGTCGCTCATCCCAAACCATCCCCTACCTGTGCAGCCCATATCGGACAATGCCATTATGTATGGTACACAACAAGGCACTGCACGCCTAAGTTTCATGGTAATCCAACTATGTGTGAGAGGGATCGGGGACAATCATCCCAAATTTCTCTTATCGCACGTCCCTCGGTCCTCGGGACAGCGCTTAATTCCCTCGTGTGGACATCTAAACGCCAAATTGCTTGAGCGCAAGAACTACCCTTCCACACTGTGTCGATGACTATCAGGGCTCAGTGTCAAAATCTCACCATATAAAGTTGCTGAGAGAAGGAGATATATGTCGCCTTGTTGTACACCAGAAATGGGGCACGCCCATGGGCACGGTGAGTATAGATTTGGGCGGGAACCAGTCCCAGATTTGGTTTTCGTGTAAATCTTGTACAGAAACTGGGCTGGTGACTTCACTTCTGGGTCGCCTCTGATGAAATTTGAGGAGAGGTGAGCTGTAAGAAGTCTATATAGATATATACAAAAACCTGAGGCAGTAGGATAGAGGGAGGGTCAGAAAACGCGCAGTGTCCCGAGGACCCATGGTGTCCCGAGGACCCGTGTATGACTGTACTTAGTAAACTGATACAGACATCGAGTAGGGTCCCAGACTCTCAGGTTATCGCCCAAGTCAGGGGTGAGATCTTGTCCTTGAGAACCGGCGCCGTGAATTCGACTACGGAAGTTTGACCACCATGAAGGTGGACGACTCGCCGCACAGCCTATATCCCTAAATGATAATTCCTGCACCTCTAAGTGGCATTGACACATAGACACATGAAGCTGACTCCCACGACAACTGCGATGTAGGCCGTGTCGGCGAAGGCGCAGCAAGCTGCATAACAAGCTTTCTGGGCGGTCTCTCTTCAGAACAAGGGAATCTGGGATCTCGGGAGGGGTGAGGCTAGCAATCTACCCATTCTGCGGCTTTTTCCTTCATGGGTAACGGGGCTTGCTCGCAGGTGGATGCACATGGCGCAGTTATGCGCAGTCCGTAGACATTCCGTAATGATGCGGGCACCGCGAACGAACCCAGACTCGATGAGAGTGGCTAGAATCACTGCATGATGTCACTTACGAATCATAGCTTGCGTCCTAGGGCATACTTCGTGGTCACCTGCAAGTGTCAACTCTATCCATTCGCTACGCACTGGATGGTTACGCCGGTAGTCGGACAGTGGTCACTAAATTGAGCAATTCTGGTCTAGGCTCGTAGGACATGACGAGGAAATGGGTATGTCACAGCTAGCCCAGGAGGACCTCGTGCACTCCGGAACTTGAATAAGAAGAGCACACTCTCGGCAAGGGCGTGACACCGCCGTTCGCGCCCGTCCGGGACCGCTATACATAGTACGTGAGTGAACAATTACATCAATGCATAAGGTATCTTGAAAGAATGCTAACGAGGATGCCAAAGAGAGTAGGTCGACACACGACATGACTAGGCTCCTGCCCAGTCCGAGGAACGCCCCCGACCGAACAGCCATTCAGCCGCAATCGAGACCTTCGAACGTGAACGCAACCGCCGCCATCATAACCGCCGCATCCGCCCGTACTAGAGTTACCAACTCGCTGCGCCCGACTGTCCATCCCTGGACAATGGCGAGCGATCCGCCGTTCATGACCGTGCGTCGTCGTACTCAGGTGGCCGCTCCACCTCGCCTTCTCCCCCATATGGCCTAGGGGCCCCGTGCGCCTCCGTAAACTCAGGCGCGAGCAGCTCGCCATCCCGGAACCGGATCCCCGAGTCCTGGTGCTGCACGGCTTCCTCTTCAGGCTCCTCGAGCACTGGAGGCGGCGCAGGCCCTTTCCGGTCCGGCCTCAACCTAGCCACCCCCGCAGAAGAGGGATCGAACCCAGAGCCAGTGTCGGGCCCGGGCTGAGAACCCGAAGCGGGCCCTGTTTGAGAGGACGGGCCCGTACGGATGGGTTGCCCGAGACGCTGTTGAGCGGCTAGCTCAGCGGCATATAAGCGCCCGGCGACTTGGGAGGCAGAGTCGGATGGGGCGAGAGTGGATTCTGCGTATGGCGCGTTTGGAGGGACCTGGAGGGGGCTCGTGGAGCGCCAGAGGTCGCCAGACATGAAAGGTGCTGAGGAGTCCATGTCCGTTTTGGGTTCGTCCACGAGGTCGTCGACGAGATCTGAATGAGCGTTCCAGCGGATGTCAGCGTCTGGGTCTGGTCACGTCCAGGATGTATGCATACCTTTTCCGCCTTTCCGCCTGCGACCAAGCGTCGCACGATGTCTGAAGTAGCGGACATAGAGGAATATGGCGGCCGTCACCAGCAAGAGGCCCCCTACACCTCCTACCACTCCACCCACGATAGGTCCGACGTTACTCTTAGAAGAGCCTGCGCTCGGCGCAGACGTCGGACTGGAAGTCCCAGAGGTCGTCGCCGTAGTAGAGATGGACGACGCAGGCGGTGTCGTCTCGACAACCTTGATGTAGTCAAGCAAGTACGGCGCAGCCGAGCTCGCGATTGTGACGTTGATGACCAGGACATGGGCACTATCGGCCAGGGTCCCGGAGTCGAAGAAAAGCTGCCCGTCCGCCTCGTTGACCCGTGTGTCCGGAACCTGGGTTGAAGAGAACGGGGTCACGTTCCCTCCGTCCAATGCGTACAGCGAGACGACTGTTGCGCCAGAGACCGTCGGCACTGCGATCGAGCCATATACCTGTACACTCGTGCCTGCGCAAGCAGCAGTAGAGAAACGTATCAATCGTACGTCAGCTCGGATGTGATTAGTACCACAGCAACACACAATCACTGCAGTATGCTGGGAAGACAGGATAAGTGAACGTACCATGGAATCGATAGACCGCTCCGCCCGAACCTTCCACCTTCGTCAGAGTCTGCGCGAAAATCGCACCGTTGTTCGACGTTTGTACCAATGTCCATTGCGAGCTCCCATACGAGTCGTATTCGATGGCCGTCGTGTTTGCGCTGTCCACGTTCACGGTGGTCATCCTAGCCCACCGGTGTCGGTAGAGCTCCGCCAGTCGTTCAAACGACGACGGTAGCGGTGTGAAGGACTGATCATGAATTTGCAATATCCGTTGTGCATAACATCGCTCCGCTAGACTCTAGTGCCCTGACGGTGAGGTCCCGGAGCAGCCGTCGATGGCAGCGCCCATCAACGTGTCGACACTCGCGATGCGCTCCCCGGCGCTCAAGTGAGACATACCCGGACGCGCGCTTGTGAACTGGGGCACGATTGTCAAGCCGCATGATGCAAGCGTGAATACGAATAGCAAATAAACGAATGTGCTAATAAGTACTGCACTAGACGGACTACGAAGCCTTTGTACTGTACCGTCAAAATCATTACACCTTGATGTATGCTATAAGCAACGCGAGCCGCCGCCCAGCGGTGGACTTCAATCTCCCATAGTAAATTGGCCTTTCCTAATCTCGATCCCCGGCCTCTTGTATGACACCGCCTCAGCTCGCCGTATACTCTGGTGGTACATCCGAGATGTCGTTTGCATCTAGGACGTTCGACGACGAAGACCCGCCTGCAACGGGCTGCGGCCGACCGTTTTCATCGAAGCGGACGCCTGAGTCAGCATGATACGTTGCCTGTTGCGGCACGGAGAGCAGGCCGGCCTCGGCAGCCTTGCTTCTCCCAGGCTGATTGGGGCTGTTCGTCTGCCGCTCTGGGTTGGTGACGACGAACAAGGACGGCGGATGCGATGGCCCTGAGACAGACGAGCTGCCAGCGCCATACTCGCTGATGGGTGCCTCAGAGGGTGCGTATGGAGCCTGCTGTGAATGGTGCCCTGAGTGTCCCGAGTGTGCGGACGACGCGGTGTAGGCAGACTGAGGCGGAAGTGCCGCACTATATGCGGATCCCGGACCCAAGGTCGAAGAGGGCGCTACTGATTGAGGTGGAATCTCGTATGGGGTAGGTTTCGCCTCTGTAAGGTCCCGGAGTTAGCGAATTGAGAACCATATGAATGTGGCCTCATGAGGATACCACATACCTTCGTCATCTAACAGTTCATCGGGCTTTGCAGACGTCGCGTAGAAATAGGCCTGTCCGTTGCGATTCCTCTTCCGGAAACAGAACAACCAGATCGCGACGCCGACGCCGACCAGTACTGCGATGCCACCTATGACGCCCCCGACGATGGGACCCACAGGTGCGCTTTTGCTGCCCGAAGCACCGCTCGTAGGCTGCCCCGTCACAGTGACGGCGGGAAGGAACGTATTTACGACGGATTGCGAAGCCGTCGGGGTGGCTCCGTTCGAAGCCGCGTACAGGATCAAGTCGAGTGCGAACGGGTACTCCTGTGTGGCGTCAGTCACAGC